CGTCGGTGAATAACGCAAAGGGCTTGGAGAAATCCGGGATCGCGAGGACCAGAGTCGAGCATAACAGCCGTTTTAACTTTTCAAAGGCTGCATCTCGTTCTGGGGTCCAGTGGTAAGAGACCCCTTTCTTTGTCAGGTCGTGTAGCGGTCTAGCGACACTTGAGAACGATGGGATGAACTTCCGGTAGAAGTTACAGAATCCAAGGAATCGGCGAAGCCCCGTTAGATTGTCTGGAGCTTCCCAGGTACTGATCACATCGGTCTTCGTTGGCGAAGTTTCCATGCGTCCTTTCCCAATCACCATTCCTAAAAATTCTATTTCTTCAGCTTCGAACACACATTTGCTAATTTTGAGGTGGAGCCCTTCTTTTTGACAAATGTTCAAGAACTCCCGAACGCGGGTTCGAAGCTCTTCGCGGGTTTTCCCATGGATTGCTACGTCGTCCATGTAGCCCACTTGTTTTCCTCATTGGCTTTCAAACGTTCGGTCCATGTATCTCTGGAAGGAAGGCGGTGAGTTACACTGCCCAAAGAACATTACCGTCGGTTCGAATAACCCTCTCGGCGTTATAAACGCCCCTTTCCATTCGTCTCCCTCTTTTACTCGAAGGTTGGTAAATCCCCATCTTATATCGAATTTTGCATAGAATTTGGATTCGACCAGCTCGTCGAACAAAGCCTGCGCGTTTGGCAATGGATGCGCGTCTTGGATGGTGTAGGAATTCAAGTAACGGTAGTCCTGAATTAGTCTTTTCTTTCCATCCTTCTTCGCGACGAAGAACACCGGCGCGGCTTGAGGAGAAGTTGATGGTCGAATTTTCTTGCATTTGAGATTTTCCTCCAAGAATTCGTCGAGTACCTTTAATTCATCCGGAGACATGGGGTAAACCGCTGCTTTCTTGGGCTTGAAATCTTCCTTAAGTCGGATTTCATGATCGAGCCCTGGTCTATGGGCGGGCAGCGGAATGTCTTCTTCCGAAAATACTTGTGCAAATTCTTGGTAGAACTCGGGGAGTTTTACTTCTTCTTTCGAAGAGGCCAGAGCAGCTTCCAGTTCTGTGGATAGAGTTGTTTTATTAACTTCCACAGTACTTACCGCTGTTTCCTCTTTCAAGGATCCATCTTTATTAAATTTGACGGCGTACCCCGGGTAATGCCAGGGAACTCGGCTGTTGATAAACAAGTCAGTATCCCGAGTGGGTACATACCCGTCATCCCAGCAAACAATCTTGTTGTCCCCCCAATCCATCCGAGGTTTGAAGTTCCATAGGAAAGGCATTCCTAAAAGGACGTGCTCCTTTCCTACCAGAGGTCCTACGTAGCACTTGGTCCGGACAACTCGATTTTTGATGATCATTCGGATCGAGACCTTTCGAGTTACCCATTCGACATCCTTCCCGGTGAAGGAAGTGGTTTTGAAGCGAGTCTTGACTCGGTAGGTCGGGATCTTTAGTCGCTGAACAATTCGCTCCAAAATGAGCGAAACTTCTGCACCGGAGTCGATGCAGACCATTACTCCTGCGTTATAGTCCGGCAACCATACTCTTCCCAGAGGAGATTCCACTCGCATGCGTGTTTCATCGTCTATGGTAGTAGTACAAATGGCGGACAAAACCGAAGCGGGACCAACTTTAGGAGCTTCCGTGGTCCCTTCTAAAAACCCTTCCCATCTAGACCGTATGCTTTTAATTCGTCGGCTGTTGCCAACCGATCTCCCATGTAAGCAACCCTCTTTCCGTCATCGGAAAGAACGATTCGAACACCGGGTGAGGCATTGGTCTCCTGGGATCGACAGTCACACTTGTAGTGGCCTTTTTTGCCACATCCGAAGCAAGTGACGTCATCATTTGATCGGCGTACGTTTCGCCTTCTTTTGTTGACGTCCATCGCATCAGGATCTTGGGAATTTCTGCGGAAGTGAATATACTTCCGTTCATACCTGGACTCCTTTCCTTCGAGAATATGTTTTGTGGCGATTGCAGTCCTAGCTTCTCCCGCACACTGGATCCATTCGATAACCGTGGCCGGTGCGCGTCTGGAATTAAGTATCCAATCGCGATATTCTTTGTTGAGTCCCTTCCCGAAGAAGATCCCTGCTTCACGCGACTCTTCCTTCAACTGGGCTTTATTCACAAGTCCCGTGAACTCGGCAATGTATGCCTCAAGTTCTCTTTTTCCCTGCGCGATATCGGATAGTCGTAAGATTGCCAGGGCGGTCTGGTCACCGGACTTGAAAGTAGCTTTGAGACGCTCGATGAACCTCTGGAAGGTGTCAGTATACCAGATAGTTCCGTTGAGAAGCTTGTTTTCATTTTGGTAATTTTCGGCGAAAGTGACCGCGGCTCCCTTTGTCATATACGTGAGCGCGAACGAGATCTTGAGGGATTCCGTGTTGTAGACATGTCTGTTAAGGTTTAGATAACCTTCGACTTGTGTGACCCAGGTCTGAAGCCCGTTATGGCTTCCATCATATTCTCCGGGACGCCCGACATTAAACTCCCTTCCTCCGTTGGGTGGGCGGCTGTCGTACGAGTCGTCGCCACTATCGGCTGGGGCCTTACCCTTACTTGACCCACCAACGGGATCATCTGGGGGAATTACCTTTCCGAAATTTCTGGCGTACCATGCTCGTAGAGCCGAGTCCGTAGGCATTCCTGTTGGGAAGGGATCACTCGACTGTCCTTGACCAGCTATCTTGCACCAGTCCTTGGCCAAAGAGTGCATCTGTCTTTCCAACCTTTCCTTCAGCTCCTCTTTGGAGTATACCTTCGGCGGCATCTCAGGGGCTGATTCTCCGTGACCGATCGTCATGGACATTTCTGTAGCACGTGCTTCTTGTTCTTCTTTGAGGACTGATCCGAGAGAAGTTTCGGACTTCTGATCGTCTTCTTCTTCTGAACTAAGCGCGATTTCCGACTCTCTAAATCGAGATAGATAAGATAACCTTGGGTTGCTAGTGGTAGCCGACGGCCCAAGTCTTCCCAAGGGGATTGGTGGTAAAGGCGGGTTCCTTCCTAATCCAGTCGGTTTGACACGAGGCGGAACAGGAGGTCTCGACTTTGATGGTTCTGACACTTTGATGGATAGTGACAACGACGGCTGAGGGAGGATTTATTTCTCAAAAGAAACCTGTCAGCAAGGAGGTGTTGTGCGCGAGTGACTTTACACGTAGGGAATCACGAGCACGGACTCTAGGGAGGCGATCTATTAAAGCCTAGTGGCTGCCTGTAGAGCGGTGTATTTGGTTTAGGGTGGAGGGATGCTTCTCAATCTTGTTACCGATTTTTGTCGGGTTGAGAGGTGGAACGAAGGCAAGCTGGTTTTTACGCGTAGGGAAACCGGCGAGCCTTGTGATATGAGTGAGAGGTTTGTTGAAGTTCAGTAACCTGGGACGAGTAGACTTTCGCGAAGAGGTCGACGAGTCCCGAAAGCTGCATAGAGTTTTTCGATTTTGTTATGCCCGAGCGCGGTGACTTCTTCAAATGGAATAGGCACGAAGCGCGCGAGGTGGGAGACTATGGGCCGAACTTATCGTAACCCCTATGGCTGAGTTATCGCGAGGATCCGACAGAGGTTCCTTCTACTGGCGAGTCCCTAAGGTTGTTCGCGCGGAGAGAGAACAAGGATTAAAGCGAAGTGATTAGCTCAGTTGCAAGCTATCGAAAAACTGAGGATACAGGGTAGAGTACGTAGGTTTATATACCCCTAAGTACAAGTACCCTAGCAGTCGCAATGAACGCGTCGCGACGTGTATCCGCAGTAGTAAACAAACTAATCACTGAAATAAATAAGAGTCATACGGAGTCAAGTGATGGGTAGGAATGGGAACGAAGGCTATACCGGCTGCACGATCAACACGCAGCGAGGAGCCAGACTCCGGAACTATAGTACAACACAAAGCAAGTCAGAAACGCGGACGGGGCAAGAAGTGAACATCCAGTCAATCTACAAGAGCGGTGAACGTCACGGACGGATCACAGATGATGAGTCTCGACAGGTATTGGAAATACCTGGACAGCGGGTGATCCGAGTTGTCCCTGTAGCATCCGAACTCCTAGGGCGATCACAAGTGCCAACGACGCGACCAGGCACGTGACACACGTGATTCCTAGAGCACGAAAAAGGAAAGAGGAACGACGAAAGCGTAACAGGGAGGGGAGAAACATACACATCAAGATGACTTCAAATTGGACCAGTAAATATACCCAGATTGTCCTGAGTGAGGGCATGGATCTCAACAGACTCATTGCCCACTGAAAAAATTACCTTTGCAATCTCCACATATATGTCATTCTTCCCATGGCACAACTGCTGCTTACTTCTACCTTCCTCCTGAGCATCCTGCATAGAATCAGAAAAGAGCTTCTTGCAAGCTGCTTCATGAGTTTTACACCATTCAATAAGGCAATCAGTTCATGCAGTGTGCACCTTTTCCCACTGAATTCAAATATTTGGCTGCTTTACGACTGATCTGGTGGAATGCAATGATGGGAGACCAGGAGAGCCTGGCCCAGTTGCTGGGGCCATCACTACATCAAGTGAGCAGTGAGAAGTGAGTGGTTCAAAGCTTACAAAACTCAGCCGAAGTTCAATCAGAGTTTCAACCTCCGGGTTCTCGGCTAGAAACTCACCAAAAAACACGCGAGAAACACGCGAACCTCCTCAGACTTTGAGCGGCCCTGATACTCTGATATTGCTATTGCCGCCCGCGCATCTTGACTCCGACATATACGGCACCGCGTCGGAGATTGAAAGTCGGCATACTCCGACTCCCTCAGTCACCCCTTTGCCTTGGGCAGCGGTGAGGTTGCTCAACAGCGCAGTCGCTGACACAAAAAGTGGACTTTCTGGTCTCTCAACGCCGAAATCTAACCAATCGTATCGACGCAGACGCTCGGATATCCGTTGGCTACCACCTTTTCGAATTTTTTACTGATCGCCCGATTGCCATATATTTCCTGTGCGTTGTGAGCCTGCTGGACCACCGTTTTGTACCTGGCACTCATCATCTCCACAGTACTAGCATGCCAGGTACCCCTCCCACCCCCAACCCGAAATCACGCAAAACCAGGCTAGTCAGGCGTCGCGGCCGTGGCAAGGATGGTTTTGACAGTGACGACGAGATCGTGCGTGAGGTAGGAACAGACTCAGAATCTGACGACGACGACCACTCGTCTGTGGGTTCTGCCACAGATTCTGATACAGGACCCGCCTCGGAAGAGGTCTCCTCCAACGGCCCACATTCGCGGGCACTCACTCCAAACACCACTCAAAGTTCCGCTGACGTCAAATCTCTTACAAACGCTGCCACTTCTCAGAGCCAGGATGGTCCTTTGTTCGAAGGGGGAAACTGGTCAGAAATGGTCGCAGAGGAGGCCACTAACGGCCCCTTCGATCTTCCCGTGGTCGAGTTCGCAGACCTATCGACATTCGACATCGACCACCTGCATCGCGGTGGCGCGGCACCCTCACTACGAACATCAAGGTCGTCCAAGCGCCCACCAGTTAAACGTGCAGCCTCGGCGCCAAATGTGGATCGGCCTGTACCCACACAGCCTTCTCCGCCTCAGACAGAACCCGAGCCAGAAGACTTCCCCACAGATAGCCAATCATCTCCGTCCACTTCCAGACAACCGTCTCAGAGGGCATCATCCAGACGTCCTGGTCAGTCTGCTCGTCAGGCTTATCAGCAACGACTGGAATCAGATCCATCGTTTGTGCCCAGGGTGGGTGACTTCTGGGGACACGACGATAGATTACTCGACAAGAATTGGCGCAGTCTCTCCGGGTGGTGGAGAGGCCGTTGGCAAGGCAGAGGTCGTGGCTTCGTGGGTGGCAGGGGCAGAGGGGTCCCTTTCATCGGTTCCGATTCAGGCCATCGCGGATCCGCAGAAAGAGATTCTGACCCTCAGGAGGCTCAGAAGCCAACTACAGAGGTACCTCGTGTCGATCAACCTTGGACACACGATGGATATGAGGAAATGAGTAAACGCGAGGAGAGGAAGCGCGAAGCGCAGCAGCAGCAACAACAACAACAAGAGGCACGTCCCACACGGGGCTTCAGCCCTCGTGGGAGGAGTGCATTTCCTTTCCGTGGTCGTCGCGGGATGGTCCGTGGCAGAGGGTTCGCTTCGTCACCCACAAGACCTCTACTCGTTCCGCCGGTGTCGACTCCCGACAGGACGTGGTACGCTATGAAACCTGAGCGCGTTTGGACGAAACAGCACGATTCATTCCTCTATATCGATTCCAACCTCAAACCCCGACCCAGCGTTGGTCCGGGATACAGAGTCAAGCTCTCGAGTGCGGAGGCGCAGGTCGTCCGTGGCCCTGTGAACGCATTGCGGACGTCGACGAAGGAGACTTTGTCAACCTCCCAAGCACCACCCTCCGAGGATGGTGACAAGGCATTTGTAGTGCGTCTGCCCCAACGTTCTGTCAAGGAGAAAGTGGAGGAGGCAGTATCTGCACCTTCAGAATCTCTGACGACCGTAGAGGATCCTCCTATCGACGACGTATTTGTAGTGAGACCAGAGCTTGCTCCTCCAAGGATACCCATAGCTGCATCTTTTGCAAGCACCCCACCACAGGAAGTGCCGCCCCTTGCCGAGGCATCCTCACAGGCTGAGTCTTCAGTCCCCCCTCCTTCGACGGAAGCCGTCGAGGCTTCCTCTTCAGAGCAGGTGCCAGGTGTTCAATCTGCTCAGTCCGCAACGGAGTCGTCGGATTCAGCCACGGTTGCTCATCACGACGCCGAAACCCTTGCACCATCCACCGAAAACGACACCCAAGAGACCTCTGTACGGCGCAACGTGCCACCGGTGCCTCCACCTCTCCAAACTGTTTTCCCACTTCCCCAACCTTCCCCCCCGTACAGTTCGCACTACGGTTATGCGTCGCCTTTGCCTCCTGGTATTGCAGTGAACCAGCACGGTATGGCTTATGACGTCACGACCGGGCGTCCTGTGTATCTCCAGGCTCCGCTGTATACGCCTCGTCCGATGGCACATGGCATGATGACACCCCCTGGAATGACCTTCATTCCCGGGCACATGCACCATCACTCCGGATCTCCCGATTTCCTCGCTCCACCACATACGCCTCCACTCACCAATTTCATTGACCCTACGACTGGCGGACCGCTCTTCTCATTCCCTCGACAGAGCGCTCGCGTGGAGATTCGTGCCCCCTTGACACCGGATGCTAAGGTCTCGACCAAATCGCAGCGTCGACCGTCCGGTCTACGCACGAGTGCCGCAGCGTACGAGCCATCACAACCTATTAGTCCTGACAACGCCCCACAGTTCGCTGCGTCGACTGAGTCGTATGTGGCACAGAACGGGGAGTTGGATCCCCGAGATGGTGTGAATGCAGGGACACCTGGTCATCCGGTCGATGCGGCTATGTTGGGTTATTCTGCGTATCCTCATCAACAACCGTATTACTACCCTGACCAATACGGCTACTCACATTATTATGACGTCTCTCAAGTACCCCAGTATGAGATGTACCATGCAGACCCGCACACTTCACAGGGTGTTGTCTATTACTAGTGCATCCACTGACATTCAATCAGTTACTCCTGTATGTGTTGCTGCTTGTTTCATGTTTTTTGTTGGCGGCCTACTCTAGCTTTTTTGTTTGTTTGCTTTTTTTCGGTTCTTGGTTGTAGGATAACACACCGTTATAGCGCTATCCACCATGACTCTCTTCCGACATTCAATGGCATACTGCAGTGACCTACTCACTCTAACCCGAACCATCCATTCTTTTTCTGCTGCTGCTGTTGTTCTGCGTCTCCTAGTACTTACCGTGCGTCGCTTGTTCCTTACCTTGTTTTCGTGTCGGTCTCGGTCTTTTTCCATAAAATAGTAATGTTGCATTTTAGCTTTCCATTCGTGCATGGCACCAAAAAATAATTGGAGCGTGTGAGATCGACATCGTATGCACAGAACGTTATGCAAGAAATGGATTACACCCAGGCTCGAGCTGCTCCACGTCCACCACCGTGACCCCGTTCTCTTTCGATGGCGAACAAGGCGTCGCGCAACGTGACGAGTAGGCGGTTGTCTGTCTCTGCCCCTTGAGCAGCAGTGGCAGCAGCTTTGGTTGCCGACACGTAGGGTCTCGCCCATGAGGTATTTGCCGACGCTGCAGGCGTCGTGGTTGTGGCAGGTGTCGTAGTGGTTGCCGGCGTCGTCGTCGTCGCGGATGTAGTAACAGGCTTAGGTTTTGGCGTGACGGTCGGTGCATTGGCTGCTGTCATCCAAGAATATTTACCCCCAATCCCCGCTGCCTGACTCGCCACCGCGTTCGACATCTTCTTGCGCACGTCCTCCGACATGTTTCTCGCCGTCACACCTGGACCCTCCTTTTTCTTCTTCTTTTTCGTTCCTGCTCCATCCTCTTCGTCGACTGCCATGGCGGTGCCACTCCCTGATGCTTGTGCGGCCAGATTGGCAGCGTGAGCGGCTGCAAGTTCTGCCCTTTCCTTTCTTTCTCTCCGAATCTTCATTTCTTCTTCTCTCTCGGCTTTTTCGAGAGCTGCGAGTTGCTTCGCATAGTCGTTCCGCACGACGACGGTCCACATGGGCGTCCCATCTTCGTAAAGAGGTACAGGTTTATCATGTCTTGCATCTGTCCGATGACGCGCTGCACCGATCATACTAGTCACAAGGTCCTGCAACCGCGCACGGAGCGCCAACGCCAGATACGTCACCGAATCTTCTGGGACCTTTGTCACCTTATGCTGCGTCCCGATGGTGCGCATCGTCGCGCCCAAGAAACGGGCGTCGAATGAGGGAGTGACGGGTTGTTTTCGAGAACGGTCTTCGAAGAGACGGTAGGGCTGGTGCGTGTCATAGGTCCTGTGTAGACTCTCCTCTTCGGCCTGTGTACCGAGCAAGTCGAATCAGACGTTCGAGGAGTGTATACAAAGTGAGTGAGACGTACTCGCAAATCTACGCCTGCGCTTCCCAATGCATCGTTCAGCGTCGCAACGTCTGCTGTATCGATACCGCTATTGGCAGTCTGCGCGGCCGTCGTTGTCTGCTGTCTCTGTGGTTGTGCGGTGATTGGTGCGGGTGCATATTGGTAGTGTGTATACGCAGCTTGAGGATAGTGTTGGGAATACTGGTAATGCGAGTACGCGGTCGTCGTCCTGCAAGAATATAAGATACATCATTGGCTTCTAAGAATGGCTTTTTCTTTCACTGACGCAGTGGCGACTTGGGACTGCTGTTGGAGTGCTGGGTCGATGGGGATGTCTATAAAATAATAACCTGTTGATCGTTACTGCAACTCAAATTTCAGGATCGAAGCGCACGCGCTGTGCTCCATTGACTGGCATATGGCGCCGTTGTCGCCGCGACCGTCGCCGCTGGCGTTGCCGTGGTACCAGTGGTAGTGGTGGTTGGCGTGGACACGGTGGTCGGTTGAGTCGTCGCCGGCGGGTCTGATTCGGTCTTCATGGTGGTTTGAAGACGACAGCCACCCCCGATTTTGACTTCAGCGCTACCCATGGACGTCTCAAATCTCCTCGCTGCTCAGGCATCTAAATTGTAGGTATTTCAAGCAACATTTTCAGTTTCTCAGCTAACACCGTCTGCAGTCAATCCGTTACAGTAGAAAAAGACACGCCGCTCGATGTCGATGCTGGATTTTTGACAGTCACCGACCACAACCCAATCGACGAAGACAGCTACCGGTACGTATCTATTCTCGTTCACTAAACTGCCGATTGATAATAATATAAAAAATCAAGATCCAACCTCGAAGAGTATCTCAAGTCGACTGCTCGAGATGGCATCCAAGCATTAGTAGCAGCTCTATATGCACTTCCGACCGAATCGTCCGTCGACGGTTCCTTTGCAAAACTTCCACCGCCAACGACACAACTTCCCCGTGCAAAACCCCTTCCTAAACCCAAACCGCTCACCAAGTGGGAAAAGTTCGCAGCTGTTAAGGGTATACAGAAAAAACGCAGGGACAAGAAGGTATGGGACGAGCAAAAACAGGAGTGGGTTAATCGATGGGGAAGAGGTGGGAAGAACAAGGAAAAGGAGGATCAGTGGATACACGAGGTTAAAGCCAATGCCGGTGCGGTGTTTTCTTTCTCTCTTTTTTGTTAGTAGAACGAATTGATGGAACGGTCGAACAGATGTGGACTTTGACCCTGCTCAAGAAGCTCGTAACGAGCGCAAGTCCAGAGTCGCTAAAAACGAAAGGCAGCGGTTACAAAATCTTGCTCGTGCGCAGGCTGCACAGAGTGAGCGAGAGCAGCGGAAGGAAGAACTCGAAAAAACATTGGCGGCTACTCGGACGAGTACCGCAAGCATGGGTAAGTTCGACAAGAAACTCGAAGGGGACAAGAAGATACGCGGCGTCAAACGCAAGGTATATATATATATATATGCCCTTATGGTTTTGTGCAGAGGCCGAGCTCATGAACGTCAGTTTGATCCCACAGAGGTGTCGGCAGAAAAAGAAAAGCAGGCATCGCTTGCCGTTCTATCGCAATTGGATGGAGATGCTAAAAGGGCGAAGATTGAAAAGGGCACTGGCGATGATGTCGTCAACGTCCGCAAGGCGATTCGAGCGGTGAGCAAGGGTAAAGGGGGCGTCGCTTTGGGACGGGAGGTGTCAAAACGCTCAAAAGACTCCGGAAAAAGCAAGAGAGGTAAACGATAGTCCTCGCATCTCGTGCCATGTACATATATAAATACCTCCACAAAGTTTTCGAGTATGATACATAGGAAATCCCTCGGAACACCTGAACCCTCTATTTGTCAATCGAGAGCCTGGCCATTACCGCTCGACCGTCTTTTATCCAATCCTCCTTCACGAGCTTTTCCCTCTCTGAATAATAAAATCGATACACCAACTTGATGGTGCCCTCGCTGACCCCAGCCACTGCACTAATCTCCCGTATTGGCTTTGGTATTCCCAAAAGCAAACAGGTAAAGTAGATGGCTCCCCCAGCGATAGATACCGGACTCCGACCATCTGCGATGCCGTGCTCTCGTGCAGCGACGATGATATCACTGCACACCGACTGCACATTGGGAGCGAGATCGAGGTGGTTACAATACCGCACGAGTAGATTTTCTGGTCCGGTTGTCGTACTGGAGGCGTTGTGCTGTTGTGCAGTAGCACCCGGTGAGAGGTTGAAAGCTTGTTCGAGTGCTTTATAGCACTGTCCAAGCGTCTTCTTTGATACATGGGTGAGATTACAAATCTCCCTGAACGTTCGAGGCACGTGGGCCTGTCGACAGGCAATGAAGATACAAGCTGCAATGACAGCCTCCAGAGGTTTTCCCCGAAGAAGTTTTTCTTCGTCTGAACGCTTGTAAAGCTGCTTCGCGATGTCGCTGATGGTTTTCGGCAGAGAAAACTGGTCGCACCAGCTGCCGATATCTCGGAAGGCAGAAAGAAGGTTTCGTTCGGAGCGTGAGCTCTGCGAGCGAGACGCAGCACGCTGAAGTTCGCGCGCAACGCCACTGCCGCCGTCGCGGAAACTGATGACGGTGTCAAGTTGTTCCATACCCTCCATCAAGGGGTCCGAAGCAGCGCCGACACGCGAAGGGTCATCCCCTTCATCATTTGCGAATGTCTAACGACACGTATAGCACTGTTCAAAAGAAAAGGTGAGATACAACATGTACTTACTCGCCACTCGCTTCTCGTGTCTACGATTCTGTCGCCGAGCACGAGACCACAGCCCCCGCACACGAGATCACCGCTTCCATACTCCTCAACGATGTTAGGGTTTGGGTCTCGGCAGTCTGGACAAATGAGGCGAACGGCAAGGTCAGGGCCGTAGGTCGGCTGCTGTGTTTTTGGAGCCTGTGCAGCAAGTGGGAACGGTTGTGAGAAGGCCATTTCCTCTTCAAATACGAGAGTTCGTCTGCTGTTTGCTTAAGTGCGCGGAAAAGAAAGGAAAGAGAGCGACGTTGCTAGAGGTAATGAACGATGCTGTGGTTGCTGCGTAACAGTCTAGTAGCTAAACGCTGACATGGACAGGGTATAAACGACGTCCGAATCACACAAAGTATGTCTTTTGTCGTACCAACGAGACCAGACGAGACTTGTCCTTGTAACAAGCGAACGGCGTGTTTTGTGGTCCACGCGGTGTCGACGACTGTGGTGGTCGAGGACGAAGACGAACCGACAGCTCCACAGCCTCTTCGAAAAATATTATAATGACTCAGCATTGTATTATGTCAGCCAACTTTGTTTAGGAGTGCTTGGCGACGACCTTGGAATCAAACACAGACAAACAACCATCCAGTAGTCAACCGGTCAAACTAGTAACTGAGGGACTCTAGACAGAATGTTAGGGGAACCTTCACAACGCTCCAAGTTGATCGATGTGTATGTACCCGTCTCACTGACGGGCGCGCGTTTAATGGAATTGGGTATATAGGACCTATCAGCAACTGCATTCTTTTCTCTCAGGTCGGCTGGAAGGTGGTTCGCAGGAACAAATAACACAGATCATAACTCCCCGCACTGCCCAACTCCGCAATGTCTCTAGACCATATGGAAAACCAAACGACGCGTCTCGGAAAGCCATCGAAAGTGGCACCGTCACTCTTTCAGACGGCATCAAACTTCAGGTCGACGATGTCGCGAAAGAGTTCACCACCGTCCTCAGCAAGCACTTTGACATCGACGAGATCCACGCCTTAATTCTCTTGCGCTCGTTTCTTTACAACGAAGGGCTTCACTTGAACGGCTTCAAGTCGGACAAGACGCTACTGGAGGAACTCGTTGCAGCCATCACTCCATTTTACTACTCAGAGCGCCTTTTCGTCTTGAGAACCCTGATCCCACTATTTCGCGCCCAACAAAATGCCGAAGATCCTATTCATGTGATTGCGTCCGAAAACTTGCCCAGGATTATCCCCGACGGTCGTGTGTTCGCAGGCGAGCTCATCGACGAGTACCTATGCAAAACTTCCGAGGAGGTCCCGAGCAACCTCGGTACAGACTCTAGGGCAGCTTCGCGATGGGCAAAGCAAAACTGCAAGGAGCAACTGTTGTTGCTAGAAGTGATCTTCTGGGCAATGTGGGGATATGTCTCTTGCGACGGCTCGTTGGTCGTGAAGCTGTACGAGGCTGCCTATGACACAAATCTCGGATCTTCGCAGCAGAACACCATGCTTCTCCTTGACGACGAGGGCGCGCAAATTCTGCAGGACAGTGCAGCACTGTGGATACTCATTACCATAGAGGTCCTTGAACTGGAGAGAATAGCCGAACCGGACGGCGTGGAATTTTCACCACCGCCCGATCACGCGTCGTTCTATGTGACGTCTGTGGACTCTGTGAAACGAATACATGCTCTCGTGATGGCTAACACCGGATCTCAACACGCATGTGCCTATCTTGCCTGGGCGTTCGTTCTCTCTCGACTCCATGCAAAAGCGCAGGAAAATAAGGAAATTCCAGACGCTTACCGCTCATTTTTGGACTCGACGATTTCACCACCTGGACGCGGAAAGGAACGAGAACCCACTCACGCACTGATGGCCCGCACGGCCCTTAGTAGTGATGTGGGCTTGTTCAATCTCCTCTTGACCATACTCACCGGTTCTCCTGTATTTGTGACTGCCGCTGCTTGGCGCACGGGCTCGACCGTGACTGACCCCAACGCCATAGCCTTTCGTTCTGTAGTCAAAGGCGAGTACCCGGAATTATAGGAGTGATGGTTCACTTATTCTCTTGTAGGCCTGCTGATGTCCATGGTTGAGCTCGTTCCTGTAGAGCTTATTCCGGAATTTGACTCGTTCGTGGAGGTCTGGATAGCGTTGTTCGGGCGAAGCGAGAGTCGATCCGTGGTCGGAATTTGCAAGCAATTCTGGCAGTATGACTGGCACCAAGGCGCAGCCAGGCGTGCAATCTTTGACGTTGCGCGTTCACGGTTTCCCATTCACTTTCGACCACTTGTTCGCCTCCTTCGTGCACTAACTGGTTCTGGTTTCCTCGACACCGACTCATTATCTACCACTGCATCTGCAGAATATTCTCGCATTTCGGATGGCGACGTTGCGGACCAGGAGATTTGCAGTCGACACGTCTTCTACTACATGGACAAGCTGCCGACCTTCTCACTTGTCATCCCGGTTTCTTCGTGTTCGGGACCGAATGCGGTGTACGAGAAGGTTCAGTATGGTCCTTCGGCCTCTGGGCCAGGATTGACTTATAAGAACATACGAGCGATCCGTTTACCCGGTGGTTCTATCATGTCTCCCCGTTCAACTGGTCGGCTGTTAAGTAGTGATGGGGGTGACGTCGTAGCCGTGTGCTGGGAGCACGAAAATAGTGGTTGGAAAGTAGTGATTGATGTGTTGACGGAATATGTCACTCGACGGCGGATGTACGTGGGTACGGCCGACTTGTATCAAGATGTTACCTTTGGGAGAACTGGACCAGGATCTGTGCCCCTGACATTGCGGTTAGAGGATGTAGGTATGGAGATCGACGATGGGGGTGACGAGGCGCTCGCGACAGATGCTTTGGACCTTATACGGAGTGTCATCCAGGATCAACCTGGCCTAGCGGAGGAGCTCCTTGAGTCGCTCGAGATCGGTGACGCTTCTTCTGCCAATGACTCGCGCCCCCCTGACCTGGTACAGCTAACGACCATGATTCTCGAGGAAGCCCTTAGCCGCTCGCAAGCACGGAACTTCTCGCGCACGCAACTCGTCACCTCTGCTATGAGTGTCCTCTCGGCACTTCTTACTCTTCCCAAGTATTCTCCGCGAGTCTGGCTGTATATCCGGTCCACCTCGGTCCTCTTCAGTTCCACCCAGACCCCAGGGTTTGCTTCTGTGGCTCTTACTGCCGAACGAGTGTCCGGTCAATATACTATGACTCTCGCCCTACTACACCTCGTCCAGCAACTTGCCCAAGAGGCCTTCGCTTCGGTGGTGATGATCCCCCCCGATAACCAGCGCTTGAGCCAGGTTAAGGAGGAAGTTTTACTACGTGCTGCGAATTTCGTGCATGGCGAAATTTGGGTGGAACACCTCGGGTGGAAATACGTACATCTCGGTGACCGATTTGAGATCGGGAGGCGCATCTCGTCCTTGTACTCATACATTCTCGTACAATCTCCACCCGCTATCGGAAACCGACCATATCCCGTCCTGAGTCAGGCGATTATCGATACCCTCGTACATAAAGCTGCTTCCTCTTCCATCCTTCCGCTCGTGTCGGCTATCGCGACGAGTCCTCAAACCCTTGGTGGATTGTATGCCTCCCGCCACTTAGGTGATGCCAGACGCCTGATTTTCCTCCTCGAGTCCCATCTGCAGCTCATACGACTAGTATTGAACTTCAAGCAGCAGACGTCACCTCAAGGTGCGAACCCTTCTCTTCTTGAGCAAGCACTCTGTTCCAGGATCTCGGGTGGAGCTGGCTTTTCCGACTCCGCAAGAGCTCGCGTCGATCCCGTGGATGTGTTGGCGACCTTTGTAAAAGAGAGGAATGTGGGAACTGTTGTACCCCTTGAAGCAATGAGGGTTTTGCACGCATTGTGCTCGTCTCTCTCGATGGTGGCTCCTTCACCCCCGACTATTGTCGGACATCTGACAAACCCCGAGGCTACGGTGGCGTCACTTGTGCGTATCGTGGAACATCCGTACGACGAACTCCCCCTCCGGATCTCTGTGTGGAATTTCATAACGCTGGCAGTAGATAAAGAGCCCGCGCTCGCAAATCTGTTCGTCGCTGGGGATTTCCACATACCAATGGGTGAGGGTAAGGAGAAGGCACCCGACAAGACACGTCGTGATAGCAAGGACAAGGGGGAGCGGACGGCTGCGCTGGAGATTTCCAGGGCTACACTAGAACATTGGAAGGAGTTGTGGGAAGCCAATCCGCAGCTTCTTGCATCCGTCTTGCAGTTCTTGCTCGTTGTGTGGCAGCATGGTCACGAACACAAGGCTCGTATCGATGCCACTCGCCAGGACGAGGAGTTTTGGAGCCGGATAGCAGCAATCGCCCGGGAGGAGCTTGGACCGTATCCTGACTACGTGACGAACTCGCTCGTGACTTCTGACGATGAGCCCCATTCTGACCTTCACGAGGCAGTCTCCGTCCAAGCGTATCGTGGCATGGCGAAGTCGTATGCTGTACAGATATTAGGACAGGATGTGTTCCTCCAGCCACGACCAACTTCGTCGGATGCTCCCTTGCTCAAGCCGCTGAGCTATACCAAGCTTGCCCCTATGTTCAAGGCAGAAGAACAACTGAATGAGTCCATATTGGAAGCCGTTTCTAGCTTATATGATCCGTCCCTCTATGACACGGTCACGGAGCACCTGTCGGAGAATTTCCCAAGTCTCTCATTGGAACAAATCCGGTCACAGGATCCTTTTGTGGAGCGCGAACTCGGCGACGACTTTGTGTTCTCACCGAAACTTTTACGCAGCAGACTGCAGCTGTGTCTGATGGACGACGAGAGAGTTGGTGATGTGGAAGAGGTCGAGAAGCAAGTGACGTCGATCAACCTCAACATGTCGCTCACTCACTCTCAAATTGCCCTTGCTGAAGCATGGCAGTTCCTGTTCAGGCAGCTATTGCCCTTCATAAGGGTTGAACCTGGGATTAGATCTTCCCTCCTCGCACTTGCGGCGACGATTTCCGCAGACCTCGCGCGGGAGAAGAGACAAGGAGAGGTGGTAGCAACAATCCACGGGACACGACTGGGCGTTCTTCTTTCAATCCTTGAGGCTGCGTGGTTTACCACTACCACGGATGCTGCGACAGATGTCGACTCCTTCATCACACTAGTGTCCAACGTTCGCATGATTTTGCTGAACGAGGCCCAACCGCTTTCGCAGTCCTTCCTTGGAAAGCTCGCTTTACCATTCCACAGAACTCTTCTGCAAATCTTGTACTTCGTCGTGCGTGAGAGTCGCAACATGGCTCGGGGACCCAAGGTGTTCAACGCAAGCAAGCGCCTGACCGTGACGGAACTGGTTGATGCAACGGTAACACTCGTAGTCGATGCTCTGCGTCTCACTTTTGATTCGGCACGGACGCGTCTGGATCTGGATCTAGATCGGGATATGGAGCTTCTTGTTGCTGTTTTTGAGCAGTGCACGCGGCCCGATATCTGTTCTTCATCCCTTCCATGGTTAGCGAAATGCCAGGAGACGGACGTTATCAATTCCAGCTTGGACCTGCTCGTCCACTCGGACATGGTTGGCCTCTCTGACCTCCCGTTACTCCGCGTCCGCAGGATCCCCCTATACTCTCCCCATGTCCTGTTATTCCATATGGTGCTCGTGAGCGTCCCATCTGGGGCAGAAAGGTTTGCAAGCGAGGGTGTCATCGCCGCTTTCAGCAACAACAGCCTCAGTTCTGCCATCAGCGCAGGTCAAGTCGATGTCATGCTACCGGAGTTGCCTGGAGAGCGCAGCCCAGTTCATAGGGCCTACTGTTCGATGCTAGCCATAATATCTGGCGTAATTTCTGCTCTTGGTCGGCAGCATCAGTACTTTACTGCCGCGGCGTGTGGCATTGTTCCGTTGTACGGAAAGCAGATCTCTCGTGCGCTTTCGTGGAGCATTGGCGACCCGATTACTCTGCCACTTTTGGAGGAGATGGAACAAGTTGTCAACTTGTTCTACGCCATTGCAGAGAGTGCTCCGCCATTGACAAATCAAGATCCAATCATCACAAAAGTCCTACGCGTCTTCGGATCGCATGCTCTCATCCTCCTTCAGCAATTGAATTACGCTCTCACGCACCCGAATCATCTTGCTAGTTTATTGGAGCCAGTCACGGCAGAAGAGCGCGCCGCAATGGAGAAAGAGCCTATTGCAACGGCGTCAATATCCTCTGTTGACATGGTTGATCTGCAGAAGCATCCTTTGACAGCTCGTCTGGTGCATCGGGTGTTTAAGTTGTGCAGTTTAGTTGTTTCGACGCTTGTGAGCACCAGTCACGCGTATGATGTGCTCCTTGGCGAGCAAGAAGATTGGCCAGTGCACGAAGCCCTCGTTGTTCCCGTAGGTTTGCACGCCTTTAAATTCGGTTCTCTTGGTTAATAGCCCTTCCTACAGCACTCAAAAGTCGTCCTCGGCGAACCCGCCTCCGTAGGCACCTTGCTTGAGTTAGCCAATTGTTCACTTGACATTTTGCGGAATCTCGTGAATCGTCCCGCGGGCCAAGCGATCGCCCCTGCTACTTCACTCAAAGAAGTACCCCTGAGTGTCCGTCAAGCAACGCTCACCGTTCGCCAGAACCTCGAGGCCCTCCTGATCTATGCAGTCACCCAACTCGCCATGTGGCTCTCTAAGCCTGATTTCGATCCGGCGGCAGCGGACATGGAAACTGACGAACATGCTTCCCAGGCGATGGAGGTGAGGGAACCGGTGGCGAAAGGCCGGGCACCAAGGCCGTCTCTCACTTTGGCGGAGCGGCTGCGACGAGGAATGACAGGAGAGATGGCATCTGACTTACAGGCACTCCTGATGCGTTCTAAGCCGGTTCTTGCGAAGAGTGACGAGGTCCTTGAGAAGAAGCAGACATCGAGGGACCTCACGCAGGTGTTGTTGAGGTTCTTAAATGAACGTGTTGTTGCTCCGGCAGCTTAGTGTAGAAATGTCGACTAGTAAAAGTAATGTAGATACTTTTTTCTTTTTTACTGTGTTTTGCATACCACTCGACATGCACTTTCTAAGAATTCGCTGGTGCGCAGGAGCCAGTATTTGTGGTAATGTGGTTGCTGGTTAAGCGTGACGGAACCCCAGGACAAATGTCGCTAGGCCCACCGAATCCCGAACAACGTGTACCCTCCTTCATCCGCCCTCCCGAACCCCTCCTGCCTGCCTGTCTCCTCCCTGCTCACAACCACAAGCCTATGTTCACCTTGTCTTCCTTCTTCGGGGGTATCTAAAACAGGGAATGCATCTTCAACCGTACGTCCCATCCCTTCGTGTCGACCCGTCGACCGCAGGGGCATCGCTAACCAAAACACGCTGCTCCCTCCGCCTACCCCAGGCATCGGCTTCTTCAAACTCTTCATGACGCAGTCACATATCCAGTGCGCATGTTTCGGGTCGTATATGACGTCAGCGGCCAGCACAACATCATACTTTTCTCCCTCTTCGACCTCCGGTGGGGAAGACCAGTCTAACTTTTCGACGTCCACGTTCACCTCCACAAATTTTTCCATCCCATTGATGTCCGGTGAAAAGTGCACGACAGAACCAAGATTCGAGCGAACGTTTTGAATGAGATTTTCTAGCACCATAGGGTGATAATCTGTTGCTTTTAAGTGTGCGGAGTATCCGAGCTGGCGATACAACTTTGCAGCTACGATGCTGAGCAGGCCGGTACCAGCACCAAGTTCCAGTATACGCAGTTTTGTTGCATGCGGAGGTTCCCGTGAAGGGTGCACGGCCGACATGTTTAGATTATTAGGCAGGAGATAGAGACCCGGGTCGGTGCACATTCGTTTGGCGAGGACGATCGCACTGCCCCAGCTCTGTAGCCCCACTGCGGTGTGGTCTACGGCATCCAGCGGGGCGTCGTTCAGTTCGACAGTAATGGATTCCCGTTCTGTTCTGGTATCCGCGCCCTGGTTGTTGTCGCCCTGCTGGCCCCATTCGTTAAGCAGAGGGGTATGCGCCGTCCCAGGGTGCCTGCTGAATGGAAAGCAAAATTGCCTTGTTAAAGCCGTTTCATTGTGTGAGTCATCATCATCCTCGTCGTAGCCTGCGATACGCGCAAGCAAAGCAGACGCCTCATCAATAAGTTCTGTATATATATCTCCTTGGGTCCCCTCCTCTGTGTCTGATCCTCCCTCTAAATCTTCAACTTCTATAGAAAATCCAATGCGCTGAACGGTCATCCAGCTATCGGCGCACTTAAGGAAACCAGTTAGCCATTTGATGGCGAAGCCACGTTCGAAATCGTCCGCACGTAGGAGTTCGAGGTCAACTCCTTCCCCTTCTTCCTCGTCGCTACCATCATCCTTCGCCGTCTCGCTTTTAGTGTCTTCTTCAGCAGAGGCATAACCTGAATCAGGTATGCGCTCGTGGTTGACCATATGTTGTCCACGGCGTTCTGTGCTTCCGTTTCTGTTCCTTTTCCTCGACAGTGGTATGTCTGCGCATCGCCCAGGTATTTCTCTGAGTTCAGGTATGACACCTGCGTGGTGAGAGGGTTGCGAAGGAGAGCGAGGGAAGTACAACTTCTTCAGCGTGTGTAAACTTTCCAAGACTTGACACGGGGTGTAATTATCGAGGTGAACGAGGGGTGGAAGGCAAACAGTCGGTGCAACAGCGCGTCCCATTTGTTGTCTAAGAAAAAAAAACTGCTTGCGTATTTGAAGGGTCTAAATCGCAGGTATGTCCCGATTCTAGGTTCTTTGTGGGTATGATTGTGGCGGTATACTTGCAGTCTATCTTCTATCGGTATGGTCTATTATCCGTCTATCTTCACCTGGAGTGTCTGATCTCCGTCTATGAGTTCCTGAAAGAAGTTCGCCCCAGTAAAAAAAAAAGGTATCGATGAACAACGCAGGCCCTATATCACGTTAGAGAGCCTGCGTTGCCTGGCCAAGCACGAGAATAGTGAGCATGATGGAGAACAAGTTTGAGCCCGAGAGTCGTGAACTTTTTTTGATGATGATCATTCAATCGACGTTTTTAGTAGGAGGATCATGGTAACAACACGAACAAACAGTACATGTCATATGCCTGAGCTGACGAGCAATGCACAAAGGACAGGTATTGCACAGTTGTGTCCCCCGCCCACAACACTCAAGATATTCACAATATAACACCGTGGGCACATTTCCAGAGGTCTATTCTACTAACCAGTGGACGGAGATGTAATGTGGTAGCTCTCTAGTGTGCCAACTTCAAGGACAAGCGGCGTGAGCCACCCCAATGATTTTTATGGCATCTTGACCCCGATCTCAGAGATCCGCTAAGGGCATTCGACTCGAATTTTCAGGATTAGTCGCGTCATATCCAGGCAAATATTCACACTGGTTCATCAGTTCAGTGAAACGTAAGAAAACCCGACTGCGATATTCATGACAATGTTGTCATTTTCAAGGCTCACTGGTACACGCATTTTAGCATATTTTATCGAGGTGTAGCCAAGACCTGCCTCTATCAGGTCGCCGAAGACAGAGTACAAGAAACAAGAAGTCCACATGCGTAAATATTAATTGTCACCGTTTACAGAGATGCATGCAGGGATATGAAGTCCTATATGTCCGAGCGGGTCATCGTACCGATCCATTTGCTAAGTTCATGACTCAGGAAGGGTCCTGCGTCGTTGCCACACTAGAATCACTTCGAGAGCTCTTTGTGACTGCTATTCAATTTTTAGCCAATGTGTCACAGGGGCTTGTGTCTGGCAGTTGAGGTGACAAAAATAAGCAATGCCGGAACGCTTACTGATAACCGACTCCACCCTTCCAGGCCGGAGACCGGGCAGCTGGCTCGGGCCGCTATAAAGGTGACGGGCAAAACCCCTTGCCAGACCTGGCCTAAGACAGAATCCAGGAACAGATTCATTGAATTGCAGTAGTGTCATGTGTAGAGCAGCCCGGGTACGTCTACAAGGCAACAGATCGGAAATGCACAACACATGAGCCTTACTCTGACCAACTAAACGATGGAGCAGACTGTCGTTAATATTTCCTTAAAAGTATCACAACATTAACAGGCTGTTGACACCGCCCATCTGGATGCATTTGACTGCCTCTTGCCAGCGACAAGAGCAGCAAGGGCAGCAACGGCGAAGATGCGGGATTCAGAGAACATGACGATTATCCGGCAAGGAGGTGAGTAGGTCGACATCGTCAAAGAAGGTGTGATGTAGTTGGCAGAAGAACGACCAGGCGATGAGGTTCAGTGATCGACTGTCGTCTTTTAAGTATACATTTTCTAGGTCTGTTGGCTTTTGGGTCGGGGAATTCCGGTGGAGCCGTCACTTATCCTGCTATAGTCGAATTCCGAATTCTGTTGGTGGTGATACAGCACGTGGCACTACCCACTTTGATAACTCGGCATTACCACCATCCAATCAGCCTTTGTTGATACCGCACGCGATAACTGCATCTGCAAAACTTCCCTGTGATTGCGCCGGTATTATCAGCTAGCTGAAGTGTAGTAGATGATTATGTGTATCCCCGTGCGCAAGCTTCCCGCTGGCTTACGCCCGTGTCAACACTTCTGCACCGGACTCGGTGATCAGAACCATATGTTCAGCTTGCGCGCTCCGAGCACAATTCTACATGACGGAAAGATCACGTTGGAGTTCATTTCTGTTAGTTCCATACGTACCTCCGTAGATGCCGTCCAACCGTCGGGAAATATCCAGACTCGTGGATTGGATCCTTGCACAATGCAGGGCTGGTGGTGTGGTCTCAGTAACCCAGTGGGACGTCTTCCGGCCAGTGAAGAACACACCTCAATTGTGAAGCAGTGGCCCGGGAGCATCGTTCCTGGCTCCTCATTCACTAGGAACGCGGTCAATAGCGAATACCTCATTCAGGGAAATCCATACGTACATGTATGGTATATCCACGGTGGTCGGTGAAATACTTTGCCGATGCCATGACCTGCAAAAGTGGTGCACACCGAGTATCCTGGTGTTCGTTGGATAAGCTCGTGGATAGCTCGGCCTATATCCCGGAAAGGACGCCCGGGGCTACAGACACCAATGCCCGCTTCAAGGGCTGCATTCGTGACTGCGACGAGGGTACGACCAGGCTCATCCTGATGCAATTCAGCCGATTGCAGAGTTACAGGTACCATTATCAACTCACGACTTCTCCGACAAGGAAAGTCTGGGAGGTGTCGCCGTGGTAACCGTTCAGGTATACGGTGACGTCGATATTCAAAATATCACCATCCTCCAGGGGGCGACTCGACTCTCGTCGTCAGTTAACGAAAGACGGGAAGAATGATGTATTGACATACTCGTCAGGAATTCCGTGTGAAACAACGTTGTTAACGCTCGTACAACACGATCGAGGGAAGCCCGCGTAAAGCATAGGGGAAGGATAGGCATTATGCGCAAGGATGAACCGATGTATTGCTTCATCTATTGAGTTTGTCGTTGCACCTGGCTAAGACGGCGACAGTTGCCACCCAGAAGGATGGATATCATTGAGCCGCGCAATCGACACAAAACATGAAGGTCTCCTACCCTAACAAGGCCTTTGGCATATTCACGGACTTTGCTAGCGAGTCGCGCTGATTCCCTGAGTTTCATTTCTTCTTCCGTGCGGAGTTGGATTCGCCCATCCCCTTCGTAAGACTCTTGGATATCGACGTCCTCAGTTTCCTGTTCCAACCTATACCTCTGTGCATAGAGAGGGCGGGATATGTGTGGAGGGACATGACGCGGTTTTATGTGGGACACGCCCCACACAAACGGCTCGTCAGGAAGAATCACGGTATAGTTGCCAAAGGCTGCATGTTCGTCGCCGGCGTTAGCAGGAAAGGAACGTCGCGAATGGGAAGAATGAAATGGACGGAAACAAGGCGAACGGCGAACCACCCGTCGGAAAAGGCTTCGTTGCATTGCAGTAAGTGCCAAAAGCAAGACGACTCTTTCACACAGCCACTTCTTCGATGAGCAAAATTTCCTCCTTCGTGTATGCAAATCATTCCAATACAGCGGCCAAACCTCCCATGAGCAAGTTAGAGGACAGTTACAGTGTGTGTTTACTAAGTTCAACTTGGTTTCGTGCTGCAAAGTTCTTTGATCACATGGTGGAACTTTTCCAAGTAGTCTCGAACCGGACATATCATAGGGTCGCACCTTCGGAATCCTCCGGAGGTCATACCAACCAGTTGGCAGGTGCGCTTGTAATACGCTTGCATTATGCAAGAGAGACCTTGAACCGATAGACAGAATACACGTGCGTCGCGAGGAAGACCCTGCTCGTATCAAATGCATGGTTCACTTACTGTAATACTTCTCAGCCATTTGGTGACACAGCTAGAACTCAAGCAAAGATTTTAGTAAAGTAGCATTTCAAATCTTTCGACGAGACCCTTCCATCCCACCAGTCATCTTGTATGTTGAAGCAACCATCCGAAAAAGACTGTCAGACTCACCGCAGCACCTGCAATCCAGCAATCACTACAAGACAGCCATTCGTTCATGAATTTCCCGCAGAAGGGATGTGATACACTACTGCTTAATCATCAACAGCACGGGACAATGTTGCCTAAAACATAAAGCCAAGCCAGAAGTTAGGACACACGTGGGGGAGAAGGGGGGCCAGACGCTTTGGGAAGGTGGCGGGAAAGGGTCCACTCTTGCTCCGACCCTTCCCAAAATCGTCTGGTCGAGACCAGGAATGTCGATGAATCGATGAGCATCTGACTGACCTTCATACTCGTCTCGTAATTAACGTCCGCCTCATTCTAACGCCGGTGGCGTCGCTTCCACTTCCGGTCAAGGCCCACTTGAAGGTTAACGTTTGCACTAGTCGTCCATTTAAATGGGTCAGGGCACTACTCAGGACACTCAAACCCGTTGGAAATAAGTAATGCGAGGAGACGGGGGGGTTGGGAAAAACCTGGTCGAGTTCCCTTCTCAACAACTTCAACGAACGACTTGCTCTCGTCTATTTTCAATTCCCTTGTACTGATCGTCGTCTTGCACTTTCGGAGACATCGAAAGGCATGACGGCGAATCTAGCACCAAACATGTAAGTTGCAATGAGCAGTTAGGCGACTGGCTGGCGGCTTATGTTTCTTCTCGACGCCCGTAGCCAGGGGCCGTTTCTTATCGGGCTGATTATAAACGTCTTCCTATACGGTGTCACCACGACACAAGTGCACCTGTATTTCTCTAAGCACAATAGGTGTGTGTCTCGTGCAGGAACTACCCAGAGTCACTAGTCAACTTCTGTTCATAGAGATAAGCTGTGGGTGAAGTCACTGTTAGTCTCATTTCTTCCTTCTACGCTATGCGTTCACGCTGGCAAAACCTAGCATAGTGGTGTTGTACTTGGCGGAAACATTCAACTCTGCCATCAGTACTTATTACATCTACGATGTTCTGGTCATTCACTTCGGTGCGTCTTCTTTGACGTTCGGGCATCGTGCTAAATTAGATGACATGTTTGTGGCGAAGGTGACGAGGCGTACCTTCTGAGTGACAACTGGGGTCAGTCTATGATCTTTTTAACAGAAGCTAGATTATCTAACACCCCTGCGCAGCATTCATATCTAGTGCGCGTCTATACCTGATATTCTTATATCTCCCAGCTTAACAAAGATTTTCGCACCTACAGATGCCATCTTGACGGTAGATCTTCCTTCTCCGTACGCTCATTTCACCTCATAACTCGCTACAGGGCGCTATCAGCGGGGTGGTGCAAGATTTTTTCGCAGTGGCGGGTATATATGTTGACCAAGAACGTGTTCGTTGTGGCGGCTATCGTTCTATGTAGCCTGGTCAACCTGGCAGGCTCGGTTGCTGCCACCATCAGTATGGCCACCAGTCCCCGTTTTTCCATGCTGCCAAACATTGAGGCTGAAGTTGCGATATGGCGAGGTACGGCGGTTCTGGCCGACATAATTATCGCCGCTTCGCTTGTATGGCATTTGGTTTGTTATTTCTCATCGCCTCTCGCCCTCTATAACGTTGCGTGCCTAGAGAAGGCGCAAACACCTTTATCCTGCACTTACCAGCACCATCAATCGAATTCTCAGGAGTGAGTGATGCAACATCATACCTACTAATGTTGTACGGACTAGTTGCTGACGTACCATCAATCTAGTGACTGTACAAACTAGGAGTCTTAACGAGCATCGTTGCTATCATAGACTTGGTGTGTTACATGGCCATCGTAGTAAGTTCAATCCCATGTAATCATACGAGTAGTACGCTCACCCCAAGTGGGCTATAGACTTCAGCCACGTGAGCTGTTTCCCCTCTATAATAAGATCTCTCACCCGACACATTTCCTAGCCATCTGATATTCAGTATGGCACTGTCGAAGATATACACAAACTGCATGATATCCACTTTAAACGCTCGTGGAGGATGGAAATATGACGAACCATCAGGGGACGAAGTCAGCCATCGCAGGAGCAGTCATCCTGAGGCGAGTACTTTCAGTCACTGGAACCGCTTTGTCCCCATGTCTTATGTCCCGTGAACAGTCGGTTATGCTCCAGGCGCGGAGTACGCAGCCGGAGGTGCGTGAATTGTACTCTATTGGCCGATTATCCGAGTAGCAACCGTTATAGGTGTTCGTGCAGCTCGAAGCACACCAGATGATCGAGATGGGTGATAAATCCGGGCCATAGGGTATGGAATAATAGTTCTAAACAAGGATAGAGCGGCGAGCAAGACAGCACGGACGTTAACAAAGTATGGGTAATCGTGCTTTGTATTGTACCATTTCTGTGGAATCGTAGATAACAAAGCACCCATGCTAATTTATAGTAAATGCTATAATTGCACTATCTCTACATCCACGGCTGAGAGCTTTAAGGTATCCAGATATGCACACATGCATTACCCAGAAGATACTTGGGATCGAAGGACAGAACACGGAAATATGAACCAGGAAATTGACCCGCATAGATTCCGGTCATATAAAATACATAGTACACTTCTCAGCAGTCGGAAATGTTAATGGGCCGGGGCTCAAGGAAAGATGTCAGTAAAATAAACCTCGAAGGCTTTTGACGAGGGACCCTTCCATCCCACTAGCTATCTTGTAAGTCACAGCAGCCATCCAAAACGGCTTTCAGGTCCACGGCAGCGCCAACAATCTAGCAATCTGTGGGAATCACTACAAAACAATCCATGAATTTCGAGCGTGGCACTCGGATGGGCTGCCACACTCACTATTTCTGTTTGGTCCTCAACAACGCGGTCCCAAAATGAAGCTTAGCCGGAAGTTAGTAGATGGGGGAATGTTGATGACGTCTGACTGACCTTCATACTCAGTCTCGTAAACCACCCCAAGGTCACAGAACATGTGGACGTACGTCCCAGAGAGAATCACGAAAAGCGGGCGTCACAGAAGTTTCATTAAGTGTGTCACTGACCAGTGTGGGTGCGACGAATGCTATCGAGGCACCAGGCGACGCAATAAAAAAGTTCACGACTCGGTTCCGATATTCCTTCCATAGTTGCAAACTTGTGTTGGGGATGAGGCACGAGCTGACTACATGTGGCATCCCAGTCAACTAAGTAGGAGGTGCTTGTCGGAGGACAACTACAGAGAGACAATACAAAACATACCTCAAGATTGTTGCGGTGAAAGAACGGGAGCCAGGACGGTATGGTCCCTAGCCTGAAGTGCTTCCAACGGACGTTGCGAAGTCGGAAATGTCTTGCATGGACGCCATTACCTGTCCTGAGGTCAAATTTGGGTTGATCATCACATTTCCCGTTAGTGGCTATGTGCGTGGGTGGTGTCCTCAATGAGCCGCTGATATAACGTTACTGTCAAGCCCTTCAGAGGTCCATCTCACTGCGTTGTTCGCCACGATGCCGTACAGTTGGCGCAAAGCCTATGGCGTAAAACCAACGTCAAAGCAAACCTGAAGTCCAAATTAATACGCTGTGGTTGCGCGTACAGAATGCAAACTTACACTTACAAAGTAGATTTGTTTTCCACTCTGCTCGTAGCCTCAAGAATCACCCCAAAAGTTCCGCCTCCACCACCACGCAATGCCCAAATAAATCAGTGTTCTGACATCGATTAGCTATCCGAAGTTTACCATCTGGCGTCACGACCCTAAATTGCACCTGGTAGGACGAGTATTATTCAGTACATTGGTTAGAGGCTGTCTAAATTCAATACATACAACGCGATCGACAACTAGGCCGTGTGTTGGCGTGAAAGGGCTGTGACCACCTCCCTAAAATGAACAACAATCCTCCTCCAAGAATCGAGGTCAAATGCCAGTTACCAATAGCCACTCGCCGTGCCACGCTACGGATTATGCCACACTAGCACTATCACATTATGCTTGTCTGCGAATAGATACTCATCAATGATTGCGGTTCCAGTCTGTCATCTTCAATGAGCGCTTGGCGGAAAGGGTCTGAACGGGCAATGTACTCCAGAAGTAATGGCATGGTGTGAGATACCTTGCGGGCAACCCTCTGGGACGAACGCCTTCCGAATAAACTGACTCAACCAGATGGCCGTAACCCGGTATTCCAACTCACGTCAATGGAATTTCACTTACGGATGCCAAGTTGTGCATTTGTGAATGCTGAGCGGGTTTCGCACGTCAGAGACCATGGCACGTACACAAAGTGCTAAGCATGTAAAGTCACTCGTACCGCCGCAAACTTACCCATTTCGAAGCTTGGGAGACCTACCCCCTTTCCCTAATTATGAGGACTCTTCTGGCGTCAGTTCGATGCCTAGAACTGGGACATACGGAAACAGTATTGGCTATTCGGTTGGCGCTAGAAGACCCTGCTGATCAAGCCACGCATGATAAAGCAAGTGACGATGATAGTGATGCAGCATAGCCCACGAAATCTGCCACTGATTACGGAGACTTACCTATCGTTTCCTGCGGGTTGCTCTTTCGAAAAATGGTCGATGACTGGGGGAGGTGCGGTTCGTACACAGCGTTTACACTGGGATGTGTGAGAGTTTTGAAATACGTCAACCTCATGGAATACAGACGTGGAGGATCGAATTGCGAAATTTGAAGCTTTGGAACAAGTCACTTTGCACAGCCACTTCCTAAGTGCTCTAAGTTATGCCCAGTGCGCCAGGCACATGGTTCTCCATCATTCAAGGTGCGTTTACAAGACGTTCAATGTGGTTGCAAGTATCGGAAAATGTAGTCCCAACCCGAGTACTTTCTAGAGAACCCGACGATCAGGACGATGTGGATGCCTCCGAACCATTCTCCGCCTAGCCAGCGTTTGGTTGACAATGTCTCTGAGCAACTCTGTCTCATCGATGGCCTTTTTCGGTGCCTCTCCTTTAACGATGGACAGGAGTGCATCATTGGAAACGATATATACCCGTCTGTTCGGTAAGTTCGCGCCTTCAAGGTTGGACTTGACGTTCTTCCGGGTTTCACCGATAAAATGCTGTCGTGCCTCGCTGTAGAGCCTGTCGCGCAATCCAGCATTACCATGTTTATCGTCACTATCGTACCCCATCTCCTTCATAACGTTCCTGATGTGTTGGTCTGCCTTAGACCGCACGATGTAAGCAGGAATATCGAATCGTGCACAGTTGCTCAGAATAGCAACATCTGTCATCGTGAAGCGGTTATCGAACAAGACAATGATGCAATCGAAGACGTAGAGGCCTTGGGCATTGAAATACTGCCAGTCGGGAATTTGGAGTGTGCCTGCACCAGGGATGTCATACCAAACGAGCGAGTGTTGAGGATTGGGATCTGGGTATCTGCAAAGCACGTGGGTCGTCTCAGTGACACCGACAGTCGCGGCGCCGGCTTCCCTGCTGCGTAAACCACGAAACGCGTTGATCAGGGAAGACTTGCCGCCCCCTGAGACACCAGCGACAGCGAAATGGAGGAGTCCCTCTTTGTACTGGATTCGCCTTTTCGCAGCCGCCAGCTCTGCCACACTCGGTGTGACAATGGGTTGACTACCCTCTTTCCACCGTTCCTCTATCTCCTCCTTTGTAGATATAGCCTGCTTCACCTTCTCCTTGGCTGTCTGGACTGCCTTTTGTGCCTTGGTGCGAGCAGTATTCGCCTTACGACGCTCTTCTTTGGCTATCGTTTTCGCTCTCTTTGCTTCTTCTTTCGCAGCCTCTTCTGCTCTTCTTGCTCGCTCTTGCATTTTTCCGGCTCGCTCCCGTTCTCGTGCCGCCTGCTCAGCGAGCCTCATGTCATCTGCTCGTCCTGCTTGTGTAGCGGTCTCAGCCTCTACTCTTGCCCTCATTGCTGCTCGCTCTGCCTTCAGCATCTCCATCATCATTTTGTGCGCCTCTTCACGTGCCCTACTTGAACCTTCATTCACCTCTTCTAAACGCTCCATTGTATGTTGGTACTCCTCCCGTGCTTCTTGGCGGACACGCTCCGCCAGTTCTTTGGCTTCCTGGGCTCTTTGCTGTGCCTCCCGTATGGCAGCCTCGTCTTGCGGTCGGTTCATTATCACTTGTATGGTCGGATTGGGGCCCGGGCTTCGAAATGCGGACGCTATTGTAGCAGTTGAAGCCGCCAGTGCTGGCAGCGTTGACACGGCAGCACCCATCGCTCTGGCTTTGTCGCCCAAGGTGTGAAGAGTATGCTGAGTGGGAAAGTATTGGGGCGTACGTCAAGTTACGAGTCCAATGTGCAGCGTTCCAGTGGTTGCGTGAAGTTGCTTAGGACGAGTGGGCAGGCGACCTTCGTCTTGTATCGGGCTTCTTAGGGCAAGGGTTGTACAGCCCTCTCCCTGTGGGCAGGGAATCTCGACACATGTAACGGCAAACGCTCATTAGGTTGAACCATGAGGCTATCTCGTGACATTCCACATTCCTATCAAGTACTGTCTTGTCGCCATTCGTGGTTTGCCTAGATAAGCCGTTCGACGTTTGCGAACTCCTCGAATTACGATAACAGCCTGGAATAGAATTGGTGCATCGTTTCTGACTGTTAAACCGAAGCTTTGGACGTTTGAGTATTTGGGAAGACATGAGAAGGGCTATTTTCGCCTACTGATCTGCTTTTTGCCAGTTTTCAAGGAGTGCAAGACGCCTAAGGTAATTGCGTTCCTTCTAAGTGACCCCCAAAGATGGGATTTAGTCGGGGGAACGAATGTTCATCCTCAATCCATGCATGCCAACCGTGACTATATTTCATACAGGAAGTGCACAACCAGCTGATAGTACAACGTAATCATACCAATACTTTCGACAGGGCCCAAATTCACTGATGAAGAGTGCTTTCCGGCACCCAAGGAATGACACTTTTCGCATAAAACGAGCCAAATTTACATCATCTTCATGCCGAGGTTCACGTGGACTGCCTTGACTTCGGTGTAGCTGCAGAAACGTTATCAGATACCAGGTAGGATCAAAGGAGAGGATAACCGTACTGATTCAATGCATATTCTCCCATCTCCCGCCCAACCCCACTCTGCTTGAACCCACCGAATGGGACGTTCGGGCTCATTATGCTGTAGCAATTCACCCAGACCGACCCTGCCTTGAGCTTATGTGCCGTCGTGATCGCCCGATTCACGTCCTTGGTGAACACCGCGGCGGCGAGTCCATACACTGTATCATTTGCCTGACGCACAACGTCTTCTTCGTCCTTGAACTTGATCACAATACTGACAGGTCCGAAGATTTCCTCTTTCACAATGCGCATATCCGGCTTGGTGTCGAGGAATATTGTTGGCTGGATGAAATAACCTTCGCTACCGTGGCGTTCGCCGCCGATGTGGATCTTGGCACCGTCCTTCTTTCCAGAGTCGATGTATCCCATAATGCGCTACGTAACATGCACCATGTCAGTGCGTAGAAAATCCCAAAGAATTAAGTGTGAAATCTCACATCGTACTGAATCTTGGAGATCTGCGGTCCCTGGAAGGTGTCAGGAGCAAAGGGGTCTCCAATCTTAATTGAACGTGATTTTTCCGTGAAACGTTTCAAGAACTCGTCGTAGATTCCTTCCTGTACAAATATACGCGAGCCCGCAATGCAGCACTGACCCTGGTTGAAACTGTTGGAAATCAGCACCCATCACATCAACAGAAGAAATCAAAGAGACATACAAAACGCCAAACATAGACCAGTTGACAGCCTCTTCAAGATTTGCGTCGTTGAAGATGATATTCGGACTCTTCCCACCAAGCTCGAGGGTAACATTCTTCAAATTACTCTTGGCGGCAGCCTCCATGATTTTGCGCCCAACGACAGTGCTTCCTGTGAATGCGACCTTGAGAATCCGCATATGTGACGAGATTGCACTGCCGACAGTGTTGCCATATCCGGTGACGACGTTCAACACGCCAGGTGGGAAGCCGGCCTCTTTTGCAAGGTGACACATACGTATCGCAGTCAGTGGTGTGAATTCAGACGGCTTCAGGACGACGGTGTTGCCTGTCGCAAAGGCGGGTGCGATCTTCCATGCAAACATGACGACTGAGTTGAAGGTAAACTCTTGACAGACACTGTCATAGATGGCTCAACGCACGAGGGAAATTCCAAGGGATAATTTGGCCCTGTACGCAAACTTAGACGAAAAGAGAACTAATGTGCACGGTGCTTACAATGACTCCGATGGGTTCATGACGGGTGTAGGTAAATCTTTCCTCTGTCGTCTGGAGGATGTTTCTGAGACGATACGTCTCGTGTTGGATGATGAAAATGATACCTCAATCACTCGGCCAGATATCTTATCAGCCAAGCCAGCGAAGTAGCGGATGCAATCGATGGCACCGATGACGTCTGCGCCTACGCGCGATGTTGAAAGCCTTGCCTACGTTGGAAGGTAATGTCACCAACAGGAGGCCACGGATATCGACAACGTGCATGACATGAAACACACACCATTGTCCAATGCCTCAAGGGCACCAAGCTCATCGATGTGCTCCTCCATGAGCGACGCTAGTTTATTAAGAAGAATTCCCCTCTTGTTACCGGGGTAGTTAAGACCCCACGTAGTCTCGAAAGCTTTCTCAGCGGCGTCGACTGCAAGGTCGACGTCTTTTGGGGTTCCTTCAGAAATCGATGTGATCACTTTGCCATCGGCTGGTCAAAAAAAACGAAAATGACGGGCAGTGATGATGCCGGTGAGGGTGTATCGAGGTGAGTGTATTGAATCACCAGAACATGCGGACGAAACGTACTCGGGTTTATCACGCTACCGATTCACATGTGGCGGTAAGAGGTCAGCACGATGAAAGCAAACACAGTAAACAGTACATACTCGATGGTAGTACCGTCTGACCCATCGACGAATTCACCGTTGATGAAGAGGCCAGTGTTGAAGGATACCTTACCCTTGTAGGTAGGGGTGTTAAACTCGTGAGTGAAGATGTTAGGCATGGGTCTGCTGTGTGCTGAGACCCGAAAGCAAACACCGTAGATATATGTGGGGATTTAGCTGTGCCGACCGTGGAACTGATGGGTCCCCTGTGCGTAATGCTGGTGTGATCGGGAGGCCATTAGGCTGTGTTATGATAGAGTCTTGTCCCAGTCAAGGTATGGAGACTACGTCAGCTTCAGTGCGGCGGTGGGCGCAACAACTCGGGGAAATAAAGGTCGCCGACGTTGCACCACAGAGTCATTTTCATCACTCCGTTATTACGTTGCTCGTGTTGAGTAAGTCGAGTTGGGCACTAATAAATAAAGAGGTTGAGCTGGCCAGCTCCTTGAAGGAGCGTTGTGATTTCTTCCATGAGAATGCAGTAGGCAAGTTCCATCACAAGATGCGAGATGCGGGTGGGCTGAGCGCTTCAGTGCGGGTTGCCTGATAAGGGTATCGTAGTTCGACATCTCGGTTCTCTCCCGTCGGAAGTGGACGCCATCATGACCCCTGATATGCCTGATGGCCTGCTCCATTTGTAATCCTTGCATTAGTAAGTACTTTTCCGTTGGTTGCTAGGGCACTACCGCTACGCTCTCACCACCCGCCGATTTCCTAACTACAAATGCAAATCGATGGGTGCTGAGTAACACCCCCAACATCGGAGATGAACGTTTCGCAGCTGTCAAGTTGTGCATTTTTGCTCACTTCTGAGGTGACCCGACGGAACAAATCGTTTCAAGATACCAGAGACGCACCTTTTGCCTGGTGACGAGGAATATGAACTTGTTCTCGGGGGACTTACAATCTCTGATTTCGGTCAACCTTTGCGCACTTTACAAAGGTTGAAAAGTATATTCGCTCCACAACCATCTTCACCTTACACTCGGCACGTATTGATCGAAATTCGAGCGCAGTGAGCATGATGATTGTGACCATTCATTACTAGTATATAGATGTTACAACGCCACCTGTGGGTCCGTCTACCTCCGGATTTCGTAGCGCAGATCCGACCACTCATTCTGAACGCCGAAGCCGAAAATTGCGAATAGGTCGAAAGATAAAGATAGAACCAAGGAGACCCGCACAGATCTCGTGGATACGGCCGCTGATCGCTAGTCGGGACTATACAAAGTCTCGTTCAATGGTGTTGAGGAACTCAATGAGACATCGATGGGATGGAAGAGAACTGTCGAAGTTCTTGGTTATTCCGTACCTCATCCAACACATATCAATAATTGGAGGCTGTCTTGGATAATGTTCTGTTTTCTACGGTGGCACGTGTTGTCAGTCATGTAAGCATTGCATCGGCGTAAATGTCACCGCGATTGTAGCGACTTTGAACGACTGATCACAGAATTACAGGGGATGCGAAAGAACTCTTCTACCGCTGACGGAGACACGATTCAAAACGCATGCGAAGCATTCCTTAAAGAAGCCTCCAACCACCGCTTGCCTGTCATCATTTCACGAACGGCAGGATGATACAAGCAGGGCCATACCTTGCAGTCGCCCTCACAATTACATGGATCGTATTCTTGTAGATTTGTTACATTCGGTCTTTGATCGGCTTTTCGAGGACCGCAAGAAATCTTCATGGAACTGCGGATGCTATGTCAGCTTTGCACCTGACCGAGTCCACATGGATCGATAAGCTGTCCTGGAAACCTTGAAAAGTCACTTTACCAACTTCAAAACCAAAGGCATTGGATATGAAACGGGTGAGAACAAGTCTGTGAATGGTTATCGTTACGCTATCGCAGAATTTAAGAACGAAGCTGAGGAGAGCCATATTTTCAGTCTATAGGCTACTGCCTGGAGTCGTCGAGAAGGAAAGTGCCCGCAGTGACAAGTTCTCCACTGCCACGTTTTCCTCTAATGCCTTTCCGGTTTGTTTCTCTGCGCCAAACATTGGTCGCTGCAGGTCTCTACATTGTCTTTGTTGGTGTCACATGGAATCTCCGTCCAACAGTACAATTGCTTGTCGATTCCCATTGCATTTACATACCGTTCATTCGACCGACACCGACAATCTAACTGTCTTGGTGTCTTGGTACGTCAAATGGCCACGTTCTGCAAGGCTATGCAATCCAGGCCTGCATACTCTGACTAGATTTCATACAGTGGGTACACAAAATAGCTGATAGTACAACGTAACAATACCAACACTTTCGGCAGGGTCCAAATTCACGATCGAAAAGTTCTTACTAGAACCCAAGACATGATGCCTAAACTTTTCACAATCAAGGAGCGAAGTTTACATCATCTTCATTCCGAGGTTCACGTGGATGGCCTTGACTTCGGTGTAGCTGCGGCAAATCATCAGCAAGTGCACAGGTGGGAGTAGGAGAAGAGAGCGAACTTATTCAAGGCATATTCTCCCATCTCCCGCCCAATCCCACTCTGCTTGAAACCACCGAATGGGACGTTCGGGCTCGTCACGCCGTAAAAATTCGCCCAGAGCGTTCCTGCCTTGATCTTATGTGCCGTTGTGATCGCCCGATTCACGTCCTTGGTGAACACTGCCGCGGCGAGACCATACAGCGTATCATTTGCTTGACGCACAACGTCTTCTTCGTCCTTGAACTTGATCACAACACTGACAGGTCCGAAGATTTCCTCTTTCACAATGCGCATATCCGGCTTGGTGTCGAGGAATATAGTTGGCTGGATGAAATAGCCTTCGCTGCCATGGCGTTCTCCGCCGATGTGGATCTTGGCGCCCTCCTTCTTTCCGGAGTGGATATATCCCATGATGCGCTACGCAACGCATATCACGTCAGTGCACAGAAAATCCTTGAAAAATAATTCTTACGTCGTACTGAATTTTGGAGACTTGCGGTCCCTGGAAAGTGTCTGGAGCAAAGGGGTCCCCAACCTTAATTGAACGTGATTTTTCCGTGAAACGTTTCAAGAACTCGTCATAGATTCCTTCTTGCACAAATATACGCGAGCCCGCAAGACAGGATTGACCATGATTGTAACTGTCGGAAATCAATATCCATCATCAACACCACAAATCAAAGAGACCTACAATATGCCAAGCATAGACCAGCTGACAGCCTCTTCAAGATTTGCGTCGTTAAAAATGATATTCGGACTCTTCCCACCAAGCTCGAGGGTAACATTCTTCAAATTACTCTTGGCGGCAGCCTCCATGATTTTGCGCCCGACGATAGTGCTCCCTGTGAATGCGACCTTGTGGATCCGCATATGGGACGAGATAGCACTGCCGACAGTGTTGCCATATCCGGTGACGACGTTCAAAACACCAGGTGGAAATCCGGCCTCTTTTGCAAGGTGGCACATACGTATCGCCGTCAGTGGTGTGAATTCAGACGGCTTCAGGACGACGGTGTTGCCTGTCGCAAGGGCAGGTGCGATCTTCCATGCAAACATGAGAACTGAATAAAAGTAAATTCTTGACAGATACAACCGTAAATGCGTCAACGCACGAGGGAAGTTCCAAGGGATAATTTGGCCCTGTACAGCAGTTTAGACGGAAACAGGGTTAATATGCGCAGCGCTTACAACGACTCCGATGGGCTCATGACGAGTATAGGTGAATCTTTCCTCGATTGTCTGGGGAATGTTTCAGAAACGGTACGTTGTGTGTTGAACGATGGACGTGGTACCTCAATTGCTCGACCAGATATCTTATCAGCCCAGCCGGCAAAGTAGCGGACGCAACTGATGGCACTAGCGACGTCTCTGCTACGCGCGATGTTGAAAGCCTTACCTACGTTGGAAGGTAAATGCCACGAATGGGGGCGATGGATCGGCTGCGTAACATGTTCTACACACCATTGCCCAGAGCCTCAAGGGCAGCAAGTTCATCAGTGTGCTCCTCCATGAGCGAAGCGAGCTTATTAAGGAGAAGTCCCCTCTTGTTACCAGGGTAGTTGAGACCCCACGTAGTCTCGAAGGCCTTTTCACCGGCTTCGACTGCGAGATCGACGTCTTTTGGAGTTCCCTCTGAAACAGAGGTGATCACTTTTCCATTTGCTAGTCAGAGAACAGACGACCGGCAGTGATGACGCCAGTGAGGGTGGATCCGAATGAGTGCATCAAATCGCTATGACCGGGAATGGGACGCACTCGGGTTCACCACGCTGTTGATTCACACGAGGCGGTAGGCGGTAAGATCTAAGACGTCAGTGCAATGAAACCAAACACAGTACATACTCGATGGTAGTTCCGTCTGACCCATCGACGAACTCGCCATTGATGAAGAGGCCAGTGCTGAAGGATACCTCACCCTCATAGACGGGAGTGTTAAATACATGATTAAAGATAGTAGGCATGGGTGTGTTGGGAGACTAGGATAGAAAGCAGCGTATATATATACGTGGGGTTTCAACTGTGCTGACTGTGAAGCTGGCAGCTGGGAGTACTCCTGTGTGCAAGACTGGTGTGATCGGGCGTTGTTAGGCTGTGTTATGATAGAGTCAGCTGTTTCAGACGTGGCCTCGAGACTTAAGTTTGATAGACGCAAGCCGTACGCAGCAACCCGGGGACTTAAAGATTTCCGTTAATCAATTATCGTAATCAATCTTCGTAGAAAACTTGAAGGCCACATTCCGGCTATCATAGTGACCCTGAGAGCGTTAGACATAATATACGCACAACTGCTGAAGTGATTCTCACCATGAGCTGAGGAGGCAGCCGGAATGTCATCCACAAAGAGTCAGTGAATGTGGGTGCTAGACTGCCGGCGGTATTTTGGCTACACGCAAGTTGTGGAAGCTCTTCAATCGTGTTGGCAGCTGCAAAGCAACCGAACCAAGGCAGGACATGCATATACATATGCACCACAAGCTACCTCCCGTCCTTCAGACTTTCACGTGGCGCTGCCATCCTAGTGTAAGCTTTCTAGTATTACTGCGCGAGTAGCACACTGTCCCGTCTTGAAGAGTTACATACTTCAACGGTTAGTAGAAAGTCAGATTGATGTTCTTGGAGTCTCCCAGGTCTCTCGGAAGTACACACCCACGGAGAAATCATCATCCATGTTAGTTATGGCATTGACCTAAGAGCGGAGTTTTCTGCAGAGAGGATGACAGAACAATCTTGCGAGTGTACGAAAGCAGGATAGGACTATGTGAGCAAACTGATAGCTTGCGTTTACGACTGGGTGAGAGCAGAGGAAGAATGTGAGAATACGCAGCTCTCCTTACCGAAGAACGGAGTTCTTGTTATAGTGTGATGTCTACTCTCTATATGGATATTCTAACTTCGGTTGGTCCTTGCGCCTCCAAAGCCTCTTCCTATTTCGTGGGGTGAATAGAGGGAAAGAGAATGACACGATGTGCTCACTTCTTCTTAGTAGTGATGTGCTCGCCCCACACTTCTACGCAATACTTCTCCTTGAACTCGCGTACGAAACGAGGGTCCCTTTTAAAACAGAGTCAGAAATACACAGTAACAGCAGGTTCCGCAAACATGTGACGCACCACAGCTCACTAGCCACGCCAAGGTCTTTACAACATCGCATGAGGGCATTGCTTTTGCACGCTTCTGTAGCAGTAGGAATGCCAGAAGGGTCGAAATACTCTTGTTCACCTCTGGCTATCGCCACCAACCTGGATTCACAAATATCAGGGAGATGGACATGAAAAAAGAGCCGATGTTCACCTTCCCATGCAAACAAGGGCATATTCCCTACTGACGACTCTTGGACCAACATTGGTTTCGGTTCTGGGAGCTAGTCCCCAACCTCCGGGACCGAATGCTTTGTTTAGTATACGACGGTACTTAATCTCCGGAAGATAAATCAAGCCGTCTGGAAGCGAAATCTCGTTGACTTTCATTATGGCTAGCACAGTAGACATGATGACACACCAGGTTTTATTTCGATGTCCCTTTCATCAATCGGGGCAAGTAGGACATCTGCAATGTCTTTGGAGTATGCCTGACTGGATAACCCATAGTAGCTCCGTGACCAGTCTGTCGCGAGAGGATCATTTCCTGGCTGTAGTTCCCCGACGAAGGCTGCCTGAGGCGTCGCGAAGGACGCGGTGGAAGCTGAAGTCACGGCCTCCGGAAGTCCCTCGACACCAGGCTCGTAGGATTCAGGTACACCCGATATGCTCTGCAACAGGTCGGTTTCCTTGGAGTTATTCGCATCCTTGGCCGCAGTGCTCGCAGATGCCTTAGTTACACCAGACGTTTTCTTTGTCGCGACCGTGCGTGGAGTGCTGGCTCGCGCCGGCAGTTGTGTATGTTCTCCATGAGGTGGTAAATGACGCTCCTTGAGCACGACGCGCTGCTAAGCGGCCTGCACGGGCGAAGAAAGACATTTGAAACGGTCAACAAGTTCAGAGTTCGGGGGAATCCCTCCTATGTAGGTGATCGACGTGCACGTGACCTTGCTGCAACTTGTGCTTCAAGTTGGACAACTGAATCATATTGACCGTACTCGTTCATGAGGCCACCTTGAAGCATTGTTAATTATCGTGGAACCAACCGATTGCAGGTGATGAGTACTCCTACATCTAGCCATGGTAGCGGGCTACCGCGTCCTCACTCACGGGCGCAACCTCGACCCTCGTCAAGTTCATCTCATGCTAGACCCTTATCAAGTTTGTCTACAGCAAGACCGTTGTCCAGTGCTTCGCTGAGGCCACAGTCACGCCTGTCGCGTCCAAGTTCCAGAATCTCTCGTCCAGTAACACGACACACTGCTAGACTCCTTCCTCTTTGCCAATGCCTCGTCACGCACATCACTCGTCTGTCCCCAGATAACGATCCAGAGAACTATCATATTGCGGTTGATTTCGCCTTGAAGAATCTGGAACATGCCCTCAAAGGTGGTGCAAGTACGGACATGACCACTGTGGATAAGCGTTTCAGAGGGTAGTGTCAACTCTCCCTACATCGTTTTCATTCTTTATGCAAGATCTTTACGTCGCCAATCTCAGGCATGTCCAAAAAGCTCGCATTAATAACCAGGACACCCTAGCAAATGCTCTCGAGAAAGCCTACACTAGGGTTAAAGGGCACGCAAAAGACCTAATCGATATCGACGAGGAGATTAAAGTGACTGCGTTATTTTAGTAGCCGCACCCGTCATGTTAACGATGTCATTATTCAGCTCTCTCACCTTCCTGACCACCTGCAATTGCTCGTAAGTCGAATTCGATTACTTACTCTTGCACGCAGATATGAATTTGTTACAGCTCCTCTTGTCTGCGATACCGAGTCGGTCTACATTGGCTTTTGCGGACACTTATGACGATAGAGATTCGCCTGAGAAAGAGCCTCCTCTAACGTGGAAGGGCATCCTCGCAGAGGAGCCACTCGAAGGCCAGCACTGGGAAGGCGTGTACGGTCTCCCCCCAGGGAGCACAATCGAAGGATGGGAGACCAAGGGCACCGACAGTGACTCGTCACTTTCTACATGGGATGATTTAGACTCGCTAGGCAATGATGATGGTGACGAAGACATATGGAATCGTCCATCGGAAGACCCGCCTTCTCAGGGTGTACACACGCCAGATACGAGTCAGAGGACTGTCCCTAGTCATGTTCCAACGTACTTGACAGCGGTAGAGGAACTCAAGGCTCAGCAATATTGGAGAGATGACTGGCATATTGGGGTAGATGTAAACCGGCCATTTGATCTAGGAGACCCATCTACTCTCGGTATACATTTTCTTTACACCTGACATTCTTGCTAACTCTTTATGGCAGGTCCCACGATGCTTCGTGTACGTGGGGAGAAGGAACCACTCTCACTTTCTGGTCCCGAACGCGAGGTATGTATCGGTTTCCCTGAATAATAATAACGGGTGAGCGTAATGATGACTATTGGGGCAGAAACACATCTTCGAACGAGATGCAGTGCGAGAAGTGTTGATGTGTCTTCAGGGACGGAAGAACTTCTTAATCTACACAACAACGGACACTTTCCGCTCCGTTGTACGTGAACCGACTTCGAGACCTCGGCGCAGACAGTCTGATATTTTCAATAGCCTTCTCCAACTGCCCCACGCCTCTTACATTTTACCCTGACAGCTCAGTCATCGATTCTTTCCGCACTTGCGGAGGTTACGACGACCGTATGCCACCTGCGCAAGTTTGCAGCCGCAATTGTGGAAAACGTGTCATCATCGTATAACCTGTCCCCAAATCCAGCTCATTTGCTGTCCCACAGCATCAGATCACGCACCATCGAGGCGTTTGCAGACGCAGTCAACGCGCAAATACAACGGTTCGATAGCTGGTGCGCCGCGAAGGAAGAGGCAATCTGTCTTGCATCAGTCGGGGTAGGCGAACCACTCGTCGTGAGTTTACTCAGCCTTTCCAAGGACGTCCGTGACACATTCGCTGGGACATTCGATGTGCTGCTGAACTTGCTCCACCGCTTTGTTGGTTATGTCTCGCAATCCCATGATAGGCGCGACCTTGCGGTTTGGAAGATTCCGAATATGCCGACGCGGATCCCGCCTTCAGCTGTATCTGCACTCCTCCTCGATCTCCTTCTGGAAGCAGTTGAAGAGCAGGCAGCATTAGGAAACACCCAGACCTCCGATGCTCTCATATCTGTTCTTGCGAGGACTACAGAGCCCACGTGGGAGATGGTAGGGAAATGGTTGTTAGATGGAATGCCTTCCAGAAGGCCCTGGGACTCTACAGATGCACCGAGTCTTGATGAAGAATTCTTCATTGAGGATAATGAACTTCAGATCATGGACCCCGACTTTTGGTCGGACGGCTATGTCCTACGAGTACTTGTCACGCTCGAGGAAAATCAGAAAACGCAGTCTGCAGTTCCGGCGTTTTTAGAGCCTGCCGTTATCCAGATTTTGGGCGCCGGGAAGGCGGTGGGTCTCCTTCGTGAGATGGGGACCCGGGTCTTTACCGAACACTCGGATAGGGAGTTGCTAAACTTGGGGACATTCAGGGCTCTCATAGACACCAATTCTGCCGTTTCCAAGGATTCTGAGGCGTTGTCTCGCCTGATTTCAGAGGAGATTTCGGCTTATTGCTTGACCGTTGCTATGAGACTTTCCTGTGTAATGACGGAGGAGTGCGACCTTCAGCGACATCTCTCAGCTATTCATGGGCTATTCCTGACGACCAGGGGCGATGATATCAACACCTTCACCGATATCCTGTTTGCAAAGGTTTGAACTTCCGCTACCTTCGAACTTTCAGTTCAGACCTGACAGTCCGCAGATGGATGCCCAAAAACATTGGACTGATTTCCATTCGCTGAACAGCGCCTTCAGTGATGTCGTTGAGCTGAATGAATCGAACTGGATCGACGCGTCTCTCGTGCGATTGTCCTACAGAGGTAACAAGGCTGCCTCCGCATCACAAACCGTGAAAGCGATCGATGGCTTACTGGTCGAATATGCTGTTCCGTTCCCGTTGACGTATATCTTCACTCCGAACGTGCTACAGAGTTATTGTTCGATCTTCGTTTTTCTTCTCCAAATTCGGAGAGCGAAGAGCGTCCTGGAACAGATACTGCTAAGGAATTCAGTCGCGAACGCGGCATTGAGAAGTGAACTCAAGGTTTTCTATGCTATGCGTGGGAAGTTGTCGTGGTTCATAAAGTACGTGCCTGTGCCTTCAAACATCTCGGCAGTCCTGATAGTAACTGTCTAATGTTAATACAGTACCATTTTTAATTTTGTGACAACTTTTGTACCGCTTTCGATCATGCCTACGGGGAGCGATTGCTCACCTTGATACACAGGTTATCCACTCACAATTGATCAAGTTTTGGGAAGCTGTTAATCAGGCCAAATCGCTGGACGAGTTGATTACAATTCACAATGACCAGTGAGATCTTCATTCTCCTATACCTGCACGCCACTAAGTGATTTCATCCCAGCCTCGACATGCTTCTCCGCGAATGTTTTCTCCACTCTAGCGTACGTATCTTGTTCACTGATTTATGGGAAGGCACTTCATAGGTCACCGTCACAGACTACGGAAATATCAAAAGCTATAGTCTCTATACTGGATATGTGTCTGCACTTCAGAAACATGTTTACAGCATATGTCGGCGATACCGCGCATGATATATTGCGCCTCTCTGTCAGCTTGCGACGCCACAAGAGTCGCCGACAAAGACGCATTCGCAAGAACGTCATTGGCTTTTCTCAGCCGGGCGCGAGATTCGACTCTGATGACGACTCATCCGATACGGACCTTGACGAGGAAGGGCTCAAAGAAGCACCCGAGACTTCCTTCTCGATAGCTCCCTCGCTCGCACAAGAGGATCCGTCAGAACAGTTGGAGAAGCTGTCGTCGGAATTGGATAGCCTTGTGCGGTACATTAGAAGGTGTACGGAGAACCTATCGAGCGGCACGTCGGACGCCGCTCAGGCTTCTGGAATATTGGCGTTCACACTGGATGATTGGGACTCGTAGGATCACGTCGAAGTTTGGAGAGTACTGCCACACGACCTTCTGAAGAAGGTTTCGATCTTAATACGAGTACACTTGAATGCCAAGTTGTCGACCAGGGGCTGCGTCCGTCTTTGAAATGTTTGTTGGGTGACCGTTTGCCGGTGAGATCACTAGTCAATTCTTTTCAGCTTGCGAAGACATGATGGATTTCAAACGTTCTATTGTGTATCGCTCGGGTGTACGTGCAGTTCGTAATTAAATCCTCCCCGCGGAGTGTTGATGTACTGTAGCGATGATTAAAGGAGGACCGATGCTCAGTCGATATCATAAAACTACATATCAGAAACATGGACATGCCTAGCGTATTCTCGAGTATGGAACTATAGTTGGTACGCCGCGAGCAACCTTCTACGATGCAGCATATAGGTACAAAAATCCAACAACGTCAATTTGTTTCCTTCACAAACCCATTACAGCTTCAGCACCACGATGATCGACCCGCCGGTTGATACCTCCCAGTAGTATCTTGATCAGCATGTCAGACGTTAATTTCGTATTCATATACGGAGTGGTGTCTACAATGTCCTGGAGTCCGTCCTGTTCAACCATTGTACCTGAACGCGTCGCGAAAAAACTTACTCTGATGTTGTAATGACCACTTAAGGTATCGTCAAGTTCTCTCAGATATGCTGTTGCCTTTCTTGAATTGCCAATTTGAACGAATTGTATACCAACCTAATATTGAGGGCATCGGCAAAGGTGTCTGGGTCAACATTGAAAGCTGCTCACTTGAGTAAGCGGGAAGTGCTTTGCGTCCAGACGGCGAGCCGCGGCAATGATAACGCTTGCCGGATCATCCGCTGCCACATCGGAGGAATTTAGTAAGGCTCGGAAGCAGAAAAACGGGGGAAGACGAACTCGGACAGCCGTCGGTAATGACGATGAAATTCACGGGTTTAATCTGCTTCAACGCAGAAGAATCTCCCTTCTCGTACCGGCGTTGGGCTTTTTCCAGGTCCCGCAGGTAATCCGACAGCAGACCCTCGAGCCGTTCACCGATAGGTGTGTACCCTTCTGGCTTCCACTTGCCTGAACAACGCTTCGACCCGGTAGGCGTCCTGTCAATCACATGAGTCACATTTTAGTAACTCTTAACGCAGGAGTCCGGTTACCTTAATGCCCAGTGCTGACTCAGTGTAGTTCAAAAAGTGAATATCGAGGCCATTGCTATCGTAGTCTGCGGCAATGCTAGCCAATCCAGCCTAGTGCCTCCTTTGCCTGTAACATTACATTAAAAACATGATGTCAGTAATTCACCTTCTGTTTCCACGTGTTTCTGCCATGAGTGATAAATGCGGCACTAACCTCTTCCCACAGAGCACCCCGCATGGATCCTGAGTCGTCCACAATAAGAACCGTGTCATATTTTCGTAGCGTCTCGAGGGCATTTTCCCTAGACTCCTGACGTAATGGTTTCGCAAGGTTACTCGGACTTCTATCTCTACGCCGACTGCGAGAGGCGCTGGAAACGGGAGATGGAGGGACCATTGAGAGACGCGTGTGATGGGACCCGGGGGGTAGTTCCCCAAACATAGATGAAGTAGACGAAGGTGCGGCCGGCGAGTGAGGCAACGTGCCAGCTGCATTCAATGCTTCGCTCGCAGAGTAGGGGGGTGGTACATCCCCTGGGGCTACAACTCGCTGAAGGGGTTCTTGGTACGTTCCCTTCGCGACATCACTATCAATGTCACCATGATAGGGTGTCCTCCTTGATGACCGTCTTGAGCATGAAGATGCACTGCTACCCATGGTCGTCACTTAACCAAATGGTTAGAAAGACGATTCCGTGACTTGTCTCGGGAACTCACCGTGGATTGAGTAAAAATTTGTGGATGAGACCGGAGGTTCGAAGTCAGGGAGACAATTTATAAAGGCGTACGTGTGGGGGGCGTTCGGCGTTGGAGCATGAACTTACTTAATGGAGCCCCTTCTTATACCCATTATCCACTGCCCTCCAACAATAGCAGTATAGTGCGAGTCGGACTCGGAAATCGTTTATCAAGGCGGTCCTCCAGTGCAGTCCCCTAGTCGACTGTCATCCAAAGCGGGAGGTCCGGGAAACGGAGCTAATAGCCGCACAGCGCTGACATGATAGCTCATAGCAGTCACCAATAATAGCCCACAACCCGTTTCCCTTCTAGAATTCTGGGTTCATCGCCACCCTCATGACCCATGCATGTCTCATCAGACTTCCTTTGTAACAGCTGAGACCACCCGTGTCAAAATATATTGTGAGGGGCAGTGCTATAGCAGTGCATAGGGCGTGGGCCTATCTCCCAGTCTGGGGAAGGCGTTGGCATTGGCCAAAACTGCCATCTGCTTTTCGTGAGAGATGTATGTATCCTCTCATGTATCCCTTATATATCATATTTGCGACAAAACACTCCGCCTCTTCCACCGACACGTCGTTTCCTGACAGTCGCAGTGAACAATGGAACATCGATATTGGGATTCGGGTGCTTCTATCGGTGGCTACCCATCTGATCACATAAACACTTAGCTATGTGTGAAGGGCTGGATGCAATCAATACGCACACGCGTCTGAACAGACCTCTGATGCAGAGCTCGCGAGCCTTCTCAATCGTTATCCAGAGATTAAGTTCAACGAGACGGTGTTCCCAGCGTTCGAGAGCAGCGTCATACGCGGAAATATCACCTGTGCGAATTGCGGCAATAAAAGTTGAAAATAACTCATCCAGTACAGGAAACCGCTGCATGAGCCCGGCTGCGGGCAGATGACCACGCAGAATACGCAGAGGAATCAAGCACGTGAGTATTCGCCTTCGGACATGAATGTGCGCATCAGCCGTGAATCAAGGTGGCCGTGAGCGAACGTACTCCTGATTACGGTGAGCGTCAACGTGACAATGGTAAAACGCAAGGGTGAGCTCCTGCTCAGCCTAATGAGGCATAAGTAGATGTGAGGACAGGTATCAGCATAGGGTTCTACCTTTGCATAATCCTCGTTCAGGAAACTGAGCATGCCCAAGTAGTACCGGTAGGTGACCTTGGAGAAATCATGATTTAGTAGAGCGTCTGCGTTGTCGCGTCGTCAAATCTCGACATACTTGATGTGAACGAGGGTACGCAGACAACTGGGGTATGTCAGGATTCGCCTCCAACGCTCGCAATATGTTTTTTGATAGGTTTATTCGCCTAACCTGATTCCTGCCACTTAGCTGTTGGAGGAGAACAGTACGTTCGACTCACGCGAAAGTAACACTTCATAATGAGGCCGACAACATAGTATATTCCCCACTTGCGAGACAGATCCGGGGGTGACGTCCTCGATGAGACACGCAGATCAGTTAACAGTGCGGAATACAAAACAGGGGGGTACATACCTATCCGTCATACACATACTGAAAGCTTTTGCGACTACTCCAGCAGCACTCTCCATGCACTCGCTATTCTGCCCGTTGTACCTTCCATTGAAATCCGCCTGGTCCCGTTTGTTAGTTGTGGACCTCGGGTGCTCATAACGATCTTACATCATGTGCAAGATCTCGCAAGTCACGCAGCATGGAAAATAGGGCAGGCAGTGTCCAACCTGTATTTTGAGTAAAGAAGCGAAAAAATAGCCTGAACCCCATCTTATCTTTCAGATTGAGAAGTAGAGAATGCCCACGTACGATATAAGCTGTGACTGTTCACTAAAGGCTTCTCCCGGTCGTTTTCTAGCGACATGTGTTGTCACCATAACATATCGCACAGCAATCTCATCCCACGGCGTGTCGATGGATCCGCCGTACTGCGAGGTCAACGCCTCACGCTTGGTCACGGTGAACATGACTGTGTGATTTCCGTGCATCGAAGTTCGGACGTACCGATGGATTCCTGAACTCTTTCACCAAATCCTTTCCATGTGGGCTTGTTGGTCTGAGGAGGTACGCCAAACGCTGTCCATCCTCAGCTGATACGGCTTGCACGAGCTCTAACAAAAACGTCGAAAAAGGAACTGTCATATGTCCGCTCTAACACTTGTCTTCAGATCAGATGCACTTTTAACTGCTCTCCCTCCCTCACCTAAACGCGACGTGATAGGCAATGGATACCCAATTAAGAGCGCGTCAGAGTGTGCTGGCCTGTGCTGGTCTGTGCTGAGCGGCATGTGCGGAATTCGGAAAGTTGTATGGCTAGTTTCCTTATGAAGCAATGCTTTCCCTGTCTTTATTGTTACTGTACTTTGACTTCTGAAGACGACGTATTCCAATAATACGGTATAGAGCACCAGAAGTCTGATTTCTATTTCCGTCAACGAACCTCCATATAGCTTTCCTGCTTTCAATGCCAGACGTGACATGGATCCGGGGGACCCTGAGGCCTGAACTACCTCCAGGGGTAAGATAAATACATATACGTGCTTATGCTGCGCGCTGACCATTTCGTTACATTGGATGTTGCACAATGCACAGCAAGTATTAAGGGCACGCCAAGAGTCAGCACGCTGCGCTCCACGCAGCCGCCCTCCAATGTCAGGAGTCCTGCCACCAAATGGAGGACCTCCCACACTGTGACATGGGTACCACCAGATCTTCGGAGGGTCACCCTCCATTTTCACCGGGGAAAGTTTCTTAAGGTCGGAGGGATACACTGTGTAAGACATCGTCAACGCAGACCCTGAATAGAATGGGATCCACATAAGGTTGTATTTCTGAAATTACGTGGAAAGAGAAGCACGCCGTTTTTTTCAGCTGGTTTGGCCTGTGCGATGTTCATTGGAGGATCCGAGCATAGTTGTCCCAGCTGAATAGCCCAAGGTAGTACATACTTCTGCCTGTAACACGTTTCTACACTTCCTCTTATCCACCGTGTCTGGTCACGTGACGGTAAAGTCATGATAAGATCAAGCTTGCTGTGGCGTCATCTGGCCGTCTACAACCGTCACCTTTGAGGCTCACTTCTTCTATCAGCTGTAGTTTTGAAATGGCTTTGCAACCGACTCTTCGACCTTTGGTCATTGCGGGATGCTACGAGGCTCCCCATACCTTGGATGTCTTCCGTGAGTCATTGTGTCGGCAGGCACCCCTGAGTGTTCTGGTTGCTAATATTGATTACATCAACGCACCACATAGTCGACTATGTCTGCCCTTTCAGGTTAGTGGAAGCATTCTTGTCATGACATGTGTCTGAAAGCTTTTGCATATGGCAGTGCAAAAATGTCACGTACGATCGACACCGTTCTTAAGCCATTGGTGGAAAATGGTGGAAAGTATGATGGAAGAGTCAAAATAATCATGAGACTCCAGGTCCAGCCCTGGCATGCCACTTCTACTTACACGCATGAGGCAGGACTTGCTGTATGATGCCTACCTGCTTGGCCGTAATTGTCTACTAACGAAAATTCGCAGGTTCTCCGCGTTGCGCCTGGGCACTTCTGGAAATTCTCGCGGGTAGTAAGTATACGCACACTATGGGATCTGAGTATAATGTACTAAACCTGTCTAGCTTTTTGATAGACAGGAAGAGTTCTTCGACATTCCTGTCTCCAACTTGACTCCGCTCCAGATTCGCGAGAAACTTGCTGAAGTCGCTGCTTCAGTCATCCCAGCGGATAAGGTGGATGACTTTAAGGGACTACTCAAAAACAAACCGGGACATCCCAACGGGGGCATAGCCGTTACTGATGACTTGAAATACACGAGTACGTTTGGTGACCCACATGTGGTCCCAGTGACCATCTATGCATTTATGACTGACCTCGTGACGATTACCAGTTAAGTTTTCTCGGCAGAACGGAGTCCACGTGTCACCCACTTCCTTATGGGATGGGCTCATTGCCAACGAGATTTCGAGTTCCTGGGGGGAGAATGAGTGGACTGAGTTCTTGGCTCACAAGGTAATCGTGTAGGCGTTGCGGAGAACGCGTCAGGCCCCAACCCTATTTGTAAGCGATGATCGCTTTTATCAGTTTTGGACTCCATGTACACTGGCAGCAGCGTAGCAAACCTGGGCCACAGTACAATTTCCCAATTGCTCACATTTGTCGGATAGTTGCCTACGAGATCGGAAATGAAGACGTTAGTCCAACAGGAACCCAGCTGTCGATGACTCCCGCCAACCATGAGCGATGAGTGACCATATGGTCGAGCTCGGAATCTGACTAGATCTGGCTTCAATTCAACCCGGCATCCCATCAATCTGGCGACATACTGATCGGATACCATAAAGGACATCACAGCCTCGGGGTGTCAACGGGGGAATGTCACCGCTATCAGTTGTGATATAAAAATGGCGTGCTTACTTTTCTTCGTTATTCCATTACCCCTCTCCTGCAGGATCCTCATATCTTCAAGTCCAGTATGAAATTCTACGCGTTTGTCACCGTACTCGCCACAATAGTGGCTTCTGCTCTCGGCCAGACGATCGAGCTGGGAAGCCCCAAGAACGGAGACGTCTTGACAATTGGAAAGAACTTCACAGTCCAAGTTGTTCAGCCGGTATGTCAAGACCATCATATACATGCATACCAAAGCAGACGTCCATCTGCGTTTCTAGGATTCGTTGGCATCTGTTATCCAGATCGGCATCGCCCTTTCCATTGATAACTGCAATAACGGAGTGTGTCCGCAACCTACTGACCAACTCGGGGATGTCCTTTATGCTGGACCTTGGACCCCCACGGGGCACGCTCAGGGTGGCTTCTACCAGAATTTCACTTTCCAGCTGAATCAATACTCTACAACTGGACCGGCCGTTTTTACTTTGAGTCACTTCTGCCTGCTCGGAGTATGCTAACTTACTTTTTGTGATGGAGAGCGTAATGCTGACTTGACCTATCTAGGCTGGCCCGGTCCCATTCACGGAGTTTAGGAACGCGTCTGTGACCATCCAGTCATGATACAACATTGCAAAGTACTTACGGATCGAACAATGGACTATATTTCTTTGTATATGGTAGTCGTTACAGGACATTCCAGGAGCTGACTCGTACTGTTTCTATGTTCTTGAGTCCAATTGAAGTTAGATTGGTGATTCGGATCTGAATTGTTCTGAGCAAAAAAAGCGCACAGTTGAGTGCATACTGTCATCTAAAGTCCTACAACAGTTCCGCCGGAGGTGCGACCACAAGCAACGGTCATCAGACAGGATAGCCCGCCTCCGCCAGCCATGGCTGCTCTGCAACACTTGCCTGATGTGGAGAACGTTACTTCGGCACCAACAAAGTTCCTGTCTTGGCAGTCTACACTATGCTGCCTGCTCGTGGTCACTAGCCGGTCCTCTCATTTCTGGCCGCTGGGGGTACGTTAGCGCACTGCCTCAGGTAAATGAAAGGCTAACCTCATCTGCAAATAGGGAGCTGTTCCCTTCAGAGTTCAGGAACGTGAGCGTAACCACTGCGTGAACTTTCGGAAGGGTCACAAATCGTGTGCCTTGTGATCGTCGTGGAGGGCAACTTACTCCCGCATTTGGTTATGAATTCCTTCAAAAGGTGTAGTTGGTGTGTGAAAATGATGATATAGACAGTCGCAGAGCAGGATATTTACGAGGATGTTTGAAGTCGGGTCCTCCGACCGTAGGTAGACGGAAAACGAAAGCATGAACAGAACTCAGCCCTTGATAGCCATCAGTTGCTGAGTGGCACAACTCAAATGAACACAGCCTGTTACTGACATAATCACGAGGACTCACTATGCCCCGAGACCAAATGCGTGTTCGGCAAGACGGTTGTCAATGCAGACGGTCAACGATGCCCGAAGGCTGGTCAGTAGCGATCCCGTTTAGCCCATATGACGTCTGTGGGCATTAACCACTTTGACTTCTATTGGTCATTGGACGCATTATAGTCCACGCCTGGGGCATGTTCCTTACTGTGGCGAAATGGTGGTCTCGGAAGTGTTTTGTCGTGTCTCTTGTGGAAGCATCAAGGAACAAACGGCGAAGATTCACCGGCGAGGGTTACGAAGTAACGGATCCCCAGGGCTTATAGAGTCAGAGTCCAAACGCGTTATCCTCTCTACCTTTAAGAAACAACTTTTGAGCGATAACCCACTCTTTGTCGCGCAAGCATGAACATCTTCGCAGTCCTTCTTATTTTTGCATACTCCGTAGCAACTAGTGCCGCTCAAACGATTGAACTGGGATACCCTACCAGTGGCGCAGTTTTCTAAGCTGGCGAAACCTTCCAAGTGCGAGTCATCCTGCCGATAATTATCTAAACAGAAAGCAAGAAGCGATCACCAAAGATGCTTATGCTGCACAGTATTCCATGGCCTCGTGCATTGACGTAGGAATTGCACTGGCCATCGACAGTTGCCCCAACGAACTTTGTCCACAGCCATCCGCGAACTTGGCAATGTGCTGTATGCAGGCCCCTGGAATCCCACCATCCTGGCGCAGGGTCAGGGATTCTACCAGAACTTTACTGTGCAAGTCCCCAGTTACATGACGGCGGGTCCGGCAATATTCACGCTGACCCACCTGTGTCTAATTGGAGTAAGTCTTGGAAAGATCGCGTGTAGAAGCACAGCTATTGACACATAATAGGCTGGACCTGCACCACTTCTTGAATACAGAACCGCATCAATTACCATAACTTGATTACGGATACAAAGCACTTGAGGTGGACTACGGAGGGTTATAATAATGTGTGCAGCAGATCTAAGCACAGCAGGAACGGACCTTGCAATGGGAACCATACAGGGACCCAAAACTGTCTTTTGTAGGCTTAAATAGCAACTCACCTTGCTCAACGAAATGAATGCTACATCGAAGAAAACAGGCCCGCAGGCTAAAAATTTAAATCTAGAACATTAGGTTGATATTGCAGCAAGGTTAACGCAGTATCATAAAGCAGGGGCATCACAATGATGTGAATCGCGGGTGCTAGGTTGGCTTGCCAAGGGGAGCTGGTTACATATCTATGAGGGGAATTCAGCGCAGTTCAAAGAGCTCTAGAAGTGGATGCTACACTGCATAATCATAAACGCAAGGTAAGATTGTCTTGGGATTACCGCCCAGATTCAGCAGAGTTCCAAGCAAATATTGTTCAACTGCACGCACCATGGTTAAAGGTAATACGTCTGTTTACATATGTTTGTCCTTACCCCTTTGGGCAGCACCCAAGTCTGCCAAGGCTGCAATGCGCTACCATGGTGAGCATAATTCTTTACTGGCTGGTTTTGCTTGTGCTCACGTCGAATAAAGCAACAGCAGGTGTGCCAGTACTATCTACGGGGAGCATGCAAATTCGGCGATAGGTGTAAGAATGAGCACCCCAGGGCGCCGCTTAAACCACAATTTGGAAGTGAGTTTGATACACTCTGCGATACTGACCACCAAGAAACCTTACCATCTATCTGTCAGATCAATCGTGGGCAGCCAATTCAAATGCGAACAAGGCGTTACTTTTCACGTGAGACTACTCTGTTTTCAAGGCTATCCCCGAGCTCAAATGGCTGGCAGGACGGAATCCTTGACAAACGACGTCACGCCTTTGAACGAGAAACCTCTATGGCCTTTATCGTCATACGGTGCTGCAAAGCACGAGAAAACTCTGATCAGTGGATTGGATGAGTCGCCGGAAGAGCTTCGCGTTAAAGCTGTTGCAGCTGTGAAAGCAGGGACTACCAATGAATATGTAGGCTTCTGTTCATGTCTCGGTACTAACGCTGACATTGGCTTGACCTAACAGGTTAAATACGAGGCAGACAAGATGGCCACTGCAGACCAGATATACGCTACTGCAAGGGATAACATCCCACAACTTCATAGTCGAGCCTCCGAGCTGAGCCAGAACATACCTTCAAGCGTGTTTGGGTCCTCATCTGCGTTCGGAACATTATCTAACCAACCCACAATGGGTCCGAAGCCGGGCACCTCTGCCTTTGGCCAGAGTGGCTTCGGTAACGTGCCAGCGGGTCCCTCCGCCTTTGGTCAGGCCGCGCAGACCAGTTCAGCTTTTGGCACTACACAGCCTACATCTGTCTTTGGGCAACCCTCACAGACGCAGTCGGCATTTTCTCAGCCTACCTCTGCTTTCGGCCAGACCTCTGCATTTAGACAAGTTCAGCCTACGTCAGCGTTTGGACAGCCCTCTCTGGCCACGTCGGCTTTCGGCCAGGCTCCCAAGTCAGCTTTCGGGCAATCGCCCCAGACCACCTCAGCGTTTGACCAAGCACAATCGACACCTGCCTTCGGGCAATCATCTCTTATCAAACCAGGATCGGGTGCTTTCGGCTCCACTACGGCCAATTCCAGTCCCTTTGGTGGGGGTGGCTTTTCTGCATTCTCTGCGCAACCTTCTGGTTTTGCAGCAGCTACCCCTGCCACAGGGTCTGTGTTTGGCCAAGCTACCTTCCCCTCTACAGCGCAAACCACACAACCACAGTCTGCATTCGCCCCTGCCGCGCCATCACAACCGGCTTCCGCTTTTGCACCAAGCTCAACATCAGTTTTCGGATACACTTCCTCGACGCTTCCTGTTCCCTCCCCTGTGTCTGCGTTCCCTGCTGCGGGTTTGATGGCTCCTTCACCGACAACTTCGGGCACGGGAAAACCTTCCTCTGGCACCCCAGATTTCGCGCTGGCCAAATCCAGGGTTCATTGTAAACCAGAGTCTGATCGCTTTCTCCCTCTACTGCCCCCGAACTACTTTGACATAATACCGCCAGAGGTGAGGGCAGCATTTGAAAGCGATAGGTTTGAATGGGGCAAGATACCGGAGTGGATACCACCGAAAGAAGTTCGCTAGGTGATATAGGGCCATCTTCAAAATTACCCGAGGGGATGAGCAGCGTATGGATGCCTCCGTTTGGTAAGGTCTTAAAACTGTGTAGCTGGTATTATGGCATGCACTGGTGCAGTCTGGTTGCCGTCTTATCAAGGTTCCGACGAAATTATCTGAGATTATCAGCCTTTACTAGTAGTCGAGATTATCAACTCAAATACACCATCAATCAGGAAATTGTATTCTACGAGGCTGGGTCAACATAATGTGTGAGTAGTTCTTGTCCACGCTGAATGATGTCTAAGGTAAGTTTCTCGAAGTGTGTTGACAGATCCAGATCCCCCCTTACAGTCTGAATGTGCCGCCATGCATCAAGGTAGTGCAGTTTGTAGATGTCCACCTCAAACTCCGGTTCTCGACCCCTTTTGAGAGCAACAAGAGCCCATCAGATGATGGTGATGGTGAATGCAATAAGACAATCGATATTTCTTGTATCGGGTGGGATAGCATTTGATAGCTTCCCTTGGGGAGAGTGGATTGTCTCGTGGATTATTGTACTCACAGCAGGGTGGTGGAAAGTGGCACACAATGTTTGCCCTGTTGGAAGCTATATCCAAGGTCAGCGCCGCAATGAATTCCCAATTGGTTGAGTGAGGTATACCGTGATCGTGGCATCTGTGAAAGTCCACTTGTCAAGGAGCTGGTCAATTGCTGGGCACCAGACTGTGCCGATTGGACGCTGCATGTTGATTGGAATCCTCAGGCTGTAAGCGTCCTTGATCATGATCCGGGCAACAGTCTTGAATGTTGTCATAACTTTGTTCAGAGTGTGTTTAGCAGCAGCATGAAATTTATCTTTGTTGTGTTTGTTCTCGAGCCAGATACCTGCAATATGACGCGATTTAGACTCGTTAACCATTAATAAAGAAAGGAATTTACAACTTGAGTTGTTGAGAAACCTTCCTGCGAGCTCCACAGCTAGCTGCTCGATGAACTCTGCATTGGCACTTGACCACAGTGGCTGCATCATAACAAAGTAATGGCAGATACGGCTTCAGGCCTCCTTCTTCATGTTTTTGATGGCAAACTTGGGGATTGTGTTGCTTCCGACAGTGGGAGCTTGGGTTGCAACAGGTGCAGTCATCACATTGGTAGGAGGATTAGTGGCTAGCATTAGAGCTTGGACTGGGGGTAAATGGACAGGTTGCGATGCCTTAGCTGCCTTCTGAGCAGCTCACCGTGTATCTGGTACGATATGAATACAATCAAATGCCTCCCCTCTGGTAGCCTCTCCAGGGTGGCTCGACCTAATTGGAACATGAGCAGCTACATAGTCATTTGTAGTTAAGGATGTGTCATGCGGCACAGATAGTTCACCAGAGAATAGAAGGTCAGGGTGATGTGGGTGTTCGGTATGCTGTTGGAGCTCATGGAAATCCATGATGGACCAGGATTGCATAGTGGATGAAGTGGGCATAAGTTGATGGAATTGCACCAGGGCATGATTGTCGAGACACAGCCATGTCATGCCTAAGGGGCTAGGATGTTGTTGGCTGATTGTAATCACATTGCCCATCACGTTACATTCCTGTAGTTGATGTCTGTGAGCTAGTGTTTGAATACATAAACAATACGATTACTTGCCCTATCGTCAAATCCTGCATCAGTTGGGAAATTGGGAAAGGGGATTGGGAATCCATAGCCTTGGCTGCTTGAGGGGCCTGAGTGAGATTGGGTGATCGTAACCTCATCGCCCATCACACTATAGTCCTGTAGTCGATGTTTGTCAGTTTGGGTTCAATACATATCCAGTTACTTGCCCAGTTATCAAATCCTGTGTTTGTTGGGAGATCGGAGACAGGGAAGGGGAAGGGGAAACAATGACTTTGGTCACTTGAGGGGCCCAAGAGAGGTTGGCCATGTTGGAAAATAGTTCCGACATCTAGATTGTTCCAGACTTACACATGTATCAACACGTTGTTCATCACATGACATTCCATTAGCAATCAGCTCCACAATGATGTCACAATGACATCATATCATACGTCATATTCCATGACCTTCTGCGCTATTCGTTACTATACTGAGTAGTAGTTTCCTTTTACGCTACTGGTCCATGCGTACCTACTCATGTATATAAACTTGGGGATTTCTTCCTCAATCCCCATCGAATCGAAGCGAACAATTCATTCGTTCTTCACTTGTCTACTCAACAACTGAGCCCCTCAAACTTCAATCAACAAACGCTACTACCATTCTGATTAAAGGCAAGTGTTCTTGTCTATTGCTCTTCGTTCTCCCGTTCCTCTGCGCAATAGGTTATGAGCCCCGCCTATAACTAGGTGGCAAGCTATTTGCGATATTTGCATCGAGCGATCACTGCCGACAGGCATATCACGATGGATGTCGTAGGCCTAGATGTGCTAGGAATGGTAGTAGTAGTCTTCGCTGTGTTGCTGGCTGCTGGTCTTAACCAGGCGGTTCTTTTACTTCATTATGGTGGTTATGATCTGATTAATCTACACGAGCTTTTTCTCCACTCGGTAGCCTTTTGGCTTTCTTTTCTAGGTCTCTCCACTTGGTGGTGAAGGCGACAGAATCTGCTACAAGAACAGATACTTCGCAGAGCGCTATTACAGCGTCTCGTTCTTCGTCCTCCGACTCCGCCCCCTCATTACCTTCACTTCCATCTTCCTGATATCGACCATGATGCTGATCTAGATCCTGTTCCGCCCTATGACAAGGTTGAAGCACGTGACCCACCTTCTCCATGTCGGGCACCTACTCCTCTTCCTGAGGATGTTGCGGCTGTCAATGAGTTGCTCAATCCTGAGCCTGTTCTTGCTATCATCGATGACGATAACGCTGAGTTCGCCTTACTTTAAAAACTCGTTTGCTTTGTCGAACAACAGGAACTAATCTGTTCAAAAGATGTCTTTGGTCGTCATGAAGAAACTTGAGCTCGCTATTGCTGAGCAACGTGATGGAATGTATGAAGTAAAGTGGCGGAAGTATGCGGTGAAAGAGATTATAGAATACATTGAGATGTTATACGTATGCGACTGTACGGGTTGGAGAGAGGCGGTACCTTCCTTGGTTGCTTTCTTCAAGAAGCCAAATCCTGCGACTTATCTTGTCCCCATCGACACTGTGGAAACAGCATGGCAACAAATGCCCCACTTTCCTGGTTTCGAGTCGCCCTTCTTCTATCTGGGTCTCCATCTTGCCTTCCATGGTTATTTAACCGACTTCTTCCCTAAATTGTCCCATACCTCGACTCCTCATGCTATCGCTAACTTTAATGGTTGCGATCTTCCCAGTGCCTACTATGAAGATCCTTCCCTCAACACTGTTCCCACGTTCACTGTCACCCATGATACGTTTTGTTACATCTACTACAATGTCCACCCACTCTACGATCCCTGCTTCAACGGCATCATCCCTCCTCTCCGCCTTTGGAACCAGCATCTTGAGTTCCATTTCCGAGGAACTTGGGTTGACGGATCGACCGACGTCAGATGTATCCCTGGGTGGTTCCGAGAACACAGACGCGGAGGAGACAGGTTTGATAGCGACCTCTTTAGGTCTATTCGACGGTATAGGGACACGGCAGATGTGGGAGATTCCTTGCGATATAACTCTGCTAACCAGCATCTTTCATGGGATCTCGATCCCATTAATGCAGAATTCGCTTACTGGCCTGGATCAGAAGAGGTTATACGTGATCTTGAACGTGTCATGGGTAACACTACTTTTGACTATCTCACAGCACCCTGACCTCGAGGAATTCGCACCACGGCTCTTAGCAGAGCTCGTGAGTCTCGTGCCATATGCCAAAAATTATCCTCTTCCAAATTTGCTGGACGCACCGTACGTATCAGGCGGCCAAAACCATTGGTTAACTAATACTTGTAATCTTTACGAGTCTTACAATTGTCTTGAAGTATTAGTTAAGGACAGGCATCCTCGCTACAGTGCTCCTCTAAATGTACCCTATTCTTGCACTGATCCCTACCTTGGGTTTCGATCAGAGGGAATTCCATTGCATGATTGCAATTGGAGTTTTATGTCTTATCATTATTTCCCTCCACTAGACTTTTTAAGTCTAGAGTGCAATAATTCTCGCATCTCTTCCTGGAGATTTGCTGAGAAAGGTACAAGAGCACCAGAAACAAAACAAGAAAAGCGAAGGAATCCTCATCCTTACTATAAAAACCAATGTATTTGCAAGCATCGTCCATCTCAAGCTGCTAGAGCATCTGCTCGCAGACCCAAAAGGAATCAGATACATGAACTTAATCCTCCATCCATTAAAACTCATCCGACTCATTCATTTTTATACGAACATCTGCTTATGGACTTTTGACATTAGATGTCCGAAGGTCTTTCTAAGCAGATCCCCAAGCTCAATGGCTTGAACTACGCTTCTTGGTCAGTTCTTATGAAGGCTTACATGCAAACTCTTGGTATCATGGGAATTGTTGATGGCACTATTGCACGTCCTGCCGCTGGACAACCCACTGCGGACATTGCTGCCTGGGTCACTTCTGATACATGTGCCCAAGGCATTCTTACACTCTATTGTGATCCTATGATCGCAATGCCTATTGACGGACAAGCCACTGCGCATTTGAAATGGCAAGCATTACTCAATGCTTACGGCACTCCTTCGGCCATGACTACATTCATGGAATTTCAACGACTCATTCGTATTCAAATAAAACCAAAGGATGACATAATGGCCAAAATTGCGGAAATCACAATGCTTATCGCCGCGATCAGTGCTCAGGGTATTGCCCTGAATGATAAAATGAAAGCACTTATTTTGGTTCATTCAATGATGCAGGCTTGGGAACAAGCTCCTGTCAATATCTTATCATCTATTGCTGCCGATCAACTCTCTCCTGATACCGTAATACCTCGCATGAAAGAAGTCTGGGCCCATAAATCGGGCAAAACTATGCTTCCACAACAGGATAAATCTGGGTCATTGTCTACCCAGGTTAAACAAGAATCAAATTCTCTTCTGGCATGCATGAATAAGCCGCCACTCTGTCAAATTTGCAGAGGCAGTCATAATACTTCCAATCATCAATCTGGATCTGGATCAGGATCCTTTCGCAGTTACCGTGGAGGTCGCAGAAGAGGTCATGGAGGTCGTGGATGTGGACGTGGAGGTTACACTCCCTATACTCCACAACAACAGCAGCCAGGTTCTGGTTCTCGTGGCCGAGGCCAGAACAGATGCCAAGGCAAGGGCAAAGCCCGAGCCAACAATCTCGAAGTAGAAGGCGCGGAAGCAATTGACACTGCCTATATTGAAGAACTTCCTGATGGTTCTTACGATCCAAACTCTAGATCCTAGGACGTTTACCTGGATCAACAAGACTTCAAGAATGCCGCTGCTTCCTTTGAAGCTGGTGATTTTGATATCACAGCTATTAATATACCTACCTGCGAACCATCTCCTGAGTATTCTCTCCCAGATTCTACTCCGGTTGAACGAGTCTACTCTAGCGACCTAAACACTTATCTCAGTCAACATGTCATAACTGATACCGAGATGTATGATCCTGATCTTTCTCACCAAGATCTTACTATGGCGATGGAAAGTATTGGGAATACTCCCAATTATCCAGTTGATGTAACAACCGGAAATCTTGCTCCTTGGTATCTGGAGGAAATTCAGAATTTCCAACTGGATCAAGTTGAGTCAGTGAAGATTCGTGTTAACATTCCTGGCTCTAATAAATGCCAATGTTCTGTTTGTCGCCGTGCAGCCACAACTTGCAACCTGCTGGAGGTTTCCCTTTGGGAACCAAAACAATGGGAGTACTCGGACTCTCATCCAAGGAAGATTTCCTTTCCCCCTGCTAAGCAGGACGGGTCATGTACGAGTGGTTCCCTCAAACCCTCAGTACGAATGGGAAATTCTGTTTTGGCTGGCAAGAACTTGGTGGCGAACTGGAATGTTAAGGATAATGGTGATGCATCTCAGGCGCAACAACGGACTTTTAATCTCTCTTCCCCTCGACTTCGAGGACAGAATAGTAGAGACAGAGAATCTCTCCGAAAATCCGTACTTATAAAAATTTCTTCTAAAAAGAAGAATTGCCCTATGTCCTTATCCCAATTTCACGAATCTGTGCCAGATAAGCCTGTTGTTAAATCTTTTCGTATAAAGCATAATCCAGACATCGAGTATGATCCCAACAAATCTGCCTCTGGGTATTTACCCATGCAATTTGATGGTCATGCCTTCAATTCTTATGACTGTTATCCTTTGGATGACTATAAGTCATATTGTAATCTGAAAAAGAACCTACCAAAGGGTGAGTCATTATGGATGTTGGATTCTGGAGCATCACATCATGTGACTCCTTTTAAAACTGATTTCCTGACCTATCGAGAATTTATAAATCCACCTTTGGCCTCTACTGTGGGCACTAAAAAGGTTCAACTTCTCGGTCAAGGAACAGTGGTTATTCACCTGGAAAATGGCAGTAACCTACCACTACATAATGTTGTTTACAGTCCTTTGTTTTCAAAGCGACTATGTTCGTGAAATGTGCTCCTCAATAACGGGTATAGGAGTACAGCGACACTTACTGGTGAGACTATCAGAGCACCAAATGGCCAGATTGTCCTTGAAGCAAAAGTAGCTTCACCGACTTCACCTCTACATTGGTTTGTGGGCATACTGCTTCCACCTACCACTGCTTTTGGGGTCCTTTGCCCTTTGGTCAAGGAAACACAAGAGTCTCTCTGGCATAATCGCATGTGTCACCCTGCTCAAGCAGTTCTCAGACATATTCGCCGATTAGGCCTGAAACAAGACTTACAAATACAGGGGGAGCATACCTCTTGCAAAGGTTGCACACAGGGCAAACTTTCTTCTGAAGCTTTTAAACCCTCATGGAAACGAGCAACTAAACCTCTCGAGTTGGTCCATGCTGATCTTCTCGAACTTCCTGTCGAATCTTACTTTCGGTCCAAATATATCTTAACCCTCTTGGATGATTATTCGTCCTACGGTTTTTGTCTCTACCTTCACAACAAATCCGACACCTATACTGCTTTTGCCAACTGGATGGTGTCTATGCAAAATACTACTGGGCATCATCTACTTGCGCTCCGTTCGGATCGAGGGGGAGAATTTATGGGTTCTACTTTCAAAGCACTCCTTTCTTCGCACAGAATTACCCATCAATTGTCTATTGCCGACCAACCACAACAAAATGGTCGTGCTGAACACTTTAATCGGACAATTTCCGAAAAAGCTGGGACCATTCGACATCATGCTTGTGTTCCTAAACGCTTCTGGAACTTTGCCTTTGACTGTGCACTTCATGTGTACAATTGAACTCCTCTCAAGAGGATTCAATTCAAAACTCCAGTTGAGCTTTTCTTAGGAAAAATCCTGGACATCACATATTTTCACACCTTTGGCTGCAAAGCTTTTGTATGGGTTCCTAAAGAACAACGAAAAGATAAATTGGAACCTCATGCAGTCGAAATGATTTTCTTAGGCTACGAGCCTAATACAAAAGGATATCGGTTCCTACATGGACAGAAGATAATTCTTTCTCGTACTGCAAAATTCATAGAAGACTCTTTTCCTTTCTGCTCTGGTCGTTCAAAATCCGAAACCTTTGACCCAGATACCAAAGACGACCATGAATCATCTGTTTCCAATACAGAAAGCCTACATTCATTTCCAGATCCTGATCAGATCCAACTGCCAACTCATCACCGGCAACCACCTCGTCCTAATACTCCACCACAACCACAAAACCCACAGCAGAGAGCTGCGGACCAGCCTAGAGCTCAACAACAAAGAAGAGCACCTGCTGCTGTACCACCAGTCGACCCTCGTCATCTTAGGCATCCTCATCAACCTGAATTTATTCAAGGAGACTCGTGTAATGTTCGCAGAGCTCATCCTCCTGCCGATGACAGAGAACCTCATCCAAAGCATCATTTTATACCAGTATCTCATCCTGGAAATATTTATGGAGATAGACCTCCAGTCCAGATTGAATGAGATATTCAACAAAATCGAGATCAAGCACAACAGTGGATTTGTAATGCTGAGCAGCATGCTCGCAATTCCAGAGAAGATATTCGGAGATATGCAGAAGAGCGCAGACCTCCTTCTCCGAGATTACCTCCTGCATTAATTCCTCCTGAAGTTCCTCGTCAGTGGACTGAACACCCACAAGGAACTACTCCTCCATCTCCTGGATCTCCACTTACTCCACTTCTGGAAACTCCTTCTTCACCAAAAGGCATGCCAGATCAACATGCACAAATGCCTGGTCCAGAAATGCATCCTTTCGAATTTGCATTGGCTGCTCGGATTAAAGAGTCTCCGGAACACTATAAAGATGTGCTAAAGTTATCTCCCGATTTGCAAAAGAAATGGTTTGATGCAATGAAGGACGAATTAAAGTCTATTGAAGAAAGACAAGTATGGACTTTGGTGGATCCTCCTAAAAATTGGAAACCAGTCAAGTGTCAATGGGTTTTCGCAATTAAAAGCGATGGTCGTTATAAAGCTCGTCTTGTGGCTAAAGGCTTTACACAAGAATTCAGTACCGACTTTGAAGATACCTTCTCTCCAGTGGCTCGTTTCGAAACTGTTCAAATACTACTTGCATTCGCTGCCCAAAGGAATTGGGACACAGAAGCCCTGGATGTTAAAACTGCCTTCTTATATGGCAACCTTGATGAAGAAATTTATATGGAGCAACCAGAAGGTTTCAAAGTTTCAGGTCAAGAACACAAGGTTTATCAGTTGCTTAGAGCCCTCTATGGCTTAAAGCAAGCTGTGTTGGCATGGAATAAAGCCCTCCATCAATCTCTACTTGCAATGGGCTACATTCGTTCAAAAGTGGATGCTGGAATTTATATCCATACTTCCAAAGCTGGAATCGTCATTTTTCTCGTCTATGTTGACGATGGACTCTTTCTAGGATCGGACAAACGTCTTCTTAAAGCCAAGAAAGAACAGTTCATGAAGAAATGGGAATCCCGAGATCTTGGTGAAGTCAAGGAATACCTTGGCATTCAAATTCACCGAGATAGGTTGAAGAAAGAACTTTATCTCGACCAAATACCTTATGTTAAAAAGGTTATCAAACGGTTTAACATGGAGACTGCTCGAAATGTTCGCACTCCATTACCCTCGGGATATCAACTGGAAAAAGCACCATCAGACTATCAAGCCACACCTTCTCTTCGGTCTCAGTACCAGTCAATCATAGGGTCATTACTCTATATGGCTCTTGGTACTCGTCCCGATATTGCCTTTGCGGTTATTCGCATGTCTCAATATATGGCAAATCCTACCGAAGATCACTGAAATAAAGCCTTGCATATAGTTCGCTATATTGCATCTACACCAAAACTGGCTTTATATTATTCGGGACTTGAATCTCGAATCTATGGCTTTGCAGACTCTGATTGGGCTGCTAATAAAGACACTCGTCATTCAACTACCGGTTATGCCATGTATCTTGGCAATTCCCTCATTTCTTGGCAATCTAGAAAACAGAAGACTATCGCACTTTCCTCCACTGAAGCCAAATATATGGCTCTATGCAATGCTGCCAGACAACTCAAATGGCTTTCTATGCTATTTGAAGAACTTCAATTGAAGACTGAGAAAACAATTCTTTACTGCAATAATATGGGAGCTCGCTTCATAGCAGAGAATCCTGTATCGGACGGTCGTTCCAAACATATCGACGTCCAATGGCACTTCGTTCGCGAATGTGTTCAAGATAATTTGTTCAGTATTGAATATGTTCAAACTGACAAACAAAAAGCAGATGGTCTTACCAAATCGTTAACTTGGCAGAAGTTCGAAACTAATCGCTCATCAATGGATCTTGTTACCCTACCATTTTAGAGCGAGGGGGAGTGTTGGAAAATAGTTCCAACATCTAGATTGTTCCAGACTTACACATGTATCAACACGTTGTTCATCACATGACATTCCATTAGCAATCAGCTCCACAATGATGTCACAATGACATCATATCATACGTCATATTCCATGACCTTCTGCGCTATTTGTTACTATACTGAGTAGTAGTTTCCTTTTACGCTACTGGTCTGTGCGTACCTACTCATGTATATAAACTCAGGGATTTCTTCCTCAATCCCCATTGAATCGAAGCGAACAATTCATTCGTTCTTCACTTGTCTACTCTACAACTGAGCCCCTCAAACTTCAATCAACAAATGCTACTACCATTCTGATTAAAGGCAAGTGTTCTTGTCTATTGCTCTTCGTTCTCCCATTCCTCTGCGCAATAGGCCAAACATCGTTCCATCACCCATCGCACTACACCCCTGTAGTTGATGCATGTTAGTGAGGATTTGCTATGTATTAGATTACTTGCCCCACTGTTGAATCCTGGATCCATAGGATGGTGGCAGAGAGGGTAGGGGAGGGAGAGATTCAGTGGGCTGCAGCAATCACAAGGGTTGACTGATATAACCAGATGAAATGCATGCAACAATACAACTCAAAAAGCAAATACACAGGAACAGCTTTGAACAGGTAAACAATGGAGCTGCAGCCAGCAGTCAGTTACTATATATATATATATATATAATGCATGAGACTCACCTACCACTCATTTCCGCCTCAGATCATCGATAATCATGCGCTATCTACAGGGCTTGACCCTCATCCTCACTGTCATCCACTTCCAATCTCACAGATCTGTCACTGGCCTCACAGTCTGATGGGCCCTCCACCTTGTCTGAAGAATGACGATGGCCCTGCACTTCCTCTTCAAGTTGATCAAGTTGCATATCCATAGTATCCAAGGTCATGACCTCTTCATTGTACACCTCATGGTTGAAGGCTATGAGACTTTCAACATTGTCCATTTCCACTGCACGTTCTAGATTCACCTTGCCAGCTTTGCCTGCCAAAGAATCACCATAATCCTTTTGGTCTTCTTGGTAGATATGCTTCATAAGCCTGCCATAGTGTTCAGCTTCCTTGAGTTCCCAAGCTGAGGCCAGTGCTTGATAACATCTAGTCTCATGACCCACATGTTTCATCAAGACTGCCTCTTTTAGCACCACATCAGAAAGGTGCCTAATACCATTGTGAAAGAGGTGCATTCCCTGTGAAGTGATAGATTAGCCTTCCATGATGTTAGGGTACATAAAGGAGTGGTACCCTTCTAGCATTGTTCAGGCCAATATTAACTCTGGCTCCACCTCTCAGAGAATTCCTTGTGAAGCACAGCTACAAAGCTTGCCCGATATTTGGCCTAGGATAGGGTAAAAACTTTCTGTGTGCAATCTTTGAAATTTCTGCAATATCCAAGGCAGCCCTCTCTGGAGAAATAGTACTGTCAGAAACATCTTCGTGGCTGCCAGGTGATGATGGGAGAGTGCTCAAAGGAGGGGGAGATGAGGGTTGAGGACTGCTTGAAAGGGGTGAGGAAGGCTGAATATTACATGGGAAATATCCAGAGGGCTTTTAATTGCTGATTCACCTTGATACAGGAGTGGTGGGGGGTTCAGTTTGAATCATAGGAGGTATCAAGCACCAGTCTGTGGTTTATCGTAGTTGGATGACTGCAGAGACACAGTTGGTCAGAGTTCAAAGGACTTAGGAAATTTTGTACAGTCTTGAGCCACAGAGTGGGTGTGGACCCTTGCCTTCTGTTTGCTCAGCTCGTTACGATGCCAGAGACAGAAGATATACCACCAGAACTGGCCCATATGTCAGAGGTCCCCAACACTGATAGGTTTGTACCATTTCATTACTTGACAATGCAACATGCTCACCGAGTTTCATACTTTCAATCTCTGTATTCAAGGGCTAGGTACCATGAACAATCAGGGTATACTTTTGGGTGTGAACCAAATACATTCGAGCAGTTTCATAATGGCCCTCTGAAGCAAGAGTGAGAGATCAACATGTACTATCCATTTCAGTCCCAAGGGGAATGGTCTTTAGCCAAGTTTCTTGCAGAAAACCTCACACAAACTCAGATCAAAAGATTTCTTGCTTTACCCTGGGTAATTTCAATCCCAAGAAAACCTCATTTTACTGATCTGTGTTAGTTCCACAATAATCCAAGGCCATCCTTTACTTCTGCAGAAGAGCTGCTTGGATGGATGGATACTCTTCCCTCAGGGCCAAAGTGGCAGAGTACCACTCTAGAAGTTGAGGGTTTCCAAACAACCAATCCTATACAGTTGATTTGGCGTGATGCAGAGGAGGTTGTACAGTCCTTGTTTGGAAATCCTATCTTTGGTGCCAACATGATGTTCGATCCTATCCTGGTCATGACTGCTCTTGGGCGGGAGTATAGTGAATGGTTTCCAGCACATGAAGCCCATCGCATCCAGGTATGTTCATCTGGTGGTGCATCTTCACTGTGGAAACTGAAAAACAGTTTTCCATAGGATTCCCTGCCAGATGGTGCAACAATTGTACCTATTCTTGCCACATCAGATAAGACCCCTGTGACAAGGATGACAGGTGGACTAGAAATGCACCCCCTCTTCATCAGCATTGGTAATATTCCAGGGCACATCCACATGGCAGCCACCTCACATGCATGGTGATGTGTTGCATTCATGCCAATACCAACATTTGATGTCCCCAAGGCAAACCAAACGATCCTGCAGATGTGCATTTGGCACAAATGTGTTGATATTGTTACCACAGGCCTGAAACACTCTGTGGACACTGGATCCATGATGCTGGACCCTCATGGACACCTGTGGCATTGTTTCATGCCATTAGTGGCATGGACTGCTGACCTCCCTGAACAACTAATGATTGCATGTGTCTCCAAGAGTGCATCTCCTGTTACAGAAGCAACCCACAAGCAATTTGGTGATGTTCATCGCCAATCATCTCATACCAGCAATCTCACTCTCCAGCACATTGAACAAGTCACTTGGAATGTTCACCCATGGGATAATCTGAACAGTTTTCAAAGACAGGCAAAGATGCTACAATTAAATGGTATCTGCCTCCCATTTTGGAGAAACTGGCTGTTTGTGAACCCTTCCACTTTCCTTCTTCCTGAAATCCTCCATACATGCCACAAGTTTTTTTTTGATCATGTCCTTCCATGGTGCAAAGTCTTACTTGGTGACGAACTCAATGTGCGATTCAAGTGTCACCACAAACATATTGCAGTAAGGCACTTTGTGAGCAGCATTTCGCACGTCAAGCAAATGACAGGCAGAGAACACTGTGACATCCAGTGCACCATCATTCCCATGATAGCTGGTTGTGTACCTCCATGGTTCCTCCATGCTGTATGCACTCTTATCAGCTTCATATACCAAGCACAGAGTCCTGTGCATACAGACAGTTCTGTGGAGGCAATGGAATTGTCATTGCATGAATTCCACACCCACAAGGATGCCATTATCGAGGCGAGAGCTAGAATGACAAAATCAGGTGGTGTGAAAGATGACTTCCTCATCCCAAAGTTGGAGCTTTTTCACAGTTTTGCAGAGGCAATTCATAACAGTGGTGGGCTCATACAGTATACTGCAGACGTCAGTGAGTGCCTTCTTATCACTCACTGCAAGCACCCATTCCAACATACTAACAAAGGCAAAGACTTTGTGGACCAAGTCATTTGATTGCTCGATTGTGAAGAGTCTATGTGGCAGTTTGACATGTACTCGTTGATACACTCAAGTGATATACCCCTCATCAACACTGTTTCCATGGAAGAGGAAGAAATCACCACAGCAAATCCAATGCTTGCATGGGTAGAACATGTCCTGCCTGAACAGCAGTGGCAACTCCAAGGTCCCTGCCCAATCCACAATTACTTTGCTAATGGCATCCTTGCCAATCATGCTCAAACCACCCTCCATGTCATGTCACATCCAGATGAGACTAACTTGTCACTGAATGACATCATGGAACAATATAGCCTCCCTGACTTTCAAGACCGTTATCTAGAATTTCTTCAATTGCATTCCCTTGATGTCCACTTTGACTCATGCACCTTCAACCATATCGCTGTGTGGCATAAACTCCGTGTTCAACTGTATTCCACATTCCACACTTCTACAATTCTCCTGAGTCAAGCTGTTCAAGCACTGTGTACCTCCCCAGATTTCCTGCATGGGTGTTGTGATGTTGTTTTAATCAGCCCCCCAAACAGTGCACTGCTTCCACATATGTACTGATCTATATTGACATATTCCCTGCACACAGATGCCAGTTACGTGGCACAAGTTTGCACCATTTTCCAGCCTCGTGCATGTCCACACTCCAAGGTGGAAGCCCCTCCACATCTCAACAATCCCCTCGTTTATCTGCAGCCTTTCCGTGTCATTGCCACCCCAGAGCAGCAACCAGAGCTGCAGATGTGGACACTGGAAAGGTGCTTTTCCAACACAGAAGGTGAACAGAAATGAGAGGGCTGTGTCATTCCCATTACTTGGATTTCACATGCATTAGAGCTTGTCCCTGTATTTGGCAGTGAAAAAGTGCCATCCACTGTATCTTCCACTACATCACAAGAGCTTTATAACTGTTTTTTTCTCAACCACTTTGCAGATGAGGTTTTCAATACATTCCATGGAGTGGGGGTTCAGTTTGTTAGTGGTTCTGACGGGGAAGCATAGGTAGACTACTATGACAAGTATTAGAGTACTACAAATTATGATTGGATTGAAGTCAGATAAAATTGTCATGCTCGTTATCATTGTTATCATGTCAGCTACTGATGATCTCCATCCTCTAAAGATCTGAACACGGACATTCGACCAATCGGATGCATTTCTCACATGGAATGTAAGTATCATAAGTGATTAGGCGCCGCTTATTCTGGCGACCCGCTTGTTCGAACTGCAGATGTATCCTTCCCGCGTTCCCCTCTTTACATCATATACATACCCACCGGCAAGTTGTACTTGGGTATTAGACTAGTCAGTTACGTGTGCAACTCTGGCCGCCACTGAGAGTCAGCATGTCGCAGCTGCGCCGATGAATGACTTTGGCCCTGACGAAGCAGATGTTATACAAATAGTATTCAATCAACTGCTATGCGGAACCGGGCGGGACGGTCTTTAGGTGGCTAGAACCTGGAACTAATCTGGCCAACCATTCAAAATCTCTAGATAGATCTAATTCGATATCGCTAGCGTATCGTTTGTGACCAACTCAGAGGCGTAGGATGGCTACCGCACAAGTTGCAGAGCCCGAACTCCCCTTCTTCAAATTTCCACCCTTCCCTAGACCTCCGGAGGGCGCGGGCATCATGCCGTTCAAAGAGTTTAAGCCTCGCGGAATCCAGCTTTTCGCTCATATGAAGAAATCTGGAGATCAAGGTGGAGATGAAGACGATGAAGGCATTGAGATCGAGGTTGATGGTCTCGGCGTCCCTACGGTTGAACTTCGCGTTAAACATGATTCGGATGAATGTAAGAGCGACAAGCGCAAGAAACACAAAAAGAAGAAGAAGACGGTGACCTCTGCCGGCGTTCCCGTCCAGAGACTTCCATGGTACGAGGAATGGGAGGAGGGTGAAGACTTGAGGGTGACGAAGAATGTTTATGATCAGTGAGGCGTCGATCGTTTGTTCGCTTGTCACTTAGCGCTGACTGTTGCTATTACTAGGAGTATCCCACCGACAGATCGGTTGTTCCAATCCGCCCTCGACTTCCGCACTGGAAGGCCGTGGCCCCCCGCTGCGTCTGGCCTTAATAATATCTGGGATCAGGTGCGTTGTTAGTTTTAAGTCCGGATGGATCCATGTTCTTGATCAGACGTTTCGAAGTTCCGTATTTACGTCGGACTGCTTGTTAATCCAACTACCTATAAGAAAGGCGATGATAAGAAGGCTGCTCACAACCCTTCTCCTGATTCTGACTCTGAGGATGATAGCGACGGTGATTCCCCCCCAACTGCATCTACGTGCGCGAAGGTCGAAGGCATTTCAAAAAAACGTCCTCGTCCCCGTGACTCATCTTCGTCTGCGGTCGAGAACAGTGACGAGGACGAGGACGTACCGTTCGATCAGCAAAAGATTGACGAGGAAACCAAGGAAGAGAAGCTCTCGGTCTTTTTGAGTGATCCAGAAAAATCAGTCCGAATCTTTCTGTCTTCGCACATGCGTGAAAAGGGCCTCATCTGGTGAGCCTGATCCTTTTCTCTCCTCAACCTTGTTGAACGACGTGCTGTGCTAACCGTTTCTATCATATCATTCAGGTCCGAGCGTAATCTAATCTCTGCGCCTCATCTATTGTCCTTTTTCCTCAGGTTCGTCCTCCGCAACCGTGTGCTCCCCGAACAGACGTACCAACGTGGAATAAAACGAGCCCTCGGGACAATTGATCTGGCGAAGAAGGAACTTCCCCTCACGTATAAAGTCGGTCATATGCTCCCCGACAAATGCAGCGAAGGATGCCAGGGGATTTTTGGACGGATGGGCACGGTGAACTGGTTCACTGCCACCGTTCCGGAAGAACAGATGAAAGGTATATTGTCGTTAACTATTCGAATTATGATGTTGACGAGCCTCAGAACCTTCTGGGGAACAATCGAAATTGCAAGTAACCGACACGGCAACGGGAGAACGGCAAGACATCACATTGCCGCCCGAAGCGGAAATTTCCCTGAAGGAAGCGATCGAAGACAATCTTGACATGGACGTTACCCCACAGCTAGAGCAAGGATCGACGGCAACTGGATGGGGTAACTGGTGCAATACCGATGCTGCGGCCGAAGTCAATGCATGGGGTTCTGGTGAATGGGGTGGATGGGACGCCAATGATGGGCAAGGAACGCCATGGGACGCTAATATTGAATGTATGCCTGCCGACAATGACCGAGAGTGTAGCGGTCCTCTTCCTATCTGGTCGGACAGCGCGCCAACATGGGGCCGCGACTTGACATCACTCATGGCTTTCCTCGGTCCTAGTGTCTTCCCGCTAACTCACACCACGGGTATCGTTGAGTGCTCCACACGTCGCGTCCGTGAAGTCATCGCTCCCACTTCGTCTTCTCCGTCGTCTGCCACCAAGCGGAAGCCAAAACACAAAGATGGACGGGAGGCATGGGTGCCCGCAGCGTCAGGTGTTGAAGCAGAACTCGATGCTCGATTCGCTAAAGTTGTTCTCGCGCCGTGGGACCGTTTCGGTGGAGATATCTCCAAGCCGGAGATATGGGCAACCTCGCGCGGTCCCGTCATTGACCCAAATGTATCTTCCGATTCACAAAACACAAAGACAGGTGAAACGCCACACAATCCACTGACGGACGATATCGCTTTACTCGTCGAGCCGCACCTCATTGATACGCTCGGCGTCGTTCCCGGTCTCGGACTGGGCGCGATGTGGGTCCAACTCGTGCGATTGGAAGACAAGGAAGGGGAGGTAGTGAGCAGCAAGTCTCGCACTGCGTGCCCGAAGATTTTTTGGTATCATGAAGATCTTACCGGTATTTTCCCCAGTTTCTATACCCCCGGATCCTCTGAATAGAATCCGTCACAATCGTACGTGATTTTTTCATTCGAACGTTCACTCCATCAGTAGACTCACTGACAACTGATAGACAGTAGTAAGAACTTGGGTAGTATATCACCTTTATCTCAAGCAACTAAACCGTTGTATGGTACATGGTCTAAGGATCTCCACATTTCTATTAGTTTTGTGGCTCGTCTTTCCTGTTCTTTTGACACCCGTTGCTTAGCACAGTATTTGACTGTCTAACGTGGACGGCAACCACCTTATAAAAGACCTCGATAATTTGGATCGCATGCTAGTTTGGCACTATGTACAACACTTCGAAAGAACGAGCACATAGTTATCGCAGGCTTACTATAAACACCTCCGCAGCGGACCCGCTTCAACTTTGCATGCAAACTCAGGCCTGGGGTACCCTAGGCCACATATCTTGAATCCGAACAATATTGCGGTTTACCACTATGCTTGCGTTGAACCGCCTTAATATGTCTCGGGGATCAGATTGACTATTAGTACAAGGGCTGACAGGCAAAAGTTCAATGCAGTTTAGTATTGGCATATGTACTAAGGAAGTCCTAACAGTAACTGTGCCCACATTTTCTACCTCAACTCATACTTCGCACGGGTAAAAATATGCAGCACGTTGAGGAAGGGTTCAAGTGGAAACGGCCTCGAAGGGTGTCGAACTTACATATCATGTTTTTGAATCTCCCAACGTGCATCTGATATTCTGGGCGAGTTACCACGTGCATCACCTCGAGGACATGGTGCCTCTCATATCTAGACATGGAATGGTCTCTGCTCGAGTACGACTGGTCTAACTTTTACTGCTGTTATTAGGCCCACCACTTCCAATCGCACACTAACTAAACGACTTGTAACATCGACATGGTCTCCAATGTTTTGCACGATCCTGAACCCGAGTGGACGACGCTCATGCGGACTCAAATAGAATGTTGGGAAGCAGAGGAGCAACAGATGCAAGTTGAAGAGATTGAGAGTCTTGCATGGGAAGCGGCCGAACGTGCCTCCCGCGAGGCCGAGGAAGAACGGCAAAGGGGACATGAGGTCCTGCTCGTCGCTGAGTGGGTGGCCCAGGTTGACTTCGAGGAAGCCGAACAGATGCGACGATGGAGGGAAGAAGCCGAGCGAGCTGAGCGACTAGCTCGCGAGGAGGCGGAGGCTCATGCGAGTGAAGAGCGAGCACTTGCGGAGAGGATTGCGCAAGAAATGGAGGTGGACCGTCAAAGGTGGGAGGCTGAGAGACTCGCCGCCATCGCAGCGCGGGAGGAGGAGGTTAGGCACCAGAGAGCCATAGAGGAAGAAGCCAGGTTGGCCAGGCAAGCCCAAGAAGAGGCTGAACGGCGAGCCCGGGAGGCTTTTGAGGCCGCAAGAAAGGCTCAGGCTGAGAAAGAGGAAATGGAAAGACAGCTAGAAAGGGGTATTCAGCCCGTGGTGATACCTACCGCTGAGGAGGTGCAGCTTGCCAAAGCGAAAGTGCAGTACAAGGATGACGTTTTTCACTTCGCCGTTGCTGGCGTCGCAGGTAGTGGAAAGTCCTCTCTTATCAATGCCTTCTGTGGCATGAATAACAGGGATCCCAATGCAGCCCCCACTGGCGTCAGTGAGACCACCTTGGAAATTTCAAGATACGTTAATTCGGCACACAGCGAGCAATTCGCTTGGTACGACGTGCCCGGCTCTGGCACACTGACCATCCCCGATTGGCAGTATTTCAACTCTCAAGGTCTCTACGTCTTTGATTGCATCCTTGTGCTCTTTGACAACCGCTTTACAATGACCGACCATGCCATACTCGCAAACTGCGATCGTTTCAAAATCCCCACCTTCATCGTCCGCTCCAAATCCGACCAGCATATCCTTAACGTCATGAAGGACGTGGGTTACGATACCGATGAGGACACAGACTATCGAGAGCAGTTCTATCATATTGCTCGTGAACATTATATATCGGAGACACGTCTGAACGTCAAGAGCAACTTGGCTGAGGCGAACCTCCGTGACCAGCGAGTATATATCATCTCCAACAAGACTCTTGCCGGGGTGGCCAAGGATAATTGGCCGAAAAAGATCATTGACGAAGTTGAGTTGCTCACAGACTTGTACAGTACGGCTTACCTCAGTAGCAAGTTCACATGAAACCTGCTACGGACCTTTTTGTAGTACTCTGGTCTAACTGGAATGAGCCTCTATTCTCGCAGATTCGTCAAGTATCATAACCACAGGGCCCAGGGAGCTCGTCCAGTAGTGCAACGCAACCCACTGCTCATTACCGACATGAAAACTTGAGCAGTATATCATCGTTATCTACCAAGCCTTCGCATCGTAGTTCCGAGGATTTACTTATTGTGATCTACTTTGATTACCTGTCGTGGCTCATCCTTCTCAATTCTTTCGAAAATAGTCAAACCTCTGTAACATGCCTTGGTAATTTGGATCGATTGCTTAACTCCTGTGCTGTGTCTCATCACTGTTCAGATGATATTTGAGTCTTTAACGGACATGCACCCCCTGAGGTACTTATGGGTACTTCTTGGTGCAACTGTTCGACTTGAAGGGCCGTCGTCTATACAACCAACCCCCCTGGCCCGGTGACAGTTGACACGTGGCACCGTGGGATGCGCTCCAAACCTACTCCATTTCCTCAGCGAGAGACCCTAGAAGACCCGCTAAACTTCTAACGAATTTTTATTCGTGTGAGTATTTGTCGTAGCCACTGACCACGTTCTGACATGTGTTAACCGCGTTGCTTAGTTTAGGATGCGTTTGATCGACGTCGATGTCTTTCTAACGCGGGAGAGAAAGATTCAGAAGCGGGAGACTGGTTGTGATGTCAAACCTGTTCTGAGGGAGCTCGAGGACTCGATTACCGATTACGCCATATTGTCACATCGCTGGGTCGTCGGTGAGGTGGGCTACACGGAGATGTTAGAACTCGAAAAAATGGAGAATCGAAACGAGATTCGAGGGCGTGACGGCTACAAGAAGGTTATGAAGAGCTGTCAGCAGGCTAAAAACGATGGATTAGATTGGCTCTGGGTCGATACGTGCTGTATCGACAAACGGAACAGCTCAGAACTGTCGGAGGCCCTAAATTCCATGTTCCGATGGTACGAAAACTCAAAGAGGTGTTACGCTTACCTCCATGATGTTGATGTTTTCCCTACTACACCCGACGTCGAGAGGTTTGCAGGATCGGAGGGCTGGCCGGAGTGGTTCTCGCGGGGCTGGACGTTGCAGGAGTTGATAGCGCCGGGAGACCTCCACTTCTTTAACAAGGATTGGCAACCCATTGGAGATAAAAGAAACCTCGCGTCCATGCTAGAAAACATTTCGCGTATCCCATCTCAAGTCTTGCAGGATGGTCTGGCGTCATATCGTCCCAGCGTCGCCCAAGTTTTGTCGTGGGCTGCCGACCGGAGGACAACACGAGTCGAGGATCGAGCGTATTCACTAATGGGTCTGCTGGATGTCAACATGCCTATGTTGTATGGGGAAGGAAAGAAAGCATTTCTACGCCTTCAGCAAGAAGTCATCCGCAAGTCGAATGACCAAACTATCTTTGCTTGGAATCCAAGAGGAGAAACCTGGCAAACCGCTGGCGTGCTGGCGGATGATCCGAGTCTTTTCCGAGATTGCCATGATGTCATCCAGATAGAGTCAAAGGAATTCTACTCGAAATTATCCGACTTGTGGAGTGTTAGTGTCAAGAAAGTCACCGAACCCCTACTGAAAAAGGACTATTTTCTTTCGAGTTTCCTGACTCTCTGGGACTTGACCATCGAAATGCAGGCATTCGACGCATTCACAATCACTAATGTGGGAATCCAGGCGAAGCTCCCTCTTAGACGCTATCCTGGCTGTCCACTTGTCTTACAGGTGGCATTGGCTTGCAGGAGAGAAGGTGATTCGAGGCTGATAACCATTGATGTAATCCCCTGGAGATCCAGATGCTACAGGTATATTGGCCATGTCGGGTGGGACCCCTTACCACGTTCTTACCAGCACTCACAACTCGTTCTTGCTTATGAGCTTACAGAGGCTCCCTCTGGAATTGTCATTGAAGAGATGCATGGTGTGGCAGCGCTGATTCTGGATGCATGCGCGGCCGAGACTAGCATCGAGGTGGTAGGCAGGAATACGCAACCTGTTGGTGTCACTACTACTGACATCCATCGCGTCCCGCCCCAACGTTCCCGAATGCTGGCCAATGCCGACTCTGTCTTTCATTACTTCTCTGTCTTCTTCGTTCTGGCGTACATCTGGGTGGCACTGCTGGCTCTGGACCCTTGGTCTTTTTGCGAAGCGTTCTGGTGTGCCATTATTTGTTTTTGGACATCATCAGAAGCAATAGCAAGAACCCCAATCATCCGCCACTGTACGGTGGAAGCTCCGCCTCCTGGAGAGTACATCCTCAGCTCCGACAGGGAAATCGTCTTGTTGAGAGGGACAGGGCCTGCAGTCATTTCAATCACTCGTAGCGAGACAATTATTCCGTTTCATGCCCTGTCGCGTGTACGCCTACTGACAGTGTACCTGCACGTATTCCTCATTGTTTTAGCGGTCTTATTCCTGGAGCGTTCCAATGCAAAACTCACATTGCCGGCGATCCATCCCACGATGATAGTAGTAATTTTTTTACTGCCTGCGCATGTGCTGCGGAAACGACTGTATAGAGGGTCTCTGGTACGACGTCTCTGCCAGCGGAAACTCACAAAATACATGTTCGGTACTCGCACTAGTGGGGTGGTGTTCGCGCTCCTTCTCTTGCAGACTGAAAAGGCAGAGAAGGTCATGAATGAGCTGTTGCCTACTCCGAACACCAAGGCATGGAGGAGATGGAAGACCATCATCCTCGATCGTATCAGATGGAGGGGAGACTTCGACTTCGACACCTCCGAGTGGGATGATGGCACCTGGTCGAAAACGGAGAAAGCAATGTTGGTCGGCCTGTTCCAAGATGCCCGCGATGCCTATCAAGTCTTTGAAAGTTACCTTGCGGAGTCGGTCTCCGAACGGTCAACATTGCTTTGATCATCGACCCCAATCACTTTCGCGCCGACAAACACATCAACCACTGCTGTATGATGTGTAAGTTCAAAATCCTGACGACAAGATATTCTCTGACATCGAAGATTTCCCGGTGTCAGTGCGCGAGGTCGCCTCAATGCTGGCCAGGAGAATCTATCACGTCTCGCTGGCCCGGAGGCTAAGCAATTGTTAATCACCCACTCCTCGATCTGAATCGTCGTTCCGTTGGTCACATCTCACCCCTTTTGTCTGTGTTCCTTTCGTGCACGATCTAAATATTCTTGTACCCCTGAACTTTTTGAAGCTTCCTTTTTGTGGCGAGCGTGGTCCCAGTGCAACAAGTGTGAAGTGAAATTGAGAAAACACAAACATTAAGGTATAGCAGATCTTACGATGTCCAGTGGTAGAATACCACCAAACTAACAGCACCTGCGTGGCAAGAACACTTTCTGCTTAGCCAGGGGGCCTTGTTAGATCCCTTCAGCACATGAAGATATGGCATTGACACTGGGAGAGCGGGTATCATAGTGTAACTCACTGGCGATTGGAAAGTGCTACTTTGGCTCGGAGCCGTCTACATGGTCCGACGGTTCCCCGTGGTATGGGTTACCCTGCGCAAATTGCGGGGCAAGAAGGTATTCCGCCTGTTCATACACCCCTCCACGACCTCGATCGCTAACTCAGACTGACCTTCTCAAGATTGAAAAAATGCGCACTAGGGAACACGTCGACATCTCCCTCATCGGTGGTAATGTGTCAGAGCTCATGCCCAGCTCTGACACGCTGACAATCCTGATTGACAGTATTTCAACTCTCAAAGTCTCTACGTCTTTGATTGCATCCTTGTGCTCTTTGACAACCGCTTTGCGATGACCAACCACGCCATACTCGTAAACTGCGTCGTTTTAAAATCCCCACTTTCATCGTCCGCTCCAAACTCGACCAACAAATCCTTAACGTCATGAAGGACGTGGTTACGATGCTAACGAGGATGCAGGCTGTCGAGAGCAGTTCTGTCATATTGCTCGTGAGCGGAGTCACGTCAGAGCGTCAAGAACAACTTGGGTGTGGCAAACCTCCGTGACCGGCGGGTATTTATCGTCTCCGACAAGACCCTCGCCGGGGTGATAATTGGCCAAAAAGAATCATCGACAAAGTTGAGTTGCTTACAGATTCGTACAGTACGGCTCACCTCAGTCCAGGTTCACCTGAAACTTAGCTGAGGTGATTCGATGGGGTTTTGACCACTAGTCCGCGTTTGAAATGAAATCGGTCATTTTCGCGTGAGACTCGCACTAATAGCCACAGGGAGCTCGCAGTGGTCTAGTAGTACTATCAAGTGTAACTCTCTAGCAATGGGAGGGAGGTGGTTACATCTTATTTGGAAGCTGCTCTTATGTTTCTCCGTGATATGTGCCTCGCGGGTGATGTATGGGACGTTGACGCCGACCCGAGTCATTTCTCACATGAAGGTGTTTCGCCTATTCCTGCACTCCTTCACAACTTCAATCCCTGACTCGGACTGGCCTTCTCGAGATTGAAAAATGGACGTCAGGGAACATGTCGACATCTCTCTCATCGGTGGTAATGTTTCAACAAAGCTCAAGCAAGCTTTCTTCGATGCTTTTTTTGCGCGAATAAAGAACGCCAAGGCAAAGCGATACAAGGGTTTCGAGCCCGAGATAGCCTCCCGAACAGTTTGGAAGGAGATGTCAATGCGGAAGAAAGCCGAGGAGCCGGAAAAACTCGAAGCTCGTACTGTCTTAGAAATCTCTGTGGGAGAGGGTAGGGATACTGTTGATGTCTTGAGCTCCTTCAAGTTGATGCTTGCTCCGTCGTCCATCGCACGTCACAGACATGGTTAATCTAAACGGAGCCCTGCACGGTGGTTGTTCGGCGTTGTTGATAGACAAGCATGTCGACTGGATCCCACTGGTGGTTTATGCCTACGGCTAACACTCGCCTAGCTGTTCGAGGATGCCGGTGATACTCCTTGGCCTAGCGACCACAGACCGCGTCGAGTTCGGGGTATCTAAATCCCTCAACATACTGTACCACGCCCCAGCCATGGTGTGCGTCCAAGTCCGTGTCAATCCTCCAGTGCGCGCCTTACAAAGTCCTTTCTTTAGGGGTGACCGGCTCCGCATCGTGTCCACAACGCTGAGCTACGGGAGTCGGGTGTTGACCTCTTGTTGTGAGGTATATCATTCGTCCTCTCACATGAATTTTCGTCAATTTCTCATGCTATAAGATTTGGGATGCTACAAACCACCGGCTCGTAGCCTCTGGGGTCCACACCATAATGCTAGCCTCAACTGCCAAGCTGTAGCTCTGTCCCTTCTGCAATTGTCTAGTTTTTTACAAGCGCATGCTACTAGCTACTCTACTTAATTTATTAGAGCACTGTTTCCGAATCATACTCGAAATAGATAGGGATCTGCAGTTACAGGGTATCCAAATTGCGGTAGAAAGAGCGAAATACCAAGTCAATTCAGTGCGACGGGATGACTGTTGCTCGGTGAAAGTGTCACGTGGTCGTCATTCTCTCACTAACGATCATCATATGATAATCATCTCTGCAGGGCCATAAAAGTACCCTCCTGAGCTGTCATTGAGCGTAGGATATCCCTCTGCAAAACTTGCCACCATTGAAGAGTCGCTAACGGGGCACGTGGAAGCCTTCCGTCCATTTTAATCAGGTGCAGATGTCTTTCAGTCAGCCGAGGTCTGGTCTTCACTAGTCTTGTAACCCGCCGTCTTAGGATACACGGGGCTGAAAACCCCCTTAGCTGTCGTGTGCTGAAACAGGTCCCGAGGCTTTCCGAGGCAAAGACGAAAGTGTCTGGTGCCGAGACTAATAGGTCTACACGAAAGACGGAAACCAACCGTAAATATCCGATGTATATGTATCATGCCATTAAACAAGTGCCAATGCACTCCGGGCTGATGCTCGACGAATCCGAGGACTTGGATAAGGGCTCGAATAATCGTGTCACGCAAATGGGCATATAATTGTTCTCGGGACCAGTGACGATGACCGTGCTACTCAGTAGTGGGCAGTTATGTCCATTCCATCAGCCTGCTCCACGTCCGCGGGATTAGGTGGGAGCTTTCCAGCTAGGAAGTCTTGACGTCGCTGCGTGTCCGAGTGGACCCAGGCGGCGTAAGCGTGGTCATGCTCAGTGCGGCGCTGCGCATCAAGGCTCCCGAGAGCGGGAGATAACAGTGACGCGAATAGAGACAAGGGTGCTCGAGGCGAAACCCCAAGTAACATTGGATGAAAATGAACAACAAGCATTGGAGGTGGATATTATAGGAAAGGCAAGGATATCATCGAGTCGCAACCTCATGAATGTAACTGCTCTTTCATTATAGATCCCGCGGTTCTACTGGTATAGAATCTGCTCAGAAATGGGCGAACTATTAGGAAAGGGAGGCTAATTTTCGCTTCTGGAAATGTTATTTGACAGGTTCAGGTTGTGGTAACCCCAATCTGGCTTCGAATGCAAGCCGTGATACGCCTCTCACATTGATTGCTCAGTAAAACTGGGCACCGACAACTGAAGACTTTGACTTTACCTGAGCAGGCTCAACTTGTAAGCGACGAGCACATTGCTGTTGATGGGGATCATGTAGTCTATGCACAAGTTGTCATACCCCCACTATAGCTGACTGAATTTTGCACTGGTGGTCAAAGCGGTACTCGGAACAGTGTCTTACATAACGCACAAATCGATCAATTTGGTGTACCTTCGGTCCTAGGCAATTTGCGGCGTAATGACGCCGGTCGATTCTCGCTGAAGCTATAGTAGATATTTCGTCTGTTCGTGCGCCCCGTTCGACCTCGATCACCGATTCGGTGGTACTGGTGTTCTCAGGGTTGAAAAATGGACACGAGAGAATATGTCGACGTCTCCCTCATCGGTGGTAACGTGTCCACAGAGGTCAAGCAAGCATTCTTCGATGTTCTTTGTGAGCAAATAAAGAAGGTCAATGCAGAGGGAGTCAAGGGTTTTGAGCCGGAGATAGCCTCTCGAACTCTTTGGAAAGAGATGTCAGTGCTGAAGAAGGCGGAGGAGCCAGGAAAACTTGAAGGTCGTATCGTATACGAAATTACAGTGGAAGAGGGTAAGAATACCGCTGATTTCCCAAGCTCCTTCAAGTTGACGTTCTCTATATATGCGTGTCACAGATATGATTAACGGAAACGGAGCTCTGCACGGCGGTTGTTCTGCGTTGTTGATAGACAAGCATGTCGATCGGACACTGGTAGTCAATGCCTGTGGCTAACATTTGTCCAGCTGTTCGACGATGCCGATGGCACTTCTTAGCCTGGTAACCACAGGGCACGCTGAATTCGGGGTATCTAAATCCCTGAACGTGTTGTACCATGCCCCAGCTATGGTGTACGTCCAACTCCCTATCAATCTTCCGGTGCGCACACATTATCCATCCTTTCCTTTCTTTAGGGGTGACCGACTCCGCATCGTGTCCACAACGCTAAGCTGCGGGAGTAGAGTACTAACCTCGCGTTGTGAGGTATATCATCTTCCTTCTCGTGTGGTTTTCTTCCAGTTTCTCATGTTATCCGAAGATTTGGGATGCTACAAACCACCGGCTCATTGCTTCTGGAGTCCATACCAAGATGCCAGGCTCAGCCCTGAAGTCGTCTGCCAAGCTATAGATTGTCTCGTCCTCATAGAACCTTGTGGTTTTCTTGTTTTCAAATGCGCATTCGCTAGCCATTTAACTTAACCTAAGCACCTGGAATAAATACGGATCTCCAAATCCAGGGTATCCAAATTAAAGAACGAAATACCAGTTCAATGCAAAGGAGTGACTATATCTGTTCAGGGGTGATATAAGAGGGAACGAAGGGAATGCTGTTCTGAGTCCAAATAACCTCAGGGTAAAATGTCATGTGTGGATCGTCGTTCTCTTTCTTTATCGATCATCATCTCCGCAGGGTCATGAACGTACCACCCTGAGCTGACCCTTGGCCCATCGAGCGTAGGATATCCTTACGTCTATCTTCCCAGGCCTTCAATGCTTTCAAGAGCTGCACCACTTTGTCTCTCTTGCCCTGCCGAACATCATTTATGCTCACATTCCCCACTTTCACATCGTTGTCAAGAAGGAAATCAAAAAGGCGGAAAAGGCCCTCCAATTTGTCGTCACTAGGTCCGGACGGGAATGCTGAGTCAGCAATGGGTGGTGATGTCGATTTTCCTACCACGGATTCAGCTAGTCGGAGGATAGCAAGGCCACCGAACAACGGCCCAGTAGGATCTACTACTTGGAGTGGTTGCGGCAAATGCGAATTGGCCCATGGGATCAAGCTATTGTCAATGGCGGACTACTAGAACGTCAGCATGTATAGAATTGCACCGAAAAAAAAAAACCAACACCATCGTTGACCTGAACGCTTGCCCGGCGAACTTCTCTCAACGGCCGGGGTGGCGCTAGTGTGGATCCTCTAGGAGTCGATAAGCTCGAGTTAGATTCACTGGTGTCGTTGATGGCGGAGACGATTTGATCTAATCTCGACTTCTCCTTTTCTTGGGAATCCTCGACTTGGGGATTGTCTTCCGAGGGCAGTCTCATGAGCACGCGGGCATCTCGTGTCGAGAGCTGGTTGGGGTTTTCACGCCTCAATGCCTTCTGTATGGCGTCCCGTGCTGTTGGCGACGGGGGTCTTGGCGCAGGGTTCATGGCTTGTGCGACTGTCAACGGTATGGTAGGGATATTCACCGAGGATACCACAGGCTCTGTGCAGGCAGTCAGCATCTCCCGCAGGTACCGAAAAAAAGTAGACACGAACTCGTATAATCTCTACCAATGGTGGCTTTCATGATAGCCTTCATCCACTCACGCACAACCATCTGTTCGTCTGAACTGAAGGAGTGCGTCTTGTCTGCTTCATGGATGATCCGGAAACCATAACGTCCAGGATCAACGTTCTCATCCGCCACGACCTTGTAGCCAGAGACATTGATGTAACCCTTGATCTTTGTCTCCTGGGTGGTGTTTGAATACCCGAAACACCCAGAAACAGACTAAAAGCCTTACCGTCTTACTACTAGTCCGCAAGATATATAAATGTGGCCCTTTAATGATGAAGTACCGCAGTTTCCAGGAGTTATAGTGATCACCCTTCTTCCGCATCCATCCAGCGTGATCAGCTTCGCCAATCTGCTCGATGACACTCTTGCCGGGTGTAAGAGTAGTGGCAGCACGTGCGCCTGGCTTCGTCGCCCCTGCGGTAGAAAGGGTGCGAGATCGCTTAACGAACGTCGCCGAATCTTTCGATCCACGGTCTTTTTCTGGCTGGGTTTCCCCGGTGGGGCTAGGAAACCTTGTCTTGTCAGGCGAGAACTTGCCCTTCCTGAAGGGGTCATCACCGCCTAACCTGCCATCTGATGTGGAGGGACGACCAGAGGATTTCCTGTATAGTCGCGAAAGGCCCAGCGAGGAGGGTTTATCTCCCTTTTCCATCGATCCGTTGTCGTCCAGTATTGTCCTTTAGTGGAGCGACAACAGTGAGCCCACGCCTCTAATTGAGACATCGAACGAAAAAGACATACGAAGTGATCCTCGGCGGGGGCTTCCGAGACTTTCCCAGCGAGGCTGGAAATGTGGCTCCGAACAGACTCAACCGTTCCGTTCCCTTATTGGCCACATCCACGTTGCGTTTGGCACGGCTTGGACGACTGACAACAGATGCTTCGTCCGAAGATGCTCGCATCGGTCTCGGCGATGCAGTACCGGATGATGCACCGTCCTTGGAGTTAGTCGAAGATCTTTTGTCCTTCGCAGACGCAGACGATTCGGTCGAACGTCCAAACAAGCGACGATATTGTCGTGAGGAAGAACGAGCAGCCTCGCCCTAGAAGATATTCCATTAAATCACTTGACCAAGTAGAGAAAGAAACACTGACGTCGCTCAGAGCACCACGTTCATCTTCATCAGTAAGTGCGCCAGACCCTACGACAGTTTCTTCATCATGTTTGTTAAGGGAAGGGTCACTGGGAGACAGCGACAACTGCCCAGAACGTGGAACATTCAGGCCCAACCCAGTGGTCCCGAGTAGCGTAGCCTTCTCAGTGCCTGCGGCGATACCATTGCCGTCGACGGACCCCCTCACCGATATTCTCGGAGAGGTATTGCTCAGGCTGGCACCTGTACCAGAAAGACTCGACATCCGGTTGGGAATGATTGGACTGGCCACGATATCTGGGTTTGGACTTCCGGGAGACCCCACGCCCAGCAAGACAGAGCTTGGTGGTATCGCTGCTTGGGCGTTTACCATGCTTGCGGCGAACGATGGACTGTTCAACGAATTCGTTATAGACGCCGTACGGGAATGTGGGTATGAATACGCCGGGGGAACAGGTGACGCCAACTGCGAATGGGGGAGGGACGGTGTCGACGATGCAACTTGGTTCTCGGGTATGGGGGCAGCTGGGGAGCGGTGGAGCTCGGCTATGGCATTGGCGATACGCATACGCTTGCCAAAGGCGACAATACCAATTTCAGTCTTGAGGAGGTTGATATCGAGCTCAAGCAGGACATCCCCAGTGATCTCTTGCTCTAAGTTGTCAAAGCGAGATCAATACCCATGCGTGCCTTAAAATAATTTAGCTGCTTACCGATGAACTTGTCGCATACATCCTGACCAAAACCCTTAGATTTGAGCCAGTCGACGACATCCTCAACACTCCATTCGGACGGAGAAGCTGATTTGTTCTCATTCTCCATGTCCTGCGGTTGTGACTGCGATGTGGTCGTTGCAGATTTGATGGATAGCGCTGAATTATGCTTCGAAGGCTGAGCGGAGTTTCGATGGCTACTACCAGCGGTTAGGGTGGGGGAAGGAAGTCCACTAAGTACCTCGCGTCCATCGCGTGCCGAATTAGAGGTACACGTCACTTGAGCGCTTGGTGTAGGACTGGCAGGTAACGGCACTAGATTTGCTGATGGCGGTCGCGGTGCTTGGGTACCCGGCACATTGGCGGAGGTTGGAGTGGGCAGCAGTGGAGGGGAACGTTGCCTATCGGGTGGTGGCGAGCGAGAAGAACGAGGTAGTGAACTTGAAACACAGACCGCCGCTTTCTCCAAAGATTTCCTGAGGCTTGTGGAATCTCTCTTTGGTATTGGGACGTCTTCTGGAGGAAGAATGGCAGAGGATGTGTCCGTGGAATCATTGCGTTTGCGATCTCTCTGAAGACTGCGGCGCGAGAATTCTTCTTCATCTTCTTCAGGGATATGAGGATGATCATGCGTAAAGTGCATGTTCTGCAAGTGTTGTAAAGCACCATCGTCATCTTCGCCTTCGCTCTCGTCGCTCAGCTCAACGTCGATTGGGGGAGCCAATCGCAAGGCCGCCTCAGCCGCTGCTTTCTCTTCAACAACCTTGCGCGCTTCCTGCGCCAACTTGTCTCGCGCATTGCGATGCCAGCCATTGCCGCCGTTCGCGACTCCTATTTCCCCGTCCGTCTGCCCGTCATCGGTATCCCCATCTCGACTACTTGCAAAGCTGAAGCTTCTAGCACCGTCGCGGTCGTTGTCGTTATTCCCGAGCTGCTCGATTGCTTTTTGGACATCGGTCATTGTGGCTTTCATCACCTCCCCCTCGGCCGAGCTCGCACCTCCCACAGCAACACCTATCTTGGGTTCTAGTTCGCCTCCGGTTAATGTCGTCGATTCTGACTCCTCTGGCAATGGCCGTAAGGAGCTAGACTGAGTGGAAATTGGCTCTGCCGGGGTCGTGTAACTTCCCGGAAAGAGACCAATTTTACCCTCTAGGTTCCGACCCTAAGAGAGTAATAGATCAGTCGAATTGTTGCATCATGTCTTCCCCAGAAGATAGCGGGGCATAACACACTGCACGCTTGGGCTGCGGGAAAGGGCCCACGTGCAGCATCTTGAGGCTAATGACAGCAATAGAAGTCAGCTTACCTGCCACCAGCCGTCATTATACTGGTCGTCCTTCTCTACGATCTCAATGGGTTCTCCAACTCGGAAAGCTATCTCGTCCTCATTCTCTGGATGAAAGTCGTGAAGCGCATAGACATATTCAGGCATGGTTGTAATCCCGTTGTGCGTGCTTGCGAAGGTCGCAAGTGAAGAAAGTTGAAACGTTGTCCGTCACTGCCTCGTGAGTGCCAGGAGGCGCAAATTTGAACTTGCCAATGGACAGTCGAAAGGCCCTGCAAGAGTAGTTTCAGAATAGCTTGGAGAACCTCCAAGAAGCTGTCCGTCGAGGTTAAAGTTGTACTTAAGCGACCTCCAGCGCTAGTAAAGGACCAAGCCGGCATGCAGCAAGAGAACGTGCCAGCCATGATGCATTAGCTAAAACTGGTTCGTCTGCATCCCGAACCGGTTCAATCATAACTTGTCCAGTTGGCAAACCTTCTACAAATCACATCACTCAGCCTAGAGATCCCCATGTGCATCAAAAGATTGAGTAAAATCTTCTTCCAATCTTTCAATGTACTGCTTCTAACCACAGCGTGCAGCCTTCGTTACTGGAAACCCAAATAAACTGTTAGAGACGAAATATATTCTCTCGCAAGGTGTTCCGGTAGAGATAGATTCAGCGGATCTCGATAGTAAGTTGACGACTCTATTTAATGACACTGACATCGATCTAATGCATCGCTCTTTGGCCAGTTCCCGAGCTACAAGGCACTACACAAGAAATAGCTATCGCAAAATGCCGGCGGGCTGCTGAGTTGGTAGGTCGTGTCTACAGCAGTGGTTACCGACCAATGATCATCACTTCTCCGGTAGCTTGGACGTGCATGCATCACAGAAGACACGGCACTTTGCTACAAGGCACTGAACGGGTTACCTGGGCCATACATAAAACACTTTATGAAAAACCTTGGTCACGAAGGTTTGTTCTACATGATCTCCTATAGTCTTCGACAGTGACAATATTCTACGCAAGGCTTGAATAAGCTTTTGGTCGGTTTCGAGACTAAGGAAGCTTACGCACTGTGCACTTTCGCTTATAGCGCGGGTCCTGGCTCTGAACCTCTCCTCTTTGAAGGGCGCACCGATGGCACAATCGTGCCCGCGAGAGGCCCCCCTGTCTTCGGTTGGGATGCTGTTTTCCAGCCTGTCGGATTTGACAAAACGTGAGTCTCCGTTCTTCTCAGCCGACTATCCCACCCACGCCTAGCAAGTTACGCGGAAATGTCAAAGGAGGAAAAGAACATCATATCGCATAGATATCGTGCATTGGATAAGCTAAAAGCATACCTGGCTACTATATCGACTGCCTAGATAGAAGGCTGCCTGGATTTACTATACCCGTACGCGAATTCTCCTGTCGTCAGTTTGAACCGTGAATTTACGGAACGTATGATCTTACCTCTCTGTGACACTCCGACGTTGCAAGCCTTGTCGTAGTGGTCACTTGAGGAATGGAATTTTTGAGGCAAGTATAGGTCACTACTTATCATCCCAATGCTGTCTGACAAAAGTACCTTTTAGGTCTCTTACACAGTGTGGGGGAAAATATACAAGGTGGTACATATTATCACCTTGCTTGCAACGCAAGGTCACCCGGTGTTGGCTTCGTGTACAAAACGTACATAGGAACCAACACGCGCCCGATTTGTTCACAATCCAGCCCCTTTCACTATTCCTACACCATAGGAGATTGTGAGCTGGCATACGTTCGTTCCTGTGGCCTTGCTTTTGGCGTTCACAATCACCTCCTGATTATCAGCCCCTTTTACTACCCCATCCCCCGCTTCGAGTTACGGTATGCCAATATCGACACTGCCCAACCTTCCCAACTAAGCGGTGAACAAATAATTAATGCGTACGTGCCGTTAGCAAACCCTGAACGTCGTCTCCTCCGTAGCAAGAAAGGTCCCCGGTGGCAAAGCCTCCCCCTTTTGCACGCGATGCCAACAGCAAGTGACCCAAGCGAATGGCTCAGGATACAACTGAGTGGCAGATGCAAGGGTTCTAAAGTGTTTGGTGTGTGACTATACGCTTGGACAGCTGTAAAGCACACCTCTGGTGTGGAGCATTCTTCATCATTTCCCCCATACAAGTCGGTCGTGTCAGCCGATGGGTGTACTATTTATCATTTCCCAATGCCTTGCACCGGCCATTATCGTCTTAGACCTCAAGTCAACCTCTGGGCGTGTCCTCGGTTGTAGTCTCGTTGTTGCGCTCATCGCGGCAGACATGGCAATTTCTCGCACTGGGACTGGATTTTTTGACTATACCTTTGGTAGTACCCTAGGTACTGATGCGCTGGACGCCATCCAGCTTTTGCTACTGACGCAACCTCTGAAGAACTATTGTCACGAAGCAAATAAGGTTCCTGCGCATCGGCTGCCATACGTCGAAAGATTTTTTTGGATCATGAGCGCCAAGGGGCATCAGGGTGGTCATTCAAGGTGAGGGGAGATAATATCAGACCTTTCTGAGCTGACCTTACCGCAGACAGGTCAATCAAGGTGTTCCTGTTGAACCGCACCAGATAGTGTAACTGTGCTTGAAAGAGTCATTAACAGGTTATTCGGTACAGTCCTTGCAGCCGCAATCAAGTCCTGGCTCGTAGAGTGAATAAAGGAAAGAAGGATGTTAGCTGAACAGGAAATGGTAAGATGGGGTAGCACAAAATGGTTTTCTGCCCCAGGAACGATATTAGTTGCTGGTAAAGCTGCAAGAAGTCGCTTGTAAATCGCATAACATAACTTGACTTGCTGCTTGTGTACCAGAAGGAAGGTGCCCAACCGGGCTTACTACCACACAAAAGTTGCTTATAGGGGACTGACGAATAAAGCACAAATAAACTCGTCCGTAATTGCGAAATTTATAGCAGGTGGTCTTGTGCAGGTAGTTTACTGGCTTTTAAAGCGGGATGATTGTCGGGCGCGATTTGCAACCAAGAACGGGGGGGATTAAATGCAGTGCGCGATTAGCTGACCCCGTCGACGAGATCCAAACGGCCCAAGGCGCGTGCGATCCATCGGGTCCCCCAGTCGGGACAAATGGACGAGGTGGATCGTATTGTCAGCGAGGCTAATTCAGTCCGACAACGACCGTCCTGACACCCACATAGTACAAGGAGACAAGACTTTGAGAGCTCATTAGGCTTCCAGAGTCCTATGGTTCTGATCATATTTGCTACATTCGTAACGAGCCTGTGTCTCGTTTCAAGATGACATATATAGACCCATGCATACCCCCCTCTCTTTCCCAGCAGAGCATGGCTGCGTGAACAAGAGCGTGAACAAACACCCTCACAGATGTCTGAGTACCGTTGGGCAGAAACTCGGCTGCGTTCGCGTTATTTTTTGGAGCTCCACCAAATGAGCGGTGGGTCACTTCGTGGGCACAACATGAGGAGATAGGTCGCTGATCCACTGTCACTTAAGCGGCACCTGTTAGACTGAATCCCTTGCTGGAGTCTAAACGAAAGGGTTGAAGGACCGCTTGATTGAAGAACTGCACTCGATCGAGTGCTATAGTGAAGTGGGAAAGACTTTCCCTTTCCGGAAATGTCCTGATGCCCAATGACTTCTGCCAATACGAGTCTTTGCCGATGTGAACACCCAGTGTACACCACATGTCCGCATCGTTGCCCTTCTTTGCTTGCTTTCTAAGATTCATATCTACTCTTCCTGTGAATCGCTGACAATCACAACAGTGCTAACGACCCACCCCAACACGATCTCTAACTCATAGGGTCTAACAAAAATTTCCTGAACTGTAGTGCATCATCCTAATATGTCACTACCCGCCCCACGCAAGAAACGACGAATACACTTCGATGATGATGAGGGTCCTAAGAGGTCTCATTCTATCAGCTCTAGCCCCTCTACCCCCCTCCAGAAACAGCGTGAACAACTCCCAATAGCGAAGGGTGAGTATGCTTCCAACGTCCTACAGACGTGCATTCCTCCCTCAAATTTACTCGCTGATAGGGCGTGACGCCCTAATACGAGAAATTCGCGAAAACGATGTTACTATACTCCTCGGTGAAACGGGGTCAGGAAAAACTACCCGTACGTATATCCCGTGTAACCCGCGGATTCACCTGCACCTGCCCCTTCACCCACTCACCACATGTTCAAAGCACAGAAGTTCCACAATATCTCCTAGAGGCAGGATTGGCTGGGAAAGGCATGATCGCGGTAACTCAACCCCGTCGTGTGGCCGCCACATCCCTTGCTGCACGCGTCGCCGCAGAGCGTGGTGTCAAATTGGGTAGTCTGGTGGGATACTCCGTCAGGTTCGACGAGATCTGTGGCGCAGACACCAAAATAAAATATGTCAGTGATGGTATGCTCGTACGCGAGCTCCTGTCGGACCCATTGTTGTCCCGGTATAGTGTCATCGTGCTCGACGAGGCACACGAAAGGACCCTCCGAACGGACTTTTTAATCGCAAACCTGAAGTCGATACAGGTAAAGAGAAAACAAGCTACCGATGTGAAGGGAAAGGGTAAATGCATGTCTTCCGGCATAAATCCTCTCAAGATCATCGTCATGAGCGCTACGCTGGATGCCGAGAAATTCAGCAGGTTTTACCACAAGTTGGTCTTTGCTTGCATCCGAGGTTCGATCTTAAATCATTTTCCAGCGCCCGAATTTTGTACGTGAAAGGACGTCAACACCCTGTCAAAATATTTTACACGGCCGTGAACCAGACGGATTATGTCGACTCCGCCTTGCGGACGTTCTTTCAAATCCACCTCGACCAACCGCCAGGGGATGTGCTCATCTTTCTACCAGGTAGGCTGTCCGCGGAATGTTTACCACTATTTCCCCGGTGGCTGATGTTATCTTCCAGGCCAGGAAGACATCGAAAGCCTCGAGAAATCCATCAAAATGCATGCCAAGAGACTCCCTGTGAGTTCGACGAATGTATGTTCGCAAACCCACGTTTCCGAGGACCGAGCGCAAGTGTTCGGCAAGGACTTGCAAGTTTAGCCTGACCATGTATGCACAGGTACTCATATCTCCCATGTATGCATCCCTACCGCCGTCCCAACAAGCACGAATATTTTCTGCTACCCCTCCCCAAACGAGAAAGTGTATATTGGCCACCAATATTGCTGAAACATCTATAACGATACCTGGCATAAAGTATGTAATCGATACCGGAAAATCTAAAGAGAAGAGATATCTATCAAAAGATACCGGTGGTGGTAAAAGCCTTTTTCTCTCTCTTTTTCCGTGGCTATGTACTAACTGCGTCCGTAGGTTTCGATACTTTATTGACTCGGGATATCACAAAAGCATCAGCCATGCAGCGCGCTGGCCGTGCTGGCCGGGAAGTGCGTCGTTTAATGTCTTCTCCGGAATGGATTTCTGATGCCACATAGGGTCCCGGGTTCTGTTTTCGCTTGTATACCGAGGAAGCGTTCAATAATCTAGCAGCTGCTTCGGAACCCGAGATTCGGCGGTGTAGCCTAACGCAGAGCGTTCTAGAATTGAAATGTCTTGGCCAAGACTTGGAAACGGTTGAATTCATGGACCCGCCTGATATTAATTCCGGTGTGTTCTTCTGCACTCGTAGTATGGGACCAACGGTTGAGATGCATTACAGTCATAGCTGCCCTGAAAACGCTTTGGATACTGGGTGCATTGGACAACTCGAAAGAATTAACGTCCTTGGGCAAACAAATGGCGTCTTTCCCAGTGGAACCCTACTTGGCACGAATTATCCTGGCTTCAAGTACTCATGAATGCACCTCTGAAGTCATTGACATTGTTTCCATGATTTCCTCGTCCTCAAAATTATTCCTCGATATATCCGACCAACGTGATGCAATTGCAAGCGCGCGTAGCAAATTCCGCCATCCGAGCGGGGACCACTTGACCATCCTCAATACGCTTCGTGCGTATCAGGAGATGGCCGAAACAGAGAACAAAAGCTCGCGAAAGGAGTGGTGCAAGCAACACTTCTTGAACGAGCGAACATTTACGGAAGCACTGAAAATCCGGGATCAACTGCGGGTGACGTGTGGAAGAGTTGGTTTGGATTGGCGAGCTTCGAAAAAAGACAGCGAGGACCCTGTGTTGCGAAGTTTTACTGTAGGGCTGGTACAGCAATCGGCACTGCTTCAACCTGATGGATCGTACAAACAATTAATGGGCCGTTCTGTAGGATTTTTCTTTTCTTGCTTGCATCACATTCTGATGTGCATGGTTGTCATCTAGGTTGTTAAGATCCATCCTGGCTCGACATTGGCCGATAAAAAGGTACCAGCAATAATATTCGACGAGCTGGTAAGTGGTGCCTTTGCCGGTTAGTGAGCACTGCCAATATTCGCCAATTGTAAGGTATACACAAACCAGATTTACGCACGCGGCGTTTCATCTGTTCCGAGGAGTTATTTCAATGGCGCCACTCCCGCGATTCCCAATGGATCATGATGGATTATTGCCTTTTGGTTCCACGATCTGGCTGGCTTGATGTGGCGGACTCTGACCGCGATCTGATCGCAGTCTGATTCATCAAGTATATGCAGCATGCTGCGTCTCAAGTATGTAGCCACTGCTTTCCAGGAACATAGCTGTGAGGAACGTTCTACGTGGTGATATAATTTGCATCTGCTGTTCCGCTCCGATGACCGGGTCAACCGGTCGGGTCGCTTGAGTAATAAAGCCAGAGTGTTTAGGAAGTTCGTTACCATGAAGATGTATCCCCGGGTTGCGTGATATATATGAACGAGGGGCAGTGATATCGGCTTTGCGGGCCGGGAGAGGGTCCACCCAAAGAGTATGTGAAGATGCTGGTTCCGTGAAACGGAGAGGTCCAACGCTAGAAGTGCTAGTGTCTGTAATCAGGGTTTGAACACGTGGGCCATTCATTGCCTGAGATCATAAGGTCGTGATAGGGTGGACATACTATCGGCCTGCGTGCATATGTTTGGACTTACAAATGTTAGCCATCGCCACAGGATCTTAGTAACTTGATCTGGGTGCTTTCCCTGTCGGAAGCCTGTCTGAGACCGCTGCTGCGCTGGACTGATGAGGTTGCATGTTGTCGTACCCGAGTCTCACGCCAACGAGCGCCTATCAGTCGACCACCCGCCACCGTTGAACGAACGTTGACACTGGGCGCTAGCACTCAGCTCGACACGACGTACCCCCGTTTCCTGGACATATGGACGACTCAAAACACCTTGAGTCAATACCGCCTGTCACGATCGACGACGTAACAGGCAATGCTTCTCTCGCCACGAAAGGTTTGGTGCCGTTTCACCTCGTACATCCTATTGTAACTCATATGTAGCTAGAGCATGTAGTTCTGTGGCTTAACCGATTCTGCTGGGAAGGAAGATTCGGTACACGTACAGCAAAGTCGCTGAAACTGGTCGAGGTATCGATCCTTCCCAAAATCGATGAACCAAAAAGACAAGAAGCCAGGATCATTCTGGAGACGACTGTGAAGGAAGGTGCGGAGTAGTACACAATGATAATTCTGCATTCCCTAACTGTACCATATGTGAATCTCCCCTATAGATATGCTTAACCTAGCTGGAAACATACATGGAGCATGCATCACTTACCTCGTGGATATGTGCGCTTTGTCCCATCCCGTCATTTGTAACATGTTCAACATTGCACAGCTGCTCGACACTACCGATAATGGCATTATCGCGTGCCCAAGGGGGCGAAGGACTTCCTGGTGTTTCTCAACACATCGACATAATATTCCATGCACCCGCCAGTTTGTACGTATGCTATTTTGTTCCCCTATCCGCCGCGCTGAACTTAGGCTGACGTGTATGTAGAGGTGACAAACTCAAATTGATCACAACAACCATCACAGTAGGAGGGCGCACCGCGAGCTCTCGGATAGACGTAAGTCGTAATCTCATTCCCTAATGCATCATTGATTCAATTCTATCCAAATGGCTGCAGTTATGGGATGTCACACATCATCGTCTCATCGCGTCTGGAACGCAGATTAAAATGGGAGCGTCTCAATCAAAACTCTGAGATTCATCGCCGAGCTGGTTTCCGTGGGCGCTGGAGTGACGCTTACCGAAAAGTTTAGATTCTCGATGCTTTCCGAGGTTGCGTTATGATTGTACATGTAGTTTACATCCCACTAGTGTGAGAGTCCGATCGTTGTGTGTGGCTTGATACGCAAGATAAGATAGCCGCCGGGCACAGCCGATGACGATTTCTGTCAAGCCTTACTAGGACCCATGATCATATCAGTGACACCATTTGGCCTCCTTTGCATCCCTGCAATTCTCAAAAGGGATCAACTGCGTCTTAGGAATGGTCCTTCCCGTGGAGACTGTCGAAAAATCCTTGCTTTCCGGGAGGTGGAACTCCCAACTTGGTCCAGAGACCCACCCCGTCTTACAATTAGCCAAGGCAACTGTTGATGGCGACTTCCGAACTGTGTTGACTTCAAAATATGCCAAGGAGCTGTTCCAGATCAAGAACACACAGGAGGTGTCTGTCGACCAGCAGTCGTATGCAGAATTGTTCTTGTGGAAGTTGCAGTCCGTGGATGACGAACAGGAGCGGGAGCTCGTCCAGCTCCTATTGGCAGTTGCCTGCTTGCACACGTTCGTGCAGGTTAACTGGACGGGTCCGAACTTAGAATTCAAGCTTTCGGATATCATCTCGTTCCCCTCACATCATCCGCCGCCCATATCCGAGGAGACTCTGTGTGTAAAAGCCATCGCCGAACTAGCGTACGGCGGAGAACCTGCATACCATCTCGCTCAGTTCCCGGTCCTCTTTCGGCTTGCGCAAGTCATTCTTGGATTCCCTTACGTCCATTGCAAATACACGCCATGGTGGCAGCTGCGGGCGGCCATCATTCATGAACGTCTTCTTGACGACCCCGTTCCATTGCCAGCCGAAGTTTTGGGTTCTCTTGCGCCCTTAGTGGAAACGACCAACTCCGACCCTGACCTCGCAGGTCAACTATTGCTAGAACAAGGGTTGCTTGAACACATCTTTTCTCACGACAAGGCAGCAGCGGAACTCTTTGTCCGGGCAGCTCGTGCGACTGGGCTCCAGTACGAGCTTACGGGAGCCTTAGGAAAGCGAACAAAGTTCCAGCAAAATGATTTGAGCCAGCTCGTGCTTCTGGCTGAAAGCCGTAATAATGATAATTCCCCCGACAAAAAAAAACCCGCCAATCAGGTCAGCTCTACCAATGGCGTTACTACCAGCCGTCAAGTCAGGCTCCCAGAAACCCTTCCATTAAATGACGACACCCTCCTGGAGCAAACAGAATTTACTTCGACAGCCACTGCAACAGGGAAGGCGGCACTCGATCATCTGGACCCGGCATCACAGCCACCTCTCCACCCACTGGATCAATGTATCCTATTATCCCTCTGCCTGAACGTGCGCAACACATCACCTTCACACGGTCTGACATCAGAACAGATGTCACCTTATGTCGCCCGCGTCATCTCACATCCTCAAAACTGGTCTATTCATACTATGGCGCTTCTGCTACGTTCTCGTCTCGAAGCATCGAGGACGAGGACTGCGGAACGATCCACCTTGCAGCTACAGGCGCTGGTAGACCAGATGCCCACCGCTGATTCTGAGCTGCCTGAACGGCTGTTATACTTCCACTCGATACCGCTGCCTAGCAAGTGGGAGATGGAACGTGAACTAGCACTACGTTTCCTGTCCATCGGGGTGATCAAGTCTGCGCTCGAAATATTTGAGCGACTGGAAATGTGGGAAGAAGTGGTGAAGTGTTGGCAATCGATGGAAAGGAACGACAAAGCTCTCGCCATCGTGCGCGATCTCCTCGAGGGGCGCAAAGAAGAAGCTGAAAGCGTTATCGCTAAAGCCAAGGACCTGTCTGCGAGCCGGAGGGAATCCATGGATATCGCCAGGGAAGCCAAGCTTTGGTGTTTACTCGGAGATCTGGAACCCGATAACGCCATAGAACATTACGAACATGCCTGGAAGTTGTCCATGGAGACGTCTGGCCGTGCAATGCGTTCGTTAGGCGGTTACTACTTTTCTCGCGGGAAGTTCGCGGATGCGGTGACATGCCTCCGGCGTGCAGTTGCAATCAATCCCCTGATAGCTCGCTCGTGGTTCGTACTCGGGTGTGCTTACATGCGACTGGAAGATTGGGAGGGGGGGCGAGACTCTTTCAGTCGCTGCGTCGCCATTGATGACGAAGACGCGGAAAGTTGGAATAACTTGGCGACAATGTATCTCCGATTGGATGCCGCGAAAAAATCTCCATACGACAGGGGGATTGACAAGGTAAGATTGACACCGTTTGGCGACTAGAATGGTTATACTCAAGTTGTAATGTCAAGGACGGCGACCGATCCGACAAAGCCGTGACATTTTCAAACAAGATGTTGGCATTCCGTGCGCTCAAGCGGGGCCTGAAGCACAGTTATGATAACTGGCGAATGTGGTCTAATTACATGATCGTCGCTGTAGACGTTGACGAGCTGTCTGAAGCGTGTCGTGCTCTGACCAGGATTGTCGAGGAGCGTGCTGACAAAGTGGGTGCGGAGTGCGTGGATGATGAGGTCCTTGAGCGTCTCGTCGATGCCGTGACAAGACAGGATGGTGACCCTGACCGACCAACGGCAGGAGACAAGCAAGGGACGGTGCCGGATGCTGTTCCAAATGAAGGTTGCGGCTTGCTCAGGAGAGTCGTGGATCTTTTCGAGAGGACCATTCTTCCACGCGTATCTTCTTCTCGGATTTTCCGCACTTACGCACGCCTTCTTACTTGGCAGTTGCGGTGGGAAGATGCCCTGAACGCCCATCTTAATGCATACCGGTGGGGCCCTGCGGGAACGTTCGAAAGGGGAGAGACTGATGTTGAGAAGTGGCGTGAGGCCGTCGACGAGGTTGGTGAAATCGAAGATATCCTAGCCAATTTCGGGCCCCGAGTGGAAGGCTTCGATTGGAAGCACCAAGGACGGAGTATTTTGAGGATATTCATTGGCCGTTCGAAGGATTTTGAAGATGAACCCGAGTGGTCGCGATTAACAGAGATGCTGGATTGGCTACGAAGCGAAGAATAGTGGCAGCGGGAAATAAGATGGAGGGGACAATGAGCAGGTGGCATAATAACTCTGTATCGTATGCGTCCGACGGTGTATTAATGAATACAGGAAATATTTCGTGGGGGGAAAACGCAAAGCCATCTATAATACAGCCGGGTGGATGTGGATAAGCATGTGAAAGAACAGAGCTGATGATGAGAAGTGGGATTGGCTGGTTATCACTGAAACTACGCATCCCAATTTAATGCCAGCCCCATGCGATTGAGAATCAGAGTTGTAAGAAGTTCCGTAACATAGCTGAGTGCGGAGTGTTTGAGAAGAAGGCGTGCAGAGAATACGTCTTCTGGCTGGCTCAACTCCCAGACTGCGACAGTAGAACGGCCGTCCACGCACTGTAACGGGTTAAGCAATCGAAGCGCATCGGAGAGAAGGGGTAGGCGCACCTCCATTTTTTGGGGTGAAACCTTCCACTTGAGTTCTTTCCCTGTTCGCGTGCTGAAATACCGAGAACTGCGTCCTTGTCAGTCATTGAATAGTTCAACACTATCCACCATGGACGATAACGTACGGACTACCTTCCTTTTTTTGACGGAGATGAGTCGCCATGCTGATTTGTTCGCCATTACCATACACCATATACCCACGGGTGTTGGCTGGACCGAAGTAGAGGAAGGCGGAGGTGGGTCCCATGATGTCTGGATGTTGCTGACTCCACTCGGCTTCACGAGTCACCTTCACAACACTAGGATTTTGGTAAACCTGGAAGCGTTCATTACTCATTTGCATCGCACACATCGGCCAACCTCGTAACGAACCTGTTCCCTGGAACAACATCACCATGGTCAGCGACAAGCATGTTAGGAACAACTCGAGCTTACACAGTGAAGGCTGGTCTGCCCTCCAAATCCTCGAAGCGGAACGAGAAGGGATCAGACCCAAACTGAAGGAGCACGTAAGTGTGGGACATGCTGGAGCAGGCGAGGGAAAGAGAGGGGGGAAAGCAGGTTACGGCGTCAGGATTGAATCCAGGCTACTTACCTTTTCACGAACAAGGACAAGCCGGATCGGGAATCGGGGGAACATAAGATTAACACCCATGGCGCCACGTGGGTTCTGTGATTACTGAAAACAAGCCACGTGGACCGTGGGCGGATTGCTCTTTTCAGAGTGTTTCGTTCCGATGGTATGGCCCAAGTCAAGGCCGACACCTGGCGCCATCCCGGACGGCCAGCTGAAATGGCTGCAATCCGATCCTGAAAATTGAATCCATTGTGTGAGAGAAATGAGATGATTAAAAGATTATTTGGGCTACTAGGTTTCCGAGGGGCAAACATGCGTAATCTTCATGGGTAAGTACGTGGATTCAGCGAGTCGGGGGAGATTGGCGCGATCGATCTACGTACAGGAGTTCCGACCAAGATAACATGACAATGTCCCGGCTTTACTCCACTCATTCCTGCAACCCTAAGTGTGTGATAGCGTGACCTCGGACGGAAACACACGTGCCTTGCCAATACGAGTCATTCGTACACTTGGAGACCGGTTAGATTACCGCCCAAGATCCACCAGTGGAAACGATAACAATAAAAAAGCGGCGTACCATGCACAATGCCTGCACAAACAGGTTATTTTCGTTGCAAAAAAAAGAAAGTTAAGTCTGAAACGCACCGTAAAACAACGTCCACACGAGGATAAACGTGAATATGTTATCTTGGCCGGGGTTTACCAGTTCGCCGATACCCCCGGGCAAATATCGAGATGGTTTTCCCTTGCAGTTAACAGCATACATGACAAACGACGCTGAGAGAACCGAGAGCGCGAACAAGGCAAACCCTCGCCAATTCTGCAGCCCAAGGATTCCAGCCGCGGCCCCTGCGAAGCACGCGGAAATGAATTTCACAGAGGTGAGGCACTGGTTGTGAAGGACATTAGGCAGACAGTAAAGCTGAGCTGTAGGATCGGCAGTGGATGCCATGTCGTTGGGGATGTGAGCAACGCTTGCGCAACCGTGCTGGGCGTCTGCACCGACGAAGGCGTGGTCAACGCTGCTTTCCCACGAGCCCTAATGGAACTAACCAGTAACATAATTCAATTCAAATTTTTTCCACAGCTGATGATATCACTGCGCGGGCACTCGTCCGCCTTCGTGGCCCACTGTACCTGTCGCTATGCTACGTTGGTCCCAACACTAGATGCTCGTTTGCGTATACTACGTGCGTAGTACGGCCGCTTTTAGGAGAGAGATGGGTCACACGATCACCCGTAAGATGCTTATCTTGGTGTATGAGCACCCACAGAGACAAGGAGAGTTAAGACTGCAAAGCTGCGGTTTCCCATGCATGTTTTCCGAATTTTTCGGTCCTTTGTAGACTGCAGTTGTCGAAGCATTTGGAGCGTTGGATTGCTTCGGCCGCACCCCCTGACATGACATGAGCGTCCAAAAACGGAAAGCTAATCAGAAGCTTGATGCCCCCTCGAGGACGGCGTGCGTCCCACCAGCAGAGATCTCGAGAGCTTTTGCAGCACGATATAGCACTCGTCATGTCGAATCTTCACAAGGCACTGGACGAGAAACTCGTCAGAGTCGGCATACTTGGTGCTACGGGCACCGTCGGACAGCGCTTTATCACCCTACTCTCCAATCATCCATGGTTTATCATCCACGCCCTCGGCGCATCTCCCAGATCAGCTGGAAAGCCTTACGCCAAGGCAGCCAACTGGAAACAGACCACACCGATACCCTCCAACGTCCGAGAGATCATCGTGCAAGAATGCAAACCCGAGCACTTCAAAGACTGTGCCATCGTCTTCTCTGGGCTGGATGCTGATGTGGCGGGTGATATAGGTGAGCTGTCCGATAGACGGCGTTCCTCTCCATAAGAGACTTAGGGGCTAATTTACCTGCGCTGCGTGTAGAGGGTGCGTTCAGAGCCGCCGATCTGGCCGTGTTCTCCAACGCCAAAAATTATCGGAGGGACCCCTTAGTCCCTCTTATCGTACCGCTTGTTAATGATTTCCACCTTTCCATGATCCCCCAGCAACAAGCCCAGCATCAGCCCCCGCTCCAGAAGGGCTTCATTCTTACCAACGCCAATTGTTCCACCACTGGCCTGGTGGTGCCCCTCCGCGCCCTCGAAAAATCATTTGGGCCTATTGAGGCTTGCTTCGTCACTACCATGCAGGCCATATCTGGCGCTGGCTACCCTGGTGTGTCGAGCCTTGACATCATCGACAACATTGTTCCCTACATCGGTGGCGAAGAAGAAAAGATGGAATGGGAGACGCTCAAGATTCTTGGAGGGATTTCCGAAGAAGATGGGCAAAAGGCATTCGACATGCACTCGCGCTACCCCCTCCGCGTTTCTGCTTCGTGCAATCGCGTCCCCGTTATCGACGGCCATACCATGACCGTCTCAGTTCGCTTCTCGCGTAGACCACCTCCCAGCCCACAGCAGGTTCGCGAAGCACTCGTTGCATATACCCCTGCAGCGCGGTCCATGGGGTGCCCTTCTGCTCCCGCACATGCTATATTCGTGCATGAGGAGCCAGATCGCCCCCAGCCTCGTCTGGATCGCTATTACCAAGACGGTGCTGGTGTTTCCGTGGGCCGTGTACGTCAATGCCCCGTCTTAGATATCAAATTTGTCGTGCTGGCGAACAACGTGTCTATCGGCGCTGCGACAAGCAGTATCATCAACGCAGAGCTGGCGGTCCTTAAAGGCGTTGTAAAACTGCCAATTAACTGAATTGCATCGGTTGACTACTCGTTACGTGTGGTGGGATTATCTACAGAGTAATGCAGATATTAATATCTTTAACAAAGTGTGTTTGTACACATCACTGGAAACATGCTTTGTCATGGCGTAACATACCGTTGGAATGTGCTAGTTTAGCGAAAGACTTCGCAGGGTAGGGTGGGACCAGGAGGTTACCCTGCTCTTGATGATCGATCCCTCATCTGGACGAACGTATCAATCATATTCATCATATTACCAATACCCTTCGCCTCGGGAAGCCATTCGCCATTGTTGACGCATAAAATCTTCATTCGCTCATAATACATGAGGTCGGGAAGCAGCTTGGGGGTAATCAGGAAGTATTGACAACTGTCAGGTTTACAGGTCACTTCGACCATCGAGTTATGGACAGCGCGTTCAGCCCGTTGATCCATGCCCTGCGTAAATCGATTAGCCGGATGACGTCCAAGGTAGACTTAACTCAATAAAACCTGATTAATCTCATCCACGAGGGAGAACGGGGTACGTGCTTCTTCTGTTAAGCTCATCAGGTACAAGATAGTAGTCAGTGATCGCTCCTGAAAGTGCGGGATTAAAACGGGAATGGTTTAGCGGCGCCGCTAAAACACTTACTCCCCCAGATTGCCGCTGACCAGTCAGCAATGTAAGCTTCTCCTTGTCGCGGAACTTGACGAGAATGTCAATGGCCCACTTCTCGTAATCGTCGTGAGGGCTAATGCTAATTTCTCCCGCACAGCCAATTCCTGTGTACGTACATTCATCGAGATGCGGCAGGACCATATGCACCATGAACGTACGATCAAATGCTGTGGAAAATTTCCTTCCAATGCTTGCAACCAGCCTCTCTAGCGCAGGCTGCCAGTTATCCTGGGAAAAAAGAAAAGAAAAGAGAAGAAAACTCATGCAGAGTTTCATCGATAACACTTACCCTAGCAAACTTGATGTCACGCTCGAGCTTTATACATTTTTTCTCTTTATCTTCTATCTTCGTACTAAGATCTCCAATCTGTAGGCGGATGGGGTAAATGATTCCTTACATAAAATAACGCAGTAGCCATACCTCAGCCTTTCTGCGTTCGTACTGGTTAATGACGCCTGGATTCGTTATCATGATCAAGTCAAGGTTGGCTCTCTGAGTTTCAAGCTCGGCCCGCAGCTGGTCTACCGTTCTTTCGTGCACAGACCCATCCTTAATAAATGAAGAGATGTCAACAAACTCTATTTCGCGGAAGTGGGGTGGTCCAGTCCCCACGATGAATATTCAGGGTCGACTTACGAGTTCCATCTTTTCGAACTGCTCTTGGAACTCTCTGTCCATTTGGCGAACAAGTGCCACGCTGATGTCCCGCTTGCTTTTCGCATCCTCCTTTGCCGCAAGAAAAATTTTATCAGCTGCAGATGTACACACATGGGTGAGTAACGGCCACCACGGCCAAAAGGCGCTCCCTACGCACCTTCGTCGAATTCTGCGAGGGCTCTTTGATAGCGTTCATCTTTCTCTTGGCAAAGGGCTTCGAGTGCATTCCTATTTGCGCCAACCTGTAGGAACTCAATCCCACTGCGAGTGGCAGCAATTTGGTCAACGATCAAAGACCGAATAAGTTGCTAACGGCATGCGGTAAGTCACACCCACGTGCAAAAAATGTAAAACTTGCCGTATAATCCTTTGCGACCTTCACACGCTTCTGAGAAATATCAAGCAACCCCTGCTTCAGGCGAGCTCGTTCATCATCCACAGGTGGAGCATTTTCCAACTCCACAAGCTTGGCCTTGCACACCTCTGGGAAAAAATAACATGCATTATGAAAAGGTTCCGAGACGTGATAGTAAAACTTACCAATTTTGCCAGCCAAGGATCCCAAGTGCTTCTTCGTCTCAATGACCTTCTTTTTCCTCTTGTCAAGTTCGTCCTATCATAACGTTAGCCACATGATCCGACACCAACGCAAGAAGTGATTGACAAATTTCTTCTTGTAGACAGATTCCGCTTCTCTTATGGTCCGCTCTTCCGCGGCAAGTTCATTCGCACCTTCGTTAATGACCTCAAGGGCCTGCCTCGCCTCTTGAATAACTCGATCCAGTTCGCGTTTCACCTCAGGATCAACTGTACAGCATCAATTAAAGAAGCAGTCAAATGATAGATAAGTACATTGACCCACCTGCGCTCGTGACAAGATTGCGTGCAGGGCGGAGGTCACGGGTCATGTTCTGCGCAACACGTCTACCGTAGCGAGACCGTTGTACCGTGTTGATCACGTTTCCGGCTATGAATGTTGCGCCTCCACCTTCTCCCCGAGGCCCAAAACGTGAGACAGCCTCCATCGCACGAGCCACGTCCACTTTCGATCCGTCAAGACCAACGGCCTACCCATATTGGTTGTTGAAATCCCACAGCGAGTATACGAAACACGCGGACTACACACCGTGCGATGCATGTTCACCTCACGCCTCAGATACCACAGAAGTCCGTCTGGACAATCGATTTGGTCGATGGCGTATGCATCAAATCCCAGATCCTGTAACTGATTCGGTGGTCAACACAATTGAATTACACGAAGGAAACTCGCAAAATACTTCTTCCTTTGACATTGGAGGGCTAGCAAGGGTGTGTTCTAATTTGGGTCGATACCAGGTGTTGACCTTAGCATCTTTCCTCAGGCCCGCTTCCGCGGAGTCGTTGAAGCAGCGGTTCAGTAGCTGGTAATCTTCCTCGCACTGTGCAACGAATGTCTATTCGTCGCCATCAATTAGTTCGACGTTTCAAAATATCATCACCTCAAATTGCGTTATTTACCTTCAGCTGGTTGATGTTGAAGCAAGCTTCTACCGCATTGGCGTACCGCTTATCCGACACACTACAACATATCATAGGAGGCTCGAAGACTTCCATCTTGAACTTTTCTTGGTTGTTCCGCAGCCAGGCCACTGCATCGGCACAATCTTTATCGTGTTGACGAAGGTTCTCGAGTTTACGGTGGCGCTCATCGTCGAGCTTCTTCAACCTGCCACGACGTTACCGGAAATCTGGAGCCGCGCAAAGGGAGCGTACTGGTCATGAGCATTGGCAATCTTAGATTTCTCGGCAGCGGAAGCCTCAACGTTGGTCTTCTGACGCTCCTGGAGGTCTTCCATACGGTCCCTGGTTTGGTTGTGCTCTGCATTCAGACGACGCTGGGGTGAACGGTTTGAATATCAAAAGGTGGAATATGGTAATGGGTAGCGTACCAATTCATTGTTGATATCATGCATGTCCTCTACATCGGGGGGATTATCAAGATCATGTTGCATCTTCTTCATCTGCGACTGCAAGTCCTTGATCTTCTTTAGCCGGTCCTTCTGAGCGTGTTTGAGGCCATCCAGCTTCGTGGTGATATCTTCCGCGTCGTTCTCCTGTGAAAAAGTTAGGCCGTAACTGCGGACGACGGAAGGGAGTGGATACTGACAAGCCGCTCCCCGTCCTGCCATTTCGCCTTCATTTGCTGGAACTTCTGCCTGGTTGCGTTCTTTTTCTTCTCACGGATCTTTTCTAAATCTTTGTGTTGAAGGGCTAGTTGTCTGCGATGGGATGTGAGGGAACAGGTTGTATGCACAAGGTCTGAAACGTACTCAAGCATGGCATGGGCAGGAGCATTCCTATTTTTGAGTTCGGTCACTCGAGCGTGAAGTTCCCGTTGCCGGTCCTTGGCCTTCAGGTAGAATTCCTTGGCTTCATGATATTCATTAACAGGGATTAACACTTCTAAGACGGAGATCTGTCCAGCTTTTAATTGGGATGACTCAGTACACGTCCAACAAACTTTACCTCCTTCTCTATGCGCTGGCGTTCTTGGTATCGTGCGACATCTCGTTCCAACTGGGCATTTCTGTCTTCCATAGTCTTAAGTTGCTCTTTCTCTGCATTGACAAGCTAAAGGAGTGGGTGAGACACAATATTAGGATATAGTCAAATCCCTTACTTCTTGGACTTTCTTGAGTTCCTTTCCTGACTCGATTAGCGTATCATGCCACGAAGTCAAATTTGGATCTCCAGCCGCTCGCTGGGTCTCCCGCAGAAGCTGTTGTGGGGACATTTGTGCAAACTCGGACACCTTGTCCTGAGGAAGGAAGGAACTAAATGCGACGTATGAGTTTTCACCGCACGCGCGACTGAGACAGCGGAATGTCTACCAAAGATTTCCCACTTGGACGTTGAGCTTGCGCATGCGGTTGCTGATCTCCTTGCCGGTGGCAGGAGATCCATTGAGGGTGAACGTAGACCCTTTCGACTTCGAACTCAAGTTGCGCCGGATGACCAAATTTTTCTTTCCTTTTTCACTCTTGAGTTCGATTTCGATATAGCCACTCTCCTTGTCATTTTTGACAAATGCGTTGAATTCGGTAGCACGACCCAGAACCTGATAATAAATCATTAAGAATGGCTTGATGCGGGCGCGATCATGCTGCACTGACATGTGGAGACCAATTAAGACCAAGGGCAATAGCACATGCAATACTACTCTTGCCAGTACCATTCGGTCCAAGGATCATGTTCAGGTATGGACCTGGACAAAATTCGACCCAGTCATATGTGACAAAATTACACAACTGGATCCGGACGATAGATCCAGGAATGAACCTGAAAATCTCAGTGCATAACGCAAATCTTGCCACGACCGGCAAACACAACGGACGTACCCGTCGTCATCCCTGGGGAGAGTCTGAACCCGTTCCAGAAGTCCCTGTCTGTCTGGGCTGGCCGGAACAGAATGTCCCTCTCCGTTCACTCGGGCACGCTTCCGGCCCTTGGGTGTACCTTCCTCTGCGTCCTCGTCTGCATCCCCCTCCTCGTCTCCCTCTGCATCAGCATCAGAGTCGTCATTACCTGCGACGGGGTACGAAGCAGGGTGTTCTTCATCATCTTCGTCGTCAGATTCGACGCGCCGAGCTTTACCCTTGCCTTTCACGGACTCCTTCGTCTCCCGTTTGACGGTTATTCCATTGGCCCTCGATCGGGTAGGGCCCACACTTTCATTCCAAGCGTTTGCATCCCCCGCGTCAACCCGAGAGGTCCTCGCACTACGTCTGCTCATCGTCCGCTTGGTGGAAGGGGCGCGCATACGCGTGACGCGCTAATTGACAACTGAATTTAGGGCAGGCGAAATCGAGACGCGTGGCGGCGACGCAAGTCAGCAACGTAATCATTAGCCCTCATTAGCCGGAACGTGTACTAAACTTTTTTTTATTAGACTTTTTGCTAAACAATCGAAACGATGAGCCTTCGTAGGAGAAGTACGACTCATGATCTCGCAGCGCTCCGTCTTCACCCAGACGGCTCACGCGTGCAGCAAGCCTCCGTCAGTTCGCGACCACGGACCTCGAAATACACCATTGTGGATTCGAGAGGAAACCGGATCGCGCGCGACGCCGGCGGGAGGAATTCGGTCAAAAGGCGCAGAACCGTCGACGTAGTGGTGGATGGGCAGGAGCGGGAGACAATTAAGCTATCGCCGGAGGATGATGGCGACGACGGAGATGTGTTTGTGCGTAGGAGACACAGACGGACACAGAGCAAGGGGAAGGGAAAGCAACGGGCCGATGAGAGCGAGAACCGGGAGGACGACAAGGAGAGTGACCCTGAGCAGCTGGATGCAAGGATGAAGAGGCGGATTTCTTTCTTGCGAGACTTCAGTTTCTTAGATCCACCTGAAGTCACCATTGGGCGATCATTCGAGTCCAAGGAGCCCTCCGATACTACTGGGATATCATTCTCTCCACCCGCACCGGTATGTACTATCATACAAGTATTTAACCTACTAACATGCGCCGCAGGAGTTGCTAAAGAGCATCCATCACTTCGCAGCCTGCTACTATCGCGAGAGGGGACAGCTTTTTGACCGCAGTACTGCATCTCGTACGAGGAACAGAAAGAAACACAACATCTACATGATGGCTGCTGACAAGATGAGAATGTCAGAGACAGACAATGAGATGTGGGAAGATCGGGACGATAACGAAAGTGCAGAAGGCGGTGGCAGCGATGGTGAAGGTAATGGCAAAGACAATGCTCGGGTTGCCTCCTCGCACGACCCAGATGTCAAGGACATGTACAAGGCATTCGATGGATCTGCGCTCATGGCGATAGGTTAGTGGACCAAGTTGACGAACAAGGCTTGCTCCCGAACACGTTATGCAGGCATCCTGATGCAAGAGCAAATTGCACACATACTTACTTCATCGTCAAGGGTACGACAGGGACCCCAAGGATAGTCTTAGCGAGCCCGATGACTCGCAATACATATTACATTAGATGCCAGATGTCGGAGCTACTACCAGTCCTCATAAACAACTTCGGGTGGGACACAGACATTGACGTGCAAATGGTATGCGCATCGATTGCACATATCACTCAGTTCGACGATTCCCCAGCCTGTTTCACACGTGTTTGGCCAGTATGTAGGTAAAGCGGGAGCAACGACCGTCGAGCTCTACAATGGAGATTCGTTGTACAAGGCTCAGATTGAGATTCTGCACTAGTGTCCACAGGCAAAGTCTACAGATAGAGTCGAAGTTAGCGGTGATGACTATTATCAGTGTGGTAGTCCTCATCATCTCCAACATCAAAAATAGCAGTGCCAACTTCCTCGTCCTCAGTTGCCCGCTCTTTGCCTTTAAAATTTCGATGAAGAACCTCCTCGCTGTCAGGGTCAAGAGTGCGGGTCAGTGGAATGTTCTCTTCTGATGCTCTATTGGAGGTCTGTCGGAGAAGCTGGATGGGTCGCCGGCGGAGACGACACCATATACAAACCCCAATTGCAACGGCAATGAGGAGCAATATTAGAACGGCGGAACCCGCATTGTAGTAAGCTAGACAGTCGACCCCACTCAGTAGTCGGAAACCACAGAATCAGCTAGCTACGACTCACCTTCCCACTGTGCTTTGATCTCCTCAGGAGACTTGACAGGAATGCTGCTTGGGAAAGTGTCTTCAAGGAAGAGGGGCTTGGACTCATCACCAACACTACTTGGGATGCGTGCTGAACCATCTACGATAGCCGAAAAATTCATATCCACGAAGCGAAGTATCATATCGTGTGTAACGTCCGGTACGTCATACGGCGCCATGTGGGAAGCATTAAATATCTATTGCAAGATCAGACAACTCGTTCAAGGTGCAGAGTATCGGCATGCGAACCTTAGCATATGTAAGGTTCCTCGAGGACACCCACGTGCCCGCTGGCTGTTCGTCCACAGTCCATAACTTGGTCTGGACCTTCTATAGGCGAAGTCAATAGAGTGGAGGTAAATCATAGGGAAGTAGCCGCGAACCCCTAAGCCTTTTTCACCATTCCACGTCATAGACTTGATCATACTCTCGATTCCCATATAGTTGCAAATGAAATCCTGATCTCCCGCGAACAAGAGGACCGGGATCCTCTCAAGTAAGCCAGGGAGGAGTGTGATAGCCGACGTAGACAACTTGGCATTGAATTGTCTCCCAGCCTGACTACCACATTCGACCCAACTCTCGGGCTTGGACGTGGCATGAAACGCCCTCACGACATCCTGACGCTGCGAGATAGTGAGGGTCAGCTGAGACGGAGCACATGGATGGGCACATCCGAGGGCTTACGCCAAGATAAGCGGTAGTGTTCGCGAGTTCTGGAGGCCATTGCATGCCACAGTAGGGCTCGTCGTCTTCTAAACGGACGTCGTAAACATTCGTACACTTCTCTACTCCGTTGACACTGGATGATGCTTAAGGATAAAAGGACGGCAGAATCAAGGAAAAAACATACGCATGACGTCCGGGTTGGAGAACATATGAAAGAAGACCCTCGCATTGATCGACGTTGATAGGTTCCAAGTTAGTAATACGATTAAGCTCGACCATGCATTCATCCGTTCTCTTTTTACTGTTTCTGTAGTGCTGTTTACGGATGGTCGGCCCGCAGTAGTGAAGAAAAAAATAATCCTTGCTCACTTCTGAGGAAAGATCCACCAGTCCACGAGCGACTGCATACTCGATATAGGCCGGGTATTGATTTCGGGCATCTATCCATCCATTCCCAATTGCGACACCTTTAAGTGGAAGGTTCAAATTCGAATCCAGGATCCCACTGGCTAGTAAAAATAGGTCAACGTAGGAACGGTAGTGGTTGACAGAAAACATACCAAAGTATGGGATATATTGCCCTGCGAAGCTCTCGCCTCCAAGGTACGTCTGTACTCGACTTTTAATGAATTAACAACACAGTGAAAGAGGCGGACATACATCTGTCGTGCGATATTCTGGGAAGACCTGATAAAACGTGCGGAGGAACTGAATGAGCTGTTCAGTAGCCTGTGAAACCCAAATGAGCAACCACGTTTCGAAATCGAGGATAACGCAAGCTCTCGAACCTCTTCTAGTGTGTGAACATAATGTTCTGTACTGGTATATGATAAGCCTGTACCTGCAGGCTGGTCGACTGTTGGACCACGATGATTAGAAGGGGAGGACGACATGAACTCGTTCATACCATAGACAATAGTCATGTACTCTTCCCAACCCCCATCTACTGTTTTTGGCAGTCCTCGGTCATCCATCCTCCAAGGTCCAATCTCCATCATCAAGCCGTCAAAAGAGGAGCATCCCGGTCCACCCTGAAATGACAATGGCCTTGTTCAAACCAGACACGCGCAACACTGAACGAAAAGAATGCGCACGTTGAACCAAAACATTAGCCTCTCCTTGTCAGCAGATCTCCGAGCCTTGACCATCACGAAGAAGAGGTGCGCAAGGACATCGTTAGGACTTGCTGTAGCTACGTTCGGGTCTGAAACGATGTGTCCGGCATAAACGTGCAGCGGGTGCTCGGAATCCTGCTGAAGCCCTGGGAGCTGGGGTACGTAGAAAGATGCTGCCGGAGGAACTGGCGTTGGGAAACTCATAAGACAAGACCATTGCGCTATGTTGGGAAGTCCGGAGACTCACTGTCTGTGGGTGCTGCGCGGAGTGGGGTCACGAGCTTGAGCACATGAAGGCAAGTCCACATCCATGTCCACCACAATCTTAGGCTGGACATCATTGACTAGTGGTTCGCTGAACAGACAGCAGGTGCTAGTCAACTAGTACCAATATGGACGTGCTGGCAGTGAGAGGCGCTGACGTCGAGCACAGCGATCTGAAAATGGAATTGGCGCCCGTCTGGTAGTATCAATCTAACGTATGTATGTACAGTAATTCTTACAATTATTCTCATCAAGCTGCTGGACAGAATTCAGATCCGTGTGGTACCTATCAGGTCGGCGGCCAAGTTCATGCAGCACCCCACTACCAAGGCACATGCCAATTCCAAGACGATGCTAAACCCTCGGAGTGGTCTTGACGGGCCCTCCATGACGAAACAACTCACCTTTAGTTTAGAATCCGGGTCAGCCCCATTCAGTACATGACACGGGCTCACAGCAGATAATACGCCCCGTTGCACCGGCGGGAGACAAGGTATTTCCCGAAACACGGGTGAATGGTTTATCATGGGAAAATGGAGGTGGTCGATTGATGGCACTGTGGCAGGACACTGGGCCCGCAGTTCGGGGTTACTGTAAACGATCATCATAGGTTTTGCAGCGCGGACCCACATGAGGCATAGAAGCATTTAATGGAGGGCATCACTGGTGAACTTATGATGATTCTAGACATCGTGCACCAGATCCGGGCGTGTCGCCAGTACCGACACAGGTTGGTTGCTTCTGGAGTCGACTTACATGAATTCAAGGCGCAAGTTTCAAGCCGTTGTAAGGATCCGTGCGATGAGTGGAGGGGTCGCGTAGCCATAACAGAAATTCGACCCCTCCACCAGTGCTTTCCTTCCTAGTCACTCTAAGTAAGTAGTACAGCTCCCAAGTCATGTCGCAGGCCATTGGTAATGTATGTGGTCGTTTTGGTTACGAACTTTCATTGATGGGCAAGTGACAGACTGCACTCGCATACGCCCGCGTCTGGCACCATGTCGATGCGTCAGACCGCATCCTCGGAAAACTGGCGCAGAGGATTGCATATGTGCTCATGGGTAAACATAAGCCCATCTACGACAAGGGCAGTACGTATCTCTACCTCGACACGTGAAAACAGCTTTGGTTAAAACTGCTGCAGTCGACTGTGGCGACTACGTCATCGTGACGAATGCCCGCAACATCCAGGTGTCGGGCAGGAAAGAGGAACAGTTGGTTTACCGAAAACACTCGATGTATCCGGGCGGACTCAAGGAAGAAAAGTTCAAAGACTTGGTGGAGACGAAGCCTCACGAGGTGCGACTGTCCTTTTCCCTGACCCGCCTTCCACTCATTGTAACCGTCGTTCCAGACCATCGTTCACGCTGTCTCAGGAATGTTGCCAAAGAATAAGCTGAGGAATCGACGGTTGGCACGGCTAAAGGTTTTCGGAGGCTCGAATATGGGCATTTATAGAAACAATATCCTGAAACGTTGGGAAGACGGGACGCTCTCGGACGACTACATTCTAAAACTCGATCCTAAGAACAGGACTCCGAAGCCAGCGCAATCGTGATTCCCCTCAGCTTTTATTAGGTACCCTGCATGTGCGTACGTAACATTCTGATAATACGACGGCGACAATACTTGGAGTTCCTTGCCATTCCGCAAAAAAAAAATTGCGGCTCGAAACACGAAATGGAATTTACTGGATAACTGCAAGACAACAACACAGATCGGTACAAATCGTACAGCGCAGCGTAATAATGCAATTTCATCACACGCCCGTCCTCCAGACATGCAAAATAAATCATTGCTTCCCTTTCCGCTTGCTGGCACTTTTTTGAACCTTGCCCGAAGAGGCCGTACTCTCGCCCTTGGTAGCGATTGGTGCTGAGGACGCGCTCGGTTTGGGCGTTGACCTCGGCGCTGGTCGTTGAGGCGAAGACTTGTGTAGGAGGTTGATGATGAGGGACGCAGCACCACCGCTGGCAACATACATGACCCATCGGGGAACACGGACAAAAAAACTGTATGCTGTCGACAGCACGAGCGCAAGGTAATCCAAAACCCATTCCCTACAACGAGGGAAGGAGGTTCGATCAGCTCTGAGAAAATGAGAGGAAGATATGATTACCTCTGTCCGCCCGGGCTAAAAGCCGTATTCCAAGGTTCCTTCATGCGCCAGGTTTCATCTTTGAGAAACTGGTAGAGAAGTTCAGCAGTGAGATGCATCCGTCCGCCTTTATAAAAACGCAGCGTTCGTCCTCGATCTCTCAGCACAACCAACGTGGGGGCCCTATCAACAAAATCGTGGGTGGTTTCAACAGGGGGTAAGAGCACTGATTACGAAGAGGTCTACGTACGACCATACGGCCCACTTAGTTGTGATAGACGTCACGTCCAGATAATCAATTCTGCCAAAGCGTACGTGGGGCAAGTCGCCTTTCTCGAGGGTATGGTTGTACGCCTGGTCGAACACAGTGTCCACGTATTTGGATATGCCTTCTGGCTGTCCAGCCGTTACGGTTCTACGGGACAGGCGGGTTTAACTACGTTGTCGAAGAGAGAGAGAGGGAGAGAGAGAGAGAGAGAGAGAGAGAGAGAGAGAGAGAGAGAGAGAGAGAGAACTCACATTACCAAAAACCAAACCCTCTTTTCCTCTTCTTCGGGCGACAATTCTTCGTTTACGATAATGTCCTGGTAGTTTGAATCCGTTATGAGGGGTATACGTTCGTCCCAGTCAAGATTCCTCGTTCCCGAAATATTCAGCCCGGCGAACGACATGATGGCTGACACTGGGCCAGCTGTAACCAGTTCATCCAGGAAGCTCGAAAAAGTATTGGCACGGTTCGAGTCTGCTTTTTGGGCGACCTGCGACCATGATAATGTTGGTGGTCCAGTAGTGGGAGGCTCAGTTGGAACGGGTTGTCCTGGCGTCCACCCTGCCGAAAAGTATTGTGCATTGGTGATGCCCGTGATGGCCAGCAAGCTCAACAGTGATGCCTGCAGTCTCATGGCCCGTACGAGAGAAATGGACGCGTATCAATGTTTGGGCCCATCTACAACTCCAAATCTCCCTCGCTCGCGTGCCTGAGTCCAATCTCACAACATACTTCAATGTCTCACACCAACATCACAGCTGCTGCTCTCCTTTTGACGTTTTGGCTTTTATGCAAGGTACAAAGTAGGAATGAAATAATATGATTGCTGCAAGTAGTAGTAAACATAAACCTGTGTGCGTCATGGTTTCACCCAACCGTCAAAGCCACATAGTAGCAAGTACGGAAGATACAGGAATATGACGCCGCAAGGTCGCCCCACATCAAGCTCCCATCTCCTGCAGCGAATCAACACCGCACAAGGCAGCGGACTCAGCTGCAGAAGACATAACGAGAGCGAGCGGGACGACGGTGCTCGTTCTGGTGAGCGTCCCCGAAAGAACGCCTCGCTCCATCAACCAGAAACTAAACGCCCTGAGCCAGAGGCTGGCTTAACGCTTCCAGAAGAGTTGAGTTGGACACCTGAAGGAAAGTTGGGCAGCGTAAAAATTTACCTTTTATGTGCTGACCTTGAATTATTCAAATGCCGAACGCGACGCGCTGCCGGTTTGCCGACACGAAATCTCAGTCTCCAGGGGCCTCTGACAGGCTTTGAGTCGACAATGAAGTCTCAGTCGTCCACACTGCCCAGGCCACGGGAATCGGTCTTTGCTGGCGGATTGGACTTCCGGAGCGATGCAAATGCTGTGTGCCCTCCGAATGTAAGGGAATGCGTATCTGCAATGGAGGACTGCTGTGAGGAGGTATGGTCCAATCGTGATACCAAGATTCCGGAAACGTCGCTCACAGCGTTAGGCGTTTGAAGCTCAACAGCTTCTACGAAATGGGACGTTCGATCTGCCACGAATGAACAAAGTTTTAGAAAGCCAACGTGTAAGGCATGTTTTCGAAGCAGGCCGACCCCAGTCACTAATGGGAATCGACAAGGTCTTCCTTCTGATTGATGAGGCTACCGTAAGAAGGTACAGGTCTGATCTCGCTGATGAGATCGAGCCACAAATCAAAGAGCTTATTGACCGGGCGGAGCAAGGCTTAAAATTCCTCCGTCGCAAGGAAGGGCTCATCCACAGCAAGGTTTGACCTGTTGGATGGCTTTTGAAATATCCTATAACATCGCTGAGACGAATCTTAGGCCGAAGTTGCGAAAGTCATGCAATCGCGGGCCGCTACCGCACCCACGGCAAACAAGCGCGAGGAACGCAGGGTCCAGCTTCTCTCCAAGCAGCGCCGACGATTGGAGGAAGATGTTAAGGTTCTCGAATCTGAAATCATGGCATTGGTGGGCCACGTGTGGTTCAAAAACGTGCTGGTTGGTACTCACCCCACTTGCCAATAGCAGAAGAAGAGACCCCCGCGGGCATGAAGATTGATGGCTACTTAAAGGATCCCCACCTCCGCACACGCGCTCGCCAGCGGTGATCAGGTTTCGTTAAGGAAGTTTGTCTCGCGTTTTTCATTGATTACCATTACCTGCTATGTGCTTCCTCTGTATCGCATTTTCTGTCAAACCATCCTTCACTTTTAGCGTCTTTGGTTATTGACGTCAAACGCGAGCGGAGGACTCCATGCCGAACAATAATCCAGATGGAGCTAATTCCCGTCATTTTTGAATGAGAAGGATCCCATCACTTACGGGTGGCGGCTCGCGTTTCATCCGCCGTTGTCGGGCCACAGGGGTTTTACCACGCCAAAAGGCATTTTTCCGTGTGCCGACCTCCTTGGGCGCCCAGGTGGCGGGAAATGATGCTCTTCCCTCATGCCACTTATAGAGTTTTGCTGTGCTGGCGGACGGGGGCTGGTATACTTTCATTCACAACATTCACAACATCCATCTCTATTGTATATCGACCAATAATCCAAAAATGAACGGTGTTATGAGCCGACATGGGCCATCCGTACCTGAACCTCCAAAAAAAATGGGTCGCATCAATACTTCCATGCCGCCAACCGAGATCACGACCACTATCTGCGCAGAAACTTTATGCCACACCGTGTTATCGGGCGAACCCACCAGCCGGTTCCGTCTCAAGTGTCTTGGCGGTTTCCGCCCGATACTGCATGGTAAACGGGGTTTCATGCAGAACGAACGCATCCTGACCCTTCATGGCGCAACGTGATGGTGATCCGGCTTCTGTTGGCCCCTATTTGTTTTGTGATATGCATTCCAGCCAACTCTCTACAGGGCGTGTCCACGAAACGGGCCAAGTGGTCGCCCTTAACCTTAACTCGCACCCGGGGTTCTATGGAGACTCCTGCCGTTGGCAGGATGCCTCGCAATACTACTGCCAGTTCTCTATCGTGCCACTGCGACCAGAACTCCGCAGGGCGTCAATAAATGGGTATTTATGCATGGATTTCTCTTGGAGCAACGGTAGAACCTCAAGTATTTCCTACCTGATCCCTCTTAACAGATGGCTCTCTACCAAGAATTCAGTGATGCGGTAATTTCTATTCAATCGTCTAAAGAGTGTCGTGCTGACCCGCTGCAGGATGCAGCGATGATGCTGGAACTTCTTGCCCTACCCTATGAAAAACAGCCTCGTCAATGTGGGTGGGTTGATGGCGGAGTGGCTTGCAGTTATCCCCTTCTACCAAATGAATTCTCGGCTCACTTAAGAGCACTGCATGGTGTCACGGGTGACGAAAAGACTCTAATGACTTGTCGATGGGTTGGATGCAACACACCGATGACCAGAGGGAGTGTGCTTCGTCACGTTTTTGAGACCCATTTAGGAATCAAGTCCCAGTGTCCCGAGTGCGGGTTAGAGTTCTCTCGGAAGGACAGCATGAAGAAACATTACAGGAGCAAACACAGGTAAGCTTAGTTGATTCTGTTCGTCAGTGGGTTTAATTTACCGCTGTGCTTCAAGTAACTAGGCACCTTGGGTGATTTGCTCTTTAGAACCTTCCCCTACACTACAGCTTGAAATATTAATACGTACATGCCACGTCTGCTCTCCCATCACCCTGACTTAGATTAGTTAATAATGCCTCGTAGTATGCAGATATGATGTTGATAGTGATTCATTAGACCGTACACGTAATCTACTATTAACTAATGTGACAAAATCCTATTCCCAACAATATGTACCAGGTGTGTAGTGACAGGACAGTTGGACTCATCATTTCACTTGAATTGATGGGCTCGAGATCCATCGGGTTCCACTTCTTTTGTCCAAGCTGTGCCGTCGCCGGCTGGAGGGATCGAACCATTTCCGACCGAGACTCGGGCCGGCTATCTTCCAATTTCGAAAGAGCAGAAAGAAGACATTCGAACGGTACGACACCGAATTACGAAAGCCGAGGCTCTCCGTGACAAGCAGTAAGTACAGTGGCACTAACTCAGCTCTTTGCCAGGTATGCTTCTCATCGCAGCTTCTTTGTAAAAAAAGTAAGTGGAGTCCCAATGGGGGTTGAGCGTCGCTGTGATGGTCGATCCAGTGCTTTATCAGTAGAGCGTACTACCCCAAATAAGTGGTAACTTGGCCGACCACACGGAGTCAGTTACTTCTGATACGAGAAGAAAAAAAGCCAACGCCAGACTGAATATGCGCCACGGGCAGACACCTGACCTCGGGAGGCACTATTCCTGCTCGCGAGCTCTCCATGCTGTGGTTCGTGCCACCGGAGAGCGCGGCCTGATATACCGAATTTGTCTTCTATGAGGAACAAGATCCCGATTCGTTGTCACACGCATAAGAAATATCTGACGCCCTTGGAGCTCGATATCGGCGGGGATTTCGTTTGCTGTACCTTTCGTGCACCGCAACTATGAAAGACGTGCCGAAGCCTTCATGCTGATGGAGCTATGCATGCTAGCAGGATGGCATGGGGTATCCCATCACACGTCAGACCTCCGCATATCAAAAAATCTGAGGCTCGTACGTTCGGGGTTTTCGGTGGCTTCTTTGAAGCCTCGGACATGTGGATCTTGATAGCAGTTAAGTGTAGCTCCGTCCGCCCTTGTTCGTGCAGCACGCAGCTGATTGATGTTTAATGGGCGGTCATCTTCACGGGTCACGATGCAGGATGTTCCAATGGAGGGTAGGGGAGGTGCTGTGGTTTCCGTGGTGCTCGCAATACTTGTTACGCGGGTGAATGACGGCGGAACACAAGCATCCTTCCGGAGGTGTTACCCTAAAGCACTCTGGCCGCGAGGCATATTCATCGTTCTCTTCTGCGGCTGCAACTGCCATCGAGGATGCCCTTCGCCCGATATCTTAGCATCCTACGCTATGGCGCCAATAATGCGGTAGATCGATCGCGGCGAGCGTGCAAAACACATTTAACGAGAATCAATCGCCGCGCAAGTAAGGCCAACTTTGATTGCAATCACCGCTGGCTCTGGCAAGAGCGAGGATTGGGCAGGAGGGGGGGAAAAACGAAACGGGCGGTCCTTGCTATTCGGACCACCACTAGACGACTCGCAGTCTCCGAACGCCTTATTGGTTCATGCCTGCGTCATACAACACCAGCCCCCAGGGGCGTGCGGCGGGGTTGTTTCACTTTGACATTTTTTTATGGCATTCCGATGGGAACCGTGAGGCTTCTGTGTCCATTAAGTGGAAATTGATCCAAAGATCACTGGAAACAAGTAGTGATTGAGACGTCACCAGTGCGATAATGGAACAAGCCGGCTAGTTTCCACATGGACAAATACTTGGCCAACAAGCGCCCTTCACCTTCTAACCTGGGAAAGGCGTGCTGGTGAGTTGCCATGCTGGTTTAGTAACTTCGCATGCGTGACAAAAAGGTTCAAGACGTCGTGCGGCAAGCCTTCTGAAATGAGCTTGTGCAGCCGCCGGGCCGAGGTGCGGGTGTTCCAACCAAGCGACAACCATTGAGGAAAGTCATCCACAACTCCCCCGGGAGCCAGAAGGTGGCAGTGGGGACAGCTATCGATACACAGATCCTCTTCAAATAATCCTACTGATGTGCTCTTGTTGATGTGAACGAGTGGTGCATCCATCCTAAATATACATGGAAATATCCACTATGGCCAAAATGGGTGAATGAACAAAGTTCAAACAAACCCAACGGCGTACTTGCTCGTTGAAAGTATTGTCTCGGACTCGCACCCGCCAAGAAAATAACTCTTCCTTCCCTTCCCTCCGGGCTATATCTGAATTTCTCCTATCATAATCGCTTGCGCAAATTCTCCAGCTTCCAGCTTGCTTGGGCCACCCACAGCCAGTGGAGGTAGCTGTACTAGTCCATTGGCACCGCACAAACTCGTCACCCGGCTCGACCTCTGGCCGCCCGTGGTGGTCGCGAGCAGGCCCTCTGGCGTCGGCCTCACGATGACTCGGTGGAGCTCTACACGGGGATCAAGCGGCATTGCATTCTCAAGCTTGTAAATCGAAGATACGGTTAGATGGCTAGCATGCGCTGTCCTGGGGGGAGGGGGCCTACCTGGACCTGAACTCGGGGCAGTTGACACTTGTTAGGCAGCCAAGCCCCCAGCTTCCTCAGCGCTGGCACTACGAAAATATGGAAGGTCACAATCGCAGCGGCCGGGTTCCCGGGAAGGGCGAACAAATACTTCCGGCCATGTGGAGCGGCCTTGGTTGGTATGCTTGCGAACGTGGTCGGTTTTCCAGGTTTTATCGCAACACGCCCAAAGTGGATCGTGCCATTGAATCTGCGTTCGATTACTGGTTTCAGTAGGTCGCTTGCCCCCATGGACGTCCCGCCTGTCGTCAAAAGGATATCTGCGGTTTCAAGACCCTTGGATACAGCTCGAACATGTGCGTCCACGCTGTAACAACATTGCAGCAATCAGTAACCTGACGGCTACCAGATCAGGGACGTACTCATCCGCAACGATGCCTAGATCGATGACTTTGTAGCGCATGCCTTCCAACGCTGCCTGCAACGAGGGGCGATTAGTGTCCCATATCCCTCCCCATCCGTCTCCAGGCATAGGTTTAGGCGACTGCAAGTCCAATAATTCGTTCCCCGTACTAAGGAGAGCGACAACCGGTTTTCGAATCACCTTGACCTGTGAATGGTCGTCGTTTCATTTTCTGCCAAGTAAAGAAAACAAACCGACTTCTTTGCGTCCAACAAACGCCAGCGTTCCCACTTCACCCCCAGCACTCGTGATTACTTCCCCCATTTGCATCACGAGATCTCCCTTGCGCACATCCGATCCTGGTTCGCGAACATTCTCTCCTGGGGATACCTGCGCAAGAGTTTTAACTTGCTCCTCCTCCGTATCTTCGCCATCGGCGTCTTTCAACGTGGATTCTAGCTCTGTGTCTTCTACCATGATGACTGAGTCACTCCCAGCTGGCAATGGCCCTCCCGTATTGATGCGGAATATAAAGCCCTCTGGTAGCTCCTCAGAGAGCTTATGGGTTCGGGAGGTCAGGACGTTATATACGCCAGGAGTATCAGAGGCTATGGAGGATATGTAGCTGCGGAGTGTATACCAAAAAGTATGAAGACTCACAGCGAACTGCGTACCCATCCACATTGGTCGTCTTGGACGAAGGGATATCTTGCGGCGCATGAACATCCTCCGCCAGAACATGGCCCGCCAAGCCTGCAGTGACCTACCCCCCGATGTCAGTCCCACCCTTTTCGTGCTGTTGAAGGCTTAATTTACTGGAAGGGTCACCACCTCCAAAGGTTGTATCTCCGTCATTATGATGTCCAGAGCATCCTTGAGGTTGATCATGGGGTAAGGAGATACCCGAAGACGACCCGAGGCTGGTTTAGTATCATTTTTTATGTTTTATATTTGAGTTACAGTGCTACGGAGAGGTTATTGGGATTGATCCTGCGTACCAGGAACGGAGGGATCATGCGATAATGCAGTTCGAGGTTTAGGCGCGACACATCCAGGGCGGTGGTGATGGCCACAGGTAGTGCTCCTGTCCTACGATGGGGGTATGACCAGATCCCAAGGCGGCATGAACGACCTTGCCGCTCCCGCCTTTTATGAGATCCAAAGCATGGTCGAGTACGCCGTTCGACAGGAGAGCGTCCAAGTTCTCCCGTACGGCTTTCGTACTTCCCGGTAGCGTTACCACCAATGTTTTTCCGATCGTTCCGGCCAGCGGGCGTGATAAGGCCGCAAGCGGAGTATGCTTCAATGACGAAGACAGGAGTAAATGGACAAGTCCAGGGGCTTGTCGCTCGAGAAGGGGTGATATTGCCTACTTAGTAGATGCTCGCAGTTAGTACGCACTGGTATGACAAAAGATAATGCATGCTCGCCTCGGGTGTTATATCCCTCTCACCGAAACCCGTGCCACCCGTCGTGAAAACACAATCCACCTTCAAAGAAAGGATCTGTTTAAGACTTGCACGTATACTCTCCTCGTCGTCTGAGGCGACGGCTGACACTACTCTCTCGAACCCCCGCGTTCGGAGGATGTCTTGGATGAGTGGACCCGACTTGTCCTCGTTGACCCCAGCATGCACGCTATCACTCACTTTGCCCGCTTCGTCAGCCCATGTTCAGACCAATCGTTGAGCAGTCGCACCTGTTATGACACCGGCAGAAAAACTCATGGTTAGCGATGGTGCGAGTTCAGATGTCAAATAATCTTATCATCAACATTCGGTGACGGCGTGCGATGGCTTAAGTTTTATCTTATCTACGTCGTCGTAACTATAGCACAAGTTCCTCCAGCTTATACAAACCAACTCCAAGCGAAGCCTGCTGCTCCATTCGCTTGCGCTGTCGTTTCAACTCTGTTGGACTCTCCTTTGGAACACACCCCGCCTTTTCCCTCAACGTCCGAACGTGCGCTTTCGCGAACGGCTCTAGTACCCCGCGTAACTGTTCTAAGCGATCTAAGCGATCGATCTCCGGCTCGATCTGCGCTAAGGTTTTTCTCAGCAAATCATAGGATGGTTGGTATTGCAACAAGGCGATGCATGATGCGTCAAGCAACGTCTGCAGGAAGGTTATGATCTGAGTACAAGGGTTAACACCAAGTAGCTCCCAGTGCAGGTTTCATATATACCTTAGGATACGGCGGCACGACAGTGGTGCGGCTCTCCGTGTTCACAGCAACACTCTTGACCGTCGACATGAGCGTAACCTTCATCTCATCCTCTATACCTCCATACAACCAACCCTCCAGGACACCGAGAATCGCCACTAAATCACGAGCGTCCGAGAGATACTTCCGGATGGACAGTCGCACAGCAACTGGCGAAAAGTCATACGACAGACACGCAGACAGCAACGTCTCCAAAGGGGGTATCCATGGCTCAGATAAATCCAGATCCATGGCATCTGATGACTTGTTCTCTCGCTTTTCTGTGGGCGTCGATGACGAACTTTAGTGAAGACATCCATCTCGTCTTCTGATACGTCGATCACGGTTCGTAGGGAAAGGATAACATTTTCCTTTCACATATATGAAATTTCGTGGCCAGCAAAAACGGTGAACACAACTTACCCAGTGACCTCGTTCGGATAATCTACGTAAGAGAGTTCCATCGACCATGGTGGAATTCACCAAGCCCCGTTCGAGAAGATATTGCAGGATGCGAGGAGAATGCTGATCTCCTGCTTTCACTTCAGTCACAAGTATCGCATTGACGATCCTCTTCACAAATTCATGTCCATATACAGGGTTCGGCTTCCTGAATGGGGATCATCAAAAACACAGTATATGAGGGATGACAACGTCATTTTCCTTACATCACCTCGACTATGTTTTTGAACCCATGTAAAAAATTCATGGTCGGCCCGTTGTGGCGCCCGTTTGGAAATTGTGGTTTTTAGTGCAGACACCAACTTCCTCTGGTCCTCATTCAATACTGAAATAAGAGGAATCAGATTTTAGCGGTACGAGCCATTCTTCCGTTGCAGATGATTTTCCGAGAGCCGCAGCGAGGTTTGATTTAAGAGTCTGGTCAAAGGGAATGACGTGAACGGTGGATCGAGCAGTGCCCTGAGATTTTGATGGTGGCTGGGATGGAGACAGGGAGAGTAGCGTTTGGCCCTCATCGCCAAGAATAAGATGGAGATGAGGAAGTGCGTCGGCCACTGGGGAAGCCATTGTTTGTGATGCTAACAAAACGCCATAACGGAGGTCCCAGAGTTGAAGAGATATATTATTTTGTCCTTCCACTGTCGTAGCCAGAAGAACGAGAGACGATGAGAGGGAAACGACGGAAATGCCAGGCCGTCTTTTTTTGAAAGCATGCAACTGAAGAGGCTCCGTAAGTGGAATAGCGTGTAATGTCGAAGGCTCCGACACAGAAAACTGAAAGGATTTCCACGCCCCGCGTGAAGCTGGAAACGGGACGTCATAAAATGTATCCCACCGAAACAATTGGCAAACTTACTGATGAAACTAAGGACACCCTCTGCACTACACGTTACACCCGCTATTCTGCCTTCTACGGTCTCCCCCTCATCGCCGATCGGTAACTTGCAAGTGTCCACGTGCGCTATCTCACCACCAACCAAAGCCACCCGCACATACAAGTTCGATCCCGCTTGACAACATATGCAGACAACATTGCGGACAGCAGAGTCCGTGGAATCCGTGTCACGTTGGATAAAAACAGGACACGAAGACGAGGGGAAAATGAAGACGTCCAGTAGTTCCTGTCCGCCGGTCCATTCTAACTGGCTCTTGATTGCTACCTCAGGATCTGCCAGACTAATCCCGCCGCTCTTCGATACGAGTAACAACGGCAGTGTATCGCTGTCAACACCGCATATGCGTACAGGTGGAAAAGGTGTCTACATCCCGGCACAGCGTCACATCGCACAACTAGAAACGCAGAGGATGATGACGCACCACAACACTCTTCCGCTCGTCCTTCGTAACGCGCAAACCAGCAAGCGTCTGCTTCATGATCCAGACAGTCCGTTCGCGATTGGCCCTGATTATCTCGGGTGCTTGTTTTATGACCGCATACGTGACGGAGAAACGAATGTTGTTGTCCTCCACTACGGATCGAGTGAAAGCGGGTGCAGAGAAGGAGACATGATCGCCGACCGAATGCGAGACTACCGAATGCAGATTTTCGACCTGCACACGAAAGCGTGCAGTTTAGCCGGAGACGGTAAAGAAAAAAAAAAGAGGTGTGGACGTACGTCCACGACATGAATGCCGTCTCCTTGAATTGTCAGCGTGGCATGTCTTCGAAATCTCGGGTTGTACGCGATATATACAAGGTCGGCTGTTAAGACTGAGCTTTTTCGCCGATGTATTGGTCGAGTACAGCTGGAAAGGTTCTCCAATGCTTGAACTCATCGACGGTGGTGAGTGGTCTTCTTGCTCAATTGAAATGCGGTGTTCGGGGTCTCACATGCACACTCCAGTTCACTTCCAGTACCAAGTCAAACAGTAGTCCATTGAGAAAAAAAAGTACACCAAGCTACCATGCCATCAGCAAAAAGAAAAGAAAACAGAAAACAGTACAGACAATCGTGCATGACAGAAACACAATGTTGCACATACATGAAGCACAGCAATTACTGAAATGAAAATAAAGTATAATCACCAGTCGTGGGTCCTCAACAAAAAAGCATATGGTACCGAAAAAGGCTGCCTCACGCAAGACTTCCTCCACATGCCCGCGGCAGGAACCTTGCTTCTCGCCTTGAGGATCTTGAAAGCACGTTGCCGACCTCGAGCTTCATCAGGTATGCTAACCTGGGTAGGCTCCTCATCGCTCCCTTCCTCGTCTTCTTCAGTTTCCGCCGTGCTAATAAAGTCGAGTGTGCCACGTCGGGTCGCCGGATCACGCTCTGCAAAGGATACATGTCGCCCACCGGATGCATCCGGAAGCGATGGTCCCATGGCACCGGTTTTCTCGGGGAGGGATGTCTTGGGCTGATAAGACGCCAACGATAATGGCTCTCTTCTTCGGACCAACGGTCTGATGTTGACAGGTAAAGATGCAGCAATCCCGCCCTGGAAGGACCACTTCACATCTACAAAATATATCAGCCTACACGATCTTGCGTGCCCAACAGCAACAAACAAAGGTACCCTGTAAGGCGTCCAAATCACTGTCATCAGTCTCATTGGGGGTGCGTTCAGAATCATCTTCATCCTCTTTCGGTATCAAGGCCCCTGGTGCACCCTTCAGATAGGATGAGCCAACGAGCGCCTTCCACGCCTTGCTATGGCGTTTCCAGGCATTCCGATGGCTCGGAGTGTGAGCAGCGACGAGTCTCAGGATATCTTCTTCATGTGGGTCCACTTCGTCAGACTGCTCTGGCTTCTGCGGGTCGGGTGGACTGAGCGGCGCGACGACATCGAGAACACCGTTCGCGCGAACCGACCTCCCGCCTGCATCTCCATTCGTCCTTGCTAGGGGTATCGAGGGAACGGAGGTTCGCCGCAAAGATGACGAAGTTGAAGGTCCATCGCGACTGCCTGAATGACTTTGTTCAGGGCGCGAGGCAGTAGGAGTGTTATCGACAAGCCAGGGGACCTGTGTGGTTTCTGGAACTTCACGTTCACCACTCTCAACTTCGTCCTCCAGGTCAAATATCATATCTGCTAGTAGTGACCATTCACAAAAAGGTTGCATCAATAAAGAACTGATCACATGCCTTCATTACCCCAGGATTTCTCACCGGATGAACTCTTATTAGTATTCTCGTTAGCGTCATCGGCCTCTACCTGTAAATCAAACGTCACCCGTCGTTTACTCTTAGGGGTCGTCATCTCAGGCGGTGCCTTGCTTTCTTCACCATCAAACTTCTTGGCCCGCTCCTCTTTCACACGGTGCTCCGTGGTAGAGATCTCATTGTGGCCGGGACTCTTCCTTTCCTTCGTATCTCCGCTCTTCTCCCCTGGTTTCTCCGCTGTGCGCTTACGATCTTCGGCTCTTACAACATCGGCGGCAGCGGACTGCTGCTGCTGCTGCTGTCGTTTGCGGGCCGCTTCTGCTTCCACAATAGTGAAATATCGGAAACTGACAGTGGTATCTTGCTGTTCGTCCATCTTTCGCTTGAAGGGCTGTATGATGGTGTCCCTGCTGGCACGTGGCGAGGGACTAGGAGACTCTATTTCCGTAGGTGGGGAGCGACCACTCAACGAGTCCAGAGACGAAGATCGATGCGAGGAAGATGGCGAGGAAGATGGTGGACTGTCAGCATCTGGAGGTTGTGACGCCGCCGCCGAGGCTTTGTGAGCAGCGGGATGATAGAACGCGGAAGTAGCAAGGGATGCTGACAACGAAGACACTCTCGGTATGGAGGATACGGGAGACCTCATTCTTGGACTGGCAACCGGAACAAAGTCCCTAACGGAGACTAGCGGCGTTCCGGAAACGCCTGCTGTATTGGGCAGGCGGCCATTTGAACCGCCTTGGCCCTTCCTGGCAGTTGCCCCTGATTCCGTTTGGACCTTGCCAACGTTCTCAATGAATTGTTTCCATAGACACTTGACATCTCTTCTTAATTTGTCCTCGGCCACCTGCAGCTCCGCGACTTTCTCGCGTATTATTGCCGCGATTTGTTTTTCAGTTTCCGCTCTGAGAGTCTCAGACCGGCCTTCGGCGACGGACAAAAGGTGTGAGAAAACGGGATGGAGAGGGATAAATGGGGCGGGAGGGAACAGAGCCTTCAAGTTTGTCAGAAAGGGCCCGGCTGGAGCGTCATATTGCGAGTGGTCCGGAGAGTCCGGGGATTCCTCGGATGCGGGCTCAGCGGGTGAAGGAGTTGCGGGCTGGGGCACAGCAATATGAAACTCGGGGGAAAAATCCGAGGAGGAAGCGACGGTAGGGATTGCATTGGAGGCCTGGTTGGAGACAATGTTAGCAACAATGGAGGTCGCTTGAGGTCAGACAAAGGAAGGAGACGCCTAGTTGTGTGGCGCACGGAGACAGCGGATTCCTATAGCGGTTGTAGTATTCAGTTGGCGCACTCACTAGGCAGTCCTTGTACACTTCGATCCAGCCATGGCTGCTCTTCAGGGTCTCCTGTTCGACCCAGTCCGAGGATGGAAGTAGTGGGCCTTCTTGACCGTCCACATCCGGTGTGACGAGCTGCTGGACGCGATAAGCGAGCGTCTGGCAGATTAAACAAGTGAGCGTCGTATATCGGATGGACCGTGGGGAGTCCGGCATGGGCTGTCCGATTTTCCTGGTTCTCACTGTGACTTGGGGGTGCTCCTAAGGCAACATAAAACACAGTGACGGGGACCGGTTAGCGTCGACGGCCATGGAAACTTACGATGGTGAGACCGTGTTCGCCGACATACGTCAGAGTGTAATCTGGGAGTCCAATGTTCGCGATGAGAAAATCCGGAGGCCTGGAGTGTTCGGGCTGGGGTCGTATGCGGACGTTGAGGCATTTGCAGGCCATCGTGGCTTCGACTTGGCGTTGTTGTTCCGCCATGGCAGCAGCGATGAGAAACAAAGAGAAGGTTGCTGTGCCAGCGTTAAATGGCCTGGACTCGGATGGGGTATGCGATTTTATTATGACAGGGACTCAACAGCTGGCCGGCCGTGCCGGAAACGGAAATAATACGCTAAACATTGAAACAAAGGAGATTGGTCCGATCGATGCCTAATCGGGACACTCGATTCACCCTATCTGATAAGCATCATTATATTTGCGCGCTTTGTTATTGGGCATCCATTCATCCGTACTGTACAACTCATCGTTATCTTACATTCCACTATGTAATACCCACGCAGGGGGAGGACCGATCGTGAGATATTGTTAATAGATCTATATACGTACACGATAGTGCCAGGTCAAGCGACTACTGGATGACAGGGGGGATTGTTATCGCGTTTTTGTGCTGTAATAAAGTGCCGATTTTCACGCAAAGTCGTGGAGACGTCATGATATCTTCTTGCCTTGAACTCCAACCGTGATGGCATATCGCGTTGGAGCCTTGACAGTCTTCTATTTCCGCAGACTTCCATTGAGGGAATTGAGTTCACCACCCGAGACTGTAAGATCGTGATATTCGAGCACTGCGTTCCCGGAAATAAAACGCGTGCAAGCCACAAGCACAGCATAGTGTACTAAACAGGAGGACCGGAATGTCGCATCCGTCAACCGAAGTCTACAGTCTAGTGCCCGATCAGTGACTTATGAATATCTCGGTCAAAGCTGGTGCGTGATGCCATTATAATGGAGAGGATACAATGCAGATATCTATAAGAGTGGGCTGACTTGACACAGCTTGATGTACAGCTTGCTAGCAAAGCTCCGACATTCCCACACAGCGCTGTGGGCCATGATAATGAAACAAATGAGAAGTGAGTCCCCCATTATTCTAAGTAAGACACGGCTACTATTGTGTGTCGACAGCGGGATGAACCACGCCAGCGAGTTCCCCCGTCGCTGTCCACAGTGGAATCACGTGATGGGCGTGTGAGAGGGTGACGTGTGGCATATGACCCGATAAGGAAATACCCTAAGCCCAGCCCTATACCCGAACCCTCTGCCCAGTTCTGAATTATTTAATTTTCGATTTACTTGCCGAATCTCCCTCAATCAACAACCATCACCATCTCCCCCCCCTCTGCCCTCTTAGTGAGTGAGTCCCCGCTCGTCGTCGACGACAGCGACGCTGACCTGATTACAGATTCTCAAAGACTCGCTCATCATCTCAACACATACATCATCGTAAGTCATTCACGTGCAATTGACGCGTCGCCCTCGCGTTGCCTTGCTTACCTTTGCTCGCTCGCAGATGCCCGAATCGCGCGAGGACTCCGTCTACCTTGCTAAGCTCGCCGAGCAGGCAGAGCGCTATGAGGGTATGTATGCTTGCGTCACGTGCACGAACAGCACTCATTCTGCACAACAGAAATGGTGGAGAACATGAAGCGGGTCGCGTCCTCAGACCAAGAACTCACTGTCGAGGAGCGTAACCTTCTCAGCGTCGCCTACAAGAACGTCATCGGTGCACGGCGCGCATCGTGGCGGATCGTCTCCTCGATCGAACAGAAAGAGGAGGCAAAGGGTAACGAGACTCAGGTCGCAATGATCAAGACGTACCGGGAGAAGATCGAGGGTGAGCTGCAGAAGATTTGCGAGGACATCCTCGACGTCCTCAACAAACACCTCATCCCCTCGGCCGCTTCCGGCGAATCCAAGGTCTTCTACCACAAGATGTAAGCTTCTCTTATCAGCCGTGGCTGTGTCCCGAGGCTCACAAAGGGCATTTCCTAGGATGGGCGACTACCACCGTTACCTTGCCGAGTTTGCCACCGGTGACAAGCGGAAGGAAAGCGCTGACAAGTCCTTGGCTGCCTACAAGGAGGCTTCCGATGTCGCTGTCACCGAGCTCCCACCAACGCATCCTATCCGTCTCGGTCTCGCACTCAACTTCTCCGTGTTCTACTATGAGATCCTAAACAGCCCCGACCGGGCCTGTCATCTTGCCAAGCAGGCATTCGACGATGCTATTGCTGAGCTCGACACCCTTTCAGAAGAGAGCTACAAGGACTCGACACTGATCATGCAGTTGTTGCGTGACAACCTCACCCTTTGGACCTCAGACATGCAGGAAACTGGTGCGTAAATTTGATATACATGTTCTTGTCCTGCTCAGCCGGCTTATAGACAAGGCAGACGCCAAAGATGAAGGTGATAACGCTGCGGATGATTAAACCCGGTTTCGTCTTGTCACCCTCCTTGTCACGATCAGTTAGGATACAGGGTTCCTACCACCGTCCATATTTACTAGCATCACTCTTACCTCTCGCATTCCGCCTTTTTTTTTTTCTCTATGTTCTGTTATTATACCGTACGGCACGGTCAACCATACATGTCTTGGTATAGGGGGTGAATAAGAACATTCAATATCAGACGTGTCACGACAGAGAAAAGTTTGGGCATCTCTAAGAGCAACGGCAGAGAACGGATGATGACATTTCAAGCTGGCAGGGTCCACGATGGTAAAGACGGTGACGATGAGCATGTCGGCGATACTGAGCGTTCTGGCTCTGGTGACCGTCTACGCCGTCTACCTCGCCCTGTCCGATGTATCACGGCTAGTGTCCCCCCAAGGATGTCGCATGTCATGGATGTCCCCCTCTTACCTTCTCCAATCAGAATTCAATACGTCCTGGACACCGCTTGCAAACCGGTACACCCTCTGGTTATACAGGGAAGTAGGATGGGAGCCTAGCCAGGTGAGTTGTTCCGCAGCTTTGTCGGTGGTTCAATGGTCACCTTACACTGGCGGTTTAGCCCGTCGGGGTACCAGCTCTGTTCATACATGGGAGCGCAGGTTCATCGCACCAAGTACGCTCGATCGCTTCCTCTGCTGCACGACAATACTTTTCCTCTCCATTCGTTATTTCGAGTGAGTTCAACGGACGAGGGATCAGACCGGTGGATTTTTATGCTGGTAAGTGTTTCATGTACATACATCAGTCTTCTACTGTATAACGAACGACAGTTGACTTCAATGAGGATTTTTCTGCCTTCCACGGACCTACACTCGATTCCCAGATCGCCTATACCGCCGCAGCGATCAGATATATTCTCTCGCGATACCCACCGAATACCCAGATCATCGTCATCGGTCATTCCATGGGCGGCATCGTGGGTACCGCACTTCTCCCCTCTCCCGACATATCCGCCCTTATAACAATGTCTACTCCGCACATGCTTCCGCCTGTGCGGTTCGACTCTCGTATCGAGGAAATATACGCGCGAAATAGTCGAATTCTGCGGGAAGATGAGACCCCCATTCTATCGTTGTGCGGTGGCGCCACGGATACGCTCGTCTTGTCGGAATCATGCGTGATCCCGGACTCAGACCAGCCACCGGGTGGGTTGTACAGGAGAACGGTGTTCACATCTGCATTACAGGGCACCTGGACGGGCGTCGGACATCTTGAGATGGTGTGGTGCCACCAGGTGAGGTGGCGCGTCGCCCGGGCGGCACTCGAGTTGGGTGGTGCTGTTTCTGCACGCGACACAGTAGCAACCCAGCGAGGGAGAGTATTGGATCGGTGGTTGGGAGATGGCGTGCCCGTGTTAGATGAGGAAAATGTCGAGTTGCGCCATGGAACATATGAAATTCTCCCGCAGGGGATGCATCTCGTGCTGAAAAATCCGCATGGGAAACGGACGTATCTTTTGCCCTTGGTGCCTGCCGATGGTGAAGGACCAAGGACGTTCGTATTGTATGTCTCCAGAGGAGCTATCTCCGGCATCGCGCCACATCACGCGCCGGACTTGCAAGTCTCCATTCAGCTCTGCGTTCCATCATCAGCGAGGACAGACGGTGCAGAACTGTCTGTTCCGACGATGTGCACGCCCTTGCAGCCTAATGTATTGAAGCTTCTCCCGAGTCCGCTCCCAGGAAGACCGTTCCCGGTACCGAACGAAGGGTCTGACGAGAGCGAGGGTGTTGTTTTGTTTGAGGGTGAAATTTCTTCCGACGTGCAGGGATGGATAGGGGTCAGTATAAACGCGGGTGAGCAAGAGGGAGGAGGATGGGTTGTCAGCGGATTTGATCGTAGGAAACTTGTGGAGCGGGACGCCGTCAGTCTTTCAGGTACTGTCCATTCGTGATCTCCGAGGCTGCCCGTGTCGCGCAGATGTATCTGACAAGCTTTCCCCTTCACAGATTTGATCCTCGGTACCGTGCATATACCACTAACGACTGCAGGCGGGGAAGGGGGACTGAGGACTCACGTCCATATCTCGCGTCTACCCCTCAACGCTCTTCTCGTGTATAAACTTGTTCCCGACTTTACGGATTCTTCCTCGTGCGCAGGTAAGCGTTCTATCGTTGCTGTATCGTTATACGCTTTCTGACCCTCCGGTATATTAAGATGCAATTTTCCCTCCTCTGCTCATGCACGTCTCACAACCTTCAGAGGTCCACTATTATCCCCTCAGACACGACAATCCCGTATGGCTCCATTCACACTCCACCGCGCCCTACGTCCCGTCGCTCGAGTTTAACCCGGAGCACCACGGGCTGAATCTTACGATTTACTCATATGATTATGATTGTGCGGACCCCGTCGGTCTCACACTTACTCTTGACTGGTGGGGAACGCTAGGCAGGCTCGGGACACGATACCCTACGACGCTTCTCAGTTTTTGCGTAGGTATTGTCTCAGTTGCGCTCTTCCAAGCGTGGCAGCACTCTGCCGCTCAGCCGCAGAGTGTGTCGGAATCATTGGAAACCCTCGTAAGGAGAGTGATGCCCCAACTCATGGGTGTTGCGGCGCTCATCGCTTTACTTCCTCTGAGTCATAAGTGGTATTTGGGTCTGAGTGGGGAGTTGGGACTGCTTGCCAGTTTGCTGGCGGTATTTCTTGTGGGCCTTGCATCGGGATTAGTGTGTTTGAGCTGGTGGGTGCTCCGGCTTTTGATATGGCCGCTAAGGTTCGTAGCGATGCGTGTCGTACCTAGGTAAGCGCCCCCCGTACGTCCCGCGCGTCGTTGGTGGACTGAGAGATTGTGGGCGGTTGCAGTAGAAGGCCTGAAGATTCAGGCCTGAGACGCAGTACTGTCCCTTCCATGGTGCTTATGCTCCTTTTCATTTTCTTGTTTGTGCCGTGGCAAGTGGCATTCCTGGGATGCTGGGTCATCCAGTTGTTAAACTGTGCAGTGCACCCCCAAGACGAACGTCCTTGGAATCGGACTCCAACCACGATAGATACCCCTATCGAAGCGATACCTCTTCGGCCACAGCGCGAAGACGGCGGGTCTAGAGAACCCACAGAAGATGGAATCGCTGAAACTCTTTCTACCGTGAACATCTCTCGTGGTGCGATACCAGGCGGGGGAAAACCGACACCCCCATACGCTCTAATATACCAGAACGCGCATATTCTACTATTCCTGACCTGGCTGCTGCCTTTTACCGCTCCGGTTCTGGTCGTGTGGGTGCGGACGTTGTTGACTGCGGGGTATACTACCCCTTTCAATGGCGATCATAACGTGTTCAAGGTCTTACCGATCCTATGGCTAGTGGATTACCTCGGACGGGGTCATGTGCTGGATACGAGGTGAGCGTTTTACGGCCACCACTTTTTTTTGTTATTTTTATTTTCCTTGGAGTCAGTTCATTGATTGTACACGCAGGAATTGGAGAGGGATATCTCCGAGATGGGGTTTTCTCGTCGTTGGCCTTGTATCATTCGTGGTCGGTGGCAGATGGGTGTATTTGGTATACGACGTTGCGAACGTTCAGATCGCCTTTTTGTTATTTTGGGATGTGGTAGTGGCATCATCGGGGCGTCTTACGTAATCGACTTTTTTTTTTTTTTGTTAATCCTTTCCAAGATCGAAGTCCAGTGCTTCAGCGTCAGCTTTCGACTCTAATTTGGGTTCCGCATTCGTAGTTTTTTATTATTAGTTTTTGCATGTGAAGTGCACAATGTGATTTTTAGAGGAGTGACGACGCCGTTCTAAGTAGTACAAGCAACTTGTCTAGGTGTTCTATATATGTGAAGGTATCATCATCGTTCATGGTATGCGCACACGTATCACCCCTTGGCGTATGGAGCAACCAGCACACAGCGTGATTTTCAGAGGAGTAATGACGCCGATCTAAGTTCAAGCAACTTTCTATTTATGTATCATGGTATGTACAAACTGCAGAACATGTGCATACGTATCACCTCTTGGCGTAAGGGGCAACCATATCCATGCTTTGATCCATGCGGTTGTCAGCCATTCGTTTATTAGCCTGGATATGAAGAAACTTCGGTACTCACAGCCTGTTCCGGAACCCTGCGCGAACTGGTTCCGGGTACGGGAGCCGGGGCATAGTCGTGGAGGTCTGATCCTGAGTTAGTAATAAGTCAAAGTATTAGGCGAGCACCGTCGTGACCCGGGGATCACCAAAACAGTGATTCACACATGGCCAGTAGTAGACTGTAGGGTTAGCAAATCGGGGGGGCTCGCATCGTGATCTGTCCCTGCCGTTCGGCTTTGGGATCTCGTACGGGTGTGGCCCGACACCCGGTCTCCACGATTATATGACAGGTCACACGACGCCGCTGGGCCTGACTGGAAAGAAATGTCCCCTGTCTGTAGCTGTACTTAGCGCTCCGAAATTCCAGCTGTGGAGCTATTGGATTATGGCGGAAGACTGTATACCTGCGTCAAGAAATTTAGTCATGGGTATTGTACCGTCATCCTCGGAGAGGAGCTGATCGTTATTTTGTCATGTCAGCAACGCCGACTCCTGAGAAGATATCCTGAGCTATTCGAGGCTCTAAAGCTCAGTTGTTATTTGAATACGTCCATGCCCGAGTCTGGTGACCGCCTTAATACGTCTCGTTCCTATTGCCGATGAAGTACGCGGACCGCAAAACCGACCACCCAAAAATCGGACACTTCAAGTCCAGAACGTTTGTCATTATTCGCCTTGTTGGCGACATGATTTGTCTGCGAGGAAGCGGAAATTTCGGCCGATAAGTTGAGTGGTCCAAGGGCCAGAACGGTCGTTTCTCCCCGTTCGCCTTGGTTTAGATCCTTAAGAACAAGGGGGTGGCGAAAACAGGGGACTACGTTTTTACTAATTGGCCTGAAAACCGCTCAACGGGTATGTTTGTGAGCATGGGAGATGAAGTACCAGCATTGAGAAACTTCAACGCAGCCGAGGAAGGTATTAATGGCCTGGTCCATGTCGTTATATGTCCCCTGCTCACAGAATTTATCTCCATGGATTTTTTTTCTTTAAAAAATCTCACCTGTCTATTTGTCCTCCAGCATACATTGCAGGAGGATTAATGGATCATTCCGTAAGTCAGCTGGGGGGGCAGTTGAGTGAGCCCCAAGTGAGAACCGCACTCGTCAGGTGGGCACGTGACATGACGTTGTACATCATATGGAATGCGACCGTCTGTCTGGCGTCTCCGTAGTATTCTCCTCCGAGGGCAGCACAAAATAACAGTAACCAGCAGCACACCTGGTTCCTCCAAGCGTATCCCAAGGTACCGTTAATTTTTGCCTTTTTGCACGACATCGTATCAACGGCATACAAATCTTTATATGATCCGTTACATTTTCAGTAGATGACCTCGCCGCGTGATATACCCGTGCTTTCGAGCTCCCCCATCTCTGTCAGAGGCAGTCCCGTTGCACGACGTAGAAGAGACAGCGGTAGCCAATCCGACTCAGTGGAACCAAGCTCCCGCGCACGTCAACCAGTCTATCCCCTTTCCCTTGACCACAATGACCCTGATTCTCGGGAACGGCAAAGAGCCATGGATGTAGACATGGCCTTGCAGCTTTCTCGTGCGCGCAGAGAGACTATGGTCTCTCCTTCCCACTACGAACCTCCGCTAAGGGAGGAGATGGAACCCTCCTTTCTCCTTAACACTTCGGAGCAACTCGCTTTTGGTATCGCTCACGATGATGGTATCCACCCCCTCGACCAGGATGTCAGCGGGGTGTCTGAAGAACCACTCCATGCAGTGAGACCAGCTGACGCTGAGCTTAGTAACCTCGATCAAGCTCGTAACCACGCCCTGCTAGACACACCGGAGGGGCGTTACAATCCAGCTCACCACGAGGATGCATCAACATCGATGACAGGTCTACCGAGTTATCACGCCAATTCTTTCCGCTCCGTCTTTGATTTTAACCTTCTGGAAAGTTTTGCCTCAGAGGAAAAAGCTAATCAAGGCACAACGTTCGGTAGTGAGCCGCCTCCGTTTAGACACAACAAACCAGCTGAAGGTCAAGTCGGTGATGCAGGGCAACCATCTTCCCAAACAGACCTATCAAAGACTGGCATTGAGCCTTCTAACGCACAATCACCCCCAAACCTGCGTGTAGGCGGTCGTCACCGCAAGCTGAGCCAGAGTAGTCCAATTCCTCGCTCCCACCGCAGAGTCACACGGGGGAAAATGGTCCCTTTCGACCATCGGAACGAGCCTGTTTCCCGATTTCCAGCACATCTCATGGCTGAGGGACAACTCAGCACCGTCCCGTCCTCCGATAATCTCTCGACAATCTGTCAGCCATACGCCCCTGAAAACATCAATTCCGTCAGCGGGATCATGGCTCCTGTTGATGACAGACCGTACAGATTCTCATTCTATTCTAATTCCCTGTCAGCTACAATCCATGCCAGAAATCTATCGGAACTACCCGCTGAGGGACAGTCTTTCCAAGATTTATTTACAGGAATATCTATACCATCTGAGGGGAGCACCTTTAAAGGTATGTTTGCCCCCATTCTCGTGGTTCTTCCAACGTATGGTCCAACCGTTTGACGATTCCGGGCGGTTCAGGGGGTCCATTAGGCCGTCAAGGCAACAGCGGTTCTAACCGCAGAAGCGAGAAACCTCCAGGGGACCCTGGAAAGCCGATCGGAAGTAGCGGAGGTGATTATGAAGCGAGCACATGGTGGCTCGATGTTCTGAGCCCCACCGATGAGGAGATGAATGTTCTTAGCAAGGTACGAATCTTATGTCAAGACGATATCAGGTATCTTGCTGAGTTGCGTTATTTCTGCCCCGCCGCAGGTGTTTGGCATCCACCCCCTGACCACTGAAGACATCCAAATGGAGGAAACTCGGGAAAAAATTGAACTATTCCGGAATTATTACCTCGTTTGTTTTCGCAGCTTCGATCAGGATCCCTATGGTCCCACATACCTGGAACCGTTGAATATGTATATCGTGGTCTTTCGAGAAGGCATCTTATCGGTGAGCCGGCAAACTATTCTGCGTTGCCTTATCGGCCAACCATCGTTATTTCCCACAGTTCCATTTTCGGCCAACTCCACATCCGCAGAACGTCCGCCGGCGCATCAAACAGCTGAAGGATTACATAAATGTCACGTCTGATTGGATTTCGTATGCACTGATTGACGATATTACCGACGCCTTTGGACCGCTTATTCAATCGATCGAGTATGAGGTTGACTCAATCGACGAACTCGTGCTTATCCTGAAGGACACGGAGCAGAGCGACATGTTGCGCCGGATCGGGCTATGCAGGAGAAAAGTTCTTGGCCTTCTGAGACTTATGGGTAGCAAGGCAGACGTTGTCAAGGGGCTCGCAAAGAGGTGTAATGAAAACTGGAGAGTGGCACCCACGTCAGATATTGTAAGCTTTTTTCATTGTTTGCCTCCCACGGTGTTCGATGCTGACGGTAAATGGACACAGGGGTTGTACCTGTCCGATATACAAGTTTGGCATTTTTCCTGCCAGTGGGATCAGAAAAAATATTAATTGATCTACAGGATCATCTTATTACAATGACTCAAAACTTGAACCACTACGAAAAAATTCTGTCCCGCTCGCATTCGAACTACCTGGCTCAGATTTCTATCGAGATGACCGATGCAAATAACCAGATCAATGACGTCCTTTCGAAGCTGACTGCTTTGGGTACGATTCTTATACCCATGAACCTTGTAACGGGTCGGTACTTGATTTGCACTCCGGTGAACTAAGAATAATATAAATTGCCGGGCAGGTCTGTGGGGAATGAACGTCCATGTACCAGGGCAAGATATCACGGTACGTGATTTCTACGTTGTCAGTTGCTCTTTGCCCATGGGATCCGCGCAGGAGGGTTACGCATGGTTCAGTTCTATTGTTGCGGCGCTCGCTGCCTTCGCTGTGATTGGCGGTTATACGACGTATAAATTTATGAGACGGTGACGCTTCCCCCCTGTCTTTCATATGATTTATTTTCGGACGGTCATACTTGACTACATGTCACCTGTCGTTCGGCGTTTTATGAAGTATTACAATAGGTGATTCACGAGACCAAGCACACTACGTGGGTGTCGTATCTGTTAAATTCATTCGATACTCCTTCAACACATACGTAATTGCAGCACTCGTCGGTGCATTGTAGCATAGCCATTCCAGTTCCAAAACGAAACTAGACCTATATATGCCAAACAGTCATCCCGAAGATTTATTTAATACACGCTAACGTAATTGCAAGAAAGCAGAACACACGGAGGACGCATACAAGTCAAGACAAACACAAAAAATGAGTCTATTTGTTCTTGGGGATGACAAGCTTCATGGGTTTCGCAGGTGGGGTATTGCTTGGTCTCTGCGAGGACGAAGAGGGACCAGTGGCGAATGGGACAGAGGAGGCTGGACGTGGGGAGGGCTCTGTGTCCACTGGTGACACAATCATGGCGAGTGAAGGGGACAACGTTTGCTGCATCGCACGGGCAGGGACTGAGGCTGGTGGAAGAACTGGTGTCTGTGGCAAACGCCTGGCTTGTTTGGGCGACCGAGACCCCCGCACTTCAGGTGGTGGCGACTCGTCCGCAAACTTACGTTTCTTGCCAGAGTGCGGTGACAAGGAAAGTGGGGGAGGTGGCAGCGGGTACTCAGGAACTTCGGAACGGCGGGTGGGAGTGGGGTTTGAGGTGATGTTATGCCATTGCGTACACCATGGAGGTGGAGGCGGGACATGATGGCCATTGGTCGATGGTTGTCGTGCGAGCTCGTATACCGGGGTAGGAGGGGTAGGAAGCGGCAGTGGAGTGTGAGAATGACGGTGGCTTGCTGACGGACCTGATTCAGGAGGTCGAGGGAGGGGTGGGGCAGAAACACTGTGTTGCGGAGGAGCACAATTTATAACTTCCGATGAGCCCGAAGTATACCGGATTAATTCGACAATAAGGGTTTGAGTGTACGGGCGTGGGAGAGTCATGTAGATGATGTCTTTGCTGGAGGTCTCCTGCATGGCACCTGTATTGACATAGGTATCTTCATCTTGGTTATCTATGACGCTGTGAGGTAATCGTGGGAATTTCAAAGGAAGAATCACTCACCGAAGTGCTTGACCCGTACTTCCGAAAACGCATAGGGTCGATTCTTGCGGATACAACACAGTGGACACTCGAAGCGATGCAGCTTCTGTCCCATGGAACCATCGATCGGGAAAAACACGCATCCAGCATGATACAGTCGATTACACATCTGACACTCCACGGTACGGTGGCCGAGTAAAAACGGCGTGCGACCCCGGCAGATGCAACGAGTGCCATCAAGCCAGTCCTTGTCGATGTCTTGACCGAAGACAAATTTCGCCCGACGCCTCTTCCTGACCCGCACAGGTGCAGGTTGGCCGGCAAGAATGCGGTGTAGGCCAGCCAGATCAAGACCGAAGGAAACCTCTCGTGACGGGGATACAGCGAACTGAATCTTGTACAGCTTTCGCATATAGTGTCGGACTTGTGGGATGTATTCTGGCCGCTGGTTCCCAGGCTGTGATGCAAAAGTTAGGAAGTGTCCGATCACTGCCGACAAGCGATCCGTTCGGTGAACAATTAACTCCAGTTGCTTCCAAGCATCGGAATAATTCTTGGTAACTTCGGGAGCAGAGAGCAATATCTGAGGTAAGAAGCAGAAGTGCCAGTTACGGCCCTTGTTGATTGCACCGTTCCAATGGCGGTGGTCGCAGAACGGACACGACCCGCCGTTCGCTGCACACTCGCCGTGGAACCTAGCAAAGCAATGGTCGCATTGCACCGCATCGGACTGCGCGCCAGGCGGAGGTGGCCGGACGGGTGTATTGCAGATGCAAGTGAAGTATTCGTCGTTAGGCGGAAGGTCGTCCTCTGGCCGAGTGGCATCGACGACATCGTTAAGAATATCCTGACCATGCGCCACGCCGTGCTGTTGGCAATGCCAAGGAAGGTTTTCTAACCATTTCTGGTGGAAGGTGAGCTGTGCGTCCAGCTTTTCGAAGACGGGAAGCGAAAACACAGATAGATGCTCTCTGGCGTAGGATCGCCACTTGGTCATCATCTCGAATATGTCTACTTCGTCCCGGTGCTGATAGCGGTTTCTCAGGATGGCCTCGCACCGATTCTCGAGGTCGAGAGCAAACTCGGCAGTCTGCTTGAGGTCCCTAATGGCAGGAATGCTGAAGTCTTTCTCTGCACGGGCGACAAACCTCATGACCTCCGATACCTTCGGCTTCGGGCCTTGGTCGTCAGGAAGCAACCAAGCCTTGGCTTGCTTCTCGAAGTCCTTGGCCTTCGTCCGGGCAGACATGAGACGATCATAGATGCTGACGTCAATGGGAACATTAGGATCTGTTTCGGAGAATTCGTCAAGCTCTTCAATGGTCTTGAATGGCTGGTCAAGGACATGTCTCGCTCTTTCTTCCCAGTCGTCCCCTGCACGCTGCCTCGCCTGGAGCGCCTTCATATATGTGTTGTCTTCAGGAAGGTTGCAAGCGCGAGCGCGAGACAAAAGATTGTGTATGTCTTCTAGCGTGGCATTTGCATCATCAGCCTTCTCCTCTAGTTCCTTGATGAGTGACTCGCGGGTTACAATCTTCTCCACTTCATAAATCTCCTCAAGGTATACGTTGACGGACGATGCTTCCATAAGTAGACGCTCGCATTCATTGAAGAAAGTGTCACGGTCCGTTGCTGCACGGTCATCCTTCAAAAGCACTAAGGCCTTGCTCCTTAGCTCCTCTGCTTGCTCCGCTAGCGCCCGGAGGGCACCAATCTCTTGGGTGTCAAAACCCAACGTCTGAACCTCTCTCAGTAGCGCATAAAGGTCGTCCAAGGTGCGATCTGGTCTGTCACCCGGATCGCGGTCGTCGAAACCCGGAGGGGTGGACTCGTTCGCAGATGGCCGACCACGTGAACGACGTGACCGCTTCCGGCTCTGTTTGCGGATGATGAACGTATTCGAGGCGTCAAGCCATTCATTTGCCCTATTTACACATTTCCGCAGGGAAACCAGTTCTGGAAGAGGGTAGTTGATACGTTCGCCTTCGGCAAGAAGGGCTCGAAGGGAACGAAGTTGAGGGGCACCACTCTCAGATAACACCCTCTGGAATTTGGTTTTCCAAGCAGAAGGGATAGCAGCGCGTTCTGTGACTTTCGCCAAGTTGTCTTGGAGAGCCGCATCAGAGAACCGGAGTCTCAAAACATGTTGATTTATGGCGTGGTCGCAGAGGTGTTTAGCATGCTCCACGCACACAACCTCGTTCTTGCAATGGCATATCACCTGGGAGAGGAAGCAGAACACCTTGCAATGCAAGCATTGATACTGGTCTTCGGGCCGGTCCTCGTCCTCAAGCCTCTCGGTAATTCCCATTGCCCTGGCGGCTCTTCGAGACCCGAGTTCGCGCTCCGTCATTTCCCGCAAGCTGGCTTCCAACCTAGCGTAGAGGCGTCACCGGGGACCAGTAATCAGTGACTTACGGGCACTTACCATTGAGCCGTCTTGATCGACTGAGACTGTTGCGTAATGGTGACAAGCAACTCATCGTGTGAGAAAACCGGTAACTTCCTGTGCTCGCGGTAACGCTGCACACAGTCACGACCGTAAGGCAGCCAGCCAGGTAATGCAAAATTAACAGCCTCGTTGAAGTTAAGCTACAGCAACGAGGTCAACGAAGTTAATTGCGGAGCCACGTGGAAAACGTACGCCGTGATTGAACCCAGCGTGATACGCCTTGGGAAACGTGATAACGAATTCACCAGCACGTTGGTTGCATGCGTATACACGAACACCGGCTTCAGTTAAGTGCTTGGGGTTCATCAAAGTCACAAGTTGGAATAGGAGATCAGGCTGTGCTTCGAAAAGATCCGGCGCCTCGCTCTTGATCGCGGCTTCAAATTTTTCAGCGTCATCGCCTGGAATGCCGTACCACGTCTTTGTTTCGCCCCAATGCTCTGATTTGAAACCGTCAATCTCCTCAAAACCAGATATGGGGCGAATACGCAGTACTCACGGAAGTTAACGCTGTACGTATAATGATCCTATGGTGGTTTCGTAATTGCGCCCTAACACCATTATTAAACTTTGGATACCCACCTCATTGTGCCAGCAAAAGGTGGAGAATATCATCCCAACATATGTCCACGGAACAGTCATACCAGAAATATCCGACTTAATGTACCTCAAAAGGGAGTCTGATAAGATCGGCATATTGTTTAAATTCCAAGGGTCCTTGGAGGCAGGTTCCAGCGGATGGGTCTCCATTGTAGGCATAGCGCTGAAAGTTATTAAAAAAGTTAGCGGTGAAAAAAATTGCAAAACGGTCACGAAGCCCAACCTGCCATGAGTAGTTGAATGGACGTCGGCGCCGTACTCAATTTCCACCGTTTCGTTCGGTGACTGAACAAGTCGCCAGAACTCGTCCTCGGTGTCATATTCAGTCACCACTGTATTCCCGACATAGGTGACTGTGGGATCGTTGAGGTCTGGCGGAGACTTATGGGCGGGCGGGTGAGTCGCCCACCAACGACGACGAAATTCGAGGTCTCTGGCTTGAAAACTCGATAGGCAGTGTTCTTCGCCTTCATCAAAGCCGAAATCACCGCCGGTACCAAAAACACACGTATGGCAGAACCACTGACCCCTCGGAATGCTGGTCAGCGGAGGATCAAGACAGAACATGTGGAAGCCTGAAAATAATTAGCACTAGGATAACAAAGGGGTGAACGCCACCGCACCGCAATCACAACCGTCACAGAGCAACATTTGGTCTTCATGGTTTTTCTTCTGACATATCTCACAAGACTGCTGTGCCAGAGTCAACTACAAAACAGATTATGGTTCTGGAGGTCCTTACCTCCTGGGTAAGTTTCTGGTCTTCGTCTGGCTGCGTGGCACCAGTTGTTGAGGGCATCCGACCGAATCCATCGCGAGACGGGACAGCCACTGAAAAAAAATGAAGCAGGAACACGTGATGAAAAGTTAGCTGCGCACAGGTGGATTGCTCTTGAATAGTCATCTTCGTACTTCGTTTCACACCGTTAGTCTCTGAGCGAGTTCTGATTCGCTCCTTAGAGTCACCATCGTCCGGCTCCGATAGGGAACTCGATGATGACGTTAAGGGACTGGAGGGTGGCGAAGATGGATAACATAATGACGACAAGTGGGAATTAGACGACTGGATGTTAGTGTGGGTTTTCAAATGTGGGTCAGTTTTGACGGTGGGTGAAGACAAAGCTGGCGAATTTCGCATTCGTTCGCAGAAATGCTCGTAAGGAAGAATTATCCTCGTATAGGAATTCTTAATCTGGGTGGACAGACCAGGTACACCCCTGTACCCGAGTATCGCACCCAAATCCCCCCATTTCTTATTCTTGGTCACCTGTAAAAAAATTTAGTAAACGAAATTACTGCGGCGAAGGACGCACAGCTTCATATCCTCCAAGGTTCTGCACCTCTTTCCGGAGTAGCCAAAGATCGAGCGGCTTGTGATTGATCGTGGGCACGGATACACGTGGTTTGCCTTGCTGCTTGTGGAAGCGATACAACTGCTCCAAAAAGTTGACCTTGGCACGAGAGGTGGCCTCGATGGAATTGAGGCGCTGCAACCTGGTCTTGAAACGAAAGGTCTGTCGGAAATGAAAGCCAAACATCAGTTCGCAGGAGGCAGAAAAAAAAAATAAGAAAAATTCTGTAACACGACACGAACCTCTGTATTGGTGACAAAGGGCATTTTCCAACCAACCGGAGGCACCACTTTGCAAATTCCGTAATTGACCACTTTCTCGGAGATCGAGCGGATGTAGGTCATAGGGTCCTTAAACTCGTCTGAGGTGGGATAGAAAACAGGACAGTCCTCCAGCCCGAATGGTCTAGGTGTGGAACCCACAGGTTGATTTCTTGGGCTAGATGTCTTGACAGAAGATAGGTCCAAGCAAGGGGAAATAGCAATCGGTGAATGTCCATTAAAAAAATCATCGGTGGCATCCTGGGTATTTCCATCGTCATTGCTAAGCTGAGAGGCATGGCTTTGTAATGCAGCAAGTGCATTCGTCTTTGATTTGCGAGGTGCGCGTTTAGACGAACCCGGGGTGGCTTGCTGGGACATTCTGGATTGTGGAGAAGATGGCGCATCATCCTGAGGCTTTATAGGAAGAGCGCCCTCTACAGGAATAGATAGGCAAGATGTGAATGAATTCGGCTGTTTATTAGAAAATTCAGAGGGGAAAGCGTCTGCGGAATGTGAAGCGGTGTGCATGGCAGTTCTGGCGGACCTGCCTCTGCGCGAGGGTGTTCCCCTAGAGGAAGGTGGGGGCGAGCCTGCCTGCATTTCAGTGTAGGAATGCAGGAAGTGCTGAAATCGTCTGTTTGAAAACCTGTAGAGTATTGTAAGTGGCCAAGCCTTGTCACGTACACTCCTTGGAATGTGGGAGCGGGCATTCAAATTGCGCACCGAGTTATCGTGCGTGCAGCTGGGCTTCGGCGTGGGAATGCTGGTCAGTTTCGCGGAGTTTCCTTACAATGCTTCCGCGCTTTTCCAGCGCCCAACTTGTGGATCTCTCTGACGTTCCTGGGACGTTTCCTGACTACGATGGACATCAATTGTCAAAGACAATGCACTAGATAATAAACGCGATACCAGTAAGTGGTCGCAGACAAGGAAGTGGGACAGGGGCCCACACAACACCCTATCAGGTAAAGTATCTTCAAGATCCTGTGCTATTGATGTTCGCGGCAACCCCCGATCCCCTTGGAGCCAAGTGCAGGCGCGAGGATTGTTCAGCGGAATCAAACAGGTATTATTAATTTATTCCAGTTGCCCTCGTGCACACACAGGGAGAGCTAGCTGAAGACACGAGGCTCAACTTCCCTCCCAAACAATGGAGATTCATGGAGGCCCGCCTGTCTTGTTTGTGGCGTGGAAGGTGATCGCTTTTAAGGAAGGCTGCCTGCAGCGTAGTCATTTACTTTGCTGGATGGTGAGATTCCGTACTAAGATTTGCAGGCAGTGTGTCAAACGTGCTCAAACCGCGTGCAAGGCCACAGTATCGATCGAATCGCCACCGTACTGACACTTGAGGGAAAAGGATTTACCATATCTTCCTGCGTTATCCAGGGGGTCATTACGAACCTGGACTTGCACTCCGAACATGTCGGAGCAACTTAGAAAATGCATAGGCAAAATGGCAAGGCAAACATGAACGATGCTGAAGAATGTGCTCGACCTGAGTCCGGGACGACCGCCAAACGGTCTACCTGATCGGCCGACCTACGGAGATCAAATATACAGGACACGCCCATTACATGGAGGATCATATGGCCTACCCTCCAAGCCGTGGGTCTGCGGTCTGGTGACGGCACCAATCAACGTGGCACCAACGCCAATGACGAAAGCACAGGAATGATTGTGCTCTCCCCCAAAATGATCGATTCCGATTCAGACGCTTTCTTTCGCAGGTAGCAAGGACAGCCAACACCGAAGCGGAAAGGGCAGAGCGGAAACAAAGGTCACCACGTGCCGCGGGGAAGCCAACATCACAATGACCAATCACACAGCAGGCGACCAAGTGCAAATGAAAAAGTCATGGTGCGATCAGGCAGACCAGCATGTGGTCGATCAATAAGATTCAACACGTTGTCTATGACTGCAATTTTACGTGTTCCTTCATTGAGCCCAAAAAAGATTAGTTGCGTCATGCAACTCGTACGTTATCAAGAGCTTTGATACGTGCATAACCACTTCACTGCGTATGAATACATTGTGCTTTTCACAGTTGACACCAGATCACAGAAAGAAATGACGGAGGTCAATAAAAATTTGTAAAAGTAATTAGCCCCCGGTGGGACTCGAACCCACAACCTCCAGATACCACTAGTTTAGAAGTCTGACGTCATAACCATTAGACAACGAGGGCACACATTCTGCGTCACAAACCCAACTTCACATCATCTCCGAGACATCCTCGTTCCCTATTACTCCAAATTTCCGGGTCATAAACAGCAATCGGTGAGTGGGATCGGTGTACGACAGCATGCTTTTTCGCTTCCACCGGCACAATTCGAAACCCGACTATTAGGGTGTCATACAAACGTACGTACGCATCCAGGATAACGTTGGACTATTGGCAGGCAGTCAGTCACTGGTCGTACAGCATAGTATTACAGAAGTTTGCCAGAGCCGAGACCACCGAGCGATCCATGGACAATGGACACATGCAGATCGGGTTCCAAGTGAAACGTATCTTTTCAAACACCGGTTCACCGACCTGCTACTGGCGGGAATCCCCCGACAGGCATAATTCGGCCGTTAGCGAACGGTGCCACCTAAACTTGGTTCAAAGTGCTTGTGCAAAGTTGCTCTGTGAATGTCTAACGGAACAACGAGGTAACCACGCGTTTGTTGTTGCCAGAAACCTGCAAGTCGCTAGCAATGTAGAGCCATTTACCTCTTCTGAGTGGTGGGCGGATTCTGTTTCCTCAATAAGCAACAAGGACCTTATCGTTTACCCAGTGCCCCGATTTAACCACTCCCGAGTTCTTAGCACTTCAATGGCCAACGCGCACTGGTTGCTCCCGTGTAACAACCTCGGGTGAATATCGCTCTTCTTGAGCCGCGCATCGCCGACCGCATGTACGACCTGCTCCGGACCACTCTTTGGTCGTGCCGACCCACCCGAATCCCCCATTCATTGATATCCAATGCCCAAAAAGATTTTGCGCGAAAAATGGGTAGTTATGATTCGGTCTATGTTGTTGACTGATCCGTATATTATCCACCCACTACCAGACCCAGCGAAGGGTCTCGTACCTTGTTTGCGCACATTCCCTCCACGCCACGTATAGCACGAAAATTCGGACCAGTCTGATGCGGTTAGCACTCCATTTTGCGTTTGGACCAGCGGTGGAACGTACCATTTCCAAATTTCACCAACTACATATTCTTCAACGTTGAGGATTCGGGTATATAGTCCCGGCCGACCTGTTCACATATCCAGAGTCACATTTCGATGATCACTCAGATCTTTGAAACCGCCTCATTAAGGGATTAGTACCATTTATCGAATTTTGGTTAAACATGCCGTGTTCCAGCCCACCGTATGTCACCGCCGCGGACGAGCCAACGTGTTAATTTACTTACTCGAATGGTTCACGGCGGACGCGTGAGGAGCGTCCAAGCACAAGCCAAGTTAGTTCACGGTGAGAGCTGGAAAATCGTTTTACCGAAATGGAGGTTCGATTGAAGGAATACATCGTAGTGGGGCGACCGCGACATCAAGAAGCATTGGTATTCCTTGGCCCAAATGCAATGCAGGGTTGCACAATTGCAACCGGGTAGAACGATGTGCCCTGTTGCCCGCGGAGGACCCGCCTCCGAGGGTGGTAGGAAGGTCGAACTTGAATAATTAGTTTCAGAGCTCAACTGGCCGGGATGTGCAGCTTGTTGGGAAACGCCGGAAGCCTACCTTCCTGGGCGGCTCTTCGGTACAATTGCTCAGTGGAGTACTGCAAATCAAGTGCACGAATCAGTTCTCACGAGAAAACTATATTGTACCACACCGCTGTGGAGACTGCCGAAGGCACCTAAGGCACCCTGGTAGTGTGCGTGAATTTGCAAATGATATACCCTAGCTTCGCACTTCTCCGCATCGTTGCTATTGTAATTTTCCGCCTGGCTCAACCTTGGGCCCGGAAAGTTCGTGCTGCATCCGAAGGGGAAGGTCCTAAAATGTGTTGTCCACGAATTGAGACAACGAGTTAATACGGACTTTCATAGGAAAGCGGATGACTGAGTGAGTGAGGGGCGGGGCAGTCGGGCATCACTCTGATTTGTACATCATGAACAAGGATTTCCGAGGGCATCGCCACTACGGGCACAAAAGACCCCGAGTATCGAGGTCCACGGTGTCTAGTTTGTTGTTAAGCTGTAACGCAAGAGGACACACAGTAATCACTCCGTAGCTCCACGAAGTTCACAATAAATGAAGGTGCGTCCACCAGATCCGGGAGTGTGACATGTATAGTTTCAACTGTTCAAAATTGAATCAATAATATTAGGCAGAAAGAAGCTGACATTGCAGGGGCGAAAGGCGGTTTATCATTTGTCATCATGATAGGGAGTCGCCGCTGGCAATAAGATGGCACACGATACGGGTCCGATTTACCAATTGGCGATCACCGCAACTCTGTCACCAACAGAGAAATAAAGTTAACGACAGATTTCAGGCACTGCTAGATTGTGTCCGAACAGCATACGCTGTACGATCACACGAGCACATGGAGCACAGCGTGGAATGGAGTATCGTGATAAACTGGATGAGCAGGAACAGCGTTGGCGCTGAGTCAAATCAGAGATATAAGTAGAGTCCTGCGTGGAGGATGAAGAATGAAGGTTCTGTATCACTCCAATGGGTGCGGCAGTCCGCAAGGAGGCCAGAGCCCTCCATGGCACAAGTTACAGCGGTTTGCGAAAATAATGTCAGTTAGCAAAATATCTGTGACCGCGTCGTGAGCTCCGCCCAACAAGGAAACGTACCAAGCTGGCATGAAAACACTAGTGAGACTAACTACCGGCGTCACTCCGACTCACGAAAATCTCACTGGCGACGGGTCGGAACTCGCGGTTGTTGACGAAACGAGTAAGAACGAGCGTACGCTCGCCCAGCACCACAGAAGACCAGGATATAGTCACTGTGCACAGCTAAAGGACGCGTTTGTTCGAGATGATAGATACTATGTGCCGCAATAACAGTGAATGGGTAAGTACGTTGCAGCACATGTTGTTTACTGCGCCATCTCGTGAGTACATGATGTAGTTCGGCCATCGCTAGTAGTATGTAGACAAATGAACGCGATGAACGCACACATTCCTACATTCCCATATCGGGAAGGGCTCACGACGCGCTCACAAATATTTTGCTAACTGACATTCTTTTCGCAAACCGCTGTAAATAGGGAAACACTAAAATTGTGGGTGTCTCGACGGAAGGCCCGTACGGGATCGGAGGCCAGGGAAATCGTGATCAATATCTTTTCCTTAAAAATATAGCCCTACTATGCGGGATGCACAAGGTGTCAAGGAGCGGATGTAATCGCACCCCAAAAAATGGAAAAATAGCCCTCGTTGAAGAGCCCGATTTCCACGATAGGAAAGATCACTACTTCGCCTAGGAAATGTGAGAAAGAGATATTCTAGCGAGGGTGTGCGTTCCAACGGAACTTCTCAAGACGCAAGGAAAATCATCTCACCGCGCAAGCAACAGTTCAGGAGTATCCCTGGCAGCACTGCACAAGTGAACTACTCACTGAGACTAGCACAGAAGCTCAGGTGAATTGAAATATCTTTAGTTCCGAGGAGTTGGCTGGCGTTGGGAGCACGCGAGCACACAGACATGGGTACAAGATACCCATCATGAATAATGCAAATTTAGAAGTATGGTGTCAGAGATGCATATTTCTTCGTGGCCAACTCTCATTGGACTGAAGGAGAAAAGCCAGCGGATGCTTTAGGCGCAACAGATTAATGCTAAGGAGAACGAGAAGGATCTTGAAATGCCGACACGCCGATGCCTAAGTTCTGCTGGACAGGAAGTCTCGTTTCGAGGCGATCTGTGAAGGATATCGCCGAACAACTTGACGACGGAGGCAACAGAGTCAACGTGGCAGGAAGTATTGACAGGATCTTCAACACCTAAATGGGGAAGCCCCCATGGGGTAAATGGTAGATGCTGCGTGGCAAGGTGCATTTCGCGAGACATGTAATAATAATAATCCCATGCAGGTGGTGATGGAAGTTAATGGAAGTCAGTGACTTGACGGTCGGAGAGAAAGGCCAGGTACGCCGTTGGTAATTTCATCCGTGCTTAGTGACATTTAAGTATTCTGCCTTTGGGGCCGCGACATGAAAAGAGCATAAAGAGCCCACACAGCTCACCCGCTCAGCACCAAGCAGCTCCTCAGTCCTCATCACTCGTATTCAAGGACAACAAAACAGTGTCAACCGGCACCACCCCGCTCGTGCAATATGATCCATCACCCTAAAGTACGTGCCTTGCATCCTCTAGATGAACTTTCGATTTCATACACGCGCATAGTCTGCTCCGTTCAAATACAACCTCACCTATCATGAGTACTATTCAGACTCAGACCTATCGTCCTGTTCGTCGGACAGTTTCGACGACCCACCTAGAAAGTGGTGGATGCGGTGGTGTTGCTGCTTGTGCTTCAGGTTTTGGTGACATACCCATTTGGTAAGCCAGTTTGGCCGGGAACTATGCGAGTACTCACCTTGACTGACAGTCAGGCGGAGCCTGTACGAGTTTTTTTTCCTGAGCCTCGGCTTTACCCATAGGGCCACACGTTAGGAGAGCCTCGAGAAGACAGTAGTCAGATGATTCGGATTAGATAGATACATATGCACTGTAACCTTAGCATGTAGCCAATAGCATAATCAGCCATCAGACGTTGCCTGGATGTAGCACCACACAATCAATGGCTACTCATTCACAGGTACCTAAATGATAGCACATCAGTATCACTCCCTGGCAGGCGGCGAGAGGTGCGAGGATACGGCGGAAGCACAGTATTGGGCCAGCACACCGTGCCCTTGTGGATCCTTTTATGTGAAGAATTGATGCGGGATCACCCGAAATGACTACTGCTAAGTCGGTGGACCTTAGGGCACTTCACCCCAGGAAAAAAATTGCGGGGTTCCGTTGCCTACGTGGGACTTAATATTCGCAAAGATGGAGGCGAACTCAGCACAAGGCGTAGGAATGGCCCATACCAATTTCATTGAAATCGGGCAGGGATGATGAACATTGTGATTCCATGGTTTACCATTCCCCATCAAACCCAACGAACCCTGCCGTGCAACATGATTCAGGATCACGTCCAGGAACATGATTGCGGACTCACCCGTTAACAGGAACACAGGGAAATACCTCTTCTTCTCTAATTGTGCGCACCAGTTCCATGCACTAGTCAGACGTCCATCAATGCAGCTCCCAGCATCAAAAAAGTTGTCGGCTCCAGAACCATCAAATCCATGGCGAAAGAAATCGGTGAGTATTTCTAAGATACAACCTTCTTCAGAACCAAACTCGTCGTCAATGTATGACCGTAGTGCGGGCTTCTCCGCGATTATAGGTATATGCCGAAGGGTATTGCAGATCGGGAGGAGGATGCGATATATTTGCGAATATTTATCTACCATATCGGTAAGGTCGTGGATTTATCAAGCCGCGCAAAAGCCGCTCACCGATGAACATAAGCGCATTTGGAACGTTATGATCGCCCATGTGTATGGCTGATGAACCTACCCACGAACCGACGCTTTGTTGTGAGCGATGCAGGATAGTGTGCATCATACGCAAAGTTTTTGGTGCAGCTTGGACACGGTTTAATCCCTGGCCGGTGTCCCGAAGGCGATAGGACACAGTTTCGGACAGCAGGTCTTGCTCCGTTAAAGACCACAGGCGGAACATGTCTAATCATAGTTTGTGATTCTGTCCCATGCAGAGAGTCATGAATTACTTACCATGCAGAATTTCTCGCCACAAGGTAAGACTCTGCAACACGTATGCGTATTGTTTTGCGTGATCATGGCTCAGCCTTGCACCACCCTTCCCGCTACGAATGGCCAAGCTATGTTTAGTATTCTTCGCTTGCGTGGGATGAAAGTATTGCTTAAGATAAGCTATCATGCGGTCGCAAGGATCCCGATTGGTTCGTAAAAATGCGTGGTTGTCACCGATACTGTATATGCATTGACGGACTTTCTCTTGGCTCAGGCCATCACACTGATAACGAGCGGAGAGCACTTCGATGGCAAGTTCCTTCGACTTGATATCTTTCTGAACCTCGCGTCGAGTCCGACCATCGGAATAGATTTCCATTGTAGCCGAAGTTATGAGATCGTCGCGGAGCAGCCCAGCTGCACCGCGCTCCTCCAGGACTGAATACACGGTCCTGATAGGCTTCACGCATGTAAAGTTGAGCATGTCTTTCACTTCGGGCGATTGACTGTCCTGAAGACAGCGCCGTTAAGGAGTAGGGCTCGACGGGAAGTTGTATTTACCTACCTGAAGGAGATAGATCAACTTCCCGTACGTGGTACGCATTTTATCAGGATTCATAATTTTATGACGGCGACCAAGTTCAAAAATATCCTGGTAAAACTGTTCGTTTCGTTGAAAGTCGCGGTCCGTAAAAAGCGATTGGCCGAGCTTGTAGTCCGCAGAAAGTACCAGCCCGGACAAAATGGCGCAAAGCTCGCGGATCTGGAGCACTATGCGCTTCGTCTTTGAGAGGCCAAAACCGATCGTGTCAATCTTGTCAGTGTATTCTGAGACTTGAAGGGCAGCATCCAAAAGGCGGAGGTACTTGCGTTCGCCGAGAGACAGCCGGAGCGGAATATATTTCGAACGTTCCACAAACCATTCACCGACTTTAGAGCCTACCGCCGGTTGCGTACCCAGAGCGTTCTTAGCTCGACTTGTTTGTAACCCTGTATCTATCCGCTCTAGCTCTATGCCTGATTCATCGGCCATGTCAACGTCATCATCCTAGACGACAGTAAGCTATGGGTGCACACTAGTGTGGTGGCGATCGCGCACTTCGTCTGTCTTTTCTCCATCTCTCGCCTCAGTAGAGTCACCATTTTGTTCGCTTGGAGGTTTTCTCGGAAGGTGAACAACGAGCGGTTTTGTGATGTGTTTTCTTCTCGTGCCTTTCCTGTGCTGTGCTGCAAAGCAGACCTCGCAGTAGTCATCCTGGCAATCATCACATCGGATTTGGGCAGGCTGATCTACACCACAGACACATTCCAGGGTCACGGGGATGAGAAACTCATCAAGATCCATGGTGGAGTACTCACCCTCACACTCTACACAGTATCCTTCTGTAGTGGGTCTGTCAACGGTTTCTTCATCCCATCCCTCGGCCGCGGTAGAAGAAGCGTCAAGTTCCTGCCGCTTTGACTCAGGACGCTCCACTGCATCGTGGTTGTCTCCAAGGATATTTTCAAGAGAGAATTTTGTGTCCTCCGGGGCTTCCGGCGGCTCCTGCGTTCCATTTTCTATCTGTGGCGTCTTACTAGGGGTACTTTCAGCCATCTTTTTTTTTCACCTCAAGATCGGGTGGCGGGTGGAGATTCAGTCGTGGGGGTTTGGTACAGCCTTGCAGGACGGTCGCTTCAGAAGCTCAGCCAACCCGACAGACGCGTAAGCAGCCCGCGTGGAATACACGCCTTAGAGTGAATCAACGAGTCTCAAAAATTGCAACACGCCATGCTACCAGCCTACGGCCTTCTGAAGTACTCTATATACCGGGTACAATATAGAAGTCGGTGTACACGATACAGTCACTTGGTTTGTGTTGTTCGGAAATTAACTACTGCGCAGTTCCCGCAGCTCTTCACATCCGCAGCGCAGCGACATCTACCACCTAGTGACTTCGCTCTAACTGACATGGTCAGCAGGCGGCGTAACGTGTAACAAGACTACACTAGCATTTCGAAAGTACATAGGTCTGCATAACATCACGTGCGCTGCTATTTGTGTTACTTTGGTCAGGTAGCCTAATAGACTCGTGACTTACGTGGAAGACGGTGACAACACACGACTGCGTCCGGGTCATCCAGGTTATCCACCATCCCTTCGACCACGAGAAATGAGTCCTCCGACGTCTCTCAAGCTCTCTTTGCAGCCTTCACCAGACTCTTTGAAGGGTCGCCGAAGAAGCGCCAGTATTGTTAAAGTAGAGGAAGTGGGTGGTCGGGTCGAAGAAGTTCTTGACAGGAGTGCATATGTGAACATAAACGCAAATTGGGTCAATGCTAAGGGTAGATGCATTCATCTCGTCTCCGATGTACACACTCAAGCACTCTTCACAGGTGCATGGTTGATCCATGTTGTCCTAGTCGTGATGGGCAAAATTATCATTGACACGATTCCCGGGATGACCCAGCAAATAAGTTGGACTCTCGTCAACCTGTTATACCTCGCCGTACGTGCTTCGTGATCGGATATGTGCGGGTAACTCAACACTATCTCAGCTCTCTTATCTCATGTTTCATTGGGTCACTGGTATCCCGTTCGACAACGAACTGCACGCAGGGGCGTACGACGACCTTACCCTATGGGAACAGATTGACGATGGTGCACAGTACACTCCCTCCAAGAAATGGTTGTTCACTGCGCCCATACTACTGTGAGTATAGCTGCAACTTCTTCTTCATGGCATTTCGGAATATGTGGTGGTAGATTCCTGGCTTCAACGCATTATACGAATTACAACCTCTGGTTGTTTGCAATCAATCTTACTGCGCTCATTGTTCTTGCCATCATCCCTAAACTTCCCCAGGTGACGGCTGCATTTCTGTATCAAATTCTGGGCGTGTTCTAACATGCACCCAGCTTCATCGACAGCGCGTCCGATTCCTCGCCGAAGATGCATCAGGAACGGCTACCCCAGTCACGCCAAGATCCGAAAAACATCTCGATCCTTCCTTTTTAAATGACGGGCACTTTAAGTAATGGTGGTCGCTTTGGTTATTCATTCTTTAGCTTTTCTGGGAGGATACAAGAGACTCATTTCCACTCTATGTCACCCTCAATCATCATGGCAACGATAACTTCCTCTAATGGTGTATATAATCCGGCAGAACAAAATACCAAGCTTGTTCCGATATGAGACCTGCTGGTGTTTTAATTTCTGGCGTCGATGTTTTCTTTGTACGCCAGAAGTCGCAACCTCGATCCAAGTATCAGTCAACTGAGTTGCGCGACAACAGATAAGGTACGCACAAGTTTCGGAGCAGCATCAGTATTGTCACCTTCCCAACAGCAGGTATGTGAATGGATGCCTATGGCTCCGTCAGTCATGCTGTCTTTTTCACGTGAGAAATCTCGATGAACCTTATCTCTCACGTCCTTTCCGAAGTTCTTGTCTGCAGCTACATTAACCGTGACACAGCCTTCCTTCAAGGATTTCGTTTGCACCTTGTATTCAGCATTCGGCACGGCGGAAATGACGACGTCGGACAGTGCTAAACATTCTTGCAGAGTGAGATTGCAAGGGTGGGCCGTATGGTGTGGGAGATATTTTCTCTCTGCTTCAGATGAACGGGGTCGCTTCGTGTATTCCTGTTTTGCGGATACATCCAATTCAGTATGTGAAATTGGGAAGTGCGTCAGTAACCTCACCTGGATCGAATCTATGTCAACCGAGAAGACTCGTGCACCATCATTGGCTAGCAAAGCCGCCAACGGCCTTCCAACCACTTCGGACCTAATCGTGACCCGACTAATTTAGACCTAACCGACACTGAAGAAAAGCACCTGTGCGTACCGGTTAATTACGGTTACTGTTTTTCCATATGCACGGTCACCATATGGCAAGATCTTGTTATACACCCCAATATACTCTAGACATTTCACAACGCCCAGAGGCGTACACGGCAGAATAGATTTTACCGTTCCGGGGGGTGCCACGTCGTCTAAGGGGGCCGGGACGGCTGGGGCCAGAGACTTTGGATCTACAAAGCGAATGCTGTTGGAAAGATAGTGAGCGAATCGAATCATCATACGAGCGAAAGGGACACACTTATGGTATAAGTTATAGTGAAACTTGGAGTGTAGTCCCTCTACATCTTTAAGGGGCGAAACGATCTCGATAGGGACTGTGAGCGATAGAATCCCGAAAAACAGTGGAAGGCACACCTGTTGCAAGTAATGGTCCTGATACATCGTCATCAACATCAACCAACTGGAGAATTCTGGGGTTGGACTTCACGGACCTGTTGTCCGCCATAAATAGGGTAATAAACCTTGACTTCGATGTGGGTGCCGGGACGTTCGTCAAAGAATACCTAAAATAACGTACCATAATTCCATCGATATCAGGATCCTCGTTAGCTTCAACGATGGCTTCCTCGACACCCTCTCCGTCTGCACGTTCGGAACTCTCCGCTGATCCAACCTTCTTCAAGACGAAACGAACACCCAGTTGCTCACACTGCTTGCGGGTGAAATCTGCATAGAACTTGCTGGGTGCTGATGTTGTACCAAGGATCCCGACAAGCGTTGGGGGTCTGGAGCACCTGCGCAAGTGAGCTTTTGACCTCGTCCCTAAACGTGTCAGCGATCGGGTCGGCTTTCAGCAGTAAACCCTTTCCCAATCCGTCAACAGCCATCTCGAACACAGGAGCCTTTCCTCGTCAACAGTGGTAGGAATGTAAAGGAGCGATGTATTTGTCCCTGACTCCCTCCCGGCCGGCATTTCACGATCATTGCAGATAAAATTCTTGCTGGATCGGATCGCTCGCCGATCGCAACTTACCGGCGAAACACGTGACATGATGGCAAACGACTATTTGAATGGATTATCGGTACATACGTGTTCATGAGCACAGAGTAATGATAAGTAGACGGGTTAAATGAAGTGCGTGGGCCCAACTGGAATACCTACACAATTAGGAACAGATTTCCTAGATATATCCGCTATCACTCGCGATAGCGACACGCAGATTTCAGTGGCCATGTTTAATGCCGTTCGTAAAACCGTATTTGTCCGGCTGTCCGGCTGTTTCTGACTCCTTGGGTTTCTCCCCGCGACGTCCTGCCCTAGCACTTGCATTCCCGTTATAACCCTCTGCATCGTTACTCCCGTCCTTGTCTTCATCCGAGTCCGAGTTCAAATCCGAATCCTCCTCCATCAACTGAGCAGCTTTCTAGAAAGACGGTGTCAGTATCAAAATATCGAAGCAAGAACGATTTCAACAGCTCAATGTTTACCTTCATTGCCTCAGCTTCATTGGAGTAATGTCTCCCTCTGGCCCTCAGGAATGCTGCATGCTTTGCAGCAGCTACGAAGAGCACCTCGTTAGAAAACCCAACACCAGAATCATACGATGGGCAATACGAACTTTCTTCATCCATCTCTTCCTCTTCTTCGACCCACTCCTCTGGTGTAGCGTTCACGGACCTGATCTCCCCCCGTGCTTCATTTGGGAGGTTGAAACTTGTGCTCCTACTCGACCCAACACTAGCCGATCTCCCAGAAGAATTCCTCCCTACGCTCGAGAACGATGCCCGACGAGAAGAAGGGCCAGAGGCTACCATACTCGTTGGCGATTCCGATTGAGAATGAGAATAAGTAGTTGGCGAATGTGATCGCGCACTGAGATCCAGGTTGGGGATATCTGCCACAGGACATCATATCAGATGAACGAGATAGGGCGAGCAGCCTCGTGACGTACCACCCTCAATTTCATCTGTTTCTGCGTTATATCGTACGTAAGGGGTCTTGGGCTCTGTGATCTTCATGAGACTGTCCTTCTGAACTTCAGTCAACGCCAAATTCTCCTCATCCCACTGCAGGCTGCTATGTATAAACATCAGCATGATTTGACCTAAGGATGTGATGTAGACCAACTGCTGCTGCGTCGCTGAAAGTTGCGGCCCTGCATTCTTCAATATCCCTTTTGGCCTAGGGTTCGATGCGGAACGGGGCAACGGCTGGCAATGAGTGCGATCTTGGATGATTTCCGGACCTGTCATTATGGCTTAACAAGGTAGATGATACTGAAGCGAGATCAATGTCAGAGGTAAAGAAAACAATAGCTGTGCGATGTTCCCAGTCCTCAGGACCTCTGTGAGTGGGAATTGATACGACAGACCCCCGCCTCCCATTACATAAGCCACACGCCTTCAAGCTTCACCAGTGTTTGATCGCACATCATACAGTCCAGAATCGGTTCCTTTGCAAAATTTGGGTTGCTAGGCGCACCGAGTGCACATGGGCTTCCAGAGCTCGCCTCAAACAAGTCGCGAGTGAATAGCCACACTGGCCAACGATCTCACAATGACCCATCTGCACCCCGAGCGATACATCGAGTGTGTCACCCATGTACGTAGTACTTACCTGAACTGAGTTAGACTCTCCCTTTTAGCCAGACCTTGTATTGGAATTTCCTTCTTAGTGGCTTGTACCTGCCGAGTCTTACCATCTATCGAGACCGATAGATATGCTTGTAAAAGGCACACACTGACAATCCAGGCGTTCTATCCTTCCCAGCTTGCATCGTGCTCTTGAGTTGGTGTGCCAGATGACGCCCGCTGCAGCAGTATACTGTACGCATCGGCAGGAACAGGAGGTTGGGCCATACAGTGGGCTTTGGTAGCGGAATGGGTTAGTGTGTTTCCCTAACAGCTGGCACGAGTCGAACTCCGGTTTCAAATACTTCCGAACTTACCCCTAGCACGGGATTCGGGTGGGGGCGTCTAATCCGCTGGCCGGCTATCTCAGGAGCTACCGAGCAGTATGGGTATGGAGCGTCGGTTGCAGCCTTGTATTTCAACTTCTTTGAAACATTTTCTCGACTCGTCGATGCCAAGCGTTCATTCTTGATGCAAGACTCCGCATTCAGCCTCGGTGTGAATTGACGGCACGATTGCGTGATGGGGGTGCCAGTAAGTTAGCAGATTTGCCGTAGGTAAAAGCTACTGGTAAATCGCTCCGCGCGTGCAGTGATTTAGTATCCCGTGCACTCCAGTGTTTCTTGACAGGATTTTGCCTGAATTCGGATAGAATGCTGGCCTACAGGACTTACTACAGCATGTACGAAGTACAACCAGAATCAGTGCAATAAAATCGGTACTTTTATAGATTGGCACAAGCAACTGACCAATTCGAACAGCGTTTCACTTCATACGCTACTGGACTACTGTACAGAGGTTTCGCGACGTACACTTTACGTGACAGATGATCACTACACAGTCAACTACTCAAATTCTGCTCGTGGTAGAACATTCGAAAGCTACCGAATGACTATTAACCAATTTCAGTTTGGTTCTGCTGCAAGCGACGTAAGAAGCTCTAACTCACCTGACCTGCCCACTGGCAAATGCTGGCTCCACTGGAATAGCTTTCTCAGACGCGTCCTTGGCCTTCTCGAATCTAAAAGCGGAAAGAATCATCGCCGCTGCGACCCAGAGCGCATTATCTGCAAAGAAGCGCCCGGGAGAGATCCTGGGAGAATAATATCATTCCATTTGAGTGCCCCATTGATTGGAGGCCCCATGGTCACCACGTACCTGCCGCCGAACCCAAAGAAAGAGAATTGTTCTTCTTAGCTTGGGGAGCGAGTTGGCCTTCTGAAGTAAGATGTCTACTTGGATCGAAACGTTCCGGATCCAAACAGTCACGAGACATGGCCCTGTGGTACATGTAGAGGTTTAATAAATGCAGGGTCAGCGGATGACATGATCACCCTACCATGCGTTGAACATAATGATACATCCTGTCATAATCATGGGAAGTCACTGCCTCTAGAAACGGACAGCTAACAAACCTTTCGGGATATGGTACCCCTCGTAGATGTCACTTGTAGTGGTTGCATGGGGTATACCTGATCATTTAGTCAGATATGGCAGATATGGCAACAAGTAGGATAGCGCCGATGACCTAGCGGAAAGACAGGATTCCACTTCATAACTTCGTAAAGTACAGCCTGTAAGAATGGTAATCGCGGCCGATCCCCGAAGGTCGGGAAGACACCCTTCCCAATGACGTCATCGAGTTCCGCATGGACTTTAGCTTGTATCTCGGGGTGGAGCACCATCATCAGGACAAGCGTCTCCAAGATGGAAGCAGTCTACGAATATTATCAACCGAGGATCCCTAGTGTGGTTACAAACTCACACTCTCAGCTGTAGCTGAGGAACGGTCAACCCCAACTGTGAATGAAACTATTACTGACCGAGACGCGGACCAACCTAGAAAGACACCTGATGTAGCATCTCTCGCTGCTGACTCTTCCGCGCCTTCGTACGTAAGAAAGTCAGATACCAAGCAATGCTGCAAAGTACCAGATGCCTTGGAACTTGAACATACATGAAGAGGAGTTTGCAGTCGTGACTTACTAATTGTGTTTTCGCTTCGCAGAATGGGAGCTCCGACATCGTTGCAATCATCTCCCTGCAACGTGGTGCATCCGCTTTGAAACCAAGTCCGAGGAACCACGACGGAAAATGTTTCACTGTGCACGTTTTACTGTCTACTCCACACAGCAGGAAGGTCTTGAACTGACATATAGGAAACGCCAATAACAGACCACCACTTTCTGGCTTGGTTCCCCGGCGCAGGATATCGAATATTGAGGTGACGAAACGAATGGAAGCGTCATCCTTGCCTTCTACCTTCCGCCCATACGTGAGTTCCGGTGCAAGTGACCCAGAAAATCTGCGGGCTATATAACAGCACAAAACACTTGGAAACATATCACGCTTACAATTTGAAATGCTCTAGGAACTTGGGAGCATCGCATTGAATATTATGAACGAGCTTCCGAGCGTTGCTGAAGTATACATCGTGAAAACTTTCAACTACATCAGATTTGAGGCTGGAATGGAATAGCTTCCTATGGATCTTCCAGTCATCGCCACTATGGCATAGCAGGAGTCATACGATCAACACCGAACCTATGAAGGCAAACAGAATGAACATTTTTGGTCCTCAACGTAAGGAGCCAAAATCTTACAATGAATATACTGGTGAGTGCCGGCCGGTCCGAGTAAATAGTAGAGCGTTCATCAGCCAAAAGATGTGCAATCTCTTCCGAGATCACAACAACGAAGTCTTGACCGAACACGTTAAAATACACGATATCTCCTAAGTGAATGACCGAGATTGAAAAAGTGCCTCTCAGTGAGAGCTGGACGTGACAAACCGTATAATTTCCCCCATTTAGCATACGTGAGTTGTGGGGTTTTCGACTTGATATCAAAAGCGTTTCCAACAACTGGATATCCTTTAGGTCCTGGGGGGTAGGGGAGAAGTGGGTTCCTCTTGCGAGCTATGAACCAAGGGAAAATGAGCGCGGCGCAGGCGCATGTCACGCTGAGGATAAATGAATCGGACATGGTTGCAGATGGCCCGTCAGATTCAGCGGATTCTTATAAGCAGCACAGTGAATATAGGTGGCGACCAACTCCGGACAGCAGGCTAGTATAGTATAGTCCCTGGTCAACTCAGACGTATAATGGCCGAGACGTGCCCGCTAATACGTGGCGGACCTGCGGTGGTGTAACTGAGGAATGCCGTAATTGAATCAGTCTCTTCAGAGTTCTGAAGAGGCAAGTAATCGCGGATCGGAATGCTCTGTACCGAGTTCGCGTTTCCCAATCTGCAGGTGGGTAGGTTGCGGCGGTGCGGGCTGGCAGAACTGCATGTGATATCGAATGACCGCATAGGCGCACAAGGTTCGATTGTTGGCGCAGGGACTACAATACACTGGCAATCTGTTCACCGAAAATCGTGTGTGTGTCGGCGAATCTGAGGTGAAACTATCAAGAGATGATCCTGGGGCCTGTGAAGTCGGACCCGAGTCATTCCAACTTCACCACCTAACAAGTGAACGACCCGGAACGGGATCGACTAACTTACGTAATATATATACTACCTCCGAGTCCCTGGTCACATCACCGACCACCCTCAACGCTGGTTGGACCATTCGACACTCTTTTTCTTGGATCCACCACAACCATGCCACTCACAAGGCTTTCACACCTTACTCTGCTTCATCGCTGTCAGATGAATTCCAGCGAGGCCTGGGCAGGCGAGCAGCCGGCAAGTTGGCGGCGAGCGCCCTTAAGAGTGCTAGCCTCTAAAGGCAGAGCCGTGTCAATTGCGTTTTCCCTCAGTGATGGACTTGAAGGTCGCCGTTCGCAAGTGGGAAACTCGGAACCTATTGCTTTGAAGATAATGTCAAGGTGTGATTCTTTGCATTCAAATCCATTGATCCTTCCTAAACTGCGTAGGGATGAAAGAAGGGACGAAGTCTGACTGAACGTGCGGCTTACCAGGGAAGCGATCAGACCAGCTTCCCGCGTGCGAGCTCTCGAAGATGCGAAGAAGTGCTCGACCTTCGTTCAACGGTGGTAAGACAGCCGGATCTGGGCTTGCTAGATGCAAGAACGAAGTGATCTAGAGACCAGATTGCAGACCATCGCTTCGCTGGAATCTGCATAAGCAATTAAGCGCTTTGGGACGTGAAAACGTACATATGAGTCCATTTCCATTACTTTACGATCAGAGCCTCAAGATGAGGTGTGATGTCACCAACATCAACCGATGGTCGCGCGCGATATTCACCTCATGACACCATCTACCGCATACCAAATTCCACATTGACTGAGTGCCTTGATCCTCTCCTACTCCATCGACGTCTTGCTGGGAAGCACTTCCGCCCAAGCCTGTCTGACCATGTTCCCATACTCTATCCTGGGGGCGCTGCTTCTATCGAAGTACAGAACTCTCAGGTGGATGAGTTGTAACCAACGTGAGGTACCAATATCCATAATGCGTTAAAAAAGGCTGACTTTTCTGGATTCATAGCAGCCCAGTGGGGTCCCTAAGGAACAGGGCAGCAGTTTGCCTTATGGTAGAGATATATTCCCGCGCAGCGAATGGGTAAAATAGCCCACGGAGACATATGAAGGCATCACCTTGTTTGATAGCTTCTGGTTTGTACAAATTTTGTGATGCGATAGCAGTTGTATTACGCCAGATTTGTTTGGTGCTTGACGCATCATCACTTGGTTGTTCATTCACAGGTTCAGGGACGGAGCTTATGGAAAAAATTTATGACTAGTCTAGGTACTTTGTCAATAAGAAAGTGATAGAAGACGCAGATTGGAGAGAAGCCCAAGTGATCGCTTCAGGTCACGAGGTATTGGGAGAAGGAGAGTACAAGATCATGGAATATATCCGGTTGTGCCGAGCGCAACCGGACTATAACCTGAACGTGCAGCATTACTTATACGAACTTGATGCCAGGATTAGCATGCTCGATCTTCCTGGCCACGACCCGCGCCTTTGCTTGCTTCACGAAGAGGTGAAATTCAGCCCAGTGGCGAAGAAAGACAATGGCAGGTTCGTGATCAATTTTACTTCCGAAATAGTGCAGGCCCACGTCGGTGACGCCCTTGGGCAGGCTGGGAGCAAAATACCTCTATTGCCTCTGAACCTCCTGCCTGGGTGGGGAGTGTGGGACGGAGCGGTAGTGCGTGTGTGGATATGACGAATCGAGAATTGGTTATATGTCGCAAATAGGGGCTATTGATCAGCTGTATGACATGATCTGGATGCCATTGTCCAGAAAAAGATACCTCTTGTTACTAGGGCAATTGAGGCCCCACGTAGTCTCGAAGACTTCCTCGGCGGCGCCAACTGGGACTACAAACGTTTGAGTTGGCATCCAGCCACAGGACCAATGCGGGGCAGTGGAAAAAACAGACCGCGGATCTGACGGATGGAGGAGAAGAATATGGTTGTACGTGTGCAGCGCCCGCGGCACCAAGTCGAGTGGGGTATTGATATTGAGGAGTCGGAACTGGCCAACTCCTTGGAGAAGTATTGTAGTTTCTTCCATGAGTATGTAGTAGGTGGATATGATACAATAACTGTACTGGTGGTTCTTGGATGGGGACGCTGGTTGCCTGATATGATATCGTCGTTCGACATCTCAGTCCTGGCAAAGATATCATGTATCCGTAGCAGTGGACGCCCCCTCAGTCCAGGTGCCCTCTTATGCTCCTGTGGATGGGTGTCAACGTTGGCAGATGTATGCATTAACTAGACGTCCAGGTCAAATGTTAGCATTCCGAAATATGAATAGGTTGCAATGATAGCTTAAAAATTTGAACCGAGTCGAGTCTTTAAGCCCTACCGGCATCGTTAGCACCCTTTCCCGGCTTCCGGTTACCCTCTCTCCGTCGATGTGGACTCCATTCCATGCCAGTGACCTCATGCTGCTCGAAGGGAATGCAATACAAGATATGAATAGAGATGAATGCGGACGGAGAGGAGTCGTGAATGCATGAATGCTTGAGCATGTGAAGACAAAAAAAAGGCAAAGAGTAGCATGACGTGAAGTCTAGATGATAACATAAGAACAGCATACCATAACGGGGAGAAATTTTCATGCTTATAGTGTGGTAAATGTTGGGTAAATGCACAGTTGGACCCTTGTGCACGACCACCATGTACCTGAACAAGTCAGTGGTCTGCGAGTACATCCCGTCCGTTAAGACAGGTGAATCATGGTTCATACAGTGTGAATAGAAGATCAGTTGGCACCCCACCGGCACCTATCATAATTGCACAACCGAGCCCGACTTTGAGTTGAAATTGGCTCTGGTTGTAATAGACACTGCGAAGCTAGTCAGGATTTGCGAGTTACCAAACACGTCCATTGGATGATCAGGAACATGAGTATCGGTGTGGGGCCCCGGTTCCGAAGGCGGATTTGCAGACGATCCGAGTAGTATTATTCGTGATGGACGATGATCAGACTGTCTGGCCGACAGGCAGTAGTCGGTGTCCACGAAGAGAAGACAATGTGCAGACGGATTAAGACATACATTGTTTGTCAACACCTACATGGCCCATCGCAATCTCAGGCTACTGCCCCAGTCAATATCTTTGTTGCTCGCTGTCATTTACCTCAAGGGAAATCCGATCCACAGACCACATACCATAACCTGTTAACAACCAAGGCTTCCGCCAATGTGGCTCAGTGGGCCCTCGCCAGGGTGTCTCTCAACTCGTAATTGCGTGGGATCGAACTTTTGTCAACCCGCGTTCTCCCGTAACCTTGGCCATATACGGTTACCGACAAAGTAGTGGTGCGACAGGCAATCCTAGGATACATTACACACAACGATCAAGGAGGGTATAGTAGTACTATCGCTACAACAATGTTCTATCCGTTCAAACCCGCGAGACCCTGCATAAACCTGATCGCAGCATCCTCTGGCTCCTGTCTTGCCATTTCAATGATGCTTAATAGCTTCTTGATACCGACCAAGAGTGGAACATTCGAAGCCTCCGATTCAGCGGCATTCCTCGGGTATGGAAGGCTCTTCACCATCTCTCGCACGGAGGTGTCGTAGAAATCAACGTCACGGAGGATAACGTCAAGCTGCTGGAGGTTGGAAACAGGAGGAACCTTAATTTGGGCATCGAATACTTCCGTGAAACCCAAATCGACGAGATGGGAGCCAAGCGACGAGGTTGCTAACACTAACAGACGACGACCCTGGATAGTCACGGTTTAATCCAAAACCATTTGTGCGAGAGCGGTTTGTCAAACCTTTGGAGGCTTTTGCGCGATGAGCACGAGCAATGTCTGTAGCACAGCATTTGAAAAACGATTTCCGAGATACGTCCAATCTGAAGGCGATGATTAACAGTTGCTTTTGCAGCCGCACGGCTATATCCCTCACCTAAAAGCCTTTCTATGTTGTCCACGACAATGACGCTCAAAGGACTCTTGTAACTGTCCTGGAATGTTTTCGTGATGGCAGCAACTTTTTGTGCCTCTGAGAATCCCACCATACGATTCGGGGATATGATTTTGATGAAGGGAAAATCCGATTTGGCGGCCATGGTAGCTGCCAACGTTGTCTTGCCTGAACCCGGTAGGCCATGCAACAACACACTAACCCGCGGTGTCCGGTCGGACTTGGCAACTTGGTTCGCAAATAGTTTTCCTTTCTGAAGAATATCCTGAAAATTGGGTCAGCATAGTTCGATGGCCAGTATAGGGCACCCTGCACACCTGAATCTCTGCATCGAACGTGATGATTCCATTCTTGACTACGTCCGTGATGTCTTCTTCGGAGACACCGTAGGCAGGTTTAATTTCGTCGAGAGCTCTCATGAAATCATCTCTATTTACCCTCAAGTTTTCAACATCATCCGATATCCCTGCCAATGTCCCAACTTTTACGTGTCGGTTCAATGCAAAACTGGTGGCGCTCTTGACAAACCCCTCTATTTCTGCACCCGAGTAGTTCTTGGTCAGTTGCGCAATCTCCTCCAGATCGACGTCATCGTCCATCACTTTGTTCGTGCGCATTTTGGCTGTATGTATTCGCAGTATTTGATAACGGCCACGCGCGTCGGGCAATGATATTTCCATGTGTACCTCCAGACGACCCGGCCGGAGGAGCGCCTCATCAATCATGTCCAATCGATTGGTCATACCAATGACAAGGATATTATTCAGGCGATCTACACCATCCATCTATTGCATGGATCGTGAATTTGGGGCGCCGTTCCGAAGAACCCGAACAAAGTTTACCTTGGATAGGAGCTGGTTGACGACGCTGTCACCCACGCCGGTGCCGTTGTTCGTCGAGCCACGCTGCTTGAAGACAGCATCTAGTTCGTCAAATATGATAATGTGAAGCCCGCTTTCGTCTCCTTTCTCCTTATACTGAAATCAAGTCAGTGCACGACTATTAACAAGTATCCAATATCGGACAAACCTCCTTCTCTGCGTCCGCGAATAGCTTGCGAATGTTTTCTTCCGATGCACCTACGTACTTGTTCAAGATTTCAGGGCCGTTGACTACCTTTGGCTCTCGGGCATTAAGCATCTTCCCAATTTGTCTTGCGATCAGTGTTTTTCCCGTGCCCGGAGGCCCATGCAATAGAATGCCTATGAGTCACTCAGTAACCGACCGACAAAACAACGGCATCGCACATACCCTTGACGTGTTGTATACCTAGCTTCTCTACCAACGCTAGGCGGGAATACTCTCGATGCAAAAGCGCGACGGAATATGGCACCGAACTCGTCGTCAAGACCACCAATACCCATGTCCTCAAACTTGAAGTTTGGCGCAATAATCGCATTCGTAGCTGCCCTACCACTTTCGATGAGTCACAGGACATCCACATACGGCGTGAATCTTACCTCTTTGCACCAGACTTCAGCCTCATGGGGCTGTCGCCTTCTTTCAGGATATTGACGTCCGTTCTCTGCATTAACACACCCATCTCAATCTGAGTCTTTCCGCCTAGTCCTCCATCAGGGAGTTCTACGACGTTCATCGAAGCAACGACAAGTTTCAGTTTGTCACCTTTGAAGTCTACGGTCAAAATACCACCCGGGGCAAGCACCAAGCCACTGTAGGCCGCAAGGAACTTTTGTACCATTTCGTCCACGTTGTATGGGACTTCGTTGACGTATCCCCTCTTCCAAAAGCTGGCATGAAGATCGACAGATTGGAGGAAGGGCGGTGCTTGAGAATGTGGTGGTGAGGGTAGCAAGGTAACAGTGATGAAATCTCCGCTAAGGGAAAGTGCCATCCACTGACGAAGGGACGCCGGCACAGCAACGACCCCCGGATTTATTGATTTAGATGTATCGTGGCTAAACGAAATCATGATCGATAACAGCTCACCACGAAGAAGCCGTTGACAACACTTACCAGATCGTAACTGGAAATCGTCCATTAACGAGGACGTGGGCGCCATTCTGGAACTCCGAAGGGTGTACAACTAGACAGTTACGCAAAGCTAACGACTCGTTGGGTGTACCCACGACACTATAGTTGCTAGAAGGAAGTCAGGTCATGTAATTTGCGCCGCTTGGCTGCTGCGCACCTCATCTCAGCGCGTTGGGGCGGCAGGTTTCCGATCGTAAGGTCGCTTCTCGAAGAGTGATTGAGAAGGATCATTGTAATGGGTTGGATGTTGGGGTAGGTCGCGCGTTTGGCCTCAATCCGCTTGGTAGACCGTCCGGTACGCGTGTGTACTGGGGTTGGCCAGGGGGTGGTTGCGGTGTGTTCGATCTTCCAAAGAACGACATGGACGGCTTTCGATTACTGGCTTATTACTATATGTCCGCTTTGAAATCTGCTCGAGATTGGGTTTCTCGACGAGCACGTCGTTGCTGCGTTGAGTGAAGGCCGTGAGGACTGCACGAGAGGACGATTATGTCATCATCCGTTCCCTCCCTGATCGGAGAGACTCTGAGTGATTATATCATCGCCCGTCCGACGCGACGGCTCCGGCTCATCCAACTCAAAGTACTCGTAGCAGCTACAGTCACCGCCCTTCCCTTGATTTCTCGTTTCCTGTCAACCCCCAGGGGCAGCACAAACTGCGACACATCTGACATGTCTGCCATCGCGCACATCATTGATAGCAGCTTGGATAACCTACCCGTGGACCGCAAATCATGTCAACTCTTGGGTCCAACGGCTCTGGTAAGCAATGTGTGGCATTGCGTTCACTGTGGGCAGGCTTGATCACGAAAACGGTCGATTTAGGTCGTGCAAGGTCTTATGGGCGTCCTTGCCATCCTTTCGCTCGTTTACAAGAGACACCGCGAGACACACAAACGGCCGTGGAAAATCTGGTGCGGTTCCTTCGAAGGCATGCCAACATCTGTTCGCTGAAGCATGTTATTGTCCATTTCTGCCACCTCTAGGCTGTTTGACGTGTCTAAACAGGTCATTGGTCAGATGTTTATACACGGCCTGAATGTGCTCATTTCCGATCTTGGATCTCACCAATTCTCCGGAAATGCTTGTACATACTATTTTCTTAATATTCTGGTTGACACTACATTAGGTGAGTGATATAATATTGAAACCACAGACAGTGATACTATCAGCGACTAGGTGTTGGCCTTATATACCTCGCCTTGCAGGCCACTACTTTTGTACTATTAAAGAAGCTGCATCTCAAGGGTTTTCGGTCGGGTCAGTACGGGAATCCACCATCGTTTGCGTACTGGGTTCGCCAGGCCGCGGTTTATGTGTTTGCCCTCACGACAATGAAACTTCTTGTCGTTGCACTTTTTGCCATATGGCCTGGAACTTTCGAGCTAGGAGACTGGTTGCTCGGCTGGACGAACATAGGAGAGGGAGAATCCTTCCAAGTCATCTTGTGCGCCAGATTAATCTCCGGAGTATGGACAGATCATTAATCACTTTCTCAGCGTCATGGGCATCTTTCCAATCATTATGAACGTCCTCCAGTTCTGGCTTATCGACTCCATCGTTAAAGCCAACAGTACTCAGCCTCCTTCTCATTCTAACTCACACCGAAATTGTGATGACCGAGATTGCGAACCACTAATCCGATCATCTGAAGACGATGGTGACGATACCCTACATCGTGACGTAGAAAATATGCCACGACCCTGCGGCTCGAGAATGTCATCAGATTTCACTACGATGGTTGGCCCTGAAGACGGTAAGTCCAAAATGGGAACAAAGTCGTCGCCGCCTTCCATATCTTTCCCTGGCTCCAACTCGCCCATTGCCCACGATTATCCTCCGAGTAGCAGTAGCATAGGGAGCCCGTCACCCAGCAGCATATCTTCCAGATCCAGACAGAAACATAGGGCTTCGCCTCCTCCTTCACTTGATCACCAGCCAATCCATTCCCTTTTCTCTGCTTCACCAGACCGACCCCAACACACTTCACCCCGGATACTTCAGAAAGGTTCAGTCCCGGGGGTTTCCATTGATAGACCCAGCATACACCTGGATTTGTGGGAGAAGCATACACGGACGTGATCTGCTGGCAGCGTGGACGGCCGTTCAGAGCAGAACAAGTATCGGGAGAAGTAGCGGTTGTCAATGACCCTTGCACGTTCGTTATCCTCTGCACTCACTCACTACTTATACATTTGTAATATCGCATTAGTTTTAATTTTTGCACAGGGAACCACTGATTGTTTAGCGGGACTGACATCCAATTTGATTGTAACTTCTGGGCGGTGGTCCTCGCATGCTCAGTGGTCTCACTCGATGTTTATCAGTCGAGTCGCCTGGAGGCAACCGGGGTGATGGCATGCTGGGCTCTGGGGAACTTTTCGATTCTGGCTCCTGTTAGTACAAGATCCGCAGGCACAAATGTTGCCCAACGCTGTTCGTTCTTGTGACAGGTTTGCAACTTCTGACATATTAGTACTTGCTTGCATGGTTGGCCACCACCTTCAAGAGTAGTATAATACACCTGGAGCGGGCATGCCCTGTATACTTTCTGAGTTACTAGCGTAACTGCTACATCATATTTGCTGGTATTGCGTGGCTGTGACACTGACCGTAGCAGGCGTATACTGTAACTGGCTCCGACCAATACGCTGAAGTGAGATACCAATGCTCTTGCAATGGTGCAACTTGACTCCATTCGGGACTTCGAAACTAACTGCTATACGGTTTGCATCACCATGTAGGGTGCAGTCTGTGAGGATATTCCCCACAGGCACAAGACCATTTGTCGCCGCCCCAGATATCATCGCGTGAGCGGGCAATCTCGAGGATGGCAGCTTGACTGACAAAATCTAGGCGCACGGAACCTGAAGCCTTCTTCATGGACGTTTACTTTAATGCCCATCCACTGCAGCCAGGCTCACAAGCAGATGGAAAACCCAAGTTGAAGGTGCCCAACGCCCTTATACCAACAGTCATTCCATATGCTGGCGGACAGGCAGAATTTGCTGTCAATATGGGTGCAGATGCACGTGTGCATACAGTGTATCGCTCCTTCAGCCGAGCTGATTGTTTATCTAGTTTGCAACGCGTCTCATGATAGTGCGGGGTGACTTTGAAACTGTGTCGATGGCAATCTACGGCGAACCGGTCTCCGAAGTATCTCCAGCCATTACCTCTTATGAAGCACGACCACTACCTGTGTTAGAGCCTACACCCGTTTCACCTGCACTTGACCTAGCTAGGATCTTCCGATCCGACCCACTTAGCAAGGCAATTGCTCGCCCTCATACCAGATGCACCTCCACTGAGCCTCGTCATACGCCTCATGTTCTGCCTGAAACCTCCTAACGATGATTGGGATCTCCCAGAATTCCCGCATCTCTACTCAGATTTACACGAGGAAGATGTGGATATTGACCTAGACTCTGCATATCGCTGCTTGAGCAGGCCCGTTGCTGATGACGTTTCTCTGGAGGCGTTGCTGAGATTCGCAGAAAAGGTTGCAGATGCTATTAGTCCAACGGTCGGTTATGCTATCCACTCGCTCGACGTCAAGCTGAAGATGAACGACAGGATAACACTCGTTCATATTTCATGGCAGAGATACTATGTCGCTCTGCTTCGCAACATCGGGATCTTGCACGCATGCTGGTGGTAAGCTTGAGAAGTATTGGCGTAATTCTAGTTTTGACTCTGGCTATAGCAAACCATCGACCTGGAGCGAGTGTTTGATACGTCCAGTGTAGACGAAGATACGGTGTTTACCCTGCTAGACGCATCGACAAACCCTGATATTGCAAAACTTTTGGATGATGATTGGTTCCGAAGCGCATTGGATTCGGTGTATTCAATGCCAGCGACGGAGCCAGACGTGAAGAAAGGCATCCGAAGACTGTCAAATCGCTTGCGAGACTGGCAGCTGTTCGAAGACACACTGTCTAACCCCAATGGAAATTTCGTCGCGGCTGCCCGGTTCCTGAAGGACATTGGTTCAGAAGAGAAGTCGTTTGGCATTTGGCTCAGCTGCATGACAACACACGAGGATCTCTTTGCTAGTCTTCAGGGTGGCCCAACATTCGATTGCAGTGTTCCCGGGAGCCTGTGGGACTCGGAGTTGGCGAATGCTTCGCATGCTGATTATATAGGATTTGTCAAGGCTTTCATCGGCGTCGCATGCGTACTGGCTGTCTATGCGTGGTCTGATAGCCTTCCAAATGTCAGTTGCCGAGAGCGGACACTGGGTGTTCTTCGACTGTGGCAGGACGTTCCGGGGTATCGTGAGGTACGTAATCTTGTTTCTCTTCTTCCCTTGCCCAGGCTAAGACTTGCATAGATTGTCAACCATCTCCTTCTTTTGCGCCAAATGACGTTCCGTCTGGAATGCATGACAATGGACAATGATCCTCCAGATATGTCAGGCATCCATGCGGAGAACATCATATTGAACCTGGTAAACGAGCCACGGTGTTACCTCAGTCCTCATTTTGTCAAGTGCATACGTTCGTGGCAACCCTTCACGCTGACCTACATCAGCGAAGAAGAGAGACAATCCCTGGAAAATGCCGCTGCAGTTGCGGAGGACGGCCCTTCGAGCGCTATCGAAGAGCTAGCTAGATCCAACTCGGGCCCGCTGAACATGGATCGTGTGCGGGTGCTTCGGGTTGCCGTCGGAATCATTCAGCACCATGTCGATGCAGAAAGCGCTGGTGACTTGGAAGTGCTGCAAACGGGATGGAAGGAGAATGTTTATGGGTTGTTCTTCCGCTCTGTCGATCTGGCCTTCGAGGTTGGTCAAGAGCTCAAGAACCAACTCGCCTTGAGCGTGCCACCACCAGTGGAGAAAGGACTTTTGGAGCAATACTTGCTACTTTCTGAACAGATTCTACAGTTGCTTGCATACCTCGAACCGTTCGCTGTTACTACCATTCGCACGATCCGTCGTCTTGTGGACGCAGTTTATCTTGTTTTCACATCTTCGGACACGGTCTTACGCGACCTTTCCTACTCACGGCCGGTCTATGTGGCCGGGAGGCACGCCAAACAGGCCTGTTCACATGTCTTAGGCGTTCTCTCCGCATCTTCCACGATGGACTTACCCAAAACGAGGTCTGCAGTTGTTTTGCGCACATTACTCCAAAAAAGCCAGACCTTTGATGGTGACCCGCACCAGCAGGTTCGGCAGATTTGTGAACTCTTCACTTGCTTACTACCTACTCCTTCGGACCCTGTGGAATCAACCTCGAAGTGGGTACTGTCCACTCTTCCCGTCATTCTTGGTGACCTTGAGAGACTGTTGTGTGCGCTGGATGTCGACCGCAAATGCAAACTCGTGTCTCTGCTAATCACACTGGACAATGGGATTTTGGATTTTAGACAGTGGTTCATTTCTCAAGAACTGAAACACATGTCCGATCTTTCCAGGTTTATCATGGAAGGCCAGACGGAGCACGTACGCTTGGTGGCCCAGCAAGCTGTGGACTGGCATATTCAAACAATAGAACGGCTCATGAGTCCGTCCTCCGAACATGCGACCTTGTGCGTAACTACGCTTTCGGTGATCCCTCGTGCCGGTCAGGCAATAGCCGATACCATGACAGCCCTGTTAAGTGCTCATGTATACTCGGAATCCCTGTTACGTCTTGCACGCTTGCTGTCCACAAACCCCGTGTTTGCCGACGCTTCCGTGCAATTGGCTGTTGCCCTTACATTCATCCGCGGTGTTTCGGTTTCACAGATCCACACTGATGTGGTCGAAGCGTTCGAGCGCGCACAAGCAGTACTTTCCGCGATCGACGACGCGGATCTAGCCCTTGACCGACTTCTGTGGGAATTCGGCCATTGCTTGTCTGCTGTAGTTGAAAGAATGGATGATCTCCAACCTTCCGATCTCCAGGTCATCCTTTCGACGCTATCTTGGCTTTGTGAAAAGCTCCCAGGTCCTTCTGACCTCCCAGGTGTGTCACGGGATAAGTGGGACAAACTATGTAACGCATTTGGGGGAAAGAAGGAACCCGACATAGACATTTTGAAGACGGTCAGAGGAAAGTTAACGCCCCATCCAGACTCGTTCTCGCCTACCAGGATAATTCCACGGACTGTTTGCATAAGCATCCGTGATCTGGAGACCCTCTTAGCACCCTCTGCTCCCGTGCCGTCGACACCGAAACGCAAGTTGCCGGCTCGGGATATCTTGGGTCTCGTTGCACTCTCACCCCCTACTGCGCTTCTTCGCTCACCTGCCATCTCCGGGTTGACGAAGATGTACACAAAGAATGATTTTAGGGAACTCCGCCAGACTCCGTCGGCGAGGCAAAATACGAGCCGACTGCCCAGTATGCATGTCGATGTGAGCGTCACCAAATTTTCACCCAAACTGCTTCATTTTCTTAATATTCCTTCTCACCGTATATCAGGAGTTCGAGCTTGGCACGTCGTCGCCAATCATCGAGCCTAGTGTCATTGGTCACCCGGTTGAAACGTTCCTACTTGGCCCTCCTTTCAACCTTGCTCAGTAGACATGTGTAAGAGAACGGAGGCGACGCAATTTGAACCGTACGAATATCTTGTTGAAGTGTAGCCATATAAACGAACGACGTTGATGTGTCCAAGAATTGTAGATATAAGTTGGCTCCCTTTCTCGCTAGCATGTAATTTTGCACTAGGATGCTTGCACCTACTCAGCACTCAGCAATGGACAAGCTCGTCCAAACTGCGTATGCATATGAGAATAACACTTGATAATCTACTTCTCTATCGAAGGTAACATTACAAATACTGATGTGATATATTTGAACGGCGATGGATGTCGAAGTGCCATATGTAAGAACAAGAAGAAAACCAACTGATATGAAACTAATGCGGCCGTCGTCGACGTAGGTCGCGATGCTGATGATGATCACGAAGAGAAGGTGTTTTGGATTCCCGAGGCAGAGGGGTAAAATCATCACGAAAGCGGAAGTATTGGTCCACATCGGCCTGATCGAATTCGGAAGGCGGAGCAGGCGATGGTGGTGAGGTGGGCGGTGGGGGCTCGGGTTCTGCGCCTGCCTTCAGTCCACCGATACGGTACGTCCGCTTACGTCTGGCTTTAGTGGGTCGACGTTCAGGAGGTAATTTTACTCCGGAAGCGTTGACAGTTCGCGGCGGGACGCTGCGTACCGTGAAGTGTGCCAAAGAACGCGTGTACGGCGATAAGGTATGATTCGAATGGCTGAGAGTGGAGAGTTGGTGGACAGTGTTATTGAGAGTGGGGCGAAGGACTATTTTGGGATCAGCTTCTGAAAGGGTGTGATACTTTGGTGAGGAGCCGGAGTGGAAAGCATCGAAACCGTATGACGATGATACAGAGAGACGACGATGAGACTTGGCATCGAGGTAGTGGGAGGGCGGGGGAACTTCGGGAGAGGATGGTGTGTCTACAGAATGTGAAAGCTCGCTGCTAGACCGCGACATGTACGTATCGCTTTTACCCGGCGAGTGTTTTAGGTACGGGGGTCGTGCGAAATCAAGAGGAGGGGCGGAGAGCGGGCGATATCGCTCTCCATAACCGTACAGGCCTTCTTCAAAGGAGTGATAGCTCGAGGCATGATGGGAATGTCTCATTCGGGAAGCTGGGTGTGGCAACGTCGAATTTAGCTTTGAGGAGCCAGCCCGCTGGAGAAGGTTCGCAAAGGATGACGCGCTCTCGGCCTCGGACGCAGCGTTAGGGACTTCGGAGGGAGGTTGTATCATCGACTGGGAGTGGTATACTCTAGGGCGCGTGATAGTTCCGCCTCCGACTGCAGGTATTGTTTCATACTCGGTTACTGGTTCCAATTCTTCAGAGACGCTCGGAGGTGGGGAGTAATCAGGAATCGTATCGTCCCAGTCCAAGGCATCGAATGACTCGTGTTCTCCTTGTTCGTCACCCTCTGACGGTTCCTCCGTGAGATCCGCGAGGCCCTTGTCCTGCCTAAACAACTGTCCGAAACTGGTGAACACGCTCTTTGTGGGGAGACCCTCGGGACGAAGGCCATATGTGGGATCGAAGTTCTCTATTTCAGGTAGAGAACCACTGGCCTCGGTGGAGGGGGCGCTCACTGGAGCTGGCGGAGTAGACCTGAGACTGGACGCCGTCCTCTGCGGTAAATTTGTGACAGAGACGCCAGAAATAGAGCGCGCACGGCCACCCACAAGTGATGGTGGACGGCGAAAGGAAGGGTGAAGACCTGCGGCTGCAAACCCAGGAGATAGATAAGACAGATCCGGCGCAGACGCAGTATCGAACGGCCGCCGAATCACCGGAGGAGGTCGTTTGTCCAAGTAGGGTGCTTCCACTTTCGCCTTTATCCACTGCTGGCTCAGACGATGTATGATGCCTGGTAGGTCCTCTCTGAACATCTGGCGCAATTGCCCTTCGATCTCGCGCTGGATGAACTTCTGAATGACAGCGATGGAATCAAACGTGCTGTTGATGTCTACATTCTGGAGAGGGTCTGTCTTGAAGACGAGCGTGATGCCTTTCTGTTTTGAAACGACAAGGACTACGTAGGAGTTAAGTCTGAAGTGGGATAGGCGGAGGAGCATGGGTACGACTAGAGGCTCTTTCGCAGCCAGCATGCCCCTAGAACCAGTCATAAGGTGGATGTCGGGTTGTTTATGGTTCAGGGGATTAGCCTGGGTGAAAATTATCCGTGAGGCCACTAAGGTAGTGTAAACTGTGCCATCTGCTAACCTGAACCTTGGTTTTCAGCACAATATGAGCATCGCCGTTATATGTCAATCTGAATATGCCGCGAAACTGTTCCACTGGTGAGCTCGCCAATATCCCGAATCTCTAGTTCAGGAGGCTTCAAGAGTATCTGAGTAGGATTTCGTCGAGCGCACGACAAAACGAACGTACCTGGGTGCCCATCTCCAGTTCCACGACTTCAATCTTGTCTGCAATGACTGGCGGCTTGTTTCCTTTGTTAAGGGCATTGTTGAGCATCTGGATAGCATGGGTGTGAAATTGCTCGGAGAAGCGAGGCCACTCAAAAGTGAACGACATCGCTGGGTAGCTAGCAGCTTGGATTCGACGGCGCTCGTACTGTCATCCAAATGAAAAGTGCGCACGAGGTTTCAGAACGAGCTGTGAAGTACGTAGAGCATGCCGGTCGGGCACGTAAGTGGTGTCGGCTGTGTACGGAGTCTCCAGTCTCACAGGTCGGCCGCCGTCAGCCAGTCGTTTTTGGGATTTCCTCCGGGGACAAAGGCAGAAGTTGCAGGCAGTTTAGACTTTTAGGGCTTGTTCTGTTGGCTCTCCCTTACAGTGGACAACACTCAACAAGTGGCGGTCTGACACTGTCTCACTAGTGAGCTAACGGACACTAGTTGTCATGAACGGCGTCCGCAGACTATGGGGTGGGGGCCAGGACGTCACCCGCCACACCACAACCGCAGCCGCATCATGCAACGACAGAGACAACTCCAGCACCCACCCCGCCAGCTGCGGCATCGAAATCATTGTGGTCACCCCAGGTCTCGCGATCGGCCTCTCCAGCGGAAGACGAGCCACGCACCACCACACCCGGTCTGACTATTCGCAAGACGAAGCAAGCACCCATCATCTCTTCGACAGTTGGAACAGTACCCCAGCATCGCCACTATCATCCGCACATTCACATACAAGAAGTACAGAATCTCACGTACTGCCCTCCCCGCCTCGAAAATCTTCTGGAGGAAACCACCTTGCAGGTCCCTCATATCCCCATGCAGCCCCTCCGGATTCACTGCTGGCCTCTGAGCATGTCAACATTCGCGACGAATTACTTATGAGCTTGTTGACTAGCGAAGCTATCGTGGACAGTCGTAATTGTGAAATACTCGGTGCAGAGGAAGTTGAGGAGTTGAAAGAGGTTCGATATCAGTCATTGTGCCCTAAACTTACACGGTCTTAAAAAGGTCCTTCAAGGAGTACCAAGTTCTCAAGATTCGCCTCGCTGCTACGGAAAAGAAACTTAGTCTTGACGCCAAGATGCGCGATGCCGCTCTTTCGCTGTCTCGCATCAATGCAGTACATGCGAGATCTCCAAAACAGATGGAAGAACAACTCGAAGCCGCCGAACGCAAGGTAACGGCTACCCAGAAGGAATACTGGTACGTCTTAGAACGTGCGGGTGAAGTGCGCCAGAAGTTGCTTGAGCACTGTGCTGGGGTACTTGGATATTCGGTGCAGAAAATGGAGAGGGCGGCTAATCCCCTCGCTAACGGGTACGACTGCAATGCTTTGGGCACCGAGACGCCGAGCGGTAGTTCAACGAAGATTTCTCTTGTTACTTCCTCGACTGCACGTTTTGATGCTACCCACCTTTTCGCCGGCCATGCGGATGCCCAGTTCCCGAGACTGCCTCCCTCTGCCTCAGACGTTGCCGAACTGGAGGTTAAATTACGAGCAGCTACCGAGTCGTTGAATGCTGCCAACAAGCAACAAGCGGAAATGGCACGTGAGCTGCAACAGTTACGTCTCGAAAAGGAGCAGCTTGAATTGGTTATGGGAATGGAATTGCAGAACAAAAATGACGAGCTCTCAAAAGAACGGTTAGTGTGGGAAGAGGATAGAGCGAAGCTAGCCGTTCGGGAAAGAGAGGTCGAGGAGTTGCAACGACGCTTGGATGGGCTGGAAGCAGAAGGTGAACGAGCGATGGAAACAGAAGGATTGCTAGCCGATGCACAACGGAAGGCTGATGCCAAAATACAACAGAAGGAGGAAGAGATGTCTGCGTTGGGGAGGCAATTGGCAGAGATGAGGGATCAGTGGGAGGCAGAGAAACATGCGATGGAGGAAGAGCGTCTGGCTGAAGTAGGAGCACTGCAAGAAGAGCTGGAGTCGCTGCGAACGTCCACCGAAGCTCGGGCAGAACTGGAGGAGGCAGTGGATATGTTGCATGCACTGATGCGACAGTATGACTTCCAGCATTCTCAGGACGACCGCTCGTTGCAGGGTACGCTCTTGTCTCTCAATTCTCACCTCAGCAGCTTGTCCGAAGTGCTGGAAGGTCATCATAAGGCATGTGGTGAGTGGGAGTCTCTGCGCGAGCGCCTGGAGTCCGAACTACAATCCGAATACGAGGAGCATCAAACAATGGCTGCCGAGCTGGAAGTAATACGGCGAGAGCGAGACGAGGCAAAACAAGAAAACGTCGAGTTAGACTTGCGTATCAAGGTCAGCTACTCTTCCCTCTGGAAGTCAGTACCACTAACTCCTATTAGGCATTAAGTGCACCAACCGTCCATCATGGTCCTCCTATCGAGTACAAGGGCGAGATAGCCGATGTTGTGGCACTTCTTCAGCCCGCTTGGGCTGTACTTCCGGCTCCTGAACTCCGTGCTCCTACTCTTAGCACACGGCGGCATCTCCGCGTTATCTCTTCTGCGTCCAGTCCTGGTGGTCAATCCAAATCTGGTCTTCCGTCTCTGTCCGATATGGACGTGCGCTCTTTGAAAGCTCTTTATGACGCCAAATCACAACAGTCTGCTGTTGGGGGTCCCTTCTCCATCGAGGCGTTCGTAGCGCGTGTGCAAGCACTTATCATCGACGACCGAGCGTTGATCGAGAGATTGATCCGGTTTGCACAGGCTCACGATATGCTCAAGAAGAATGCTGAACGAGCGCAGAAACTTGCCCAGGACAGTAACGTCGCGCTCGAGACGTACCAAAAACATCTCGCTGTGCTGGAGAACCAGAATCACGCCTTAGTGACGAGACAGTCAGCATTGTGCGTTGCCATTTCTGCAAATTTTTGGGTGGTTGAACATTCATTTTTATACATACAGAATGGAGGAGATTGAGGAACTTCGAACCTCTGTAGAACGTGCGGTGGCTGACAAAAGGCAGATCGAGACGCACGCTGCTGATCAAGCCGAGACCTGCAGACAGCTTACAGAAGCAAACAATGTTCTCAGCGCCAAGACGCTGGCACTCGCGCAGGAGGCTGCTGCAGCACCAGAGGCGGTTCGCAAGCAATTGGAGGGCCAGCTCTCGGAGTGCAGGGACAAGTTACGCAAAGCTGAGGAGGAAGTCCACGCCATGCAGACGTCCGAGCAAACTCAGCGTATTGCGTTGCTGGATGAGCTCAACTCGGTGCAAACCGCCAACGCAAACCTGCGCGCACAGTTGAGGGCTGCGAAGCGATAGCACGTCTTCCGAGGAGAACTACGACTCCCTATGCTCTCGTTCAAGGGCTGCGTCTTGTATCCTATTCATCATCCACTTGCTTTGTTCGATGGATGTATTTATGTTGTTTTTACTCCATGGCAATGCGAAGACATGAAAGCTGATAATCACTCTTGTGCATGGCCTGATGGTACGAGAACACCTGCCCTACAACATGTGAGGCTGTTAGATGTGAACTGTCTAAACTGTGTCCCAGGGGCATTTCTAGACCAGTAACTCAAGTGATATCTGTCTGTTTTCATCCACAGGGAGCCAAGTGATCACACAGATCTGTACCATTGGTATGCTATACATTGAATATGATGGGTTTGGAGGACTTCATAATGTCCCATGCTACTGGGTACATGAATTTCTGGCACTTCAAGTTATGAGGAAAGCAGGAAGGGAGATACAGTCATCAAAAGCATATTTCAACTGAACTTTGAGACATCCATGATGTATTGGTCCAGCATTTCCAAACACCTGTCCATATAGATCTCCTGTAATGTCTCCAGAATGTGAGAACAATGTCCTGATTGTTAATATCACCAACAGTGTCAGCTACTTCCTGTAGCTTCCTTAAGAAATCAAGGACCAAGTGCCCCTCTTGGCAACATGCATCAAATTTGTCCCATTGTTGCATCTGGAAATCTGCCAGGAATATGTAGTCAAACAAATCCTCAAAGAATGTAGTTAGGGTGTATCGCTTTTTCAAGTTGAGCACATTTTGCTTGTAAAATCAGTATGCATGACTGCTGAGATATTTTCCTGATAGCCTGGTACTCTTTTTGTGGTCCAGTCTAGCATGCTTTACCCAGTCGTGCAGCTCTCAACACCACTTTTTAAATAATCCAACTTGTATTTCTCCATGGTAAGTAAATGGTGTTATGCCTGAGCGCAGTGACTTCTTCAAATGGAATAGGCACAAAGCACGTGAGGTGGGAGTCTACGGGCCGAACGTATTGTAACCCCTATGGCTGAGTTATTGCGAAGATCCGACAGAGGTCTTGTCTACTGGTGAGTCCCTAAGGTTGTTCGTGCGGAGAGAAGACAAGGATCGAAGCAAAGTAATTAGCTCAGTTGCAAGCTATCGAAAAACTGAGGATACACGGTAAAGTATGTGGGTTTATATACCCCTAAGTATGAGTACTGTACCAGTCACGACACGTATCCGCAGTAATCAACAAACTGATCACTGAAATAACTACGAGTCATCCGGTGTCAGAGATGGGGGTAGGGATGAAAACAAAGGCTATACCGGCTGCGCAATCAATGCGCAGCGAGGAGCCAGACACTGGAACTAGAATACAACATATAGGCAATATAAACGAGTCAGAACGAGTCATCGGGGCATGAAGGGAACATCTCATCAATCAGGAGAGCGGTGAACGTCACGGATCACAAGTGATGAGTTTCGACAGGTATTGGAAATACCTGGACAGCAGGAGATCCGAGTCGTTCCTGTAACATCCACACTCCTAACACGATGACGAGTACCAGTGATGTGACGAGGCACGTGATGCACGTGACCGTAAGAAGTCGAAAAAGGAAAGACCCCTGATGGAAGCATAACATCACCCCCCCTCTAAGGTCCTCAGACCCTTGAGGACGGGTTGGAAGTCGCATTGGCAGGGCGAACGGTTAGGGGTCGGCGAGTAGTATAGACGCGGGAACGCGTTTGATTGGCGATGGGCGACAATGGTGATGGAGATGATGGCTCTTCGAAGGCCGGAGTATAGCAGGAACCGTGTCCGTTGTGGCATGACCAATGTCCCAGGTAACGGCACTGGTAGCAGGCGTGTTGGTACAGGGGGTGGTCGGGAGGGACTGGAGACTGTCCTCCAAGGTAGAAACAAAGTTGATCCGCAGGGACAGGGACAAAGGGAGTCGCAGGGAGAGGGTCGGAGGCGTGGACGGTGTTGAAGTAGTTCTTATGCATGCCGGCCCACGATGCATCCTGTAAGAGCACCTCCCAAGAGGAATTATAAGTTCCAGTTCCCAGCCAAGCACCAACCTCTTTAAACAGTTCTCCCGAGTCCACATATCCTAACTCGATCACACGCCACTCCTTTTCCTTCTCCTGATCCGCTACGTCCTTCTTTAACTTAACCTTGGGGGTTTGCGCTTCCTTCGGAACGATCCGGTCGAGGACTTGCGAAGCTGGTGGCGCAAGGAACTCGTTAATTTGTTGCTGCTGTAGATGATGATAGGCTCCGCCGGTGATGGCTTCGGTCATTTCGGAAGAAGCCTTCTCCAGCATCTCGATCATGATTACCTCCAATAAGGGTGCTACTCCAGTAAGCTTTCGGGTGCAAATCTTGGACACCAAGCCGTTGATTACGTCTGATGCTCGGTAGACTTCAGACAGCATCCCAAAATACTTAACTTGTTCTGGTGTGCACCCGTTAATGTTGTCCCCATCGTGGAAGATGTCAAGTGCCCTAACAATGTCCAAGTATTCAGCCACTGGGACTGGTAGTCTTTGCTTGTCAGCCCTGGAAGCGGCGGTGGCGGCGAGGAGATTGAGGGCTGGCCGATCACCTCTGTTCGAATAGGTGGTAAAGGCGCTGCGAACGTCGGTAGGTTCGGCAGCATCGGCACAGCTGGACGTGGCTGCTCCACTATCGGGGTCATCGTCAACCCGTGCTTTACCCTTTCCCTTTTGGCTACTGTCCTCACAGAGGGGGACTCTGACCTTTGGGGCCGGGATGTGCTTGACTGTGATCCCCTGGTGTGGATGCGGTCGGAGAGGGCAGGTGAAAGCGGGCGACACTGCACGGGACTGGGACAGGGGCGAGGAGTATCCGGAGACATGAAAACTGGTGGGGGACGTTGGAGGTGAGGTCAGGGCATAGACAGTGATGGGGGGTATGAGGCTGTTGTCGTCGGAGTGACAAAAGGATTCTGCGGCAATGGGGAGGTCGACATAATCGTTTTCGGTGTTAACAGAGCGAGGGGAGTCCATTAGTTTCTGAGGTGTCGGGCAAGTTTGTATTGGTCGAGCACTTCTGTAGTGTGCTCTTTTAAGTGTTCTTCAGGTTCCCACATATTTGACGAATGTGGGAATCCTTTCCACTTTACCAAATATTTTCGCCTGCCACGGCGACCATCTGTTTTATGATTTAGCACAGACTCTACCTCCCATTCGACCTCATCATCCACCATTTCCGGTAAGGGTGCTGCAGGTGCAGCTCCATATACCTCGTTTTCAGTAAATGGAAAGATCCGCGAAGCGTGAAATACCAGATGGACCTTCCAGGTAGGGGGAAGATCCAATTGGAAGGCAACTGGGGATACGACTTGAGTCACCTTGAAGGGTCCGAGACATCGGGGCGCAATCTTATCGCACTGGTTTTTGATGTGCAGGTGAGACATATCCAGGAGAACTTGATCTCCGACCTGTGGCGCAACATAAGTCCCTTTTGAGCGGGATCTCATTGCTTCCTGTGCTTTTTTATGTGCGAGGACAGCGACATCTCGACTTGTGGCTAGTCGTTCCAGGCGTTCCTTGACCGAGGGAACTGGAGTTAACTGTGTTTCGGGATAAGGGGACAGGTCGTAACCAAGAATCAACGAAAAGGGGGTTTGTTGGTGTACTGAGTGGACGCGGGAGTTGTGAGCGAATTTGGCAGAGGGTAATTTTGATGCCCACGAGTTTGGGAACTTGGAGCAATACAGCCGTAAATATCCCTCCACCTCCTGGTTGATGCGTTCGCTTTCTCCGTTTGTCTGTGGGTGGTACGCAGTGGATAACCTTGTTTTGACCCCTATTGCCTTGTAAAGTTCCTTGGTAAATGAAGATGTGAACTGTGGGCCTTGATCGGATATCACTGATTCCGGTAGTCCAAACCGGGAATAAATGAATTGGTGGAACAGCGAAGCGAGGCCGACGGAGTCAATAGTCTTGTGACAAGGAACGAACAACGCGGCTTTTGTGAGTCCTTGATCGACAACCGTGAGAATGGAGTCGAATTTATGTTCTCCCGAGACAGGGAGATCCGTTATTAAGTCCATAGAGATCTGTTGGAAAGGAAAGGGGGTTTTCAGCGTATCATGGGGAACAACCGGAGGTGTCGGCAGGTGAGTGATCACCTTCATGGTTTGACACACTGGGCATCCAGCAATATAAGCCTTGATATCTTTAACCATCCCTTCCCACCATACCTCTTTTTTCATCTTTGCACACATTGCCTTTTGACCGGGATGTCCCACAGACTTGTGATTATGATAGGACCACATGCAGTGTCAGCAGTGATCGGGCGGTATATATAGTCGGGTAGTCCCAAACCGCTTCGTTCCGTCCGCGGTGGTAGTAACGTTGTTCTGGGGTTCCAGGCCTTCGGCAGTCTCCGAAGCTTCCTTTTTGATCCGTTCATACAGTTCGGTCGACACAGCATATACACCCCTTGCTCCTTTGGCGACCTCCTCAGAAGGGCAAGCATCAGGCAGCCTTTTCCTCTTTGACTTTTCCTCAGGTGGGCAGGAATAAGGCTTGGTGTTGTTATGGGACCGTGCGGACCTTGCTGGAAGATGTCCTATACAGCATAAACGGTTTATTTTTAACTGTTTTTGTAATTTTGTTAATGAAAAGAGTGGTGAAACCAAGCGAATTTGGGAGTCCACCCCCTTCGAAAGCCAAAGGTCCGGAGGAAGGACCGTGGCCACCGGGGCGGGTTCAACCACTTCACTTTTACAGGAAAGAGTGTCGGTGGGAACTTGTAACCAGCCAGCCTGCCAAGAGAAACAAATTGGGTAAGACTGAACCGTAGCAGCCCAGCGGGCTTGTCGCGGGGTTAACTGCTGGGGTTCCCGGTAGTACTCCAGGTTCTTGTGGTCGGTGAAGACCACAGTAGGTTCAATGGGGGATAGTAGATATGGACGGAAGGCCTTGAGGGCGCAGATTACCGCGAGCATTTCCAGGTCATAAACCTGATAGCGCTGTTCGGCACCGACAAGGGACTGGGAAAGGTAGGAGCAGGGATGCCACTCGTCGTCGGAACCCTTCTGCACGAGCATGGCACCGGTTCCGAGTTTGGAAGCATCTGTGAACAGGGCGAAAGGTTTAGAGAAGTCAGGAATCAGGAGGACCGGAGATGAGCATAACAAAGATTTAAGCTTTTCGAAAGCTTCGTTTCGCTCCGGGGTCCAGACGTATGACGTCCCCTTTTTAGTGAGGTCATGGAGTGGCCTCGTGATGCTTGAAAAGGAAGGGATAAACTTCCGGTAGAAGTTGCAGAAGCCTAAGAATTGGTGTAACGCGGTAAGATTCTCGGGGATTTCCCAAGTGTTGACGGCATTGGTCTTGGTAGGCGAAGTTTCCAACCTTCCTTTTCCAATGATCATACCGAGGAACTCGATTTCTTCGGCTTCGAAGACGCACTTGTTGATCTTCAACCGAAGGCCTTCCTTTTGGCAGATCTCCAGAAACTCTCGCACGCGGGTGCGGAGTTCTTCCTTTGTTTTCCCGTGGATTGCAACGTCATCCATATAACCGACCTGCTTCCCATGCTGGGAAGCGAAGGTCTGGTCCATGTACCTTTGAAACGACGGAGGTGAGTTGCACTGGCCGAAGAACATCACCGTGGGTTCAAAAAGGCCTCTAGGGGTGATAAATGCCCCTTTCCACTCATCTCCTTCTTTGACTCTGAGGTTAGTGAAACCCCATCTAACGTCAAATTTTGCGTAATATTTCAATTCGACCAGTTCGTCGAAAAGCGCTTGGGCGTTCAGTAGTGGATGGGCGTCGGGGATGGTGAACGAATTGAGATACCGGTAATCTTGGATTAGCCGTTTCTTCCCATCCTTCTTGGCGACGAAAAACACCAGCGCTGCTTGTGGCGAGGTAGATGGGCGAATCTTTTTGCATTTTAGGTTTTCGTCAAGGAACTCATCTAGCACCTTAAGTTCCTCCGGCAACATCGGGTATACCGAGGCTTTCTTTGGCTTAAAATCATCCCGGAGTCGGATTTTGTGATCCAGCCCAGGTCGATGGACTGGCAACGGTATGTCCTCCTCGGAGAACACCGTGGCGAATTCCTGATACTCCTTTGGGAGCAGAACCTCTTCCTTGGTTTGGGATAAAGCGGCTTCAAGTTCGGTAGACAATGTAGTTTTATTGATGTTGCTTGTCCGCGGTTCTTCCTTGACAGAACCATCTTCATTGAACTTGACCACGTATCTTTCATAAGAGGGTACTTGTTCCCTAATGTAGACATCAGATTCTCGGGTAGGGACAAACCCATCATCCCAGCATGTTATCTTGTTGTGTTCCCAGTCCATTCGAGGCTTGAAGGTCCGAAGGAATGGCATGCTGAGGAGTATGTGTTCTTTTCCTACCAAAGGCCCGACGTAGCATTTGATGCGGATGACCCGGTTCTTGATAATAAGCCGGAGTGAGACTTTTCTAGTGACCCACTCCACGTCCTTCCTGGTAAAGGAGGTCGTCTTGAACTTGGCCTTGACACAATAACTTGGTATCTTGAGTTGATGAACGATTTGCTCCGATATGAGTGACACCTCTGCGCCAGAGTCGACGCAAACCATTACTCCTGCCATGTAATCCGGCAACCATGCTCTTCTGAGAGGAGATCCAACACGCATATTTGATTCGTCCTCTATAGAATTACATTTCACGGATAACACAGAAGCGGGACCTGCCTTAGGAGTATCGGTGGTCCCATTTAAAAATTCAACCCATGCACCTTCATCTCTTCTGGGGTCGCCAGATGATCTCCCACGTAAGCAGTCTTTGTTCCATCGGCGGAAAGAACGACTCGAACGCCAGGGGGTTGCGCGGGTTTACTTGATTTACAGTCATGCTTGTAGTGACCTTTTGCTCCGCATTCGAAGCAAGTGACATTATCGTTTGATCGGCGTACGTTTCGCCTTCTTTTGTCGACGTCCATCACATCAGGATCTCAGGAACCTCTGCAGTAATGAATAAATTTTCATTCATACCGAGATTCCTTCCCTTCAAGGATATGCTTGGTGGCGATCGCAGTTCTTGCCTCTCTGGCGCACTGGATCCACTCGATTACGGTGGTCGGGGCCCGTCTGGAATTCAGAACCCAATCTCTATACTCCTTATTTAATCCTTTTCCGAAGAAGATCCCTGCTTCACACGATTCTTCTTTGAGTTGGGCCTTGTTAACCAACCCCATAAATTCGGCAATATATACTTCCAGTTCTCTCTTTCCTTGGGAGATGTCGGAGAGCTGCAAAATTGCAAGCACAGTCTGATCGCCTGATTCGAATGTAGCCTTAAGTCGTTCCACAAACCTCTGAAAGGTGTCAGAGTACCAGATGGAACCGTCTAAGAGCCTGTTTTCGTTTTGGTAATTTTTGGTGAATGACACGGCGGCTCCCTTCATCATATACGTGAGGGTGAAAGAGATCTTGAGTGATTCCGTGTTGTATACGTGTTTGTTAAGGTTGAGATAACCTTCCACTTGGGTGATCCAAGTCTGAAGCCTGTTGTGGCTTCCATCATATTCTCCGGGATGCCCGACATTAAACTCCCTTCCTCCGTTGGGTGGGCGGACATCATACGAGTCATCACCATCTTCGGCTGGGGCCTTACCCTTACTGGACCCACCAACGGGGCCCTCTGGGGGAATTACCTTTCCGAAGTTCCTGGCGTACCAAGCTCGTAGAGCTGAGTCCGTAGGCGTTCCTGTTGGGAAGGGATCACTCGACTGACCTTGACCGGCAATCTTGCGCCAGTCCTCTGCCAAAGAGTGCATCTGTCTTTCCAACCTTTCCTTCAGCTCCGCTTCAGAGTATACCTTCGGCGGCATCTCAGGGGCTGATTCTCCGTGACCGATTGTCATGGACATAATGGGTGATTTGCGTGCTTCCTGTTCTTCCTTGAGGACTGATCCGAAAGAAGTCTCGGACTTCTGATCATCTTCTTCTTCTGAACTAAGCACGACTTCCGATTCCCTAAAACGGGACAGATAAGATAACCTAGGATTACTTGCTGTGGCTGACAGCCCAAGTCTTCCTGGTATCGGCGGCAAAGGCGGGTTCCTACCGAGTCCTAGTGGGGTATTACGAGGAGGGACCGGTGGTCTCGACTTCTGGGGGTTAGACACTTTAATGAGAAGTGATAACGAAGCCTGAGGGAGGATTTATTTCTCGAAAGAAACCTGTCAGGGTAGTGGGATAAAAGGGTGGTGCGCGAGTCGATTTACATGTAGGGATCAACGAGCGCTGGCTCTAGGGAGGCGATCTATTAAAGCCTAGTGGCTGCCTGTAGAGCGGTGGATTTGATTGAGGGTAGAGGGATGCTTCTCAATTTTGTTACCGACTTGTTAAGGTCGAATTGAGGAGCGGGGAAACAAGGTGAGTTAGTCTTTACGTGTAGGGAGACCGACGAGCCTTTTCTTGATAGAAGGTTTGGTTTGTTGAAGTTCAGTAACCAGGGACGAGTAGTCTTTCGCGAAGAGGACAACGAGTCCCGAAAACTGCGTTGAGTTTTTCGATTTTGTTATGCCCGAGCGCGGTGACTTCTTCAAATGGAATAGGCACGAAGCGTGTGAGGTGGGAGTCTACGGGCCGAACGTATTGTAACCCCTATGGCTGAGTTATTGCGAAGATCCGACAGAGGTCTTGTCTACTGGCGAGTCCCTAAGGTTGTTCGCGCGGAGAGAAGACAAGGATCGAAGCAAAGTAATTAGCTCAGTTGCAAGCTATCAAAAAACTGAGGATACACGGTAAAGTACGTGGGTTTATATACCCCTAAGTACGAGTACCGTACCAGTCGCGACGTGTATCTGCAGTAATCAACAAACCGATCACTGAAATAACTACGAGTCATCCGGTGTCAGAGATGGGGGTAGGGATGAAAACAAAGGCTATACTGGCTGCGCAATCAATGCGCAGCGAGGAGCCAGACACTGGAACTAGAATACAACATATAGGCAATATAAACGAGTCAGAACGAGTCATCGGGGCATGAAGGGAACATCTCATCAATCAGGAGAGTGGTGAACGTCACGGATCACAAGTGATGAGTTTTGACAGGTATTGGAAATACCTGGACAGCGGGAGATCTGAGGCATTCCTGTAACATCCGCACTCCTAACACAATGACGAGTACCAGTGATGCGACAAGGCACGTGATGCATGTGACCGTAAGAAGTCGAAAAAGGAAAGACCCCTGACGGAAGCGTAACAAATGGCAGGTCTTCCTTTAGGAAGGCTTGTTGATGCTTTAATTTATTCAGTTTAGCATGGTAACAATGTTTCTTCTCATGCTTTTGAGCCTTCTCATGGTCTGAGCCATTGGTACAGGTAGTGGAAGGTTCTTCTTTGAAAAAGTCTGAGCTGAAACCTCCCTCAGATGAAGAGTTGCTGTCATCTGTCAAAGACAAGCCTGACAGGTCACTCAGGGTGATTTCTCACCAATGATATCTCCCAGTAGGTTTTTCTTGTCCTTCATTGGTACTATCAGAACTTGATGGACTGTTGTCATCACCAGGATCACATAGCACACAGTACAGTGCTTTCATGTGGGAATATGGACAAGGCTCATGTGTTGGAGGTTACTTTGTTTGCAGAGTTCTTATTCCTTCAGTGAGCCCTCCTGTCATATACAGTCTCTGGCAAGTCTGATCATTTAGCAGGTTTAATGCCACTGGTAGTGTAATACTTTGTCACATCTGTATTCTTTGGTTTGACCAAGCCAATATTATCCACTATCTGGTTCACATGTTCCTTCTGTTCAATGCTGAGTCCCAATAGTCCCAGGTTTGCAGACTTGCATTTAGTGCAATGTTTGAGTGACTCAATGATTGCTTGCTGTTTGTGGATCAGGGCCTTGGCACTGTCAAGCTGCTCAATGAGGCTGGCTTCCTTTAACTTCTTTATTAAGTATTTTGTCTTTTCCTTTTGTTCCTCTCAGACTGAGACAGGATCCAGGGCATTGATTTCTGCAGGGAGTTCTCTCACAGATTCACCAGGAGTGGGTGCCCTCCATTTCTCCTTTGCTTCTGCAGTAAGTCTTGGTGTGCTTACCATTGATGCTGATTGATCAGGCTTCATAGATCCAGGCTGATCATTCTTATCCATGACCACTGGCTTCCCAAACCACTGCAGTACAGCTTTCCCCAACTCTTTGTCATTCTCAATGAGATCTGACCACAATGCCTTAGGGCTATGTTTATTTTCATTCTTAGTATTAACTTCAGGCTCATTGCACATCCAGGCAGGCCACTGATTCTGGTCTAACAACACAGATGTCAGGACTAGTGAAACATGGCTATGTGTGGGTGAATGTGGCTTCACAAAACCATCAGCCATATCAGCTGATTTTGACCAAATGACCATGGTAATTACCACAAAAGCAGTTACAGAATTCATGGTGACTACCACTTCCCAATATAGACAATGCCCCCTGAGTGACAACCTCTGTCAGTGTTTGAAAAAAATTCAGATTGGAATGTTCCCACAGCAGGTTACCCTGTCACAAATATTGATAATTTGCACCTGTACTGTGGCTATACAGATGAGCATGTGACCAGTAGATGTGATGGTCACATGATGAGTGACATAAGCAGGGATGACCCTAGATCACATGATTTTATGTAATTGATTACATGATGGTGATCCTCTGGAGTGTTCTGTTACATAATTTATCATGTGATCATGGGAAAATATGCATGTGACTTAATCAATGTCACATGACAAGGTACAATCATAGATCATCCAACCTATTACATAATGATCACATGTCAGTTTCTCTCCAGAACATTTGGTTATGTAATGGGTCACATGATTGTGAGACAATAGACATGTGACCACTCCTGCAGCATCACATGACAAGGTACAATTATGGATCATGTGACCTGTTACATAATGTCAAGTCTGGGCCTACTCCAACCAACTCTGATGCTGGATGAGGTCTGGGGAGAGGTTTGGAAGCAAGTCCAATGGAAAGAGCAGAACTCTGACTGGTGGAGTGTTGGCAGGAATGAAATCTGCCAAGGTAAGGGCAGAGCGAAGTGAGGGCATCAGGTTTAGCTCATGCACTACCCCCTTGCATGATCTCAGCCCTCATATTTCAGAGGGGGAGTACAGATGGACAGTTGGAGGTAACTCTGACAGGCAGAAGACAGAGACAGAGGGAGTAGGAATTAAGTCGATATTTGTACTGAAGAACAGCAGAGTATGGTACATGCTTTTATACTATTATGGAGGTACAGTAATTGGAATTGGCACTGACATATGGAGACTTGTAAAATTTCAAGTAAAACTTCCTAGACAATATGGAGGACATATGAATGGGTAACATAGAACATCCAGAAAAGGAAACAGTCCAGGCACTGGACCATGCAGTGTGCATGCTGCAGAGTACCTGACTGCGAGCTGTCAGGGAGGAGTCTGAAGGTAGTCACATGACTCCTCAGAGAACAGTCCATTCAGTCTGGTAGGAGAGCAGTACAAGTCTGACAGCAGTCAGAGTGGAGATGGTTCATAACTGACAGAAGTTGGGTGGAGTTGGTGCAGAGTGAGTGAATGACCAGCAGAAGAGGGTGTGGAGTGAGTAAGGACCTAGAGTGAATGCATGGTTATGACAGTGCCCCCCCCTTAGGGCCTGAACCCCTGAAGGCTGCATGTACAGGATGGGATCAACACGAGTTGATCATTTGAAACCATTTTGATGCCTCAAGGATAATGGCTTTAGCTGTGGCAGAGCTCCATCAGAGTTCGAAGTACCACTTAAAAGACATGTGTCAGGATACTGAACCTTCATCCCTTCCTCCCATCATCATGCCTTCCCAGTGCCAGAGCAAAACCCCCCAATTAACCCCTGGCCACATCTGCAACTACTCCCAAGTCATGGATGAAGAGCTGGTTGTCCTGACCAATGACTCCACCAACACTGAGCAAGAGAAGTCTGCAGAGAAGGCATGCCAACGAAAGGAGGCTGAGTGGAGGGAGAAAGAGCATGAGGCAGAGCACAAGGCCAAGTGTGAGGAGGCCAAGAGGTGGAAGGTGGGAGAAGAGAGACTGGAGGCAGAGTGGAGGAGGAAGAGGAGGCTCAAAGGAAGAAGGTGGCAGAGGAGGAGGCAGAAAGACAGAGGCAGAGGGCCCAGGCCAGACAGGACAAGGCCACACAAAGGTGAGTGGTGGAGTACCATGAGTCAGGCAGAACTGACTCACAGCCTCATTTTTCTTAGACTATGCAGTGCAGTGTATGACATCAACACCACCCAGAGGGTCCCAGGGACCTCTGTGGTGGTCACCATGACCAGGTGGCCCCCCTGCACTTGCTGTGTAGCAAGTCTGATGGCAGGGCAGTGTGAACCAGGACAAGGCAAGACCAGGGCCTGCATGCCCTGCCACAAGAAGAAAAAGGTGTGTAGCTGGACAAGGGAGGACATGGTGGTGGGACCATCGCAGAAGAGAGTGGGAACAGGGAGTTCCTGAGGGGAGAAGAAGAAGAAGCCGCAAGGGAAGGGGAAGGAGAGAGCAATGGAGATGGAAGAGGTGGATGACGAGCAGGAGGTAGGTGGAGAAGACAAGGAGGAGCCAGAGACACCACACAAGGAACCCTCAGGAGTGGGGGCCTCCTCCTGGTGGGCAGAGTGGGAGTGGGAGTGGCAGCTGCAGGCCATGGAGAGGTATGCAGAGGCACATGAGAAGGCTGTGACCACCTTTGAGAGAATGGCAAGGGCAGCAGAGTGGATGGTAGAGGCTGCAGAGTGGACAGCCCACAAGTGGGGGCTGTACTGTGAGTGGGCAGAATGGGTGGAGATGAGGAGGAGGGAGGATGCACATGAGGCCAGGATGGCTGAGTTCGAGCACACAGGAGGAGGATGGAAGAGGCAGCAGAAGACAGGAATGAGGAAGTGGACAAGGGCGCAGAGGGGGACAATGAGGAGGAGGAAGTTGGAGGAGAGCAGGGAGGTGGTGGAGAACAAGCAATGGAAGAGTAGGGTAGTTTTTTTTTTTTTTTTTTTTTTTTTTTTTTAGTTTGTATATTTTTGTACTACTATGAAATAGACTTGTAACCTTGTTTGTGATTCTGAGAAGTGAAACAGATAAGCAGAGAAAACTCTAAAGTACCTAAGGTAGTTCGGTAAGGGGCAGAGCTGGCCTGCAGAGGAAGGTTGTATGGGCAGAGTACTATGGCAGAGGTTGACATGGGCCAGGTTTGTGTGGATATCATTCGTGGAAAGTGGAGACTATGTCAGAAGTGTGACCTAGCTCAGTTGCAAGCAACCAAGAGGTTTCTTTGTTGGTGTCCTCATAACCAGCCCAGTGGGAGTTGACAGTGGCAGTGATGGTGGTCCACCTTAGAGTTGAGTATCTCTGATACTTCATACTCAAGGTCACCATCAACATCCACTGGCAGAGGCAGAGGTTGTTGTCAGTTTGGGAAAGGGTTAGCCACTGCAGCTTCCAGTTGTGAGACATGGAAGACCAGATGTACTGAGCACATAGAATCAGGGAGCTTAAGGGTGACAGAGTGCATACCTGGCCTGGCCAAGATGGTGAACAGACCTAAGTACTTTTCAGAGAATTTTTCTGAAGGACAAGTGGAGTGGAAGTACTTGGCTTTGATGTAGGCTTGCTCTCCAACCTTAAACCCAGGCAGAGGTATGCATCTGGCATCTGCTGGACCCTGATAGTGCTGCTGAGTGGCAGACATTTCAGAGTGGAGGAAGTCATGAAGGGTGGAGAGCTCAATGACATAGTCATGAGCCCTTGGAGAGGTGAAGTCTTGGTCAGGGACCACAGACAGGTTTGGGTGGTACCCTTTGTTAGCAAAGAAGGGAGAAACCCCAGTTGTTGCACTTGGTGCATTGTTGAAAGCAAACTCCACTAGAGGTAACAGCTCAGCCCAGTTGTCTTGTTGGTAGTTGCAGTAGACACAAAGGTACTGCTTGAGGGTCTGGTTCATTTGCTCAGTCTGGCCATTGCCTTCTGGGTGGTAACCTGAAGTGAAGTGAAGATGCATATCAAGGGCCTTTCCTAGAGAGCAGAAGAAGTGTGAGATGAACTCAGGACCTCTGTTGGAGGTGACATTAGCTGGCACTCTGTGCTTGGAGAAGACATGGGTAAGGAAGAGCCTAGCAAGTTCAGCAGAGGTGATGGAGTTGTGGGTGGGGATGAACACCACTTGCTTTGAGAGGCGGTCCACTACCACGAGTATGGTGGAGTAGCCATCAGAGTTGGGGAGGTGTTCAATGAAGTCCATGGAGATGGAGTTCCAAGGTCTCTCTGGGATGGGGAGTTGCTTCAGTAGACCATAAGGGCAGTGATGCAGAGTTTTGCTCTGTCCACAGGCAGTGCAGGACCTGACATATTCTTTCATGTCAGAGCAGAGGTTAGGCCACACATAGTCCCTGTGGACAAGTTCTAGGGTGTGGTTTTGCCCGAAATGGCCTGCCAGAGGATGGTCATGCTTGAACTGAAGCACTTGAAGGTGGAGGTCATCAATGTCAGGGACAAAGACGCAACCATCAAGGTGGAGTAGGCCATCAGAGTCCAGGGACCACCGAGGCTTAGTCAGAGTTGGAAGATGGCTGGCAGAGACAGGGTCAGACAGTAGGGCAGAGTTGGAAGATGGCTGGCAGAGACAGGGTCAGACAGTAGGGCAGGGGTGATGTTGGAATGCAAGCACTCAACATCAAAGACCATGGCAGTGTGGAGCATGGGTGCCACAAGGGTAGTGGTACAGAGGGACGATGCAAGTTGCTCCTGTGTAAACATAGGGTGGAGATTGTGAGGATTTACCTGCATGTAGTCCCTATCCCCCCCTTTTGGGTAGATGTCTCATCATCATGTGAGTGTGTTGGGTTTGGCTCCCAGGTGGCCAGGTCAGAAGCAGATGGAAAGGTAAAACTATGAAAGGTACTCTGACCAGTGGGCCTGTTGACAAGTGAGGACCTTAGAGGTGGAGAAATACTCAAGGTTTTTGTGGTCTGTCACCATGTCAACAGGTAAGGCAGAACCTTCTAGGTAATGCTGCCAATGGTGGAAAGCCTCAAAGATAGCCAACAGCTCCTTGTTGTGGGTATTGTAGTTGAGTTCTGGCATGGCCATGGTGTGGGAGTAGAAAGCAACTAGGCAGAGTTCACCATCGGAGCAGATGATTGACAAAATGCCAGCAATGGCATAGTCAGAGGCATTGGTTTCAACTGTAAGTGGAGTGTCAGGAACCCAGTGTGTGAGGACAGGAGTGGAGCTGAAGGCATCCTTCAGGTGGAGGAAGGTGGAGTGACACTCCTTGGAAAAGTTCCAAGGAGCACCCTTTCATGTGAGGTGAGTGAGTGGAACAATGATGTCAGAGTAGTTGTTAATGAATCATCTGTAGAAGTTTGCAAAGCCAAGGAAAGACTGGATGTCTTGCA